GCATCTCATTTAGCAGGATGGCGGTTTTATGGGAGCCTGACAATACTGTGGTGGGAGGAGAGTCTTTGCAGCAACACAGTCAACAAACGCCACGGGTGAGCCAGTGGTGTGTGATTCTACAGAACTGCAATCGAAATTTCGCCTCGTCTTTGCCCTAAAAGAGCGGATCATTCTGCTTCAGCAGAATTTGAGATGTTTTGTATATCCAATGCCAGATGAACATGTCACATTGCTCCGTATTTATCCAAAAGATCGATTTGTGTAAAGTACTCATTTCATGACCAAGTCCTCGGTGTAATGAGTGTCCTCTGACTGATTTAGTATGCAGAGGCAATGATACAAAATTAAAGAAGCTCTTCAATCTACAGGGCACAGAAATCCAGTCCTATTTTTCTTTATATTTACTGTGCTTCTGATAAAAAGGGGAGACTACAGATACATCAGGCAAAATGTATTATTCATTTCAGCCATGTGAGACAGACATGATAAAAATCACCCGAATGACATGTCATCTAGACATCTATTCAAATTCAATACTCAAAAATGACCTAATGGCTACTCTCTGCCTGTGCTATGATTAATCTAGAATTTACTGGGAACTATTGTAGAAAAATAATATGCTGCAGCAGGTATTCAAGAACAATTAGGGAACCTCCGTTTCGAGGTTCATCTGTGGTAGCACATCTGTAACACTCAAACATTGGAAATAAAAAAAAAGATATTTTATTGCTTGTATTAATTATTGATGCTGGTGAGAGCATTGAGCTCTCGAGAGTTTTGGACTTGTATAAAATTCTGACAGAAGTTTCTGATTAACAGATGTGCCTCTTCTGCTTTGAACACCACAATATCCTTGAGGGTAACAGACTCAACATTGTGTCGCACTATCCTTCATTTAGAAAAGATCAGGAGAGAAAAGTGACACACCAAGTACAGCGGGCAGGACTGGCTTAGTAAAAGGAGGCTGATCAGTAAAAGTTGATGAGAAGTTAATGTGGTATGAGTTACCCTAACTCTTGCTTTTAGTTAATTTGTTCATAATTTACTGACATTCATGCACCTGAATAAAGAACGGTTTCATTTTTACAACAATAGTTCAAACTCTTACATATACCGTGCACAAAGGTCAGAGTCATGAAAAGCGCTCTAAAAATCTCAACCCGACCATTAAGTTATCAAATATGAATAGCCATGCTAAATAATGAATTTGATCTATACATTTAATAACTGTCAAATCACACTCAAAGGTTCAGTCCTGTTGCTCTGAGACGGAATTGTGAATTTGGATCGAGACATCTTGGGACTTTTGAGTTTTTGAGAGAAGCTTTAGCAAAAACTCCTGACACATGCCCTCTCTGTGACCTTTTCTCATGGCAGCAAGAGTATAACAGGGTGGGTGGAGAGGGGGGATATCAAGCAGTATCTACTTGTAAGAAAGCAGAAAAAGACTACAGAGAGTTTCTCCACTCATCAATAATGAATCCAAGAACAGCAGTGAATCTTACATTTAAGGAACAGGCAGACTCCTGCTATGACTTTCCTCAAGGTTTTTTTTTCATGAACAATCAATCATTAAAAGAGTGATGGGCTGATAGCCTCTTTGTAGGGGAAATCATTTGTCCTCCTTTCAGGTGAAGCAGTACACAGATTTGTAATTGATTTGAGCATGGCTAATATCAAACCGGCTGGGGGATACAATCACTGTAACGACACTGGTAATTCCAATCTTGATGGTACTTCAAGCCGAGCTACCTGCCATGAAATTATTTTATTTAACTGATAGTAAAACAGATTTTTCTCTGAACCAGGGTTCCTACGCTAGCATGGAAAGTATGGAAAACTATGGAAACAAATTTGATTAATTTCATTTTCAAAAATATTGAAAACGAAAAATAAAGTATGAAAAAATATTTAGGTTTCCAGACTATTACCACATTTGTAAAATACTGTTTTCTAAAATAGAAAAGTAGGTATTTTCAAAAATAATTCTAAAAAGTAGGGTCAGATAAGATGATGTCCTTTCATAGTCCCACGGAGAAACTTTGATTTATTGCACATTGAGTCAATAAATCATAAGGAAATCCTAGGCTATGTAAAAGTATGAAAATTCAAACTGTGTAGGAACTATACTGAACACAGATAGAGAAACAGCAAATCTGTATATCAACATTTTTACAAAAAGTAAAGTGTTATACCTCTAATTTTACTCCGTGTAAGGAGCCAAAGGCCCTCTCTTATCATAAACCCTCCCTTCACTGAAACAGAACCTAATATCGCCACAAGGTAACTCTATAAAAGTTTGATATTGTATAAAAATCCAGTTAGTAATTGTTAACTCTATGAATGGCTTGATATCACAATTGTACCCCTGAACTCTCTCCATGGTGCAGAAACGTGCCCCAAGGAATGAAAATACTGGATCTTAATCCTGCCCTCCCTAAACTCTACATGTCTGTAAGGACAACTTTAATAGCACAGTAGTAGGGAGCCACCATCATCAGGTCACATATGTAGACTGGTATTCCTCCATGAAATTAAACAAATTGACCAGATCTTTTTCCTTAAAATCTGAACAAAGAGGTAGTGTATCTTAAATCTCAGAAATGTAGCTTCAAGGATACATTAAGATTTGGATTTCCCAAGTATTTTTTAAACAGGGGTTACTTACAAAGCTCAGGAGAGAGCCAAAATCCTGCATACAACTTCAAACTTCATGTGACAGTAGGAAACGCTGAGTGTATGCTAATCAACTCATCTTCATTTGAAGAGCATCCTAACTCTTGCACAGCTTTAATCCATGACGGCATGTTCTGAACATTATCTAATAATTGGCGCATTCCCCTGGCAAAAAAAAGGCCTGCAATCTCGCTCCCCACCATGACAGTGTAATGGATTGCTTTGCACACACCACATAGCTTTGAACTTATCTTCATCCCCCCACCCCGACTTAATTCTTGGTTGCCTCCCACATCTGTATGGAAATGTGCTGCATCACATTATTTCACCCCTTTCGGTGTAGCTCCAGGGCCTGTACAGTAATATAAAAGATTAATTTCATAGTTTGCTATTTACATGATGTTTACCCTGGAATAACATGGTAAAAGGGGGATCATTATAGCATGAATGGTAGTATGGTTCTCTTCATGTGTGCGTTTCGTTTGGTTTCATAGAAACCACAGTGTTTTACTCATTACAGTGCAATTTAGCGCCTATATACCTCATGGCAAGTAATCAAACATTTTCACAGTGACCTAGCACACTCAGGATACAAACACAATCGTAGCTCTCGGGCAGGGTGAGGGAGGACATGTGCTCCCTTGATCTCCTAATCTCACACACTGGGCTACACTACATGCCAGCAGATGGGCAATTCTGCACACTGGGGTTTTTCAGGTCGGTGGGGAAATGGAAGACACAGTGGGCTACATACAACAGTGTTTCGGGGGGCAGCAAGAGGTAAACATCAGCCTTCCCCCCTGTAAGTAGACTAATAGCTCCAAGCATCAACACTGCAATCAGCAGGTCTCAAACTCAGGCGATCGAGGCAGGCACCACCACAGGCTCTTTTCAATTCGGATTTCTTTTTTTTTTTCTCTCTCTTGATTATTTTTGCTCTCATCCTCAGAAGTTTTAAGCATAACACACTGTTCATACAAAAATAGAGTTGTGAATCCATCCTGAACTCATCTTACAGCTTGCAGTTATAAAAAGAGAGAGGAGCCGTGGCTGGGAAAGCAGTGGATAAATGCGTGAGAAATGGGTGACTATATGATCATGGTTAATGATCGTGATAAATTTCCGTTCGATCACGGTGATCAGCTGTGAGCATATCTACTCGATCACACATGGCGGAACTGTGCGTGACAACAGCCAATCAGAGTCGAGCTTTTCCTGCTCACTTCTCTAAGTTGCCGGAGAAGTAAACAGGAGAAGTAAACAGAATGACCGAACGTGGAGATAAACGCAGAGCTAAGGGCAGCTAAATAGATGTCCGCCATGACTTTGACTCATCTTTCGAAGATGCCGTTGTTGAGAAGAAAAGTTATTCAATGTCGGTTGTGTGGCGGTGGTTCAGGTATCTCCAAAATGACGTACAGCAATGAAGCAGATGAGCAAGGTATGTTGGCAGTCGATGCCCTCAAAAACCGGCAACACAACAGATCTGCTTAATCATTTTAAGAAGTACTTTCCGGGTGATTCTGCGGAAAGCATGAAAATGTGAGTGGAGTCTGCACAGCCTGCCACTGCTGACGGCACAAGTAGCATTAGCAGTTTAGCCACAACAAGCTGTGCAGTTACTAGACCAAAGCAGCAATCAATCGTATCATTTACATTTACATATCTGATGTTTACATTTTAAGGCATCTTCGTTATCACTGAGGGGTCCATTTGTTTATTTTGGGTCATGCATACCTGCAAAAACACTCAAGACTTTAAACTAGTTCACTGTATTATTTAGTATTTATCTTTATTTGTTGTACTGGCGAGTTAAAATGGGTTTTATATTTCCTGAAGTTTATCTTATTCAATTTGCTTTATTTACTTTGTATGTAAATAAAATGTTGAACTAATCTCTAGTTTCTTTTGTTTTTAGTACAGATGCTTTAAAACTGGCAGTTTTCAAAAAAAATTGTGATAATTACCGAGATCGGACGATATGTGGGCCAAATCACCCAGTCCCACATGAGTATCATAAATGATGAGAAAACTTTGAAGCAATAGAACATTTCTCAAAACAAAAAATGATGCTTCCATCAGACTTCCATTCCAGTAAAATCATTGTTGAATTGGTCCACACATCAGCTACACCTTAATAAGTCATCGGAGGGTTTCTCGATCCAAATGACACTAGTTTATTGTCAGTGTACTGATCCAAGACTGGCCAGCTAATCCACCTGGTGTGTACCACAGGTGATAAAGAGAAGTCCATCCTCAGGGACTAAAGAAGCCTGAAAGAAGTCAGTTAGCTCCAGATAGGGCCTCTCTTCCCTGTACCCACTTATTGCATTTCCACCTCCCTTGACACATAACCTCCCCTTGCCTCTAAATCAACCAGCAAGGCCCTTTATTAATAGCCTGTCAGCGGAGTTAACATTTATTTCATGTGTATTCATATGAGCAGGTTTTACAAATGGCCCAGTGCTTGTGAACCTGCTCTTGAAAAATTAGCCTTGTTTTTTCAGCCCTCTCCTCATGAATTTCAATGACTAAGTGAAGGCACTGCTATGTGTCTACCTAAATGCTGCTCTCAGCCTGGGGGTAAAAAATGGAGAGGGGCTAAATTTAGATTGCTCAGAAAAATCTCAGCATTTGGCTATCATACTATGATGAGGCCGCTGTGATAGTTATTGATGCTTAGATGAAGAAACTCACTAAAGTTTATGTGAAAATGCAGATGGAGAAAGGACTAATGGGGAAAACAGGATACTTAAAGGGATATTCCAGCGTAAAATTAAGTTAGGGTCAAACACACCCAAACACTAAGTTAGACACACTGTCGAGAGATGAATGTTGCCGACCGCTTGCTTCTCTAGTTATACCAACCCTAGGAACGACCACAGGATAGCAATACACAGCGGTCTAAGGAGCCACGCGCTCAACCAAAAAGCCACTCTATAGCCACAAATAATGCTCAGAACAGCACCTAACTTCATCAACAGTACAAATAGGGTCCCAGGCACAGCACTAGCCACCAAACATCTTTTTAACTTTGCCTGATTACTTTAGCAAAGAGACTAAACACAACTCACCTACTCTCTTCCAGCAGCCGCCCGTTTGTAGCGAGACCTCAGGCCAGTCCATTACGGACTACAGCGGAGGGACGCAGCTCAAGGAAGAACATTTATGATCATTTCTTCATGGAAATGTAATCAGACCGAGACGCTAAGGCAGAAGAATTACCGCGTCTGCAGTGCAAAATGATTAATATGATGATTATTACTTCAAGGAAATGATTAAGTGATGTAATGTGCTGTTCTAAGCATTATTTGTAGCTATAGAGTGGCTTTTTGGTTGAGGTTTGTTTATGGCTCCTCAGACCGCTGTGTATTGCTATCCTGCGGTTGTTACTAAAGTTGGTATAACTACAGAAGCAAGCGGTCTGCAACATTCATCTCTCGACAGTGTGTCTAACTCTGTGTTACAGTGTGTTTCATCCTAACTTAATTTTACGCCGGAATATCCCTCTGAAATGATTATTTTCTTTTTACATTTACTGGGGAACTTTCAACATTTTGTGTGTGACATATATGTAAACAAACTTATTACTTTGAGCTGCGCTGTCATCTCTTAAATCGATTGCAGGCCACTGAATGTAACTGACTAGAATCAGAATCCTACGGCAAAACCTTCTGTGATATCAGCGAAAATAGTACTGTTGTCCAAATAAGCCTTTTATTATGTTTTTTTTTTATCTACAAAACCTGTTGTGTACACCCTATTCTATTCTGACTGACCACCCAAAACAGAAGTTTCAAATCTGAGGTGTAAAAAGTAAGTCACAAAGGAGAACCAGTGATACCATAAAAGATGTCATCAAAAGATATCTAGTGCAGATTTCCCTATAAATAAGAAAAACAGAGAGCATCTCTACAGAATATTTGGGAGCCCATTATTTCATTTTGTGAATGCCAAGTGTTTTCTCGGCATTGGCAGCTACAGAAGGAAACCTGGTGTGCTGACACAAATTGATTACTGGGTCGGACAGACAATCTATTCCTTCCTCTAAACTGATAGCAAAGACTGGCAGGATGAGAAAGGTCGGCTGTACGTAGACAACAAAGAAAAAAAGGAGAGCTAGAGGGAGAGAGAGATAATAGGATGGGAAAACAGAGAGGGAAGAGCAGGATTTGCAAAGTTTTGCAACAACTTCCCATTTTCTAAGACAAACATGCCAATGGAGGGCTTTTGCATTGCAGATCTATCCAGCGATAGTGCTGTGCCTGACAGAATTTTAATCATACGCGTTTCCTACCTTTTCTGTTTATAAAACTGCTGGTAGCTAAAAACAAGCTCTGTGTATTAACTTCAGGGGGAAAGCCTTTATATTTATATATATTCATATATTTGTTCTTTTTCAAACTTGACATGATGTGGACGATAGTTTCTTTGAATACAAAGACAATCAATTGATAAAATGAGTGAGTAATGAATGCAAGTTTTCTTACATGTATACAGCATTGCTCAGCCAAACACTCAAAACTGAGTGTTTAACAAGTCACCGTCTTGTTAATGTTAATATCTGATTTTAGGTTGTCATCATCTCATCTTCAAGGGTTAGGACCAAACTTTGAAGACAGCAGTACGAGAGGTTAATATTCAATATGAGACCTCGCTCCTAAATGAAGACATTAACAACAGAGAGAGACGTATCTTAGGACCTCTTTCTCTCATTAGAGGAGCCTAGCAGTGTGTTGGGGGTTATCGGAGCAGAGGCAGAGAGAGACAAATGATCATCTAAATCAATGATAATGTCAAACCGGTCGATTGTTTTTTTTATCCAGACCTATTTATCAAGGAATCTTCAGTGTTATTTACCTTTGTTTCTAATATCAAAGGGAAGCTTCTGTCATCTTTTTACGACAGTGACTGCAGACCCTGACCGCTTTGTTTCAGCTTCTGTTTCCTAAGCCACCACCATCCCTCCAAACATGAGCTTAACATACTGCAGTTTAACATCATTGTTGTCGGTGAATTAAGCCTGAAATTGCTTTCTTTAAACAGCTGAGCCTCTTCAGCTAGCTCCGTCCATAATACATTTAAGTCTTTCTCCAGTAAAATGCACAGAGCTGCCAGGGCTAATGGCATAGTCCACACACATGATTGTTGTAAACACAGAGGAGCATAGACCTGAGCTGGTTAGACCTGCACAAGGTAAGCATTCGGGATCAGACCTTTGTCACCAATACTGATTCAGCTTTATGGGTCAGTATCTGGCCAATACCCAATACCAGGATCAGTGCATCCCTGAAATTTGGTGTGCTATTTGTTCATTTTAGTTCACCATGGTAATGCTGCAGCAGCATATTCCTGCTTTCTGCTGCTGCCATAATGAAAATAACTCCACTGCTAAGCTTTCGACCGGCACACTCAACCTTAAGTAATCTGCACTTAGTGACAAACAGAATCAAAACATCCACAAAGTGCTTCAAGTTTGAGCTTGTACCTACCAGCTTGGCATGCAGGTGCATTTAACTGGACTGATGTCAGCTGGCAACCACACCACATAAACTGGAGGAGCTGATTTTGGTGTGTGAATCACCGCAGCTCTGTGGTTGAAACTAAAATCAAGACATTAACTACAACACTTGACAAACTGGTGGCAACTGTCTGCAGGCTTGTTAATGTCATGGAAGACTCCAGTTGAAGTGACGACTGAGAGAGGTCTGCATGTTGACCCCAGTCAGATGTCTCACTTTACTGGCAACATAGTTTGATGTAAAGTTAAACGCCATTTCTCTTTTTGAACATAATTTTACAATTGGGTCTGCAAAAAGATGATCCTTTACTTAACTATTACATTTTTCACATTTCATAGTTTTGTTGAGCCCAAGCTGCAATAAGAAGTCAAGCCAGTGTGGAAGTTTAAAAAATAAAAATCTGAGTGTTGAGTCCCAAAAGCCGCTGAAACCCAAGTCCAACCAGTGTTAAGATGCCAAACTTTACTGCAGAATCTTATACATTTACAGCTTCGTACTGTACTATTTTTGATTTTTATAGACATTTTCTTCATTGGTAGTAACTGTGGTTAGTTGAGTCGGCATTTCCAGTATAGTGTTCACCAAGTTTGAGTTTTGTTACACTCTGCGAAAAACCAATTGCTCGAAGTTAGTATGATCATCTGTTGAGCCACATACACACCTAAAGTGTGATCACAGAGAAGGGAAATGTGATGTCAAATTACACAGCTTGCATGTTCAAGTATTTGAGTATGCCACTCTCAGACTCTACATCTTTTGCTTCTTGTAAAGATTAGACTTAACAGCCAGTCATGTGGTATTCTGATATTCTGTTTTAACATCTATTTTTAGAGGGACCTCCTCAAAAACGAGATGCTGCATCTCAAAGGACAAAGGGCTATCCTAAATAAATTGAAATTAGACTCAGAAAAATCCTTACTTAAATGGGGATTATACAAGTAAGATCACTGTAAAAAAATGACACATCAGTTTTCTTTATGTCAGGTAAGGGAAACCTTTCAAAGTCACAGGCAGTGCATCCTCTACCTTTCTTGTTCCAGAGATAATCCGACAGTTACATCATTCACACATCTGTCAGATATTCAACCCATCTCTACCTGAATTGCACCTGGGCTGTGTTCTGTCCGGTTTTCAATTTACGATTTCTTGAAGGCTCCATATCCCTGAGCTAGTATAAAGGAGACATGTGCATCATGAAGTTGGTACATGTAAAATTACCAAGGTCATGATGTGTATTAAAGTATGTGGCTCGAGCTGACCATAAAAAAGTATACCAAATGTTTGTTAAAGAACGAAGACCATTAACTCAACAGGATACCCATGACATCATCGTCAAAACAATAATTTAATCGAAGTCAAGAGGAAATTAAAATGTCTTCAATGCATCACTTCCCATCTTTCAGACCCAGCTGTCTTTTGGAGCTATCCAGAGAGCCCTAATCTCTGCTCTCCATCCGTTATGAATATGGCAGAACAGGTAAAGCTGCAGAGGCAATACATTTGTCCTTCAGTACATGACACCTTAGCCTTACTAATGAGCCATTTAACAGCACAGTGAAGGGAACAGCAGTTAAACTAAAAGCCCCTTGTGGATTTGGTAAGAGCGTGTCAAGGCTGGAGGAGACAGTAATACTTCATATTGACAGGGGGAAGAATGAATAATGAGTGGGTTTGCAGCTGTTTCAAAATAAAGCTATTCTCTCAACATTTTCCCATGCCCCATCTCTCCCTGGGGGGAGGGGGGGTGGATGGTTTTGGGGGGGGACTACTGGCACCATACCCTCCAAACTGAAACAAAATTTAAATCACTGTGTACTCATAATGTGCTGAGCATAAACATAAAGGATAACCTAATCTGCATGCTAGAAAACCAAGAAGTCTGAAACTATAAATGAAATCAAACTGTGCCTCAAGGGCACAATATGTAGAAATGAAAATATCAAACAGCCAGATTCGAGATTGAAGTGCTCCACTGCTCACCCTTACCAATGGTGAGGCTACAGTGGCCTTCCTGGACAGGAATCGCATGTGATGTTAAGGGATGGGGATCAATTAGCAGGTCCATTAAAAACTCAATAAAGCATCTTTCAAAACCTGAGAATCAATAACTTAATATAATATATCAAATCAGGCCAAAGTTCCTGCAGTACCACAGACTGACTTCAGCTTGAAACAACTCTGGGTGCTGCTTCTGCAGAGCTGCCGTCCTCTTCTTTACCAATAGCAGGTGGGATAAGCACAGCCAGACTTTAGAGCAAGACCTGTTAGTTAAAAATCTCTATCCAGAGTCGGATTTGGTGTTGAAATCCATATTGACATCAACAGGTTAAAAGCTATAGCTTAGTGACACATGATTACATAGTGAGATGTTTAAGGCTGGGTCAGTAAAATGAGAATAAGGCTAAAGTAGGTGTGTAAATGTGTTCAAATGTCATGTCCAGAAAATGAAAAAATGTTTTTTGTAAAAAATAAAAAATTCAGTATAAATACAACTGTGTGAAGTAGAACAAAACAGAAAAGACTCGGTAACGGTTGCTAAGAACTCCAATCATCTTTTAAGTGGGGCATTTTGTGCAGCCACCCACTCAATATAAAACTGCATATGTTACCAGTTTGCCTGTTCTGTGCTCAAGTACAAACACGGCAATGTAAGATGGCAGCCTTTGTGAAAAGGAGTAGGCCCCTCTCTCATCACATCATGAGCCCGTCATATGATGACACATGAACCTGACATCTCTGAGGGTGTGTTGTATCTGGCACCAAGTTGTCAGCAAACACATCCTTCAAGTCCTTGTGAAGTGGAGCCTTTGTGGATTGGACTTGGTGATCCAGCACACTCTCCTACAAGGCACAAACCACTACAGACCAGGAACACGCAGTTTTGGAGACACTATCCATCACAGAGTCAGAGTCACTCAAGCTCATTGAATTTGAGGACAAAATGCTGCCCTGGGAATGCCACTTGCCCACAGGGGTCACTCTGAAAAGATAATTCATGCTATTCACTTCACAATAATCGCCCACTGAGCAACAGATGGCTATGAGACGTCTATTTATTTTTTTTAGACGTAATTTTAACCGTCTTCTGTATATTTTTAGACGGAATTTGGACGTTGCACTTTAACCCATTAATCTATATTTGTTTATTTCAAAAAGCAACTGTGAGTTGCATGACTGATCTCCAAGTACTTAAACAAAATAATTATGACAGCCGCTGAGCAATATACAGTGTAATATAGATATAGCCCTGATTTAGACTTGGTCTAAACTTTGTCTAAATTTAGACGTCTAAAAAACTTTAATTCTTAGACCTGTGGTAGCCTAATTTTAGACAAGTCGTCTAGGCTACATTTCGACGTCTTTTAGACCTCTTTTAGACCAAAAAATGCTCAGTGGGCGCAGTGTTACAGCTGATCAATGTCTTAGAATTATATTGCATTTCTACTAAGTCTGTTCTGCCAAATGCTGATAAATACTACACACTGCACCTTTTTGTATTTTTTGTAAGCACATTTGACATTTATAAATTCAGGATACGTAATGACCCTGAAGCACATTTCTACCTTCTGCCTGAACTATTTTTCATTTCAGTCTATTTCATTTCTTCAAGATGCACCTAGAGCTTTGGTTCTTGTGGTTCTCTGCATTACAGCTCATGATTATTCATGAACATGAGTAGGCAGCGCTCCCCGATGGGACTCCAGTCTGTGATCAAGAGAAACTCTGTTAGTCATTGTCAGTGTAAGCCGAGAGCTCAGGAGACATCGTTAGGTTTCCTTTACAACACCACGCTCACATTCAGACTCGGAAAGATTCGTCTCCAAAGAGCCAAAGCATATGGAGAACAAACAGAAGAAAGCTACCTCTGGAATGCAACAGATGGCTGTCGCAGATGTTGAAAGTAAGTCATCATTTCTTCTCTCACAATTTCATGGAGTAACCTCACTTTTATGAGTTCATAGAGGGGGAAAACAACAATCGAATTCCATCATAAATATTTCCCTTTGGCTAGTCAACTCATCAGTGATACAAAGTGCTCCATTAACCGCTGAAACTACATCCATGAAAAGTTCAGAAAACATTTAGACCTACTTTTGAACTTGCTGTTTTTCTCAGATATTTGGTCTTATTTTTGGAAACAACCCTCGCTTTCTCTAAACTAAGTGCAATTGTACCTACAGTTCAATACTGCATCAAACCTGTTGTTGCTTCAAAATTTTGCTAGTGTTTCTAACTTTTTGAAGTCTGGAGCACCAGTGCTACTGCTACTAAATAAAAAGTTAATTCCAGGCCCTGATTAGTGTGATCAGGTTGTTCTCAGTCATCTTTGCTATTCAGACATATTAACCCTTGTCAAAGGGGTTTTGACAAATAAGAAATCAAGTATCTAACTCAGCTGAGTGATCAGAGAGAAAGATGGGTAATAACCATCAGTTACAATACTCAAATATTGATACATCTGATCCCAAATTTTATTTTCTAGCAATAGGACCTGTGTATGACAAAGATGCGCACATGCCCATGACTCTTCAATTTACGTGACCACTAGTAATTTATGTAGTGCTCCTTTTTGAGATCAAGACTTTGGGGAAAAAAATGCAAAAAGAAAGACAGTCTGAGAAGAAATTAAGCAAGAAGGAGGCTTGGCAGCAGAGAAACTGACAGCCCGGCATGCAAATGTGCCCATCTATCTTAGTAGAGAACACTGAGTGTGCTTTATCTCGTCTAGAAGGAGCAGTTCATCTCAGCTAGACAGCCATTTGGATGCACCAGACTTAAGAAGCAGGGCTCCAAATTAGATCGCAGTTGTGCATCAGTTCAAATGCAGGGGTGTGCTCACCTCAGATAGCCTCTTCTGCTCTTACAGGGTGTAAGATAGTGGTGACACAGTGGTGACCTGTGCCTGAGCCTTTCCTCCAGTGGACGATCTTAAAGACTGTGGGTGTGTAAGTGAGTGGAAAACAAGAGGTTTCCTGCTAACCTGTAAACTTGTCACAATGATTAAAATAACTAGTAAAATAACTGTGGCTCTTTCTTCCTTGTATATCTTTTTATATATTTATCCAGTTTTTGGTTAAAAGCACTTTGGCAGTTAAAACATATTGGCTGACGTGGCAAAACAACTCTCACTCATCTGTTTGTAGAGGAGAGGTTTTGAAACTACAGCAGATTGCATCAAATATGCTTGAAATGTGCAGCCTTGGCTCATTTACACAGTTTTATTATTAGCCAAGAAAACTATTCTTAAACTCACCTTTTATCTGTTCAACACACACACACACAAACATGCACGTTCACACACAAACATGCACGTTCACACGCACACAGGAGTTCCAGGCATATGCATGCACAGATGGACCTGCTCATGAGTACAAATATACCCGCTCACAGTATGCAAATTTAAACACAGAAGACTATAAGTAAAGACACAGATGTGCTCACTGTGCTGCTTCGATTTTAAACTCTTGCTCTATTCAGTGTTCTGCCTGAGCTACGTCACGAACAAACATGCCAACTTTTCAGACTTCTTTCAATGGTTTAACATACTCTCAGAAAAAAAAACACTTTCCTGAAGTCTTTAATAACAAAAGCACAGATATTTGGTTTTGAGGCAACAACTGACAGTTTTTGATATGCATTTTCTAAACCCTGGACAATTTGTATTTTCTTACTGCTGCTGATCTCTTCGGCTATATTCACACTGCAGGTCAATTCCGATTTTTCTAACCATATGTGACACATATCTGATTTTTTTCATGTAAGTGTGAACAGTGCAATTCTGATTTATTCAAATCTGACCCAGCCCTCTTTTGTATGTGGATATAAATCGGATATGTATCCGATGTGACTGCAGTGTGGACGCTCAGGTCGATTTCATCCGACCTATACGTCATCAATATGCGACAACGTCACCATTGTTTGACAACACAAACAGGCGTGGAAAGCAATTTGTGCTTTGTGCGCATGCGGGTCACTTTAGATACTGCATTCATTGTTGTAATGTGAAGGACCGCACAAAAAGATCGGATTTAACAAAAAATCTGAATTGTGCATCATAACTTGCAGTATGAACGTAGCCTTAGAGCGCCCAAACAGATAAGAAGTCTCTTAAGCTTTTTTTCTACAACCTAAATGCTTGTTCGTCTCCAGATCAGGTTGTAGAGCAATTAATTTGCTGATTTGTTCACCATCAGTAGTAAAACACTAAATGGCAGAATATGAATTACCTCCATAAAGTCCTTGCATAGAATTTTACAAAGCTTTTATACATGTCCTGACACTTTTAACATTTTCCTTCCCAAATATTGATCACTGATCAAAAAAACAGCATGTGCAGTTCCTCATCCCATAATTCTCACCTGTTATGATAAAAAGACTCAGAGCCCTGGCTGTTCCTGTTAGCATCAGCATTCTTCCTCCATGTTTGTCTGTACACACACACACAAAAAGTGCTACAGCCTGGTCAATAAAGACTCTTGAAAAGCTTCTGTGTAGTCTCTTAGTTTTGCTCACTGCAGTTTTATTTGGAGATTTCTGGGACTAGCTGCAGTAGCTGCTGCACAGCATCATGAACCAACCCTCTTACTTCATGGGCTTTGGAGTAAACAGTTTCAGAAAAGGTCAGTGTGAAGAAGGTAAAGGCAGGAAACAGATGTGAACAGCAAGAGGCTTTTACAAAGGTGATGCATTATATGGTCTGAGCTCTTGGTGACAGGTGACAGTGTTACTCTAGCAGGCTGTCAAATAACCAAGAAAGCCTCTCAGGGCACTTTAAGAAAATTAGGTAACAAAGCTAACTTGAAACAAAACCAGTAGGAAATGTTGTGTATGGTTAAAGTCGACTTAATCGAATTTGCACAACCAATACTTTAACTTTACTTCAAGCAATCTCGGTATGCTCTCCCTCTTTTATAAGCCTGATCTGATGTCCAGTTTAAAGGGATTATGTGGTCAGTGCAAAGCAAAAATGAATCATACGTATGGAAGATTGATTTTTACAGTGCTTCAAATAGACTGCTTGATCAAACGTTAGGTGTAAGGATGCTAATAAGAGGCTGTGCTGACACAGAGACAGAGTACACACAGTCATGTCGAGTTAACCAGGGGGAACATCACAGCTGAACTATGTGTAATCATTTCTCTTTTATTCCCTCTTTTACCAGGATCACAATGCTTTGGGGTTAGGTTTTGATTCCTGTCTCATGATTGTATTACAACTGCTATTAATGAATTAATATTAAATGCTTCAAAACACTCTGGACTAAATCTCACATCCATATCCTGATCACACTGTTCAGTTTCACAACACTGAATAACAATTTGCACCACGGATTTCGGATCGGCTCACAAAATTGTGCCAGGGATTCAATTAAATTCTGTTTCTTAACTTAAATATGAGGATAATTCAGTAATACAAAGTATGAAACTTACATTTCAGTACCTTATTAAAAAAATCCATCTATTATTACCCTTTTAACTTCAAAGATCGAAGAGGATGACATGAATTAGTAACATGCAGATTAAGGATGCAGAAGTCTTGTAAAGCACCTATTTGCTTGTCCTCTAAATCCCTGAAAAGTGAACCATGCTTCAGACAAAGCTTAAAGTCCATGGGTAGGCAGCACCTGTCCACCTAAAGTTGAATTGATGGACTTAAGTCAGAAAATACAAGTTTTAGTAGCAGACTGGGAGAGAGGCTTCACTGTTTAAAGATGGTGATAACAGACTGGAGGTCAGGGCTGAGTGTTGGCATAATGGCTGACCTATTGTTCTTGCAAACATCCTCAGGCATCAGGAGTAACTGTGGTGCTCTGACTGCTCAGAATTCAGTGACCTTCAGTCATGAGTCAGACAGCTAGAAAAGTGAGTCTGATCTTTGGTTTACACATCGATAAAAAAAGGAGCCTGGAAGTTGACAGTATTCCTTTATTTGAAACACAGACTTAAAGACTTTGTAACTTTGGCTTTAAAATTTAATGACAAACTGACTGTGGGTCTGTCTTTAACACGTTCTGTGGTATGACATGTTACATTAGTGGAGATCAAAATTTCAGTGAGAGGTGGAAAAGTATTGGAGTTCTCATATTTTTGATGATTGCTACTGCTATTCTATAAAAAAGGACAACAGCTGTTGCAAAATCAATTATCGCTCTTACTTAGTTGGACTCAAAATCAATAACCTCTTCATTTTTTGTTTTTGTATTACTGCAGTTAGCAAATACAAACATATGGGAGAAATACAAGGCGGGAATAACTCTTCCCTAAAGACTGATATCACCACAGGACTTCACAATATATCTACCTGTCAGAAAGAGCCCAAGATATACCAGCCATGCTTTCACTCCATTCTGTCACACAGATGAGGGCCCAACTAGCTATCGGCGAACTCAGATTGATTGATGTAAATTAAAGGGGTGAAAGATGACTGCTAATATATAATATAATGGATGTATACATACAGGGCAGCAGACATCTGTTTGTTAGAACTTATATACTGTATATTTTTATTGTTATTGCCATAGTAAATTAATACACTGCACATTACAGATTATGCTCATCTGTTTAAGGATACTTGGCTGATAAACCAGCTTTGCAGCAAATAAATTCATAATCTGATTCATAAACAAGTATAAATATACAAAAAGCTATTTACATTTAAAAAACTGATCATCGCCTTTCTTAAAGAACTGCATGTTTGGTATTTAACAATAAAGGATATCATTTTTTATAGGGCATGTGGGTAAAAATGTCATCCTTCCCACCCTGCATGTGTGTGCTGAGTTTTAGGTCCGTGTCACTAAAGGAAAGTGGAAACCTCAGCATCATTACCAAATGGAAAGCTCTGGGAGGGAGACACAGCCTTTGTCCTGCTTCTCTTCCCACTGCTCTCATAAATCAGCATCACTGTCACTGACTACTGGACAGGCTCCCATTTTGAAAAGGCGTTTCACCACACCGAGCCATGGACACATAAAATGTATCCCTAAACATATTCCTGTCCCGATGTTTCACTGCCATTCATACCGGCCAAGTGTTAAACTGCTTTTGTTGAAGGAGCCTATAACTTTAAGAGGCATCCCATTCACTAAAATTTGATTTATTTACACTCTATAAAACTTTGTAGCCTTTTCTTTCAAATGCATGACAGCATTCACACTGCTGTTCGCTGTGGGTTGCTATTTGAATAAAAAAATTGCGCCTGGACAACTTTTTGTAGTTTGTGTTATTAAAACCAAAGCTGTTGTTTTTTTATTATGACTTAACTGTAAAATATTAGCAATACTAGCAAGAAACTTCTAATAACAATCTGGCTTGTTATGCAGCAATTATAGTGCCACTCTTTGTTTTGATCCCTCTATTTTTTTGCATTTTACTTAACATCCATATACAGCTCACACATCATATTTCCAGCAATGAACTGTTGCATGAACTGATTACTTGGCCCACACTTGTAGACAAGGGTGTAATGAGATCTTGTGCATCAAGATCTTAGCAATACCAATCCGTGAAAACACTTCTTGTGACCGTGATAATCTGTCTCAGACCAGTACGCGGTTTTCTGAGGACAGCTCTTGGTGGATTTGTCATTTTTAACTGCATTTAGGGTATTACACCAATGCAGAGGCAGTGCTGTGTCAAAATCAGTCCAACGTAGCGGAAACAGCCCTGCCAAAACTGCCAAAGGAGAGGAAAAGTAGATTCTCCACAGAGAGTATTTTGCTTGTTATTGCTACAGGTGTGGGCATCTCTTGCACTGGCTGAAATATTCTGTTGATTTCTGGGTGCACATTTACCCCATGATAGGATTGTCCAGATGAGACAGCTGTCACCCATCAGTTGCTGGATTAAATTGGATTGGTTTACTAACAGAGACTGTAAACTCCAATTCACTTAATACACCAACAGACCTCACTATTACTCTGAGCAACACCAGACACATAATACACCAACACAGTTGGAGAGTATCAAGTGCACAAATGTGGACAGGAAGCTAGAAGCATACAGTCTCTGATGCCGTTACCACCCCACCCCATCCCCCAAATAAAATTCTTACATCTCTTTTCTAATCTGAAAAAAAAAATGCTTTCCTGAAACCCCTGTTCACCCCTAAATCAAAGTGTATGTGCCGTTAAATTGTGAATATCAAAGTGTTTTGTGATTGTATTTCTGTGTTGGCTGCATTTGTGCTTTTCCAATTTGGGTGTGAAAGTGTACTGATATATTGAAATATATTGAGAGGATCGCTGTGAGTGGCAAACCTTTTCTGTGACCACGTTTCAAAAGGTTTTATTTCATGTCTAATTTATTCTGCATCAGACTTGGTCTGGCACCACACCAGTTGATTCAGGGCAATAGAGTAACAAAAGCTCCTCTACTACGAGCTGACTTAAGTGGTCTTATTCATTTCTTCTGTATCTTCAGCACAGCAGTTCTCAGCAGATGTTTTTGCAGCTGTATCACAAAGTAAAAGGAGCAACCAACTGTTACCAACACCTGCCTGAATCCCACTGATAAACTGCAACTGTAAGCAAGGATTTACATTAGCGGTTGCAATTTGCGGTTTATGTGTTTCTTTGTTTTTTTTACCTGCGCGTGACACAGTCTCTAGTTTTCAGTTCGATTCCATTTCATACATATTTTCTTATTCAACTGGGACATGAGATAAAAAGTCTTCCTCTGGAGAGAAACCCTTTGATAAAATTGGTTGTGTTAAGTTCAACAACATGACCCAGCTTAGATTATATAGATCAGAATCGATTATATTAATCATCTCACAGATTTAAGGATGCAGCCCCTTCATCATGTACAAAATATAGCAAACCTGCAAGTTTCTTTTCAAGGACAGTTAATGAGCATTCAAAGTACATCCAGTATCAGCCACTGAGTCATTTCCTGTAATTCAACCCACTCCTCACCTGCTACCCACAACTCCGGACACTAATATAGAACAAAATGTACAGTAATGGGTCAGTGTGGGGTAATTACCTCTTTCTTATGCCATAGTGATGAATGAAACTAATAAACATCCTGGGTTGTGCATCATCCATAGATTCATTTCAGTATTTCAGCACACATAAGAAGAAGCCAAAGCATAAAAGAAGCCATATATAGCTCACATAAACTGGGCCAAGTACAGCTTATTTCTTTTATTTTTCAAAATCAATAGTGCTACATTTTTGTGTCCACTGTATGAAGGTATAGACTGCAGTAAAGAGGTGAGGAAAAAACATAGTTTTCTTTATTATTTTCATTGGAGCTACAGCTCAAAAATGGATGGAAAAACAGTCTGCAGGCACCTAAAGGCCAGGTTATGGTCTTACCAATGAAGAAGTTGTTTGTGAGTGCTGCACCATCGAAATGAATCCTGCCTTTAGTGGACATATATACAATAGTTTGTGTAAGACTCAAGTCCGTCAGAGTAAATTAAAAGTACTCCAAAATAAAACTCATGGGTATAATAAAACCTTGAGGACAAAATAAACCTTAGTCAAGCTGTTGTTTTTGAGGACAGTATTTGTATTACATTTATTATGAAGTCTAAAATAAACATGTCACTATTTGGGGGTTGATAAACTTAGTAACAAATGCAAGCCAAGGAGTTCAAATAGTGATGAATAAGGAGTTCATAGTGATAGTCATTATAAGCAGACTGAATTCAGCTGTTTATATGGCGCACTAAATTATGTGACACATTGAAATACATAAATCTTACTTGTTCTTTTTCAAAGAACAGCATTGTACTCAATTTCTCAGAATGTTCAGGCAGCTCAGATAAAATATCTGTTCTCTAAGAAAGGAGGAAATGGTCATAAACTTAAATTGGAGGGAAATTATGGTTACAAATAGAGCTATTTGATGAGGCAGCAAGTTGCTTCCACTGGATTTTTGTGGAGGAAAGCTAATAGTTAGATAATAATTAATTATCCATGTCTCGCCTCAAAAGACAAGCATTAGGAAGTAGGGCTGTTTTAAAGATATCCAACCACTGGAGAGTGCAGGATCTTGACGATGGGGGAGCATGAGAGGGAGGACGGAGACTGTCACCTGCCAACTGCTGCAAGGGGCTGTTACTAAAAGCAATAACAAAGTATAACATTTCTATTTCTAATAAGGACAGATGGCTGCTTCAAGAACCTAAGTCCTTTCAGCCCTTGGCTCTCATCAGTGGTGATGAAATAAGAAAATTCACAGAATACCAATCAAGTGTAATACAATTATTCTTGACTTCCTGTTAGGTGTACTTTCTCTTATGTTCAAATCAAATTGTAAGGAAAACATAACAATGTAATTAAAAACAACGATCAATCATATTTTTATTTAACTAATTTATTGTGCAACAAAGACATTTGAATTATTAAGTTTTTACTCCTCAATCAATAAATCATTGTATGATTGTTCTGCTGACTGATATGATGATAAACTTCAACACACCATTGGAAGTCAGATTTGGATTGAACAGAAATATTGTTCTAAAATCACCATGAGCTTCTAAAGTCCTCACAGTCAGCAGACATGGCTTTCCAATACTTCAATACATCATTAACTGACTACACAAACACTGCCTTTTTGCTGACAACTGAATACAAACTGCATGAGAAAACTGTAAGGCTGGTAAGCTTCAAGTTGCTGTGTACAACGCCCCGGTCTTCAGAGCAGACACACAGCTGACACACCACTAAACTGAGAGTGAGGACTGAGGCAGAAACAAATCCAGATACATACACGGCTGGACTCAAGGGGCCAATCTATACAAGTCATGGGACTCTTACACTAAGCGGAAACTCTGTACCGTCTTCAGACTGCTGTGTAATCAAAGATCAGTATCTCAGTATGCACGACTGAGGCCCAAGCCTTTATTACTAAACTAATAATAACTCCTTATCGCTGAAGAAAATCTCAAACTGTCATCTTTAATAAGCTGATAATCTACGATGCTGCAAGTGGAGAAAGCCAATTTAGAAATGACTGAACTGTTGAGCAACACTGGGTCCTTTTGTCCATGAAGTGACTGACGTTAGCCAAAGCATTACAGTGCACTATCGGGGGGGATGAATTTAGTATTATCTTCAGGCAAATTCTTTAAGCCATTAAAAATTAACAGTGTCTCGTTATGGAGTGTAAAGTGAGTGTCTGGAGCAATAGAATAGTCCAGTTTTATCCTCGGTGATATAACAATCATCAGTTTAGTTAATGGACCTGTGCCAATGTGCAATAAATGCAGTGAAACCGTCATGTGGAAAACGACGCAAATCATAAGCTGTATTATGATTCCCAATTGAATCCTTCTTTCTAAAATACAATTACTCCTCTTTCCAATACAGTAATGGTTTTACTGCTCTGAAACCTCATGTCACATTGGAGTCACACACGCACACAAAAAAAAGAAGAATGCTGGAGCCCTCACTAAATCTGGTTACAGCAGGCTTTGGTGAGAGCGTGAGAGCAAGAGAGATTGAAAAATGGTTTGAAAAAAAAAGTATTTTTCTGTTGGCTCATAGCCACCCAGTGGGATCCACAGAATAAATGTCAAAGACTGGAGATCAGGCAGGTAGGTGAAGCAAAGTTATTGCTGAGTTGCAAGGGCTCAACAATTTGAGGAGAGTTAATTGGATCTGGAGGTAAAATAAATAAATAAATAAAGAAGTCGAAAGTAGTTGATTGATTTTTGTCCATAAAGTATATCCAACTTCAACAAGAATCAGTATTGAACAGAGATGTACAGTATTATCAGTATGATATCTGTACGGACAGATAAGAGCTTGAAAACTTAATTATCTTCATCTGTCGATACAAATATTCTCGCTTAAATTCAGTGCAGATAAGATAAAGCATTAATTATGATCACAGTGACAGCTTACATGCACTTCCATCAAGATTCAACCAGTGTTGCCAGATCTCCTGAGAGAAGCAAGCAACCAGCTCTATGAAAACAGGCCCAAAATAAGCCCAACAGGCAACCCTTCACATTGTGTAAAACAGGAGCCATGCTGCTAAATGGTAAAAATATATACAATCATCATTACATTACGCATAAGCAGTGGCAAAATTATAATAAACACAGTTAACGTTTAAACTTTGTATAACTTAAATTCTTTGAATAACTCAAATACCCCCACTTTTGAAAATAAGTTGCTAGGGGGGTCTGAAAAGTCTCTAAATCTAGCAACAAAGTCACAAGGTTGGCAACACTGTTTCTCTGTCACTCTACACTCTGGCATACATGAGCATGATGTGCTGTGTGTGTTTGGGGGCGAGCCGAGTACTCGAGCAGACGCGATTCAGGAAACGGTGGTCTGGAAAGGACAAACTACCTACCTCACTCATGCTTTGCTCTGCTTTTGTAGGGAGCTGTAAGACAACCGGGGTTGATTCATGCAGACAGAAAAGCAAGCCCAAATAGGCAACTACTAGTTAAAAACAAGCCCAAAAGAACACAACCCACGACTCACAAGTTTTACGAGGGACTTCTGAGAAAAAAAAACAAGCCCAAAGTCGCTTATAACGAGCAGACTTGGCAACTATGGATTCAACAGGTTTGCTGTGAAACAAAACTGAAAATAACTTTCTTGTGAAGCAGAAATAACAGGTGAAGCAATGAAACAGCCCTACTTTAGCTACTAGTTTAATTGTACATCTCAATGGCCAACACCCTGAAGCATCAAGTGATTCTGAAAAGTATGAGCATTGGTGCAAACCTGCCAGCATCCTTCAATTATTAGGTAATGGTAAACAGCAACTCCATCAAAGGTTTGAGGATCTAAAAAATGAAATCACTGAATCATTCTCAGATGTTTGTTTTTCAAATGATGTAACCAGCACCGTCTCATCAATATCGTGCACCTACACAAACCAAGTCAAAATTCCTGTTATAACTGCATGACATTATCCCCCATAAAATAAATGTTTTCTTCTAAGTTTACTTCCAGAGAGTGCTGGCAGGACTATGTGGTAGACTTCTGTTAACAAACATTATCTTAAATTGATTACATTTTACAAAACCATTCATTACTCTGGGGTAGGGCTTTTATCTTATATCTATAAAAATCCTCAAGAATTCTGCACGAATCACACAAAAACTATTCATCTTCAGCCTTCTGCTCTGTTTCCTTGCAGCAGATGTTTTTTTCCTTTTTTCCTCATGTCTAAATGTCTGTCTGATCAAGGGCTGCAACAGATCACAAATCACTCCTGAGCAGGTGTGGTGGACAGACATTTGTTCACTTTGCTCACAGCTGCATCTTCGTCTTTAATGATTCAGGGTTGGTCGATACTGTGGAGTGTCTTACTAACATGGTCTCTAATGTATCTACAAACTAGGATCGACTGAGGTCATGACAGTTTTGACACAGAGCCGACAGAGCTGTTACCAGTAAAAGACAGAGAAAAAGGACAAACTTCAGATATCACACTGACACTGCTCAGCAGCTGGTTGTGTCTTTGTCACTGAAGATGCATCAGGAAAGGTTTATAAATAAAGTGAGTCAGAAGCAGCGATAGAGAGGATTCGTACCCATGATGCACATGTTGCACATAAGTGACCAAGTTAACTTTGCGCCCCCAACTATTTCAGCTTGTTACAGGAATGTATTGCTTGTATTTTGAGCGACAGCTCAGATGCTAAATAAGGAATGTATAACAGATTTTGGATGAATGATGGTCCACCAATACATTTTCAACTAGTCGTCTCTTTTTCAACAAAAGCAAAATATGGATTTGTCTTAGTTTTTAGTAATCATTTACACATGTGGCCTTTTTTGAACAAATCAGTTAATATTTATTGTCATAATTTTCATTAATAACTTAAAATTGATGCGCACACACGATGGAGAAGCTAACGCACAGACACAGGAGTCTTTGTCTTTCATGCAGTAGTTTGAATCAGAGGAGAGTGCTTTAGAAATGTATAAAATAAAACAGCTTACCTGAAGACTTGAGGACGGCACCTCATCTTATTGACTTAAAATCAAAACTAAAAAGGTATGTTTTCAGTTTGGTTTTAAATTAAATTTTATATCATTAACTTTGTTTAAGTGTTTTAGCATATAGCTCTTCTAGTTTTAATGAAAGGATCGCCTTTTATTGAGCTATTTTGGTGCTCTTATTTTAGTATCTTTTGCTGTTGTTTTTCTCTCATTTTATTTATTATTTCTTAAATTTCAGTCTATGCTACTTTGTTTTTAGATTTTAACCTAAACCTACAGTGTTTCCTAATCATGAGTTTTAAAATGATGTTTCCCCAATGCGCACACTCCTTTTTCCATGAAATCAAGCCCTTTTTAAGTTGATGCATTCTAATACTGTTTCTGATGCATTTAGATCGTGGGGTGGGAATGAGGGGTTGGGCTGGGGGTAGATCTGGGTATTCTTTTAATCTTGGGTTTGGGGTAGATTTGGGTGTTCTTTGTTTCTTTTATTCCTTTTTCTGTGTAAAGCACTTTCTGCTACATGGTTGTGTATGAAAAGTGCTATATATATAAAGAATAATTGATTGATCGATTGAAAATCTTAACATATCTTGTTTTATACACATTATTGATACGTTTTCCATCCATCCTCAGATCACAACTGTGATCACAGACCAACTGTGATTCTCTGCACCACTTTCTATCCCACGATGGAGCTCCAGGAAGGTGAATGTCAAGAGGATGGTGGTGTACAGCTGACTCAAGACTTGGACAAGGAGACTAAATTGATTTTGTCTGGAAACAACAAAGAAGCAGAGTGTTTCAATCCGGACTCACTGATGTGACGTTGTGAGCTGCTTTAGATTCAGTCCAACACTGGGTTGACCTTAATGTTATTAAGAGGTTCAAAAAATGAGAGGAAAGAGGAAAAGTTGAGGAGCTATAAGAGGCGGAAAAGTAGACAGATAGATGGCATGCAGACAAGGTAAGGGGCTGACTGGGTATGATGAGGGGTGAGAGAATGATACACCAACTGCCAGGATTGGAAGATGAGAGGGAGAACGACAGATGCGGTTAAACAGAACTATAGATGACTCAATAAAAGGCTGCCAGGAAAGTACTGTAATGAGATGCATTTGATCAGAAGTATATCCAACAGTCAGGATGTTCATTCAGAGGGACAGGTAAGTTGGAGTGGAGTTCAACTAAAAGTCAAACAGAAATACTGGCAGACTGAAAAAAAGGAGAGTCGACAAAATCTGCACAAGCCAAGTGTATATTCGCCAAAAGAAGTAACACCCACACAAAGAGATTGCCAACAAAGTTAAGCTTGGAAACCGGAAATTTGTGGTTTCAGGATAAAAGCTGCAGTTACTTCAGCTTCTAACACTTTAATCATTTCTAGTTAAAAGGAGATTGAATAGATACATATCCAGAGACAACTACCAGCTAATATTTCCTTTTGCACAGCACAAACTGAACAACAGACTGAAATATTCCAATCAAAGTAATGAAGTCTATGATGTTGACCCATGAGCAGCCTCTCTTAAGGTGTCATTGGCTTTTTAGGGATATTTTGCTACCTAAATGCCTAATAACAGGGCCATAATTTAAGACACAAGCAAGTGAGCTCAGGTGCAAAAGATCTAGAGATAGGAAGAAATTACATGATTGAAAATGCACTGTGATTGATCGTAGTAATTGACTAAGCTGATTACCATAATGCCTCCATGGATATGGTAATTTAATGTAGTATGGATATACTAGACATTGCATTGCTGTATTTTATATTAGAAAATGTATTATTACATCCATTTATTAGACTGTAAAACTGTACGCTCTTGAATGCAGATCGTGTTATCACTGCACTCTGGTTGCAGCTGTATCCAGCAGGACACATGCAGCTGCCACAGCCCCATCTATTAATTGCTCTGCCAGCCCAGTGATGCCTGTTAGGGCAAACACGTCTCATGAGGAATGTTCATTATCAACACTTGCAGTGTGTTGCCCATTAATATGACACGAGTCTGCATAATATGCTGAAGTCTATAGTGCTGACTTTTCACTCATACTAATGGTGTTAATTAACTGTGCATGATGTATTAGTTTGAGCATGGACTATGCAGTCCCTTAAATTAGTTTGTGAATTTCCTTTGTGGTACACTTTGACACCACCCACACTGAGGCCCACATACTCAGCCGATGTCCCTAAAAAGAAAAACCACGTACCTCATAGCATCCCAAGCTACCTTCCAGACGGCTCCCATCGGTCCAGGCTGAGGTCCAAGAAGACAGGACAAAGGGCCCAAGCTTACTGGCACCCTGCTGTCACGGAGGAGCTCTGTTCTTGCCTCATAATTATTCTGCTGGCCCTGTTAAGAAGCCAGAGACTCTCCCCCTGCTCCATTATTCACACACTGCCAGAGACGCTACATAGAGGATCCCACGGTTGCATCATCTCCCAGCTAACACATGTGTCAGCGGTGGCACACCTGTAAACAAAACAGAGCAGGCTCGGAGTTGCACTTAAATTCTCTAGTTTGACAAATAGTTGTAATCATAGTGTTCTGAAAACACAACGCATAACATAAATCCGCTTTAAGTTGTCAGTCTCAGAACATGCATGAAAGGCATACATGTAAAAAACAAAGGACGGCAGAGAACATGGTAACCAATGACAAAATAAACTGTACTGCAGAGTTTAACTTTAAATTAAGTGGTAGCAGTCTCAAATGTGCTCACATATAATTACATGTTCCTCAGGTCCCCATGGTCAAGATTAGAATAGAAAATTAAGGAAAATGGGACAAGAAGCGGTCCAGATGGTGACATTATCACAAAATTAGTTCCCACATGTCATGCATTCAGTTAGCTGCTCATTTGAACACTGAAAAAGTATCATTACAAAGAGAAAATCAATCAGAGCCCATAAAATATTGTATGATCTTGATATGGTATGTTGCATTGAAGTTTACAAAAAGCCAGTGAATGAGAAGCTGATGTGTACACACAGGCAAAATCATGTGTTTCTGTACAGAAACCACATCTTAATGGTGTGGTACTCTCCAATTTATTTAGTGTTACTGTGTAGGCGTTCAGCCTGTGGGTTGCTTTGAGTAAACTAGAGGCCCCCAAAGGATCCATAAATCTAAGATAAATGGCTGATTCAGCTCATGTATTTGTGCAGTATTGTTTGTTAAAATGTAGAGGGGAAAAAAAAACAAATCACCAGTTTAAAAAATACATAATAATAATATATACACACAAACATGTCCATCTTCAGAAGGATTCAACAACATAAGTCATTAACATTAAGATGCACCATGCCTTTACCAATCGTCACCAAGGTTACGCTTCTGCTTTGGGGTTTCTATAAGGTGATCAGTGTTGGTCATTCAGTCTGAGTGCAAGGTAAGCTAAGTCCTGATCTTGCTTGCATTTCAACAGCCAAATATACCCTAGTGCTTCACGCAAGAACTGTGATGGCCACCATTCAGACCGTCAGTGTGAGCAGCACCGCTCGCATCCATTTCACAAATCGATAATCCAGAGAATAGAAGGCTCAATTACTTTTTCCAAAGCAGAGCCTGGTCTGTTCTTTCTGTGGAGAGACTCTCCTTGTTTTGGTGCAAAGCTTCTTTTTTAAAAAAGTTGTTGGGTAGAAGAAGAAACTTACACGGCTCTCTACCCAAGCCCATCTTTAACTTTGTTGACTAATCCCATTCACACACCACTTCGGCATTTAGACAGAGGCATCTGGGATCAAACCCTCAACCTTTTGTTGAGACCACCGATTACTACTGAGCCAGAGCTGCCCTTTAAATTTCAATTTGAGAGGCGCCTCATGAAGTCTTAGTAAATCTGTGTGCAGATTTCATATAAAAGTCCACAGTACTAAAAACCTGCACCAGATTCATGAAGACTGCAGAACTGTATGTGTGTACTAACAGTCCAAGTGTGTCATTACAAGCCAGTTCTGATTATGGTAGTGGGTCGGTGAAGCCATAAGCCACAATGTCAGTAACCTCTGTCTTCCACGGATAAACGGTTAGGCCTCATACATAAAACAAATGTAGGGATCGCTGGGGGCCAGGTAAAGACATAGCAATTAGCCAGAAAAAAACAAGCAGCTGCATGTAAATCCACGAGGATGGATTATAACGTGCATTGCAAGTGCTTGTCCACAAATCTGCACATGTTTTTTTTTCTTAATCTGGCACCTGGAGGGCTGTGAACAACACACACAATTATGTTCAAACAGGCTATATTCTTACCTTTATGCCAGCCATCTCTCACTGCTGCACTCTCCAAACAAGTGCCACCTGCGCAAAGAGCAGTCATACGTCCAACTAGAGTCTAGTTACTAGACCAAGCTACAACTATAAGCAACACACAAATTGTGATTTCTGATAACAACATCTTCTGTGCACTCAAAAACCTGGACCTGAGAGTCAGAAACTTTGCAACCTTAAAGACTTCTTGGGCAAAGTACAATACTCCACATTAGGGGTGCATGACTCTAACCCTGGTATAGGCCAATCTAATGAACCTCTGTGAGGTAACAAGTTGTTATAACTACTAGGAAGTCATTAGTTAAAATATTGAATATTAGTTAATCAGAAATGCTTTATCTTTTACAACAATGTGGGTGGCTTGTAGAATAACCTGTGGAGTGTCCGCTTACAGAAAATGACCAGGAACAAAGAAAACCAAGCTATTCTTCTGAAAAGGATGGAGAATATCATCATTATCAATAATCTTTTACTTAGTGACCTGTTGATTGTATTTCAGTGTTCATCACCAGGCAATCAATGAAACAACCTCATTAATTTGCTCCTGATCTAGCCAGAATGCTAATTAACAAGCTGCATGTACTCATTACTCATTTCAACAGAGACTACACTACAACTTGCAGCTCATATGTTTTAAAGGATGGCGATAGCATAGCAAACTATGACACAACCAATTTAATCAAGCCTCTCGAGAATCACTGTGCCAAGGAAAACAACAGATTACACTGATCAGACATGGGAAGGGAAACTAAGGAATAGCCGCTGTATTGCTAAGACAAAAAAAACTTCCAAGTAATGGATTGAAAGAGTGAAAAATGACAGAGAAGGTTCAAATACGCTGCCTGGTTGATCGTTTAGGATCTGGGTACTTTTTACCATCAGATCAGTATCTTTACAACAACTCTCTGTCTGAACTCTACATGAAAATGTGCAAAAACTTATCAACACCAATGAGCTTTACCACAGATGTCACCACATCTTCCTAATGTCACAGTGAAGTCTAATAGTTCACCAGTAGGACAGCAGTAACATGCCACACAGCACAAATATGGATCAGACATTGCTGACTTCATTCAGACGTCATTAAAGGAAACAGTTGACAAGTGGCATATTTCTTTGAATACACTGCATGTCAGATTGTTTGTGCAATTTTGTGACATGAGTGTGGTTGAATGTTGATATTTTATCTTCTTTTTTTTAATAGAAATTTTGATCCCTAACTCATACATTGCTGCATTTTCAGGTCTACAGTCACCAGTACATAATGTTAGTTTTGGAGATTTTCTTAACAAACTGCAGGTACACGTATATAATTTCATTGATAAACAGTTAAAGCCTGTTTAAACACGCTCTGATATTGATTCCCTTCATTTTAGTTTAATATTTAATATTTAATGTCAAAGGCTCACATGCAAAGCATCTAAAATACAAGCTGAAAGTTTTCTTAGTGATCCAGATGCTCATTGCAGTAACCTAGTTGCAAAAACAGTTTTGGCTCTCTTGGTATTGCAGAGTGTCACACATGAGGAAAGAGTGGGGACTGCACTGAAAGGGGTGTGGGCAATGAGGGGAAAGCATATAGGCAAAGGAGATCCTCCTACTAGTCATAAACAACAGCTCCATCTAGTGGGCCACTTGGATGAGTTTCATACTTGTACAGATTTAGGTTTGAGATCATATCTCCAGACATAATTAATATACAACTCTTTAGAGTCCACTGCTACAAAAACTAAAGACGGTCAAAGTTAAAACTATGCAGAATTTTTCTAAAAATAAAAAAAGTAGGCTACACTTTAGCTTGGTCAAAGAGTCTCAATGAAAAAATCACCATCTGGTATGTCTGTTCAGTTTACTACACAACATATCAACACACATCTTTGATCTCCCCACCCATTAAAAGTTAAGCTCAAATATACTTCACAGTCCTTAAGTTTTAAACCACTTTTTCACCTCCTGCTGAGTTTTCATGAAGAAGTTTAGATGCTGTCACACGACCATGGCTTAGAGATGATAGGAGCTGGACCTTTTGTTCACATTTTTGGTCAGGATGCTGTTTCCAATACCATTGGAGCAAATATTTGAATTTAAGCTAAACTAAACCTGAACTTCTGAAGGGTTTCCAGTTTTCCCAAGAGCAGAGACAACGCTTATGCTGAAGTTTGCATCTAATTCACAGTTTCAGATTTGCTAATTCCAAAAAGGCTCTGATCCAAAACCACAATACCTCGACTTGAATTTTGAAACTAAACTAAAGGTTTGACTTTGTTGAAACTGTGTTTCAAAAATATGTAGTCTCACTACAATAATCTTGTCCAGATTCACAGATCTAGGTATTTTGAGTCTGGATATGACCTGGTCCAATGTGGTCCAGACACAAAATGGTGAAACTGCCTCTTGTTGCATTTCACAAATTTGTAGCTAGCACACATTTGTAAAACTGTGTGTAAGACAGATTTCTTGTGTCTCTGGGGTAATTTGAACCAGATCACACGAATGTGATCTGGTGGTTTTGGATCTGAAGTGAGAAAAACCGCCTTTTCACATTACAGTCAAATCAGGCAAAGCTAGTAAGACGCTAACCTCAGCGGCGCTATAGAAAGTACAGTTCAGGGGAGGATTATAGTTGTTTCATACCTTCACGGTCAGCAACACAGGAACTGCTTAAAGGTTCAATCAAGTTGGTGTCCATAAACACTCACACAACAGTGGTCCTTTAGTCCTCCTACGATAATTCAACCCAGCTGCAAGAGACACCACTAAGTCACTTGACTTGCTCATTCAGACAAAAACTCGCTTTTACCTATTTCGCGGTAAAATGTGAAATAGCTAGTCACGTTTAAGTGATGAGAGACAGTCATCTCAGTTAGACAGAGGAAAATTACCTGGTAAATGTATGCTCAAATTGTTAATTCATCAATAAAGTAAGTTTGTCAGAGTAAATGCGCCATTTCTAATTTCGCCTGCTAGTGCGAACACTTGACAGCCCTGCGTCATTTAAGCTAACAGTCCGTCAATCGTCAACAATATCTCCAAATCATGTTGGAGTAGGGGCTACGGATATCAAATACACTTGCATTTGTTGTCTTTGAAAAAGATACCCACTTTAACGCGGTTAAGGTTGAGGAAACTTACCGGTGAAAACATTGTCATTTTCTTTGAGGCAATGTCGTATGAAACAGTCACTTTGCTGAGCGCGGTTGTGCAAGGGTGGCGAAATTGCTCAATTTGTAAAGCTACTATAAAATCCAAGATGGCTACCGGAAGTGACATCAAATCACCTTATTTTTACAGGGGTTTTTGTAGTCAGATGTGTGTAATGAGCCTTACCATTGGATATCCAAGGACAAAACATTAGCTTAGTTGGATTCTCCTTCTTAAAAGGAGTGCCATTAGTTTACCATCGGTTATTTTAATTTAAAAATTGTTAAAGATTATTTATTCAGATTTCTTAAAATCAGCATAAATCTGTTGTTCTTATAACAATTCATTTTAATAAGTTAAAATGTATGAATATAGGTTAAACATGATGAGCTGTGGATTAACCATGATTAATTTAGTTAATATTTATAAGACAGAAACAAACTGGATTTATCATATTTATTCATAACACATTGGGTTGATTGGTATTATTGCATAGATCTAATTCTTACTTGTTTTATTTATATTTGACGGAGTTTATTGGCATGTTTGTATAAAATCCAAGTAATTTAAATGGATGGAAAATTTGTATGCAATGAGGTCTAAATATTTCTGAGTGTAGTCAACTTTCCAGATAAATGACAGGGATGAAGAGTAAGAACATTATGGACACTGGTCACTAAAATATAATAATAATCTTCTATTCCAGTCTAAAACCTTTATATATTTATTCATGATAGAAATAAAAGTGAAAAATGAATACACACGCTGAATAGGCTGGATTTTATTTAGTCCACTTTAAAATTTTACATTTTCTGTTGAGATTTATTAAAAAAGATAAAGCATCATCAGCTTTGCAGTCCATATCACAAAAAGACCGCAACAAGGAAAGAGTGAAGTAGAATGAAGATGACTTATTAGGCACATTTTTCAAATGATACATGTTAATCTAATTGATGGCAATATATGTACAGCAATGATTTTAATTTGTGGTAGCACATGCCTGGGATTTCTGGATGGCCGTTCACAGGTTAGTGAAGCAGAGATCTATGCAGACATAAGGTCTTTTTTTCTCTCTGTAAAGAAAAGATGTATCAAGTTGACTAGGTGAGGCAGTCTATTTCCCAAAACTGTACGTCAGTTCAACTGAAATAAATTAAACTCAAGAGGGGAGAAACGAAGATTACCATTGAACTAGGGAAACTTATTGACCCGGGCTTGCCAAACTAAGCTTTTGAGTATAGCTAATTTTCCTCCATGTGAATAAAAATACTGAGCTAAAAGTGGATAGGACCATCCACCAAATGAAATAACTTAAGGAAAAAAAAAAGAAATGAATAGTTGTTTTAGTTTGCATTTATAAAGAGTACCTGATTTTATTCTTTCTCTAGCCTAAGTATGATACCTTTGCATAACTTATAGAAAACCTGCCATGTTCTTTTAAAAAAAACTCACAGTAATTCATTCATCAATCACAAGTACTGATGCCACCACAGACAGGCACAGGATTCTACCCTGCAGAATCCACATACCATCGAGTCAAACACACTGGATATTCCATACAAATAAAGGACACTTTTCCTGTTTATATACATAACACTTTTGTACAGTCTTTGCACTTCCATTATAACAGATCGAAACATCTCCACATACTAAGTAAATGGAAATTAAATCTTGTTCAGTGGATTAAACCTTGAGTAAATCCAAAGCTTAAATTGAGCACTTGGTTATCTGTGAAATTAACAAATTCAACTGCCTTTGCTTTGTTAGTGAAAACGTTATAAAGTTGCTGGGGATCTGGTTTGAAGGTTGTCTTAGACACAGACTAAGGTCAGTTTCAGCATCCCACACTGACTGTGAAAAGTGGTAAAACTGATATGAGAACAGTGCCCATGGAAACGTAACCCTCTTCAAACAGGACAAATTTGAAAAATCCCCAAAAGCTGCTAGAGTGTTGCATCGACAAATTATTCTGATCACGTCATCAAGTGATTTCACTTGTGCTCAAAAGCAACATTAAACAGCATTATAATTTAAGGAAATGTTACATTTGGATCAGCCCACTGGTGTCCGACAGGTGAACAGCAGAACTAAAAAACTGTAATCCAAAATAGGAGGCAGTGAATGTTCATTGTTTGAGTCCGCTTTACACAAACCCCATTGACACGTCCAGACATTCCACCTGCATTCTTACTGCATTCAGCTTATTCCTGGCACACACACCCTTCCTACTACTGTACACACTGTGCTGTACTGGGCCTGACAGCAGTGTAAACTAAACACAGTTGAGTGGCTATGAAGCACCAGTGGCCCCTACACACTATTTATCTTGCTGTAGTGGAACGTGGCAGCTGGACCATCCCAAAGCACAAACCAGAGCCTTCACTTGTGTGAAAGGCCAAATGGTTTGGGGGTTTGGGAGCTGGGCTGGTGTTTAGGACAGCAGGGTCACTTAGGTCCTTTGGAAGGGGTGTCAGTCTCTGTGGATTGACGGCCATCGTTCCAGGCCTCCCTGGTGCTCTTCAGGGCTTGTGTCCGTTGCTGGTCCACAACCACGTAATCAACGCGCTCATCTGAAGCTGCCATGCCAGTTCCATTGCTTTTCATCTAAGGAAGGAAAACAAAGAAGAGAATAGTCTTTCTTCATGAACTTCCTCTACTAATGAGCAAGGGGTTCAGAATGCAAGGGTGATGGACTCCTACCTTCCTAGGTGGGGTAGACTTGCCAGAGTCAAGATCCAAATCCAGGTACTCCACCTGTTTGTCACCTTTTGGCTTTACCATAGGGCTGCTCCCACCATCTGCTGTCATGGGCGCACCAAGCTTCATGTTCTACAGAGGTCAGGAAAGGATGTTTTTATTTAAGAACATGGACACTAATTTACTTTCCTAGTTAACAAAGGTCATATTTTAAACACTATGCAGTATTGTCACAATAACCAAAATTTGTTTGCCTTGATTGAACACATTCGTATTGTATTTCTTTAGCTAATAAATTGATTATTTTATTCACATACCATTTACTAAAACATGTCACATAGCTTTAATTTCGGAAAAAGTACAACAAAATTGTGGTATTGTGACAACACTGATGCACATGTTCAATCTACAGGTAGTGTTATTTTTCGACTATAAGTGGAGTGAAGTTATTAGAGCTAGGATGGTGACAAAACTAAGACACACTAGCTGAAACAAAAGTGGAGATTTAAAACAGCTAATAGTCACTGCAAACTGCACATCCAATCCAAAGTTCATAACTGGTGCTGGAAAGTAATCACAGCACAGCAAGGAACAATGAGTCCGCTAAAATTCTTAACTAACAATCACATCTCAAACTGGCAACCTTAGGTGTTCTGACAGGGCAGGCCATGCACATCTAACCTGGCAACCCTGCTCACCTCCTCTATGGTGTCAAGTTCCTCCACCTCCCTCTTAACAGGGGTGATGGGGACTGTGCAGTAGAAGGACTCCTCTCTTTACAGGTCAAGAAGGAAGTAGTGACAAAGGGGGAAAAAAAGAAAACAGCAGATGGTCAAGAACAAAATGCAGGAAAAAGAAAATGGAGGAAGCCAAAGCCCAGTGAAGCCAGAGAAATGAGGAGCTAGAGAAAAAGGAATAAACATGAGTGGTGAAAGAACAGGAGATCAGCAGACATTATCAAAGTAAACAGTGGGAAACGTTAAATTGTTACAGCAAGAAAAATAAGAAAAATGTTAATCTAATACCCCAACTGGAAGACAAAGAATCTCTGTGGGCAAAAAAAAGAGGTCCCATAATTTGTGGTTGATGTGTCAAACACTGTTTCGGGTCACTTTTGCCTGATCATGCAATCTTTACTGAAGGAAAGAAATACTTAAATTGTATTGTTTTCTCACCAATACCCAAATCACTCAAAGGGATCCTCTGAAATGCAGTAAAGGTACTGATAAGAAAAACATAATTTTTTGAAGACCTGAAAAGCCCTCCAAAAAGATTTGATAAAAAAAAAAGCGAGGAGAGAGGAAGAAGAGCAGTAGGACAAGAGAAACTGCCAAAAAAAAAGAGTGCAAGTGGTGAGGAGTCCGTCTGCGGCAATCAGTATTTTTCTCTTTGCTAACACTTGCTGCAGGATGTGAGATTTCTTAAGCTTTCAGTACAGCACCAACAGTGTAACACTGAAGAATGAAGGGAGTTGAAACTTTTTCTGCCTCTTATAGAGTAACTGTATTTCTAATTATGGATGAGATAAAAAAAAAAAACTGTACTGTAAAATTCACCATATCAAGATATAAAAGTATTTTGAAAATGACAAAAATCAATTAATATTCACTTTGTTGAAAGGAAAATAGACTGAAATATTTAGCAGAATTTTTCCACACTTCTTATATTTGAGGACAGTTGTGTGTTACATACTGGTTCATCTGTGGACATATTAGAGACCATGGCTACATAATTCTCATCACAGTCTTCGGAGTCAGTGCTGGAGGCCGTACTATGCACTGACAGGGGTCTCGATGGCATTGGAAACCTAGAGAGACTGAGCAGCATTCAGAATGTTTACACACCAACTTCCAGGCAAATAGAGTCTCTGATGAGCATAAAAATACAACACAGACATAACAAGCACAGCTTTACACCACTGCAGCTGAAGAGTCACTGCAGCACTAAGCACAGAAATAGACCTCATCCCAGGTAAGCCAACAAGAATGTACTGTAGTACAGGTCTGAGACAAATCCTAGACTGTATGAGCAGTGCTACTTTAGACAGAGTGACTACAGTAATGTATGAAGTGTTAGTGCTCTTTTCTTAAGTTAATTAGATCTACTGCAAAAGGGAATGTTCACACTAAACCTTTTACTATGTAGATTTAAAGCAACAGCAGCTGCATTTTGTGCTGGAAATATAACACGCAAGGTGCACTTAATTGGTCACCCAGAAATGTAGTGCAGTAGTTTATTTATAATAGTATTTGCTTTCCCAAAAAGCTAGATTCCTCCCAGTTTTGAAAATAAGTGTGGCACAGTGTGTCCCTTGAGGCAGAGTCTCTTACTTGACTTCAAACTAGTGTGAACAGGCCCTTTTATCAGTTGCTAACACAATGTACAAATACGCGGAACATTTGGGGTACTTACTCGCGAGCAAATGACCGTGTGACAGGTGAGCGGACAGGCGTGCAGGGCTCCTCCCATTCAGTAAGTGGTTTGATCTCCAGTGGAGCGGGTTTTGCTGAGGAAAAGTGCACATGCCAGTAAGTCACTGCTTTCAGATTTCACATTCTGTTCGAAGGGCTAACAAGGATGACAAAAAAGTTAATTATAATAATAAGTTAATCAACCTGTGTGCTTATATTTTGGGTTTTGGGGGCTCTGATTGGTTATCAGGATACACAAACCATGACTGCTTATTTCCTTTGGCTTCAGTTCATAAAACATTAAATCTACAGATTTCAAGATTAGGTAGCCACTGCTAGTATAAATTGTATGTACACAAGCAGCAGTAAAGTAGATATGGTTATTTATGTGAGTCTCTCTTTCATTAGATTCTATCAGCGTTCAATTTCCTCCTGGAGAGGCATCCACCACCTTTCAGGGCCTAGGAGTGTTTTCAATAATTCTGTTGTGGCTGTGCCTGTGTTTGTATGAATGTGTGTGTTGGTAGTGCGATATGTGAAACAACAAATGTAAACACCAGAAGGAAAAAGAATGTTTGGCGAGAGACTGTTAGTACATTTTCTGGTTGGCTGTTCACTTAAAGTCCCATAAGTGAGGGGATTTTAAAGGGCTGCAAAAATGGCATCAATTGAAATCCACCATGAATAAGGTGCACATTTATCCCCCTTACTGCTGGGACTAAAACTAATACAAACTGGATTAATCTGACAGCTCAGATAAGTTATATCTTTCAGTTTTTTTTCTCAAGCTCTGAAAGAATTTAAGTGCTGTTTGATTGAATTTGGTTTGTGCAAAAGTTGAATACCTTACAGAACCCATACACTTAGGAAACAACAGATTCCCCAACCAACAGCATGCAAAGAGTCAGGATGAAGTTAGGTTTCAACAAGTCAAAGAGTAGAAGAATTTCAAGACACAAAATAGCGGTTCGATGTGGAGTACCTACCCTTGCGTCGTCCCCTTGGGAATTCACCTACGGTTTGAGAGTCGGTTCGCTCTAAACCAACACCTTTTGCTCTTATTATTTTAGGACTCTGACCTGATTGGTGAAAGAAGACTTTTCTCATTACAAAATTTTTGGGTGATCACAACAATTCAGCCCTACAGAAACAGCTGCCCTGCCATGCAAAGCAAAAGACGAGACTTCGCTGAATGAGAGAACTCCAACCTCACGTACACCCAATCACCTTTAATGTGCAGCACAGTTATCAAGATGATGATTGTCATGACAACAGCAGAACCATACTGCCCAACATGCACCTCACTCCATGCACCAAGGCTTCCCACACAAAGACTGACATCACAGCTGTGCATGCACGATGAGCTGTGTAGAAGCACTACGGAGAAATCGTGTCATGTAGAAGAGAGCACATACAAGTCTGCAGACAAGTCGAGCTTATTGAGACAGCACAAAATATAGCTTTGTTTATGCTAACACCTGAAATGAACATTTTCTGCAGTGCTCACTGTAAACATAAATGTACCTTAACACCAGTGAGAGATAATTACTTTCAGTGTAATCACATGGACGCGTTAATAACAGAGTTAAAGCCGTTTGCTGACCCTGACCACACATGTCAAGCCTTCACAACCAAAGCAGAGGAGTGCAGGGAAGATGAACATAGATGTTAGTGGGTTGAATGAGTCCACAGTACTGCAGAACTTTACAAAGCTTATGGTCAACAATGAAATGAACTTTCTCAGGGAAAAACGCAGGAGCGTGTAACGTTCTGGTCATTCAAAACAAATATTAATCTACAAATATACAGAAAGAAAGGGGCTCACTGCTTCCAACTAGTTAACTTTTCTCTTTTTCTTTGGCAGTTGTGTGAAAACTATAGCAGCTACACATAATGTACTCCACTACTGGGTTAAAACAAATATGGACACAGGTATAGTCAATTAAAAATATTTAAATTTAGGTCTAAGCACTGAAAAGGAAAAATTGTATTGAATGGACAATGTATAAATAATGAGGAATTTTTCCTCTGAAAACCTAGAATGACAGAGGCAAAACTACAAAAGAGGCAAAGTAAATTATAATTGTTCTACATGCCTTGGATCAGGACCTGTTAGCTCAGACATGAATTACACTGATGACACCCTTTGAAGTCTGCGCCAAAATCAACAGAATTTTTAAAACAGGAGCGGATAAGGCAGAAAAAAAGTCCAGGCTATTAGAGGCTGGCTGGCAACAAGGGATGGGGATTTTTTTATCACTCACATGAGTTTTTAGTTTGAAATGTTCTGTCTTTGTGTACTGGAAATAAACTTAATGAATTTAAGAGTAACAACCGCTCTACTATTGCTTCGTTCATTTAGGTTAAACTTAATAAGTTAAGTAAATGACGTGTAACTAGATGGAGTCTAGTCTGGCAGTTAAATTATTTTGAGTATTGTGTGTTTTTCTCTTCATAACTTGTAGTCTGGCTCAAAGGATCACAAAAAAAGATTTTAAATTGTGCTGAGAAAGGTCACCCACTGGGAAATATAAAACTTCACAACATGGCCTATTTTGTTCAGTGACAAAAACAGCTCTGGCTTTTGGTTTGCCTGCATGATGACTCCCTATCCTCAACGATGTCCTTCAATTCTTTTTCTCTCTTTGCCCACTGCTCAGCTTTTCAATCTGCCCAGATTGTAATTCCCCTTGCTATTAGGTCTTTCATCAAAGAGGTCTATTCAGATGAGGGGAACAAAGGGGATGGAGGTGACCACTCTGGGCTTCGGTCACTCCATGGCACAGGGACTGGCCCCTCCAAAACGGTCTACAGGGCCTCTTGAGCTCGGGACAAAAGTGCTTTTGACAAGGAGCTTACTGTGCTGGGTGTAAGAGGATGTAGCAGGCGCTGAACTAATTCATCAAGAGGTGAAATAAGCTGGTTAAGGGAAGATGGAGGTATTAAACAAACCACACAAATGAGAAAAATACAAAAACAATACTGACTATGGCAACTGAAGTATGATAAACAAAGACACTGCTGCCAGAAGTGTGTGTAAATGGTGAAAATTTCTACAGATGACTTATGACCACAAGCCAGCTCTGTGAGAATAGCAGCTGAGTGTGAGACAAACATGGTCAGTAGTAACGCTGGTGAATATCAAGCACACTGAAAAGTTGTTAAATGCAACTGGACACATCGGACCACATCAACTCCATGGTGAGAATGCGACCAAGCAACAGAGTGTTAATAACTATGTCAAAGCTACACATGCATGCACTTACACTGTCTACTCACCTTTACGATCAGGTTTGAGGTTTCGGTCCACAGGTGGGGGCTGGCAGTCGCTGAGCATTGGCCTGCGAGGCGGGGTCTTGGGACTGGAGCGGAAGCCCATGTGAGCAGGAGGGGGAACTTGCTTTCCCAAAGAGGAGAACTCCATGGTGCCCGGGGTCATGGGCACATAGTTGGGTTCGTGCATGGGCTCTGGCAAACTGCCCGAGTGATGGTGTGATGGAGAGTTGGGGTTCATAGGTACGTAGTTCTGGTCGACCTCTTCTGTGGACTGGCTTCCCACTGGCATCATTCCTTTGTTTTTCTGAGAATGTGCAAAGTTCATGTTCACAAACCAGAGACTGACAGTTTGTATGAGGCTTCATATAAACCTGGGTTACAGGAAAACAATGACAGCGTTCAGAGTTTACTCTACAAAAAGTTTGTGTCAACACTCCATTAGCAGAACAAACACTCTCCACTCTGATGTCTCAGCTTTTTTGTCAGAGACCTGTTCTACTAAAGGTGGGGTAAAGAATGCAACGATTATAGATTTTGACTGTGCAATTATCGTCTGAGGAATAATCATGGTTTTACGATTATCACAATTATTATGCAGTAATTAATTTCACAACAGTACTAATGAACATCTATATAAAATCACATGAACATTTTTTAGAGATTTTAATGGTGGTATTTTTTGCTGTCAGAAATAATATAGTAATCAAATAATACAGTAAATATAGTTAAACAAAAAGTTGTTTAGACTTAAATGACATTAACTTCTACTCTATAAAATCCATGTTTTCACTAAGTCTTTGGGATTAGATAACCGCTATGTTTTTAATCTCGGTCGATCGTAAAATTGGTTAATCGCTGCATCCCTGGGTGGGGTACTGAAAAGTTGTGGAGACTGCAGATTAACATTGGATTAAATGAAAGAAACAACCACTAAAAATAAAGGCATGTAGGTTTGATATTATTCAGCATAGACTGCGCCACAAAAAAAAGAAAAAAAAACTGCAGAACCAACTTGTTTTACGAGATCGCAATAATTCTGAAACAGTCGATGGGAATAACTGAAGCAAAACTTGCAACTGAATTTTATCAAATGAAAACCTTTGTATTAATCTAGTAGTTTTATGAAACAATGCTATGGCATGTCCGTTATCTTGAATAACTGTATGTTTTTCCCAAATCCAAAATACAGTGAAGTGATGTTATACTCTGTATTTACACTGCTGGGCTAGTGAGATTACATTTCATGTGAAATATCCTACACTTGAAAAAATTATACAAGTGGTTGGAGAGTGCAGACTCCAATTACTTTCCTTCTTGGATAGTGAGCCCTTTCCTTGAGTGAGTCAGGAACAAAGCAATGTAAATAAGGACCTGGAAACAGGCTTGTTTATGCAGCAGTGCAGTAGTCTTTTGAAAATAGGTATCATTAAACATAAAGACGGCTTTCCTTACCACCCCACAAAGCTCTCTTAATAACTATGTCATGATTCTATTCTGTATTAAAAAGGGAAACGAGAAAATTCAAGCATTTTCTATGAGTATTGGATACTGTAGGGTTGCTGAGAAAAGCCTGAACTTGATTGCTAACAGAGAAATGCCCTTCCTAGGCTAATCTGTGCGTATTTGAAAAGGTTACGTCTGTAATCCATCAGCCGCAGTCACAACATGAAAATTTCCCCCCTAAGCAGGTAGCCGATGCTTAAAAGTGCGCTTGTGTGTTCTGCAGAAGTGTGAGCTTATGAACCAGGGACCTTGGAACAACACTTACAAAGTAGCTGTTGAAACTTTCATTGAAGTCAAATGAGCAGCTTTTGTCAGAGGGGAATGATCTAGGAATGTCATAACAGTCCTGGGATCCAAAATCTGCAAAACAAAAACAATGTTACCATAAACAGACATCAATAATATACTTACAATAGAACTGGAAGAAGTAAAACAGGTTTCAGTAGGTATTTTCTATCAGGAAATAAAGGCCACAGCACAGAATATTAACCTACACATCAGTGAGCCAAATTTTAAACCAGGTGAAACACAGTGTAGGCTTAATGAAAATACTTAGTTTATATGGCTCTGTAAAGATTACTTGCTCGAAAGTATGTTAGAGTTCGGCTGCAACGAGAGGGGCTCTACTGGAGCACATTACTCTTTTCACATTCTCATTAGGCACTGATGCAGCCGCTAATGCATTTCACTTGCGGCCACAAAAACAACATCAGTGCTGGTAAAAGCTTGTAAGGCAAATGTGAGAGTCAGCGGAGTAAGAAGACTCAGTGGGGGCAAACTATGATGGGGAATGATTTCAATGAGAAATGAGTCTTTGTACGGCCCTCAGGAAACAAAAACACTGTTTCAAAGGGGTCGTATAAAATCCTGAGCTTTTCAAATTTACAAGATCATACTGAACAAATTGCAGCAATTCAGTGGTTCTTTTTTGAGTGTCAAAACAGCTTTTTCTAAATAAAACATCAAAAACAGAGCAGACATAAACCCAATTCTGTAAGTGTGAAGAATACTAGCACTCATTAGGTGAACTATATATTCACTTTTTGACTCAGAGTTTTATCTTTCCATGTTAAGCAAAAGGTAAGACAGACAACCATAGCTCCAGTGACGACTTGAGACTTCCTTGTGGTCTTATTAACAAATTTCTTGCCACTAATAGCTCTGTAATAACATTTGTCACCACAAGAGGGGAGAATGAGGGGAAGAATAGATGGAGTTGTGTCCACACTTCCTCCATAAGTTTATTTTCTTGAAAAGAAAGTTAAAAATCCTATAATTTCAAGTTCTCCTGGCAATGGATGCTTTAAATCTAATAATGGTCAGTATTATGATTGTAGATCCTTATTTTAAGCTATTTTCATTTATCATTAAATATTATTTGACTTGTTAAAGTTAGATACTTAAACAGAAAGACTTTTAAAATGCTGAAATGTAAATATAACCTTCTGAAAATCCCATGCCTATATAACACTTTTTTAGTAACATTAACTGCCCTAAGGGTTAGCAACAGTATGGCTCAGGATATTCCAGACAAAATAGTCTCTGCTGAAAACATCCAAAGATGTTTGTGGTCCCAGTGTCACAATAGGAGGCACATAAAAACACATGAAACCTATTCATAATGTGTCTTGCTTGCTTTTAAATGTTGATCTGAGTACTGTTAGAACAGCTTCACAAGCTTTAACCATGTTCCCTGATCATCAACACCCTGCAGACATCTAGAGAAAACTGCTGTGTTCAGGTATGACGAGCTTTTGACAGATTGAATGGGTTGTACACAGGAGTAAAGGTGAAACAGGGATTGCAGCCACAGGAACATGCCAAGAGCGCTTGTGATGTCTTTTATCATCCATCACAAGCACGTGAAAAGGTTAGGACTGCTAGCATAAAAGCTGCTAGTCCTATTAAGCCTACATGATGGAAAATGTCACTATGTAAAAAAGGTGCAGCTAATTATGATAAGGTTTTAGTATTTCAAGATGATGTGTTATTCGTTCTAATTTAGCAACAGTGCTCAAATGCACAGAAAATCTGTACTCCAAGAATAAAGAAGGAAGGAAAAAAAAAGAGACTCTCCCCGACACAAACCTTTGCGGAGGCGCGAACAGTCCACAGTGCCAATAGTGTTGCTGCGTAAAGCCTTATTCCCAGCACTAGTGGGCACACAGTAGTTCCCGTCTGTCTCTGAAGCTGAGCGGGGCACATGATAAGTGTCTGTGGGTGAACGCTCAGCAGGGGGAGGTGGGGGTCCTGAGGTTGAACTGAGTGAAGGCTTTGGTGGTCTTGGAGGGGGTACTACATCTCCCCCTCCCTCCGAGCCTCCTACACCTGTGGAGGCCGACAGAGTGCGAGGCACCTGGTAGGTACAGTTTGCACCAGGCATAGGCGGGATATCATAACTGATGGAAAGGTTGCGCATCTGTGTCTCCATTGAGGGCTTCCTTGAGGGCGTGTTGAAGACATAGAGCTCGGAGCCTTCCCCGCTGTCCTGATGGGCCGGCGGGGAGGAGGCCGACTTTGGGAGCAGCACAGTGTCTTGGGAGTAGCTGCGGGGGAGGTGGTAGAAGCCGCTGTCTGTAGAGAGGGAGGCACCGCGTGATGGAGGCGAGTCGTAGATGGAAGAGGCGGAGGCTGGGTGCTGCGGGAAAAAGCCGTTGTGGGAGGTGTGTTTAGCAGAGGAGGTGGAGGAGGTGGGCGTACGGTGAGAGGGGAGGTTGTCATTCAGGTCGGTCTCTGAAGAGACAGACTTGGAACACTCGGCATGGGCTCTGAGGAGAAAAAATACACATAAATACACAATAAACAGATTAAAATTTCGACAGTTCGGTTAGAGCAACTGAGAAATCTTTTCAATCGTGTCAAGTCTTCACAGCACTGTCTCCAAGCCATTATTAGTCACTTTAGATCATGGCACACATCTTCCCATATGAGTATCTTTTTTGGTTAACTGAAGGAATGAGGTCCCCTGCTGATGTTGACTAATTTGGAAGCATGCATCTAATGACAAATCAGTTCAGTGTTAGCCTGTTAGGTAAAATAAATCTCAGTCTGTTCTGATCTACAATGAGGGCTGGTAAAGGTTGGAGCACATCAAATCTACCACCAGAAATCACTTTCAAAAGCAATGTAGACCTACTGAGAAGTATAAGTATTTGTGTGTGTCTCTTTTTTAAACACATGTGCAACACTCCACTCAAGCAAGCCAAGCAGTTCCAGCTGGAAGGCTGGACACTCACAGACTAGTCTGGGGAGGAAGAGTCTTGCTCTCACACTCCTCCAGGAGCAAATACTCCTGGTCTCCCCCCATTGGAGAGTGAAGCTGCACTGAGCTACACACCACACAGCAGAGACAGGGACAAGATTGGCAGTATAGATAAATGTACAAAAAGAATAAGTGTGTCTGAAACCTTACAAAAAGAGTATGTTACAGCACAGCACTTAACTTTCACATAAACAATATCAAAATACAGTATCCAAGTGGACTCACCTGTTGGGTTCAGGTTTTTTGCTCTCACAGTTGACCAGCCAAAGGTAATCCTGGGGCTCCTCTGTGCTAGACTGAGAGTCCAGGTGTCTCACACTGACTGGCTGATATGGAGGGGGCACATTGGTCAGCACTGCTGCTGGACCAACAATATTACCCAGTGCAGGGTGAGGGGGAGTATCCACCACCAGGCCGCTGATGACTGACTGATGAGCAGCTTTTGCTGCTTCTAAAGGAGAGAAACATGAAAGATGGAGTTAACTCTCTTATGGCCTTTTAAGTTCACATTTTACATCTTTTAGAATACCAATCGCTTTGTACCTCCAAGTACTGAAGGGTCAAACATGATTACAGGGTTTCCCTGGAGTTGATGATGTGGAGGAGGGCTGCTGCTACTGAATTAATTACCACCTCCAGTTATGACAAAAGAAAGACTTCCACTTTTATGGTAAAAGGCTTCAGCTCCAGGTCAATAAAGGCCAAATAATAAACACAAAAAAAGCTGCTGTCTGGCCTTTCATCTAGAGGCTATATGAAAACAAAAGAGGAGGATGATCAAGATTCATCTGACTCTGCTCAACAGATGTCAGCGAGTGACTTATCAGGCTGTTAATAATCAGAGCGTCATGAAACACATGTTAGATTATCGTCAGCAGTACAGCATATTTACTGATTTAAATCATAAGACTGATGTATATTCTAAGTTCCTGAGTAAAAGTCAGCAGAATGCCTCCTGACTATACTTCTCTGATGTGTTAATCTAGGTAGGGATTTGTTACTTATGTTGATTGGAGAACTGCACAAATGCCAAAGAGCCATTACAGCCATGTGCATCTTCAAAGGTTCTGTGTGTCATTAGAAAGGGACATAAAGATTGGAAAGAGCGGTATCATCAAACGAAAAATTAGTCATCAAAATCTTATGTGAAAATATGTTATCTTTTGAGGAAAATAAACATTTTAATGTATCAAGGATGCTTGCTTGAATTAAATTACAGATTTGTATTGTTGGCCTAGATCCTGGTAAAGGGGGACAACAACTGCAAGTCAAATATGATTAAAAAAATAAACCTTCACTTCTATTTTCATGCAGTGGATTTCATTTGCTCCATTATTCATAACAAATAGGAGTGATTTGATCTCTCTGGATGTTTTTTCATCAAACCCACTCCACATATTGGACTCATGAATGTCCTTTTTTGACAACAGATGACCCGCCTCTCTTTGACTGTATAATGACTGTAATACTGACTAAACTAGCGTACACTCTGCTCCAATTCTTTGCTAACCCAAGACTTCTTCTTAACCCTTCATCCTCCCACTCCTCCAAAAATAACAGCCTGGAACAAAGCGCTGCATTTTATTTGGCACTAATCGATGACATCATCTAAACGGCTCCATAATTCCAAGAATAGAGTGGCAGATGATTCAACAACCCTAGAGCCAATCTGGAGGGTATCTTTGGGGAAGCTCACTGTACTGGGTTTACTCATTGAACCCCCCACCCCATCACCCCCCAGAAAAATACAAACTACAGTTTCGAGAATCCAAAACCTCTTAGTACTTGAGTAGAGATAGAAATGGGGGAAAAAACATTGATACACTACTGCTTGCTGTACTGTGGGGCATGAATCACAAGATTTTTTGGGTTCTTCTCACATGAATCAAAAATTGGTCATCACCATTTTACTCCTTCATGTGATGTCACGCGTATGCATTTGAAACCTACAGAAGATCTCAAATATTTAGCATTACAGTGTTTGCCTTCAGGAACCCACACACTCCTCCTCAGACAGCATTTCCTCAAGGTTGCTGCTTTGTCACACTGAGTTTTCACATATCTGAGTCCCTTTCAGACCTTTCTGCTTGACCCGATTGTTGGAATACACTGAGAGCCAAAATGGCTGGTGCGTATGTTCGCTGAAATCTATGTTTTCATTCCACGTCTTTCAACTTTTTCTCTCTTTTCACAGTTCTCCTCCCACTCTCTTCTTTAACTGGCATGGTTTTATCTAATACAAGGTCCCCCTGTTCTCTTCTTTCAGGAGTGATTTTCTATCTCTATAGAACTTCATTTGCTCCTCTCCCTCCTCCACCTTCTTCTTTTTCTCCCTCATTTTTTTGTTGAAGCTGTAAGTGCTGATTCATACAGGTAAAGGAAAATCCCCTCTCCTAATGCAAGTGTTCATTCCCCGGCCTTCCTATTGTTCCCCCTTCCTCTTATATCTGAACAACCATGAGGCACTCTAGCATGGCCACACACGACAGAAGAGTAGGAGTAGACTCGCACAAACAGAGAGATCCAGGGGCATTCTTTTAGAGTAGAGCTGTTTGCAAGAACATCTGTCTTGGACCCAGTTTCTCCTTATTGTTTGTTTTCACATCAGCTTTAACAGCTAGTTCCAATAACCCCATTCAAAAGGTGCCTTGCAACACTTTCTATGTTGAGAAGAAGTCACAATACTCAGCAGAGGACGACCTTGGAGCAGCATCATCGGTGACTCACTTGCCAGGTTTGAAAAGTACATTATTTCATGAAAAAAACCTTTGTGGTGGGATATGTAAGACTGTAAATGAGAGCAACTTTATTGCCAGTTCTTATCTCACTGAAATACTACAGAAGACTGAGATAAAATAACCAAGTTTAAAACTACACTTTCCCATGCAAAGTGAAAAGAAAAAGAATTGGATTAGAGGGCCAGGGCCAAAGAGGGGCAGTGAGACCGACAGGCGCACAATGCTTTGATTATCCGGTACTGGGAACAAGAGTAACGTGAACCTCAACACAACACATGGATCAACACATGGATCATTAGACCTTAGTGAGAACTCTGCTGAATAGAGACCTTCCAACAGATTCAGCTAGTTTACCGAACACCCTCAGGAAGGAAGAGAATAACAGCTGAGAGGAATCAAGAGACCCATCAACCTATTGCAAGTAGTTTCTAAGCTAATAGAGTAATGTTGCATGATTTGTCTGTGGACAGCAGGTGATGATCTGGAGCGGCTAGTCAGGAATTTTTCTGTTCCTCCATCTTTGAATCAAGTTTATGTTGCATGAAGTTACACACTGACACGTTTTCAATTGAGAATTTAAATACTGTTGCTAACATCATATATTTTTATTTTCCCTAAGGGACCCTTCCCAAAAAGATCAATAAAGTTCTATCTAATCTCTAATCTATTCGAATCATTTTTCAGATTATATCTGGGAAGACGACACCTCATATTGCAGGAGTGACACATGAAAGTGGACCTACGCATGCTAACACACATCATCTCCTTTTACAGGATACTTATTCAACTGCTACCACTGACAAATTATGCATGGCACTGGCTCTTTTCTAGCCATATTGCTGTTCACAATGCGCTAAGTCCTAAAAGACAAGATCAAGATGTTTTTAAGGACTGTTCTCAGCTTATACCTTGATGGGTGACGTTACAGGGATTTTCAAAAATACATATATCCTTTCAACCTCTGAAACAATTCAGAGAACTTCTCCTGAGAATTTAGACCTCATGGCAAAAAAAAAAAATGCAAAGGACAAGGTCATAAAAAAAAATCTGTCACTCTCTGTGAAGTCCCCTCAGGTGGTCTCATCTAAGATTCAACACAATAAAGCTGTTTGGATGCAGTGTGCAGCAGTGATGTGGATCTCACCAACAAATGCCCTTCCTTACCGTCATCGGTGGGGTTAAAACCACAGATGTCACAGATGCAGCGAACCCACTTATTCATCTCCTCTTCAGTGTCAGCCACAAGGTAGAAGACACGGTCAATGGTCTTAATGTCGAAAATGAAGCTGTGCTCCAAGTCCTTCTTGTTGAACGTCAGCCCAGCATCCACCTGAAAGGACAAGAGATGTTTATCTAATTATTTAACATGAAACAAATCAAAAACAGTTAATGACTGAATATTTACCGCCTTTAAAAAACAAATTAACGAACAACAGTAGAGGGTAAATAGTTGCTTCTCTTGCTACTCAGCCGACTGTAAAAATCTCTGTTGGCAAATGTTTAGATAAGCATTCATCAAGTGACTGATTTTCATTTAAAACCAAATATTAAAAGTTTCAGTCAATCAAACACCAGTATTTGCTCAGTTTCTTCCTCTATTTGAAAGGCAATTGAGTATCTCTGCATGAGGAGAGGGGTTTTTCAAAGTTTGCGGTATCCCTTGTATATTTTATTTTCCATGTATTGATAGAAACAACCCAAATGTAAAAACTTGATTGAGCGAAAGGCACGACCAATAGGATTTGTTAAAAAAAATAAATAGTATATCAAGAACTGTGCAACTGGGTTACCAGACCGTACCTGCTCACACAAGTTGAGATCGATCACGCGGATGGGCTTCTTGGCATGGTCATTCTTGTAGTACTCCAACACGTCTGGGTCGCCTGTCAGACGGCCACTGCGAAGAACAAACCACCGCTTCTTCCATGCCTGCAGGGTGAGCAGAGAAATGAGGCCAAAGGTTATATGTGTGTTCTCACAATGACGGCTCCATTCCCAGCTGACCACAGGCTGGCTAAATGCTTTATTTTTTCAGTTTAGCCAGTGTGTTCTAGCATAGCTTGTGTCTCTGTGTGCATTCTCCACCAGCTGCATGAGCCAGAAGGAAGAGGCCTGAAACCAGAAGTATGTGTCTGAGATGACCAGAACAAAAGCTGCATAGTTTGGTCTAGCACCCTGGTTGGGGTGAATAACCAAATCTTTAAAAAGAAAAAAGCAGTTAGTGGATTTTTTTTTTTTTTTTTCCAGAAAAGACGTAATGCATGTGAGATAGGGCACCATGAAGAGACGGAGAAAATATGATGTAAGCAAATGATTGAAACCCTTACATGAACATAAACAAAAATGACAGATCACAGTAGCTCTTTCTACTAAGGAGATAGACAGCAACAGATGACTTATATCACATCTTCTCAAAGATTTTTCAGTATGCGATAACAAAGACACTTAAGGCCTCCCTGTGCCAATGCAATTCAAAGTACACAGCTATTTTAAACAGCCAAATTAACAACCCAGACAGCATCTGATCTTGTTTACATTGCAGGCATAGCATTCATATCACAGTTGTTGTTAAAAAGATAAAGAGGTCAGTAAGAGTAAAATCTCTTGTGTCCTTGAAAAATAAATAAGCCAGAGGCAGAATTGTTAAGGGTGCTAAGCTAATACTGTGCTGTGTTTTCCAGCTCATGGTGTTTATAGTTTTATTTAGAGAACATCCCCTGCAGCATTTCATTTCAATTTCATTGTGGAGTTCATGAATGCTTCATTTAGGGTAGTCATGGCATATGAACGTTTTGTTTGAAGACTTAAATAACCCTCCCTCTAAACACTAGCCAAGCTTGTAAGAGTAACTGCAGGAATTTATTTTAATGCATCCAAAAATGGTCATATTTAGAGGCATTTCTTTTGGCTACAAAAGCTATGAACGGTCACTTAAATTACTGAATTTCCCTTTGGGGATCAATAAAGTTCTTCTTCTTCTTCTTAAATAAAACAGTTTGGATTCAAGTTTTTATTTGCCCCATGCTTATACAGATGGGCATTGGGGTGCTGTGATTTTACCTGAAGGCTATGCAATAAACCCCCTACACTAGGGATGGGTAATAAATAATTGTTCAAAATATATCATCAGAAAATTCCTCCATGATAAATATTTTCCATCTCATGACAAAAACGATAGATGCAAATTGATGACGTAAATGTGAGCAATGGACTCGCAGCCATAGCTCACTAAGAGCAGAATAACAAACAAACATGGTCAAAGGTAATGAAGAAGACGTTTCTGAGCAGCTCGTTACTGAACAAGGCTCCACATGAGGGATTTTTTTCAAGATTGGGGCTTATATGAGTGCAGTCAGGTTTGTCTGACATCAGACAGTGAATCTGCTGCTGTTCACTCTGTGCAATAAAAGTTTTCAACAATTGTTGAAAATGTTTTCACATTTGAGACCTGTTCGATGTCATTAGTTTTCTCTGTAACCTGCCACTTAAACTTATGGTTAAGTATCTTATTTGACTACTCCAACTGGTGTTCTCAAGACAAAATGAGTCAAAAATGAAGATTGGAACTATAATATTTTTTGGGACTTTTATTGTTATTGCCAGTCAAATCTTATTGTGTTGATTTTTTTAGCCTTATCGCCCATCCCTACCCTACACATGAACACAAAGAGACACAAATATATAGTAATAGCAACATGTGAAAATAAAAAAGTTTAAAAAATGTTGACAACATAAAATCATATAAATAAGTGATAAAACAAAACTTTCCCATGACTGTAAATGTGATTTTGATGATGTTGATCTATCATTTAAATCATGTCGGACAAGGAATGTAAGAATGAAGAGGAATGCAAACAAAATTTCGTTGCTGGGTGGGATTTGAAGTGCATTAATAATGATGTGAAGTTGTTTGTATTGCTTTGTTATCTTTTGGCTTTTTTCCCCCTCTACAGGGAGTTGTTTGTAAGTGGTCCAGCCCTGGACGGGACAGCATGAAGAGCATCGAACCTTTCCCTCCACCAACAGAATGGAGAAACAAACAGACCTGCAAAGCCCCCAGATTGAAACTGCCGGCAAAACACACCAGACTTACAGAAATCACACAGACAAATAACACTGAAACAATAAACACCAGACACTGTATCACAGAAAAAGAAAACACTACTCACATCCCACACTGACATATTGTACTACTCACACATGCAGTGCGTTTCATATGCTGCAGTTCAAAAGCAGTATTATATAATCACACACACAGACACAGACACACACACACACACAGTCCAAATGAAGCTCAGACCTATTAAACATACACCCCTTGAAGCAGTTAAACTCAAAGACCAAACTTAACCATAAAAGCTGGAGTGAATGTGCAAAAACAACACCGATGGGTCTGTGCTGTGCTGATGGGACAAAGGATGGAGGGTGTGGGGAAGGAACCTCTCTCTCTCTCTCTCTCTCTCTCTCTCTCTCTCTCCCTCTCTCTCTCTTTGGCACATGACAAAGCAGTCCTGGGTCAAGTTACCCTGTGGGGAACAGAAGGACCCTGGGCTTAGGTTACAGTGAGGCCAGGCCCGCCCAGGCTGAGAGTGTTGATAGCATGGTAAGTTGTATATGCTGGAGAGAGAGGCAAGAAGTGGGACACTATTGAAAAAGAAGCACTACTCATAAAGTACTTTTGTCAGAGTTTATCAGTATCATAAAGAATGCAGTGAAGGAGGAATATCACTGTTTTTCATGAGAGGCCATTTTCTTTGAATAGCTGTTACTCTGTTTTATTGTTTTAATGATTGTTAATGTTTTACTGATTTATTATTATTTATGTAACATGTACCTTTACCTGTTTTATTTACTTTTTGACTTCGTATGGCTGCTACCTTGGTTGGGTCTCTCTTGTAAAAGAGATTTTTAATCTCAGTGGGACTTCCTGGTTAAATAAAGGTTCAATAAAAAATAGAGTTAGAAAAGAGCAGAGAAATAAGATTTAAGGATTAAAGAAGCCTCGCAGCTATTGGATCAAACTCAGAGAGCAGAAATGAACCTCAGAATAAATTCAATATTTGATCATTTGGCCTTGTCAAATCAAAGTGAGGGAAGATCAGTAACTGACCGTTAAGGACCACATTTAAAGAGGGCTGAGATTAGCAGTTTCTGGATGTTTACATTGTGAAACTATTTTAAGAACAGCACCAGACAAGAGTGATATCATAAAACAGTTTTTCTATAGAAAGAGGCGACAGAAGAATTGGTGTAGGACAAACACTCAGTGTCTCTGGCACTGTAAAACATTATCAAAAGGAAGAAATAATCATAAAGTGGTCATAAAAACCAAAGATAACAGTCAAAAAAGGAGGAAATAGATTATGAAATGAGACCAACTGCTAAAAAAAGTAAACATACAGATGACTTCAAGGGGCCAACATTTGCATATGACAGGAAAGAAATCTATAATATGATGAAAAAGAGGATGTATCAACGGATGAGGAAGAAATACAAGTTTAGCTAACATGATTCCTGGAACAACTTAAGAAACTTGATTACTAAAAAAACCTCACAGCTAATCTATTTCCTCGAGGTTCTTTTTACAATAAGGCAACTACACAGCGCACTATGTTTCACATGCATGTTATTTTCTGTGGCACAAGGTAAAGGGAAGGGGAGATAAAGAAAGAAAGAAAGAAAGTAAGAAATGGCAAAAGGACACGACACTTTAGCAGAAATGACAGAAAATGGCACAAGTGCAGGATTAAAAAAAAAAACTTGGTGCAATGTAACATCCAGTTCAGAGCTCATACCTGTGGAGCATATTAGGCCATGCCTAATATGCTCCACAGGTGATAGCGAGAAAGAGAGAGGTCCTTGAGTATATCCCTCTTTTTGAGATGTCTCATATCAGATATGAACCCTCTCATACCAATAGTGTATGCAGCCGGCTGGTTGCTGCTGGTGTCAATGATTATCCAGTGAAGATTTAGGGCTTTGTTTTTCTTCATCGTCTTCTTAGCTTGTATTACATTCCTTATAACTGTTTCAGTGCACACTGCAGATTCACATACTGTTGCAAATTAAGCAATATGCATGGGGCAACATCTTATTTCCTTTTCTGTGTATTAGTATTGCTTGTGAATAAAGCAGAGGTGCTACAGTTAAAATAAATTGCTTATCACTACTGCAGCTCTAAATTCAAGATGCTGCGGTTATTACCAAATGATCATACCTTTAATAGCAGAAGTTACGGATTTATCAAATTTTAAAGAAGCGTTTTTCAGTCCTGAAGATAATCTGCACCTATTATTTCTGCACAGCCACATTAGCATGCTTACAGACAGTAGCTCTAGACGACAAGCTGCGTGGTAGATTCTGCATCTCTTCTCCATCTGTGGACTTTCACACAGATTTCCTCATGCACAACTACGCACACTTGCACTGTTTTATACCACTCATCTCTGGCCCACATTAAGCACCAGACAAAATAAACACTTACAAAATGAAAACCTAGAAAGAGTAAAAAAAAAAAAACTCTTCACTGTCCTGAACACAGCCACCTACAAAGAGAGCTATTCTAATCTGACGGAAATGATGTTTCATTGACATGCACAGTGATACACTTTCATTTATACAAAAGACATCAGGGAAATGGGTTGAAATCAATTTAAAGCAGGAAGTCCCATTTGCATTAATCCCAAAAATCTGGTTACATTTTCCTGCAGCTGGGTAGTTAATCAGATTTCTCCTCTACCTCCCACTGTATTTGTGATCCAGTGGAGGCAGGTTTCGAGTATATTTGTGACGTTCATGCTGCCTGAGGTGTTCTCTTTATTTTTTCTGCCATAGCATCTGACTGACAGCAGAGTGGGAGAGCAGGCAACAGTATTTCACTTATGTGGGAATGTGTCTGAATTTTAAAAGCTGCAGTTCAGCAAAGACAACTGACATGTAGATTTATATCTGTTGTGCTTGTATCACTGATTTACTTACTTTAAAACAGGACTTCTCTACTCTGAGTAATCAATCAGCCTGTCTTTCAAACCTCTAAAGAGCTGCCAAGACAATATTTTTACCATGTGAATTTTGTCATGCATGCAGAATCTCACGTTGCCTTTTTTCAAAATCTCATAACTTTGCCAAAAAGTAGATTCAGTCAGTTACGTAACTTAACCTAATTTGTCTTGACTTGCTCAAGATTTTACAGCCTTAGAAGAACCTGGATCACTGATGATGACTGGTTTAAATGGAAGTCCATCAGCTGTACTGGAACTGTATTTTAATGTAATATAATCACTTACGTTGTGCTGATTTTGAAGCAATAACATTGCTTCAATTGTAAACTTCTAACATACCTCAATGACCGTCTCCAAATGTTGTTTTTGAGCTTCATTACAAACCTCCTCTCAGAGCTCATCAAGAATATATTGAGGAAAGTGGTCCTGCTTTGTGGTTTTTATATTCCATGGTAGCCAGAGTTGAATTAATCCTCACAGGCCTTAGCCAGACAACAAGATAGATCCACTTCAGTCTTCTAAAAACACCAACATATTCTGCTCTCTCAACAATCACTGAGCCCACTTTAGCTTGTGGGAGTCCAGTGTTCACTGCCACAGTGTTGGGAATGGGACGGCATGGGACGATACTGGACTGGGATGGGGAGGGCTCCCCCAGCATGGCAGCTGTCCCCGCCAACCCCTCTGTCTTCCCCCCACAACCACCACCTCCCATTTTCCCTAAGTGTCTTCTGATAGGGTGAGACACAGGAAGACACCCTCTATTCGCCCGCAGAAGTCCTACATCCTATGGGGGCCGGACAGAGAGGGCATTGAGGGTTTGACTAAGAAGGGGGGTAGGGTTAGGAAGAGATGCCAACTGAGTGGAGTCACACTGCCGTCAGAGGCCTTCTGACCCATCATCAGTGGAGCATGAAAAGGGCAGAGGATGAGGCAGAAGTGCATCAAGTACAAAGAAGGCATAAGATGTGCAAAAAGAGAGAGGTTTGAAAAAATATATTTAATGATAAAAGGAAAAAAATACAGAAGATAAATTAACTGTACATCCAGCGCTCTGGAGTGGAGTGGTTTTATTAAATATGTTACAAATAAAGACATCATGTCTCGGCACGTTGGCCACAAATCTACTCATACTTGCTTACTACAATTCATCCACCAGTAATAAACCACTGCACAAAACAATCATCCCATATTTTCCACTTCAATCTGCTGGGAAATTCCACAGTGGATAAGCACAAACACAAACACTATATAGAAGACCCATAAACATTCCCAGAAAATGACTGACTTCTAGTCTTGACACTCCAAGTATGCAGATTGATTGCTCATCATGACAGGTCAAAAAAGCCCATTCTTAAAAATTAAAAAAGCAACTCATCCCTCACCATCTTCAGTGCATGATGGAACAGTTCAGCATTTTCAAACACATGTTAAGCTCATGTGTCTAATCAACCTAGGGCAGGGCAATATGGCCTCAAATCAATATCACAATATATTGAGCAGTTCACCTCGATAACAATAAATGGACGATAACTACTCCACAAGCTGCTCACCCCCTCCCACATTAACGTCATCTACTTCAGCCATCGCTCCAGCCGCTACAACTTCAACCGCTCTTACAATAGTTTGAGCTAATTCATCAGTCCAAATATGTTTCTGGTGAACCATTCTGCCAGCACCACTCAAGCTCCACCAACCTCAGCTTTATGCACTTTAAAAGCTAATTGTGCTTCATGGTTTAGATAGCTTAATGTAGCCTAAAAAGCCTCCGAGGGAACTAATTGCTAATGTGCATGTGCTGTCTTCACAGGCTGTTAAACTGCATACTTGGAATCATCCTCTGTATCTCTAACGGTAAACGATGGAGGCGCGGGGCTGTTGGTCTCTTTATTACTGCAGGGGCAGTTAGGACACAGGATTGTGTCCTTTGACACAAGGACACGTATGAGTGTTGTCATTTGTACAAGCTGGTTCATGTATGCCATTTTATGTTGACACACGCACATCTGCTCATTTTGCACAATGAATGCAATGGACCAAAATCAAATGCAGGGCACTATTAACGAAAACACCACATCCACAAAAGCGATGACTTAAAAATCTCCTCTAGGCAACTTATTTTGAAAACCATGTACAACATAAAGGAAAAGCTAAAACTTTGGTGTTCTACAGGAGAGATTCTGTGTGTCTGTTATCTCATTATGTCGTCCCATCAGTGATTTGAGAGAGGCAGAAAAAAGAACCAATATTAAAGCAAACAATAAGAAAATGTTGCTTTCAAAATTCCCTAAAAATAGATGGTTTCTGTCCTTCACATCTGATAACTTGCATCACCTGAATCATGTCCTGCAGGTATCCAAGGGGTGGAGAGATGCTCTAAAACATCACAATACAAACACAACACAACACAGAGTGAACCTTCTTGTACAGCTGGTTAAACCTACGTGAATGAAAAACTAAAGTGTGCAATTTTAAGTCATTTGTAAACACACTTATTGGAGGACAAAACTAACTTTAGAGAAGAATTACAGTTATAGATACTTGACATAGCATTTATGACAGGTACAGCCTCACTCTGTAGCTTTACAGAATCCATGCAATACTCCGCCAAGGTCTAATATCCATAATTTTTAGTCACAAGTGCACAAATAATTTTTGACATTAGACTTGAATAAGAGTCAAACTCATTATGAGTACTAATTAAACAGCAAAGAAAAACAAAACAATTAGGGGGAAGAACTTTCAGACTGGTGTATTCTCCAGAAAAATCAGCAACACTGGACTCCTGAATCTGTACAACAGACCTAAAAATGAAGCTATGTGTTCTCAAGCTTTGGTGAATGCAAAACTGCACAACTGATATGGTTTAAACTCTTTTTTCACAATGCATGACTCTTTTCTGTGAATAATAAATAATGTTCTTGACAGCAGTAGCTGGGCTTCCCCCTGTTCACCCTTTGAGTATTAGCATTAGCTTAGCTCAGAGTCTGGATGCCTAGTTAGCACTTAGCAGCATGAGAGTGGTCAGGCCATCTGTCCCGTCTGAGTGGGCTGTGGGTAAATGACCTGCACCCCAGCTGCACTGACTCATACTGACTAGGACAGTCTCTCTGTTTGTTCAGAAAAACACAGAGCAAGGGAGAGCGCAGGGTGAAGACGGGGGAGAGAAGGTCAAGATTTTTGTGATAACAGTAAAAAATGTCACATATGACCACAAGACAACGACGTGGTTCTGCGAACACAGAGAAAACAGACCACCTTATGTGCTCAGTTGATAGGATTATGATTAAAAACAGATCTCTCTTGCACTTGCTCTATTCTCACACAGTCCTGCTCTCTCAGGCAGGAAATTAAACAGTAAGCAGCGTGTCAGTATTTATATGTGTACTGTTTGGGCAGTGTCATCAGAAAGATGCTGCGAAGTAAGAAAAATGTAAATGAATTATCAGTGCCTGCAGCTGATCTTAGCATTTATGTGGAAGAATATACATGAAAATGATTCCCTCAGAGCCGTTTCAGAGGATGGTTCAAACACTGCATTTGTTGCAATAGCTGTAGCTCATAATGTTTAAACAGCTTCAGTTAAGAAGGTCATACATCTAAAATGTCCTTCAAGTGTTGACGCCAATAAAAGGCCTGGAAAGGTATGCTTATCCAAGATGAGAGTACAAGAAATATTACACAACAGCAAAATCACGAGAGGAATTTTCTTTTTTTTTTTTTTATCAGGAATCAAGGCCTTAAAACAAATTCCCTCCATCTTTCCAGACATTTGAGCAAGGATGAAATTCAGGGAACGTAGAGAAAGTTTTCAATTACCCAAGCAAATAAAGGAATATTAGGTCGTGGCATCCTCTGACGCACAGAGGCTAAACAGCGACTTAATATATTTCCATGACACTGCAATCTGACACAAATGCAGTAAACAAATACGCAAGTTTGTAGACCACAGAGCTTCCCTAAGCCTCACTTGGGCAACCTCAGGACCGTAGGACTATTTTAAACAAAGGCCATTCTAAGAGAGGAGCATCAAGAGCGTCAGAGGTTTTGGCGCTCATGGCCTTGGTGACGAGGTCTGCACAGGGAGAAGGAGGGGAGGGACAAAAGCTTCTCTATGCCCAGTGCTACAACTTGTATAAATCAGTCTTTGTTAGCCAGACATGACTGGGATTCTTGCTAAACAGCTATTTTTATATCCTTGAGCACCACAGAGGGCAGTTAACACACAAGTAAGAGTGCATGGCCTTTGGCTAAGTGTGGCTGCTCAGCCAACGTCATCAGCCCTCCTCCTGCTGGGAGGAGAGGGGACTTCCATAACAGAAGTGCATGTCTGAGGTCCAGCAGCTAGTGGACAGTGGTTAAAGTCAGCCAGTTCTGCTATTAGTTGCTGACATTGTGGTCTCATTCATTCCCAAATGTTCACTGAGTGTTGTTGAAATAGGAGGTAATGCAACATAAATGTAAACATCCCCTTCCCAAGTGTTTTGAATCATGTTGCTGGCCTCAAATTCAGAATGATAGTTTTCATAAAACAATACAAACTCCCAGTTTTCACGCTTGATGTATTATCTTTGTGCTATTTTGATTTTCAAACCATCAAATCTAGTTTTTAATTAACATTTTACACTGTAACCAAACTTTATGGGAATCAGGGTTGTCGCAAAGTAAGACATTTTTGGCTGACCTAAGTACAACAGCTGGCACAACCCAAAACTGGAACATAAAAAATTAGGGGTGGGAATCACCAGTGATGCCACAATACAATATTATCGTGATTTTTAACATTTTGCAATACAGTGAGTGTTGCACTACGAAACATTGCGATTTATACATATTTTTTAACTGTTTAGCTAATTTAGCATTAGTATTTCCTTTATATTTGTCTTATTTACACTGTTTTATTTTCATGTAACACATCTTGCAAATCTTATGTGTTAGGTACATCTCATTTGTGCCCTGCTTACATTCCTAATGTCTTTCCCCAAGTGCTGCTATATTTGTTGCACTAACTTTTTACTGCTCTATGATGTCACCGCTGGACAAACAGTTGATTTTATTTTTCCATTGTCATAGATTTGACTTCATATTGACAATTAATTTGAAAAGATCAATCCTCGGTAAATGAGACGATACGATATATCACCAGACAAAATATCGCGATACTATGCTGTATCGTTTTTTTACCCACACCTATCAGAAATCATTATCATTATTGACTTCAACGATCAAACTGAGGCCACATAAACAACACTATTGCTGGATAATTTGGGAATATAATGTGTTTAAACAGTAATAATGTATTTAATGCTTGTATGCTGGTTTGATCATCACCTGAGCCATTAAAAATAAACAAATACTTCTTCTTTAATCTAGTGTCCGTCATACAGCGTAGCAGAGAACTGTATAGAGACAGCTTGGACAGCCATTGGACCTCACTGAGGGTTTTGAAATCCCCACACTCAGTCTGTTTTTACAAAGTCTTTTGAAGACATTTGTAAATGTGTTCAATTTTACAAAGTGTAAAATTATATCCTTGTTAGTTAATGCGATGATCTGCTTTTTATTCTTGAGATTAAGAGTGAATGAGCGGATGTTAACCTAAAGGAAATAAAATTTTCAGGCTGTAAATATGCCTTGTGGAACTAATGAGTGGTCTGCTATGGTCCAACAGCTTTAGTGCTATGGAAGCGAGGCTATTTGCATCCAAGAAAATGGTTGTATGGAGAGTTACAAAGCAGCATGTGATTTGGTGGTTACACAGTTCCAGCTATCTTGCAGCCCCAGCCTCCAAAACAAAACCCCAACTGTCAGCTCCAAGACTGAAAAAGTGTGCCCCAAAGCTCCACACAAAAGCAAAAAAAACTATTTACTCTTCAAGTAAAACATCCTTAATATCATATTCCAGACCTGAGAAACAGTAATAAGCCTACCTTACAACCTGTGTTCCAGTTAGAGCTGCATTCACTCCTGTTTGTGTGTTCCTAACTGTGACTAAGCTTGAGTAGGGTTGTTTATGTAGTTGTTTTCACTTTCTGTCTTTATCATGTGCTGCAGTGTGTTTGGGGGTCTGTAGTTGGTGACCTCTCCCTCCTCTAACTTCCTGTTCAATGTAATCAGGTTGTCCCAGACCCTCTTAACCGCCACTACTAAATCAGAGGGGGTGGAGCTATGGGGCCAGATGCATGTTTACAAAAATGAAGAAGGAGTTCACCCCAAAACATAACGGTGGAATCCTTATTTTCCTTTATAGGTGACAGAGTTCTTTGAGTTATTCAAGGTGGAAGTCAACCTGACGCTTTTCATTATTTTGGTCATTTTTACCTCCATCCTTCATTTTTCTTTTCATTTATTTACAAAAACCTGCATCGTCTCTCCAATCTCATTACTTGTTTCAATAATTCTGGCAATGCAGCTCTAACTAATGGAAGGTCTCAGCAGGTCACATGATCACAGATAAATCACTTTTCTTGAACTTTTTTTTTCTCAAGTTCCGTCAGAGGGCTCTTTCCTCTTCCCTGCATTTGAGCCTTTGTCTACTTCCTGTGGAGACTTTATGATTCTGTTTCCTATCTGCACTCTAAATAAAAGAGGGTCAGAGATGCCACAGCATGGACAGCTTCCTCTGCAGGCTTGTAACAAAAAAAGTTTTCCCTTGGCAGCCCACTGACCCCAAACTGTTCTGCAAGAACTGCAAAGATAGCTGGTTACAGGGAGTGGAGGTCTTTTCAGTCAGGGGATGAGAAGGGCTTACAGACTGCATAATACCCAGACCTCTCTATAATAATGAGACACTGCTGTGAAATAGTCTCTCCTCCTTTTTATCTTATCTTAGCATGAGGGTTTGATACAGCTTTCTCTATATTTTAGTAACCTATCAACTACATGCAGGATGCAATGATGGACCTGAAACAAAGTAAACACTCCTAAACACAAACAAGTGATGTTGCAAACTTGGGGTGTCCCGATACAACTTTTTTACTTGCGATACGATACCGATATTGTAGCCTTTAGTTTCGGCCAATACCGATATTGATACGATATCGGCACAAGCTTGTGCATGACAAGTTTTGTACTCAGCAGCAAAGTATTTTTTGGACTTTAATGAAAAATACTGCCATACAGCCAACATCACTTCTACTCCTTGCTACTTTGTTAGTACCTTAGTACACATTGATGTTGTGATCACGCGAGATCTGCATGCTGGATCCGGGCGCTACTAGCTAGAGGTGCCAGAGCGGAGTCTGGAATGGACTGCTTGTATCAGAGTGCTGATAATAGAGATTTTAGATGCAGGCTGATATAATCAGATATTTGTTTTTTGGCTGATATCGGACAGATATCTGATCTCAATATCATATCGGAACAGCCCTATTGCAAAGTAGTCCTGAGGTAATTGTTGCATGCATTTAATCTCAATAACAACAGCGTTAAGTTGTCCTATTTCCAGTATGAAATCTCAAACTCCTTTTTCTTTGCACCAATGGCAAAAATAAGAAGTTAACTACAGCATGTGAAATGAACAAAGTATAATAAAGCTACAGTTTGGGCTGAACTTAACATCACGGTCCATCTCTGCCGCACAGCACCACTCCCCTGCGAGAGTCAACCCCTCATTTCTCTCCCCTCCTAAAGGCAACAAGAACTAATCTTTGTTAAAGTGAAACATCACATCATTGCTTTGTGTGCGAGCGCCCCGTCTTCCCACACAGGTCAGAGACACAACAGTGAGTATTTCATGGCTCAATTCTTCCAGTAGAACCAAAGCTGAAATCCAGAATTCCTCAGAAACAACACATCCGCTTTTAATGGACTACAAATGTCGAACCTTGCTACGACACACTAAAGCCTTACATACTGTATGTGTATTATTGAACCATGTGTGAGTTCATGTTTCCAAGTATTAACACACAGGCTTTGTGAATTACATAAGATGTTTGTTATCACATTTTAATGACTTGCTGCTTCTTCACCTGGCTTCACAATGTTACAGTTTGATTTCATTGCAGCAAAGTGCAGCCATGGAAACACATGAATAATAATTTTGTTTTATAAACCAATAATTTTTTCCATTAATTTTTGCCTTTTCTGGGTAGAACAGCTGATGGGAGACAAGATAAAGGGCGGTGGAGAGAGGGGGATGACATGCAGCAACTAGTCAGACTATTAACCTCTCTAAATGGAGTGCTCGCTTAAACTGCCAAGTAAAGGGCGGCCAAAAAAAATAACAATAAAAGGTTTTGTTGTTGATTTTTGTATTTCAATCAAATGCTTGATTTATAGTACAGAAAATCAGGGTTCGTATGGACTAGGGCTGGGCGATATGGCCTCAAATCAATATCACAATATATTGAGCAGTTCACCTCAATAATAATAAATGGACGATAACTACTCCACAAGCTGCTCACCCCCTCCCACATTAACTTCGTCTACTTCACCTGCCGCTCCAGCCACTACAACTTTTAAGCCGTCATCCATCTCCTCACCTGTCTTTCCCTCTTTGATACGGACTGGATGGAGTGGAGTCACATCTCTGACATAGGACAGCGCCTTAAAGGGACATGGGACCATAGCCTACCTACACACATCCAAAACCAACTTTTATTTATTAATTTTTGGACACGGAATATAACGATATGGGCAAAATGATGTCGGTTATTGTCGTAAATTTTGGTATTGGTAAATTTTGAGTTTATCGCCCAGCCCTAGTATGGGCAAAATAAATGGTTGTTGTGTATGCTGCATGCCAAAAAGCTCTTTGACTCCATGAATGGACAAGGAAAATTTCACACTTTAGCATGACCCATATCATAGCATTTAAAAAAAAAAAATACTCTTCTGTGTGTCAAAATGTTTTTGCAGCGCACTTAATTTAAATCTTCTGCTGCGAAAGAGAAATGTGAACTAACTTAGGTTATTAATAACACTGATAAGAGAGTTTTATACCAAGATTTTACTACAAGAATTTTTCCTTGATATGCAATCAAACAACATGAAAAGATAAGGCAAAACCAACCTGATGGTCAAATTAAAGGGTTCAGTTAACAGACAGGTGCAACAGCACAACCAGCACTGGCCGTGCCAAACAGCTCCACATCAGAAAAACAGAGCAGTTGTTTTGTGCAGCTGGACATACACTGTGGAGGTAACACTTGCGCATTCCTACTTTGCTCGAAATAACCTGGCAGACCGACATCTGCTGTGTAATGTAAAGACAGCGTGCATGTGACCCGTGTTTAAATGTGTGATAAAAATAGCCAGATTTGTGTCTTGTTTTGTTCACTTTATCCTCTATTACCAAACCTTTTACAGTCGGAGTGGGAGCAACTGAAACTTTCAGCAGCTATCTACCAGGAAGAGCTTCTCATCCTGCATGCATGCTCATCAAAAATGAATTCATCTGTAAGTAGCCTCATGCTCAAGAAGAGATTTCTCCCCCCATTGTCAACACAATCCTTCACTCTCAACCTCAATCTACCATCCCACAGTCGCTCCTCTTTCATGTGCAGCTGTGAAATTCTCACCCAGCCAGGCGCCATCTGACCCCAGCCCTAACAATCTACGGTAACTGTCCAAAGAACACAGACCTTGGTAGTCAGACTGCTATCTTTGCAAACAGCTCACACAAAGACCAACATTCACATGAAAGGGCGTTTGAAAGGCAAACAGGTGTTCTACATTTATGAGCTTTAACAGGTGATCTAATAACAAGACCATGTCGTGGTTCTTCGAAATATTTCACTTCAAAAACTAAACTTTCTGGCTGAGATCAGAAACAACAACCCATCTGTTATCCAGTGAGACACTGGAGAAACTTGATGGAAGAATTTATCAAAGTTTTAACTCAAACAGAGCAGCAAAAATTGCTTTTTTTTCCACAAAACTTTGACAATAAGAAAGAAATACAAAGACTTACCAAAGTCTTAAGATGCACTAGATATCTTCTCTGAGGCCTGTTGGAGATGTTTTCTCATCAAACAACTCCATAGTCCTTTCAAGCTTTTTCCATTCGGCACAGCACCACAGTGCTGCTTTTACTCCACTATCTGAGATAGGCAACTGAGTAATTGCTTTCATTGCTGCACTAACTCTTTCTTGAAGGGCGGGGCCAGGAACTCTTAGTCAAGTAATCATTCAGTAACATTCATTCAATCATCCAAAGAGGGAGGGAAGACCAGGAGAGAGAGAGAGAGAGAGAGAGAGAGAGAGAGAGAGAGAGAGAGAGAGAGAGAGAGAGAGAAAGAGCGAGAGAGAGAGAGAAGGTGGGAGAGGCGGATGAGCATAAGGAAGTTATGGTCTGATCTGAATGTTGACTGGGGTTGAAAAATGTGTTCAATTTAATCATAACTCAATCTGCTATATTTGACGTCTGCCACCTTTAACATCAACATGTCCCCTCCCCCCACCTGCCCTCCCCACCTCACTTTCAGACATGTTACGTTCACACTTAAACAGTGTTCGCAGAGTAAAGCATTAACTCACTTGGAGCGGGTTTAAACATTAACATGACCTCCTCACATCATGTATGACTGAGGGGGCACAGAAGCCTCAGTAACAGAGAACTGCTCAGCACTCACACTACTCGCTTTTTCATCAAAACTAAACGAACAACCTCTTTCTGTGTTTTCCAGGAAACGCAGGGCTTTGTGAAACAGAGAAAACCAGAGAAAAAAAACACACACAAGGCAAAATAACATCCCTTGGTGGAAGTTTCCACTTTGTTAGCGCTTTTTATCTTCCTGGTCATCTGTTCCCAACGCACACTCTCGGCACAAAGATTTCCTGTTTCGCCTCCTTTTGTCATTGTGGTTGTGTTTGGGGGTCGGTCGAAGAGCTAACTTTAGAACTTCTTCTATATTGACATTTGCTGCGACAGCTAAAGTCTCATCAGCTGTCCTGAAAACTGGGGTTCAGACCCCTGTGTAAGCAAACTGACAGTGATAGTCTCTCCTTACTTTAGACACTGTGTGAGCTTGGATACATTGATGTCACCGATCTGGAGGACAAAGAGAGAGGGAATCCCTTTCCTGTTATGAAAAATAGATAACTAAAACTGATCATTTGATCACAGTATACTGTGTTGTACATCAAATAGACTTCGTCTACAGCCATTTAGAAAACTATCAACCTGACTCTTCATTTGATGGATTAAAGACAGGTGCAGAGTTGAGCAACAGTAAAGAATACCTCACCTGCAAACACTGCAAATTCTGCTATCTAGAAATAAACAACGATGATGCCACAGATGCCAACACATACAGTGCCCAGCATAAGTCAGTACAGCCCCTAATTAAAGTAATGTATTCAATATTTAGATGCGCAAAAGTACAATTTCTAATGTTTTGACAAAGCTGAGTTTAACATACAATTTATTTACCATAAGATGAAAATAAGGGTGATATGGTAACTAAAATTTAGTTTTGCTCCCAGAACTTTGACTGGGGTGAACTCATTTTTTCATCCTGATTTTAAATTGAAAAAAATACTTTTTTGTATGCAACTTAAAAAATCGTGTTTGCAATCAATGGCCCACATGTGGGTGAGTATTTTGTTGTATAGTCTGACATAGAAAATGTTGGTTTTGAAAGGGTGTACTCATTTAAGCTGAGCACTGTATGTCTATAGTGTCCAATCAGAATCTCACGTGTGTGCAATAACAAAAAAAGATAACAGGATCAACTTTAAAGCCAGTCATCCTGTGAGTTAACTGATTACCATACTTTTAAAATGTAAAAATACTCACAAAAGTCAAGTTTGGTCATAATTAGATAGTAGTGATAGCTATTGAGTGCTGAAAAGGCCGCTGGCATTTGGCTTTGGTTGTCTTCACAAGAAATAAATATCTCCATGCTGTGAGGTGCAGTAACAAAAGCATGACAAATACAAAACACAGACAAGGCAACTCGCACCTAAGCCTGCCTCTTAACCCTTAAAACAAAGTGACATCATACGACAGGCTTGAAAAGAATTTACACATAAAAGTTGAACTTTGCTCGCTCATTCAGGGAGACATAGCCACGAGATTTCTCACTGAAACGCAACGCAGCCAAAAGAAAAGCTGTCATGATGCAGGAGATGTTACTGCTATAATGGAAGAGGCAGGATTCAGGATATCCATGTCTTTGCCTAAAAGAGACTCGACCCCAGAAAGGATTTAAGAGAGAAAGGCCATCACATTTAAATACTTGTTTCATGACTCCAGGGCTTTAGTCTGTGATCCACAAGTACTTTGGCATCAAAATGAATGTGAGAGCAGACAGCGATGCCCTTGGTAAGCTGATGCCCAAAACACTACGACCATTAAGGTGGTGCTCAGGTTATACAAGAGTCAACAAGCCGCCCACCTCATGTAACCCATATTTCTGTCGCATGATTGCCCTAAACAGGTATCTACAGTTTGATTTCGAAGAATCATCATACAATGAGTGAAATGTCATTTTGCAACAAGTAGCTTGCCAACTATTTTAAACTACTAACACCTAAACTACCCAGAAAACAATTCAAAACAAATCTGCTAAATGATTCAATTGCTGGTTATTTCAAAGCAATTCATGACTTTTACCTGGTTCTGTAGAGTCCAAGCTTAGCATGAGTAAAAACGAGAAACATAGCGAGAGAAGCGAGGCAAGCAAGCTGCTGACCAACCACTGTTGTCGACTGAGTCTTGCCGTTTTCCTGCCTACCCTGCTGACTTCCCTCCCCTCCTCTTTACTCCATAAAGTCTGCAACACCCTGCTCCAATAACCCCTGACCCACAGGAAGTAGACACAATGGACTGAAAATAACACACCACCTCCCCCTGGCAACAATTGCCCACCCCAGCCCCTGTTGCACACTGCTTTGACACCACGCTACACCTACGACACACTGGGCCAAGGTAGGTGGGCAGAACCAAAAATACCAGCCACTCTCAGTCGAGCCGTGCCCGCATGCCTTTAAGTGTGCCGTCCCACCTCAGATTTATTGCAAAGCCTGTGATTCACTCATGCACATGCACACGTCATGACAAAAATGCCCATGAAAGATTTTAAATTTTTACACTTGACCTCAGATATTTTTAAATCAAATGGTTCAACAAGAGCCTGTGTGGCACATCCATGTAGCTCTTAGAGAGGCAGACGATTTCACAGTCCAGCAGGTTGTGGGTTGTATGGCAGACTCATGATGGTCCCACTACATCCTGTGGGGGGGCATTGCATGATGAAATAGATGACTTCTCCATAATCAGGTCTGAAAAGCATCTGTGGGTGAGTGTGTAGCCTATCAATGTTTACATGTGAGTGTTTGGCTAATTTGTCAAATGAGTCAACTTAAATACATTCTCTGTTTATTCATTATAAACCATTAAAGCAACCGAACGACTCTTGCACATTGGGCATCAGGTACTTTGTTAATTCTCTCTAAGTCCGCTCTTTGTGTGGACGTCCAACCCAATCTTTGGCCATGCAGTGAGCAGCAGCAGTCTAATCCAATCAGCACAATGAAAATTATCCCAAATCACATTTAGTGGCCAGTGAGAGGTTGCCTTAGATGTGATCTAATTAGCCCCCCCTTTTGCTGCAGTCTGTCCACTAGGAAATGGCTTGAGATACCATACACAGATAAGGAAATGGACTGTGTTCTACGCGTCTGAGTTTCCCCGGGTGTTACATAAAAAAAGGAGCACCAGTTACACAGAAAACCAGAATATTGACCAAGGTTTGAGTCCAGTTTCTGTCTCAGAGGAATTATGAATACATATGTTTTGATAAGATGTCTTGATTGGGTCAGAAATACAACAAGCTCATTCTGAGTACTGGCATTAGGCCTCAGCAGTCGAGCATGCCCAGGCTTGTTAAGTTTAAGACACACCTCCTTTTTTAAGCCAGTCACCTGAAACTGGTACACACCTCCACTCTCTATTGTGACATTCAGATGATACTGCTTCACTTTCAGTTGAAAGGGAATGTGCGTGGTGTGAACGCATACCTGGAAGGCTGCGCGCTGCATGTGTGTTCATGTGATTCCTGTGCAGTGATTCACATTAAGCGAAGAATGCGTGGAATCCCTCGTACACATTCATTTTAAGCCACCAATACGGGCAGCACAGGTAACAATGCAAAATATTTTTCCAACTCAACCATTACGCAAAGGGGCTCAAAACAGTGTCAGCAAAAAATGTCCTCTCTCTTTAGCTGTGGGCTGGATTCTGTGGGTGTGTGCTCGCTGGCATGCCTGGAGATCTGTTCTAACAGCAAGCACTCATTCATACTTAGCTCACCTGCACTCACCATCTCTAATGCACACCACTTCTCCCAAAAGATTTCATTTTCTAACTTTGACAGTCCATGAGCCATGTGTTATTTAACTAGTTCTGAAACTCCAACAGACGTATTTCAGTGTTTGAGGTTCTTAACTTGATGTTTCTGCGATGCTTCTGATTACAAAATCTATACTTCCGCCACCAAGTCACATTTTCCTCAGCATCAATGATATTTTTAGTAGTTCAAAAATGGAGGCTCCACAGAATTTTATGATAATCAAGTACAAAATAATCAAAAACGTGTTTAACGTGTTTGTGGTTTTACCCAAATGTATCCAGAGTTCCATGTAATGGTGCTGAAGGTCCAGCCTGTGTATATAAATGTTTTTCAATGTTCACTGTGTTGAGTACTCATGAAATATCTCTTAGTGTATCAGCATATCAAGATGACGGGATTAAAATCTATCATGCAACACTTGTTGCATTGTAATAGAGCGAGATGAATATTCAAAACAACAATCTTAACTGCCTTAAAAGCTGGAGAAAGTAGACTAGCTCGATGCCTTGTGTCCACCAGCGGCATTTTATGTTAGTGGTGCCCCAAGACTTCAATTCTAGAGGGCTTCTCACCAGCACTTACTATAGCCCTCAACAGTGTCTATAGAATTTGTTTTAACACAAAGTTGATATCAGAACTCCTGTCCCTTTACTTTACCTGGTCAGAAGCAACTATAAAAACCAAGGCAGTGGTCTAAAAGTTGAAAATCTTTTAACTGAAAGAGCTGAGAGTGCAGCAACAAAAAAGAGCTAACTTGAGGGCATTTTTGCACTCGGGATGCTGAGTGCTGAAAATGTCAAACCCCATTGGTTTTGGGTGGCTAAAAGGCACTTTTGGTGCAAAAACTGCCATTAGAGGACGCAGGCCCTTCAGATAACCAGTGTCATTAGTCTTTGGCTTTCTCCTGAAACATTGCTTTGATGGGTTTCACGGGTGCTTATGAATATCATGTATCTGCAGAGCTAGATAAGGCAAGAGAAACATGATCAGCTCAACGTAGTTGCCCCTGCTCGAGAGGACAAAAAGGAAACTGTTTACTACAAAACAAGTTCTATCTAAAACTTCAGCTATGATTATCGACTTTTACCCTGAAAGATGGGCTGTAAATCCCACAAATAACACAACCATAGCGACATGCAACATGACAAATTCAAACCGCTGTTGCAGCATCAAAATATTTGTCTCCATATGGTTCAGTTTGTTCTAATCAGGGTCTGAACATGACGTAGTCTAATTCTGACTGAGCTTTTAATCTGATTATTAGCAGAATAAAAGACTCTGCACTAACCCTGCTAATAACAAGGCTTGTAAACAAACAGCACTTTGATGCAAATGACGTTCAAATACAGAGTCTGTTCACCAGAGCATTTAGAGATCATTCAAGCACAAATTATTGCCACTTAAACTCAGCTCCATTACTTAAATATGCTCTCATAACGCTCTATATCGTAGTCTTTGAGTCTCCTGTATGGGGACAATGCACTCAGGTTGGCTTTTGGTGGTGAAAGTGAAATCCAGGTCACCAATAATTACCTATTACTTATCAGAGGAGGAAATAATATTAAACTCAGCACATGGAGACAGGGACATAGTGACTCCATTACACGTATTCTGTTTTTTAATTTTTTTTAATTCATTAGACAATATTTTCTCAACCTCCTCACAATATCAACACAAAAAACATGAAACCGCTGTTGGAGTTGTTTGATTTTCACAATTAGAAGACACCAGCTGCTTACAGATGAAACGCGATTCTGTCTGTCTTTGTGTACTTACTAAAAGAAGTCAGTGTTACAACCCAGTACACTAACACCACATTCGCTATGGCTCTTTATATAACCAATGGGAATTTTTGCTGAAAATGATTCCCAGCCTCGGCGTACTTAATAACTCTTGTTCATACAGTGCCCTATTCAATCTGCATACTCAGAGGACGGTTTGTAAGTGCAGATGGCAGCCCACTCTCAGCCATGAGAAGCAAAGCTGTACTGGAGATAAAGAGCGGCTCATCTGACTTCAGGATATGTAACTCCCCAAAACGCAAGTTTATCTCCTTCCCACAGCATCTCCTTGTTGTTTGGTCTTCCAGTTTTAATACCTTCTTCCCCCAAGATAAGCAGAAGGTCAAAACTTTGCATGCTTTGCTCCTCCATAACCTTGACAGTTAAAGCCTGTGCATTCTCTCTTCTGATTGCCTGCCCTCTATCTTCTCCTCTGTTTTCATCCTATCTGCCTTCGCTTCGCCTGCCCTCGCCAATCTGAGCCCTTGCACCGAGTCACATGCACTTGTCAAAGCTGCATGGTTAGAATTCAACACATTCCTTCTGCATGGCAGACTTGGTTCACATGATCACGCTGCTCCTTGACCGCTGACGAGAGGAGCTCAAACAATTCTTCTTTCAGCCCTGATCGGCCTCTACGCAGTGATACCACATGGTCAAACCAAATGTGTGCACGGTCTCAGGAAAAGACAAACACATTAGAACACAAACTGTGGCATACCATAACTTAACAGCACGCACTAAATCACCCTGCAAGAAGTTCTGATTTCAAACATTTTGAGACTCCAAACATCTAATATGAAGCAGATTCTCTTTTTCAAAGCCAAACCAGAAAGGAAGTTAGTAACTATTGAAGGGAATAATCTTTAACACTGAGGACAAATGAGCCTTTCGAGCTTAAATGCACATTTGAATTTTTGTACTGAACACCTGTGACTTCAAGCACTCATCATAAACCCCTCTTTAATGGAAGCTGCCTTTATATCTTGACTCAGTGTTTAGCAGAGGTGTACTAGGAGGACTGATTTAAAAAGCAATAATATAAAGACGAACATTCCTAATATTTATGACTTTTTACTTGAAGGATAGTCTCTTGCTCTTACAACCATAAGAGGGTACATCTGTATTCCAAACCAAAAAGAGAATCTGGGTCCTTGACATCCTTCCAATTTGCAATAAAAAGTCAAATAAAACAAGTTACGAACCTTGAGCACTCCTTGGATTTCAAACAGTTGCAGTCATCCAAAAGCCATTGGCTTAAAAGTGAGACAAAAGACAGTATAAAAAGGTATTCCACAGGTTTCTCAGACACTACCACAATGGGTGTAAAAAGAAGAGCAGTGTGCCAGGGGAAAAGTTCAGAGAAATGCCAAGAAAGTAGGTGAACAAGGGGAGGAGGACCTCCAGACTCAGAGCTCCCAATCAGGCTTGAAACGAATGCTCACTGAGTGCAGGGGTCTCAGCTGCATCTCTATCATTGCATGTGTGTGTGCGTGTGAGTGTGCATGTGTGTGTGCGTTTGTGCACGAGCGTAACAATGTTCTCTGGCTTGAGTCCAGGCCAAAGATATCAGGCAGCACCATAGTAACTCTAATGCAATCAGGGACAGTAGCCACAGCAGCACGGCTGGTGAATAGCAAACAGCGATCCATCTTTCTGTGTTCATTTCTGTTTCTTCTGAGGATCCCTACAACAAACCCGACAGAGAAAGTGGTGTCTGAAACCTAGTAAGAAGATATACTCACTGTGATTAGAAACAGACAGCCACTATTTTATTGAGGGTCTGTCTGAGTCACAGTAACTTGGGAAATTACACAGGTCAGTACCAATATTTCACATCTAGTCTCCAGGCTGACACCCCTACACCCCCTGTCTAAGTCAGCCAGTCCTCAAGCTGGGACAAACATGCACTCAGGTTAGTGCGTATACACACCGCAGAGAGCAACAGCAGCAGAGGGGGGCAGAAACTACCATGACAGCAGTGGGCTATATTAAGGGGCTGCAGACACAGCGGCTGGTGTCAGATCACACAGCACCACATAGCTGAAGTGCCAGCAACATGTGTGTGTGTGTGTGTGTGTGTACAAGTGTGTGTTTGTGTGTGCAGGGGCAAAGACAGGTGAACCTTTGGAGTTAAATATGAACAGATACAGTTGCACATATTTCTAATCTTCAAAAGCTAATCTGATCGTTCTAATCATCCAACATTTTTAACCTCGAAACATACAACAAGATACAACAAAAAGCTCTCCTGCGAAGTTCCTTTTCCAAAGCTAGCCTGGAAAATGAAAACTTTACACACATGCGCACTCCTTTGTACAACCTTTTGTAAATTACTCGGTAAAACCTGCATTTTGCATGTGTCATTTCCTTCAAAAGCTCACAACCAGTAGTTTGCACGCAGTGGAACTTTTCTTCTGAATATCTTGACATTTCAAAGCAAGAAATTCCATCGACAAAGCAGACTGCCTCACAAAGAGGAAGTTTTTTTAAAGGCCTGGGTCACAAGACTTCTGGTGCAGCTTCTCTCTTCAGCCTAATTTGATCAAAAACATAATATTTTTTTTCCCCAGAGTGCATATTCTACTCCTGAAAAACATGAAGTCAAAATCTAAAAACTGACACAACTAGCTTTAAAATTCTTCACAATCCAATGAGGTTTTATAGATGCAGCTGTGATCCATATTTAAATGGGCAGGAGGGGGGCAATTCAGCAATATCCACCAACACAGTGTAGCATTAACAATGCCAAGTAGCTGATGTCTTTGAGTCCTTTGTGGCCAGCTCAAGAATAAGTAGTGGTCTCAGTAGGCAGTGAGTTTAGGGGGCCTCCTGTTGGTGAGGAGAGGGCTATCAGGGTGAGCCAGCCTCAGTTCTTATGTCTTTTGCTGAGGCTCACCGAGCACCGCATGCACACCTCAGCCCCTGCTGAACAGGTGTGTGCAGACCTCGACAGTGACAACAGCTACTGTGGTGACAAAGTCCAATGTTTGCATGCTACTGATGGCCTTTTAAAGAGAGTCTGCGTCATGAGCGGGCTCTCAGACTATACAATTCTTTAGTGAGTCATGATTGTAAGTGAGTCACAGTGTCATCTTTTGTGTCTCAGGCTATGTAACACCTAGAGAAGCGCAGCGAGGTATACAGCCTGGAAAGAGCAAAATAAAAAACTCTGCATAGCTTCCTTTATCACCCTGCAGAACAGTGAAGGAAACCAGGCACAAAATTTAAGACATGACATGTTGCAAAAAAAAAAGGGATGCAAGCAAGAAAAAGTTGGATGTTAAATGCATAGAGTATAAAGAAAAATAGGGCAAGCATATAGGACCCCTCCTCCTCTCCTTTTCCCCCCGCCATCTGGTAGCCATCAGCGCCTCACACAGGAAGGGGCGGCCATGCCTTGCTGGGGCGCCAGGGAGCGGCTCCTCTTCCCTCCATGGTGCTGCAGAAAAAACAATGGTCCAGTGCATTGCATTGCATTGCAGACTAGCCCATCCTACCCTATAAGCTGGGGCGGCCAGCAGCAGCCCGGGACCCAGGCGCTCACACCCCGGCAGACCAGCAAAGAGGAGCACAGTGCAACCTCACATTCCTGCTGTGTGTGCCTGCCAAGAAGCACTGGGAACGGAAAGAAAGAGGCAAAGAACAGAGAGCTGCTCTCACTGGAGACTGCCTAACGCTGCTGCTTTGAGAAGCACTCCAGTCTTTCTCATCCCATTTCACTCTCACCAACAACGATGACAAATTTATTGATTGCCTTTGTGGTATATCCCAGCCTGCACGTCACTGCATACATATTCATGGTCCCACTCTGTTACTCTTCAAGAAGTCTCCCCTGGTATTGCAAGAATTCTGGGAATTTGCATTATCATAAATTTGGCCTTGCGGCTGCTTTCCTTTTATACTGAAACAACATAAATCTGATGGGAACAGGGACCCCTGCAGCATTCTTGATTAGGCTGGTGTTGTGCATCTCCTACTAGCCCCGATCTGTTTACAACAAACTACATGTAAACTCCGGACATAGAAAGCAGCTTTGTGACAGATTATTATGACTGCCTGGTGGCGCAACGGTTAAAATAGGAGAAATATTCAGAGTATGCAGGACTTTTGTGTGAAGGAAAAAGACTCTTAAATGCATGTCCTTTCGGTGAATAGAAAAGTAATCCTGCAGAGTCATGAGAAAAAGAACTAACAAATGATGATGTGTACTTTTGGCCTTGGCAAATAGTTGAGAGATTTCTGTCATCTGTTTTTAATAATAGCTTCACTTGAAATCTGTCCGACTTGGCAGAGTAACAAGTAGCACAAAAGCCTTCGTTTTAAATTCTAGAGAATCTGACTCCAATAACGAACACTGCTCCCAAGCTTTAACCGGGGGGGAAAACCAAGTCCACATGAGAACCAGTTCGGAGCAGTCCCCTCTATGAGCTGCTGCTGGTGGACTTGGCACATGGAACAGTAAACAGCTGCAGCAAGCAAAAAGAGACACATCTGTTTACAAAATGCTCCATGTCAGCCTTGACCTACCGATACAATACAACAATTTTACAGCCTCAGAACTAAAATAGTTTAAAGAGGGATAAAATCAGACATTCAAGCTTTTTGGGTCTCTTTTTTTATATCCTGAAAATCTTGTTGCCATTTTGATGTAACAGTAAGAATGCTGGTAAACACAAACAATGCAAGCTCGTGAGAAAAAAATAAAATTTCTCCTCAACTTTCATTTGATTTTGACTTTGGGTCTGAGTTTACGCTGTGGTAAATCTCTAGATTGAGACACAAGGGCTCAACAATCATCTTTGGTCGGACTCTATTTTAAAACTGTAAATAGCTGTGTGTTGGCACTGACACTTAGCTGCTCTCAGAAAAGCAGATCTGTTGCTCAAGAATCTGCATGGAAGGATCCAGTTTGTACAACAAACAGCAGATGACCTATAAAAAACAAGGAACAGCAAAAAAGTGAGGGAAAGTTTAACAAAAGCAGGACCTTCATTAAGTTTTACTTTCGTGCCCGTTTGTTTTATTCCTGTTCAGACAATTAGACAATCAAATCCTGCTTTCTGTCAACAGATGCACAAATCCCTGAGTATGCAGACTTCCTGAAGAGGAGGTATTTATTCATCTAAATATTTTTTTAACTTAATGATCTGTTCAAATATAATGAGAAACGTGTCACAAGATTACCATGCCCAAGCTTTTAGACGGCTCTTCTTGTACTGCCTGTTTTGTCTTTGTGGCTGTGTTTGCCTTTGTGATGCAATAAGATAATTTCAGGCTTACTACGTTCTATAAATACACCGAGGAAAATGCAGACCATGTTCATGTCTATTGTGTTCCTAAACAAAGGCCTAAATAAAGATTTCTGCTACTGAAAAACAACCGAGTGTTCACTTGAGGCTCTACTGACGAAATAATCACTCTGAAAAACGTGACTTTTTACACTTTTATACTTTATCACTATTGTGGCACAACTATGCATCTGATACGCTGATGTGTAACACAATGACAACAGTCTGTGTCTGGGACAAAAGTGAGCCAGTAAGGATAACTATTGTAGTAGCACAGATATGAATATTTAATGATTATTTGTTTGTAATGGACATTGAATAATTAATGGCACATGCAATCCATTTTCAAGCTGTAGCAGATCACACAACAATGGTCTGCCGGCTCCAAATGGAGAGCTGCAACAGTCAGGAAAAGATCCGGTCTTTTTTCTTTTTTTTTTGTTAGCCTCAGAGGCTAATGCTACACAAGTCCCCCTCTGTTGCATCTTGTCTGGGTTGCTTGTTTGTTTGTTTCTTTTAGCATGTGGGGAGGGGGGGTTGAACAGAGAGAGAAAGTGTTTGTTCTCTGTTCCACTTGCTAAGCAGATTTCATGAATCCTCTACTTAATCAAAGAGCTATGCCTTTGTTTTCGTTTGACGGCGCCTTAGCATTTGTTGTGAACAGATTTCTTTATTCTGTGCGTAGAAGAGTTGTTTGGAGACAGCCGCAGATAGAAGGAATGACTAATGGCCACAGTGGGGTATACAGTAAATGCATTTCCCCCAGCTGAGAGGACTCAAGTCTGGCTTGGAGTTTATCCTCAGGCTCCCTTTACAGCCATCAGAGGAGGACCTTCAGGGTTCAATATTTTCCTTCTTCCGGTCCACCAGTCTTTTACTTCAGCACTGAGGCCATATTAAGACTGCTTATCTGTTTCAGAGGGTACATGCAAGGGGACACCACTGATCATAATGACTCATATAGCAATGTGCACTTGGAGAAAATGGTCAGCTACGGTAATGGGGCTCAGCAAAACTATGTAGACTGTAATTCCACTTATTTACTCACTTCAGATAATGGTAAATCAAAAATGAATATTTTTCTCAACAGCTATGTCCTGCAGTATGTGATAACAGATGGAACTGAGCCTCACATAGAGCACACTGCACTAACTATTCCTACGCCAACATTGGCCCTCATTATGCATCAGGTTTAAGAGAAGAAGAACTTAAATTTGGAACCAGATTGAAGTGTGTCACTCTGACAGATGACTACTGCAGGGCTTAAGCCACACCTCTTAAATAAATAGTTATTAGGAATAGGAATGCCACAAATGACTATTTTAATAATCGACTAGTCACCGACTATTTTTGCGATAAGTCGACTAATCGGATCATATGTAAATTGCTGCTTATTGCACCAGCATGCAGCTGCTCTAAAATAACCCTCATTAGCTTCCAGCTTTAAGTGTCTAAGGTATGTGTGAAGGTTAATGAAATCGTCATTGTTGATGTTAGTATGATGAGCTCACTGTCGAGGTTAATGTTAGCAGCCAACCAGCCAGTTAGCTTACAGAGACGACTGTACCTCTTCATCAGAAACTGAATCAGCTATGACACGCTTCCTTTTCAGATGTGTGTGCATCGCTGTCGTGTTGTCATGGAAGGGCAACTTCTGTCTTGCAGATTTTGAATTGCACATGTTTCTCTTTTATTTTTTGAAAAATACTCCCAAAATTTTCAGCTCTGTTAATGGCTGGCCATGATTCTGTTTGGGCATAACTTTTCTGGCGACATCACGGCTGACCAGGATTACCACTACTGAGCATGAGCGTCGAAGACAGACAGAGACAAGTGAGACAAGACAGTGGAAGGCACAACGGCAGTTTTGAGAGAAAACCAAAGCTTAAAAAAAAAAAGACATAAATTATTTTAATAGTTGACATTGTCGTGACTAGTCGACTAATCTTGGCAGCCCTGATTAGGAATACTGGGTTGGGGGAATTTCCATGTTACTGGGTCACACTCCTTTAATTATGGCAGTATATTTCTGACACTATGAAATACTGCATATGCTCAGTTTCTTACAAGATCTTTTGGTTGTTATAATAATAGCCAATATTTTCTATTCCAATGAATTTCATGTTGTTGATGCTTAGTTTGCTGTCACCCACCTATTACTGCACATAAGCTGCATCTACAGTGCAACTCTTTTGCATGTTGGGTCAAGGGCTGTTGGCTGTTTCGACAGGCTAAGGTGAAGAGGTCACTAGTGTATCTCAGGGCTAATGCCAGTAGACAGATTAAAGATTAAAAACTGTATGTTTATCTGTACATAAATAAGTGGGTGGCAGTATGTGTTATTTAATTTACCACATATATTAGATAAGGGTAAAGCCTCTTAGGGCATTGTATGAGGTCAGGAAGGTCAGAAAGTATTGGATAGAGGTCAGGACACTATGCTTTGGTGCTGATGAGTGAGAGAGGAATAAAGGGACAGAGAGAGACAAAAAGAGAGAGAGAGAGAAGTTGAACCAAATGTGCACTTTAGAACACCATCATCCTTTATGTCAAGCTCCTGGCCTTGTGAGTATTGTTCACGCTGTCAGGGGGTGGCAGTGGGAGGTGAGGGGACGTCCATTCTTGTCAGATACTTCAACATCTCTTTGGTACAGTATCCCTTCACTGCCTGGCCAGAGACGATCATTTATTCCAAACCCAAATATTACACCTCGGAAGGAACGTAACAAAATCTTGTTGTACAGAAAGAACGCTCTAGGGAAGTGTCTCTTCAGGCTGTCAAAGACCTCTCTTTATGTTGATGAATATTGTATGAACAAAGAGGAAGTTTTGCAGTGTATGTGATGTATTGTCTTCGTTTTGCAAGGTACTACCACTCCTTTAAAGACAATTGGCTGATAACAACCTAGCACTTCCATAGGTCAGTGTGACAACACACTTCACATGTTTTTAAGATACCGGTCTACAAGCTGTCTCTTTGAAGTTTCTACATGTGGACTTCCAGAGAAATTCACAGAACGAAAGGTTTGAGAAACGAAAGCAAAAAAGGAGAACCAGATGGAAAATGCAGTGTCAATGAAATGGAAAGCCACAGAAAATAAAGTTATTTCAAAATCTGTCTGAGAAAGTTCCCACAAAGAGAGAGAGGTTGGATGCTTTCATGCTGCTCTGATATGAGACATTGATTACCGGGAAGTGTTGAGTCTTTCTTACAGGATTTAGAGGGGGCTTTTTAAGAGAAGTCCAAATAGATTTTTACAATCAAAATAAAATATCTTATCTGTCTTTTCTCTAAAAGGACACCACGGGAGTGCCATTAAAAGGAAACTGTAAAAATTGGAACAATCAGGACAAAAGAATGAACTGCATTTTGTTTCACACAGAAAAGTTGGCCCTATCAATAAAACTCTGACGGTTGATCAACATGGGGTTGACACAGGAGTTTTGAATATTCTGTTCTCAAATTTAGTTCACTGAAAAGAAATAAGGGGGCAACATTTCTAATCCTGTAATGGTCTGGCTCGTTCAGATAATGGCAAGACAGCTGAACTGTGCCCACCTTTGAGCTCCAGTGATCAGCAGCAGAGCCTGCATGGGCAAACTTTGCCCCGAGTGGGTAATCGGGTAGGCAGGATCCCCGGCTTCCCATCTGAACTGCTCAGTCTAGAGCCGAGTGCAAGGTAAATAGTAAATAGTCATCTTTGGAGGGATGTAATTAGTCAACATAGAAAAGAACCAGCAGAAATATTAGAGCTAAAAGTATTGTTTACTCTGTAATTGGGACAATATTAAAAAGATTCAGCCACAAAACATTGAAACTATTTTACAACTTGAAAATTAAGGAAAGCAGGTGATGGGTCTAAAAAAGTGTTGTCTAGATAAACTAATAATTAATATTTCTTATCATGGTGGGCCCCCTGTGTCAAATATATGTTGTGTCAGAGGCTACCCACTGCTAGCCGAGGCTGAAGCTACAGTTATTGATAAATGCCATAATGCACTACTACCCGGATGTAAACAGACAGAGATGACTGATGGTATCCTGTAGTTGTGAATATGTAGGCTTTTTCCAGAGGAGCATTGAGAAAATCGGTCACTTCTGAGTAGTGGTGCAAAGCCTCACAATGGCTCCCGGAGTCTTTTATGACCCACTGCACCTCGATTCAGAACATCTCTACTCAGAAGGAAGTTTCGGTGCAGACGAAACCTTCGGGTCACGGCCCAGGAGAAACAAATCTGACAGCTAAGTTTCTTGTTCTTCTGGAGTTCACCTCTGATCTTTGATTTATATGATCCCGACTGAATGCAGGTTACTCACCCTTACGATCAGAAACTATGGTGATTTTGGTTTCCAGAGAAATAACTGGAAGCAGCAGATTTCAGTCCGTGTTCCAGTGATACGGAAACAGCATCATCTGATATGGCCACAAGATTTTTATGGCTTCAATCCAGGGTGTTAATCACAAGCTATCCACACTGAGCAAACAGACCAAATCATATGATAGCCACTGAACACAACGCTCTTCTCCAACCGCCATCAGCCACAGGTATTTCAAAGCAAAACTGCACAGCACCTGATGAATTCACTCTGCAAGGACAGAATAAACATCTCCTAATATGTTGGTATTGGAGCCTCAATGTGATCCAGGTACAGATCTATTTACAAACAATATTGTTCCCTAATTTGAGAAGATGATATTATACATCTATCTCACTAATCCTTGTCAGCCTGAAACCACAGTTCCTCATTAACAGCTGCATGATTTATGTTTTTGCAGAGTTAACTTTTTTCCTGTTTGTTTTATTTTAGGCATCGACTGGTTGAAGAATTTGTCATCCACCGAAAATAGTAAAGTAAGCACTTCCATTGGTTACACAGCTTCATGTGACACAGCACCATGATCTGTCACAGAGAGGGAATCTTGTCTGGTCAGCCCCCTTTTTCAAACATGTGTATTTTTAGATTTGAGTGAGTGCTAGGCAGCTTGATGAAAGAGTTTTGTGAACTTTCGTATGTTTTTTGTGTTACCATTGTCCTATCCTTTCTAGGTGATGTAACCTATGACAACTTAGCATCGTATAATGACAAACAAGCAACAAACCCACAGTGTGAACATTCTCTCTCTCTCTCGCTCAAGAAAAGTAACCAAAAAAAAAAAAAAAGCCTGAAGACTCAACTGCTTTTTGTTTGTTTTGGAAAAAAAAACTCTGAACTATTCAAAATCTTCTTTCCAAACCATCATCAGAGCAGTTCCCATGCTTCTTACAACACACTGTGTGTTAGCCCCCTGGCTATTCTATGCTTTGGTTATTGAACTGGAGCAGCACGCTGAGCCATATCCCCCTGAGAACAATTAAGTCATACACCAGCTTTTGTTTTCTGAAAGGGAACAATTCTGGTTCAATATAGCTTACACTTAGCTTTGGAGATCACTGTAAGTAATAAAGAAGTTAGTGCATCCTGGGATGAGAATGTGAACTTTTAAGCACCAAATACACAATCGTCCTGGTGACCTCTGATTCAAAATATAGCAGGTTTACTAAAAAAGTCTTATGAATAGAGTTACTAGGCTGTAAATAAATTAAAACAATAAATATATGTACTCAATATAGGTAATAAGAAAAACCCAAATTCAACCAGATCCTAGTCTGTTCTGATCTTGAGACGGTCCTGTGAAAACCTGTCTTTGTGGCTGGATTTTCTTGTATTCCTTTTAGAGTATAGACCACATTGAATGTGTGGTTTCTGCAAAACCAACCTTCCTCTCAAGTTGCTGGCCTTGTAATTCAAATATCAATAACAGTGATATCAACTGATCCACAAGGAAAGCACCAAGACTTGACAGTTCATGTACTGCTGAAGTTGTTTGTCTTTGCACCAGCTGTGTTGCCGCCAATGTGCACAACAAATAAGTTGTGAAAATCACACTGAAAATACAGACAATTCACAGCCGGCCAAATTGAACGTTGGACGAGAGAGGTGTTTTGGCCTCAGTGCAGGAGTAGTATGGGGGATTACTCAGTGAAGGGTTGTAAACATTAATGGTAAAGCAAACTAAAAACAGCCATTTTTACACTTCATTATGCACAACTGACATCTGTGGACAAACACTTACAGAAATGGGTCATTCTCTTGAGTATTCTGCAGATGTTTTGTAAATCATTTAGCCCTTACCATGACCATCCACCGCCTTTGACACAGAGAGTGAGTTATGGCTGACTGCAAGAGCTTTGCTTCCCAAGGAAATCAATATATTGTGTTATTGGTCTGGAAAAAATCAAATCCTCAGAGGAAATGTTGTGGGATTGGATTGCTGTGCAGTGGCATACAGTAGCTTTTAAGGAAGCTGTCTCCTCTTGAAAATGTCTCAGGTTTGACCCAAAACAACAACCTCATGGCTGCCAAATCATGGCAAAACACCTCTTACTGAACAGAGCCATGACAGCAAACTAAGCCCAGAGTAAGTCACACCATTTCTGGTTCACAGAGTCCAGAACTTTGACTTGAATTGCACCCAAGACGAGGCCTACACGTTTGTTTCTGCGCCCGGCCGTGCACTTCAAGTGTCCACAGAAACGCTGGCTCATTTTGTGTAACAGGTTACCTTATTACAACGTAACAAATAGGATATAAAGTGCACTTACGTAACGTCTCAACTTTTTTTCAGGAGGAGACTTTCTCAGCCACCCTGAGCACACCACATCTCCCCCACTCATATCTGCTCCTTTCTTGCTCTCCCTGGAGTTCGAGCGCAGATTTCTGTTTGGCTTCGTTTGCTTTTGGGAGTGTCTTCTTTTTGTATCTGAAAATTAAACACGTCGGCACAAAAAAGCTCAAACTCTGAAGTTAGAGTAGAAGTTCAAATCTGTTGTTTTTTTGTGCTTTTGAGAGCAGTAAATACCGTCACTCCTTCGAGAAAGTCTACTCACCGACAAGGCAGTTCTCTGAAATGCACAGACCAGATTTTCCCCGAGTTGTAGTCAAATAAAAGGGTATATCCTGAGCTTGGAGTTCATAGAAACCTCCGCGGCACCGCCTCTTGTACAAATATCAACGGTGACTTGTGTATTTTGTTCAAACTGGAACGCCGAGGGGTCAAAACAGGCGCAGGCAACTGAAAAGTCGCTAAGTTTTTTTTGTTGTTATATGTAACGCTTCATGCTAATTCCCGTCAAAGTAGAGTCATTCCCAGTTGACGAAATCAGACGTAAACGTCCCACGGTGTACCGGTGCATAGTTGACGTGTCTGCGCGATTTCAAACAATCTTCACCGTAAACACAGTGGTTCCGCCGAGCTTCCCTACCAGTTTACTCCCATGGTTCCTTAATTATGATTGACAGGGTGGCTCCGTCTTTCCCTCAACTCACCCTCCTCTGGAGCATGGCGGCGTCAAACTACCCGGATTAACGCTGAAAAGCGGAAATGTGGGAATACTGATTTCAAAATAAAAGAAGAGTATCGCGTCGTTCAATGGAAGTTTCAAGAGGTGATGTGTGAAGGATAAAATGCCTTTTGTATTATATTTGATACATACTTTTATAAACTTCTATCAAATCAACAAATCACTAAAAAAAACCCACCTGAATACAGTCTGATAAATGATAAAAATATCCTCTTGTGGTTCATTATTTTATTATTATTTGATAAATTTTAAGGACATTTTCATTTTTTATTATTATTTTTTTTGGTTTTCAGTAGTAAGTGAAATAAACGTTTCAGCTCTAAAAAATTAAATTTTCTGGCCATAATTTGTAATGTGGTACAAATGGCCACCCGAAATTAATACATGTCTTCTCGAAAAAAAATTCCAGAGCTTTTGTCTGTTTATTTCATACAGATTGTGTTCCTTTTAAAGGATGAAAAAAGTAAACATATCTTAGTTTTTTTCAATGCTTGTGATGGGAATGTACTCAATGCTATTAGTTTTTGTTTGTATATATGTATTTCATACCATCATAAAGGTGTCCTCCATCAATTTCCCATGTTATTTGGAAGCCCAAGCTGGGAATATACATAAATACATATACAATAGTATATACAGTTTATGGGAATGACACACTAATGGAGTTGACCGTGTTTCAAATACAAGTTATAAAGTTTTTTTTTTACTATTGTCATCTGTTGCAATAGCATTTCAGCTCATACTTGCAATAAACCACACACTATGTCATAGCATGCAAGCAACAAGAACTACAGATAGGACGGCGGTTGATCTGATTACACTAAACAACAAGTGGCTGATATGATCAAATGCAGACTAACAGTTTTTTTATTGTTGATGAAAGTCAAACCATCAAATATAACTCAGTGTTGCACAAGTTTCTCGTAATTTGACCATGGCTGAATATCATCTACTGAGAACAACAACAACAACAACAACACAACAACAACAAAAACAGTCAAAAAAGTCTGAATTAATTTGTTTTAATCGCACATACTAAAAGTCATACTTTTCTGCGCCAGTTGATTTGTGATATCACAAAGACATTTTAATCTGTGTGGATATTTTTGCAAATTTTATTTCTCACATCCACTTTTACAATAATTATTTCACAGACATCAGAACAATTCATTTTACAAGTGTGTAAATAATAAATCAAAAAGCCAAAATTTTAGAAAATTTAAGAAAGGAGAAAAAAAAAAAATCAAAAATAAATAAATAAATAAAAACCCTTTGGCAACATGACATTATTTTATTTTGAAAGTTTTCACCGGATGTGAGATTACCATAGTCCTGCTAGCTTTAAGAGTTCATCGTGGAGGACGAAATGGGGAGGCGGCAACACGCAGGGACAACTAGAAAATCCTCAAACATGGGACATGTAGTTCAGAATTCGTTCAGGTTCTGTCCCAAAAGCGAAACAGCCTGCACAGTGGTTCAGCAGCTACAATTTGGCGCAGTGGGGCTGAAGTTATGTCCTGGTTATAAATGAAACCTTGTGACCAAAACAAGCTCCAGTAAAGACAAAGAAACAACTCACCACGTTCACTCAAAGCAGGTCCCAATAAATCATTGCACGTCTTAACTACACGATCCAGATTGCGCGTTTATTAGACAACCTCGGCACAAAAATCGCTTTAGCAAGTAAGGACACTGGTATACAGTTTGGCTAATTTTGATATCTCTCTTCTTTGAAACTATTACAAAAATTTGCCCAAAGTATTTTATTTTTCATTAACCGTGTCAGTAATTAAATGAATAATTATTTTAAAAATATTTATCAGGCTGTGAAAACCAGAAAAATGTAAATAAAAATATAGATAAAAATATTTATCCAGAACTATATCTTTAGGGATATTCTGTAATAAAAGATAATCAGTTTTAAGGGGCAAGTCTACGATTTAACACAACAGTGATAGGGAAAAGGGTGTCAATGTTGTTGTGTATTATTGATTTGGTTTACCTTATCTGATCTATTTACTGGACCCAACAAAGCACATATAAATGGTGTAATCCACTGGCAGAGAGGTGTTTACCATGGATTTAGACTGGTATCTGTGGAATCTCATTGGAATGCTATTGTATTGGTAAACACTTCCCCCAAAGGATGTTCTCTGTTAGCCTGTGATTAATGACTTTGCCATTGTACAGGCACGTTAGCTCTTTCAACAGCCTCGGTATTGATGAAGAAATAGGGAGCAATTAAAGGATGTTGACACAATACACCAATTCCAGTTAATGAATTCTTTTTCATGATACGATATAATCGGGGCAGCAGCTTGGGTGTAACATTAAATTACTTGTTTGCTTCTTTAGGGATGCTGTAGACATTTGTGCATTTCTGTCTGTGAAGACTAAATGTTATCTGCTGTTAGGTGCTTTGCAGGTGCATTAAAACCATTGTTTATGTGAGCTCTATTACATCCAGGGTGATGTAGCCGTGTAATTCTAAGTAAAGGGTATTAGTTAATTGAACACCTATAAGATGAACACAGGCCTAATCCACTGTGAGTGCATCCCAAATATGAACAATGTATGAAACTACAACCTAAACCTCATGTAAATGTTGTATCTTTCCTAATGTTACATTAGTCTCATTTTTAGATACGCTATACAATTCCCAGAAGTTAACAATTCAACAAAATGAGGAAAAAAGTGAAAAGGCTTGCTTGATTAATAATTTAGGATCATTGATTTTTCCTTAAATGCCCTTTGAAAGCTTTAGTGCTACTGCATGTTTTTTTTCTTGATCACTTGCTCATTAAAAAAGGGTAATTTTGCAAGTAATATCCTCCTGCTATGGTTGAGCTGGCTTAGTTCCCTAAATTGTCTGTTTTCATGTAATTTCCAAGTTCCTTATTCATGCACTGCTTGGCCTATACATGTTTTTTTTTTTTTTTTTCATAAAACAAATGTTTTGCAATCAAAGCAAAAATGAGGACAATGCATGTGCCTGTTTTGGTGTATTAAGCAACAACGGGAAGTTCTGTGTTTTTGAACAAAGTTACTCACTACTGAAAAATAGACTGGATGCTTTCAGGTTTTCTTTGTCAAAGTTTGCTGTTTCTAAATCTTTTTCAGCTTTAAGTGTTCAATACTTGGGCTTTTTCCAAGAAGTCAAACATATACCCGTGTATAAAACTTAAAGGAGGACGCATAAACACTGAGGTAAGCTTAAGCGTACACTCCTGACCTTTGGCGTCGGCTGCTTTTTCTGGTCTTTAATCTATTCAGAATAATTAAAACCCCAGATCCAGATCATATTTGTCATCACATTTTCATAACAGTTTATTCCTCAATGTCTTTTCAAGTCTTTGCAAACATAACAATTTAAATATCAGTAAAATGGCTGGCTTTATAAGAAAGTACAGTGAATACTGATATTTTTATACTGTGTACTCTTAAAATTAACACAAAACTGCTGAGGTGTACCCATACAAATTCCCCCTTAAGAATTTTGTATTTAGTACAAAAAGGCACATAAACCAGCATGAACTCAAAAGTCTACAGAATCAAATTCGATGAAAACATCAGAAAATACATCATTAACGTAAATTGCTGTTATATGATGAGATGATTTCACTCCTCATCAGTGGGAGAAAAGCATTTAATAATCATACCCAAAAAAAAACAACAAAAAAAACACCTCTCCTTAAAAATTTTCAATATATAACATAGTATTAAGTTTTCAACCTAAAGGTATGTTTCCATGATTAGTCAGGATGATATTTGGAGTCATATATACATTTATTGCATGGAATAAGAAACCTATAAAACACCAAAGCACACGTCAAAAAAGGTTCATATATCTTAAAAATCTGACTCCACCGCTCGGTAAAGAAAGACACATGCAACTCAGAATAGTAAACAAAGGTTGAGCTGTGTGTTCGAAGATCTGACAAATCCAAAAAGTCTCAGTATCTTACAGTTGAATGCTGTTTTCTGTACTGTGCACCGCACATGCATGTGTTTGCATATGGTTTGTTTGTCTGTATGTATGTATTTATGTATGTACGCGTTTGTTTTTTTGTGTGAGGTGAGGTAATATCATAAAAACTCTGAAAAATCAGATAGTGTTGACATGTTCTAGACTGGATCATGTCTATATATTCAATGTATGTAAAAATAAACGTTTATTGAAGTTGCCTTTATGATATGAAATTCTTTTAGTCTTGTATCTTTTATTTGTGGGAGAGATAACATGACCTCTAATGTGGATCAGCTTTTTTCTTAATTTGAGGTTTGATGAGAGATTACTTTGTGAATAAAACAAGAAGAATAAACCAAATTTTATTTTTGGACTGCGACAATGTAGTAAAGTCAAAGCTGAAAATCCAGATCTTTAATCCCAAACAGTGTCAGAGTTCTTTGTGTGTTTGTGTAAAAGTGTTAATGTGTGTTTCAGATCTATTCAGTGCTTTCCTTGTGAGGTTATTACACATCTGCTGTATGACAGTTCAGCTCCCGTTCGATCAGTGCAGGCCTCTCTCCGTGACAGTCCATCTTGGTTTCCTGCGTTTTTTTTCTTTGTCTTTCTCTCAGAAGACCAGTCTGCTGATAGTATTGAAGCCCCCACCCCCTCCCCCTCCTCCACCAGATGGGCCGCAGCTCCCTGGTGGGTTATTGTCATCTGAACCGTTTGGCCTGAATGAGCAGGAGGATGAAGGGGCCTGCAGAGCCTGGGTCCTAGCGTTAAGTTCCTGCTCCTGTTGACATGATAGAAGAGAGAAAAAAAAATTAAAGCATGTTTATTCGAAAGTGTAAACAAGACAAAAACAAAAAAACCTCAATAGTTAAGTCATGCTGTGTCAAAGAGCTTATTTAGCATTTTCTGAGGCTGCAAGTCTTGTATGTGACATTAATACAGCATCCTCTAGAGGTCACTCACTTCTACACAAGTACACTAGAAAGTCAACTCCACACAGCACAGTCCACTGACTTGTGAAATTGCACCTCCTGTCTCATAACAGCACACTTCAGATTTGGCTTGAAGTTCAGCCATGAAAAAATAAACCCAATACTCTGCAGACTCTTAGTTATCTGTGAAGTAATGTCAGTTTTCCCTCAGCTTCTAAACACCTGAGTGAATTTACTTCAGTCCTCGACCTGCATATTAACCCCAGACTTGGGGAGGTTTGTGATTATGATACTATGAATCACAAGTCAAAAGATTTAGTTATTATTAAATATTAAGTTTGATGCAAATCTTGCTGAGCGTGGATTGGATATATTGGAATAAATAATAAACAGTGGTGAGTTAAATTGATGCTTTAATGCCTCTTTACTTCACCTGTAAATACAGCTTGTTGTCCTTGATAATAGCATCCAGGAGTTCTTTCTGCAGCGGAGGCTCTGCACTCACTCTCATCCCATTTGCAGTAAGTCCTCCGTTCAAGCTCTGCCCTGGTAGCTCCTGTTTTCTGTACATGAGCACATACGCTGTGTCTTTGGGGAAGCGGTTGGTAATGTTTTGTACCGACTGGAAAGATGAGAATGTCACTCTGCTGTCGTTGAACAGCAGCCAATCCTTCGCCTCCTGGGTGGAGGGCTTGTCTCCTCGTTCAGGTGGAATTGAAAGAGCCGAGCAAGTGGAGAGGCTGCACTCGGCCTGTCCATTCCCCGAATCCTCCTTGAGGGCAAAGTGATTGGCTGGATGCTGCATTCCATCTGCTCCGTTAATGTTATGGCCGTAGGAGTAGTAGTGGCCGCTCTCTGAGGAAATGCCAGAATGCATCACCACTGAGCTGAGGACGTAGGGCACAGACTGGACCGATATCTCTCCCTCTCTGATTATAAGCTCTTCTCCATCTATACTCTCCTTCTCCTTATCATCCTCCTCTTTTTGAGATGGTTTCAGCTTCTTGGCCAGATTCTCGCTACTCTCAGGAGAGTCCACTTGCAGGGGAGAGGAGGTAGAGGAGGAGGAGGAGGAGGAGCATTGTGTATTCATTGCAGGGGAATGCACAGGCAGCCTCATGAGAGGTGGGATGGTGACATTGTCCAGAATCTTCCTGCGAATGTGGCATTTGGCATCATAAGAGAATCGAAGCAGAGTGAGGATCAAGTATTCAGGCGCTGACACCAGTTTCATTGTCCTCTCGGCTCGCTGCAGGGAGCTGCACTTCTCACAGAAATATGCATTATCTTCATCAAGGATCTCTGGAGCAAGGAAATAGTTCACCAGGTCAGGCACAGAGAGTGGAGGCCCGTCTAGGAGCCTACAATTGGCATTGCTAGTGGGGGTTTTGGCCAAGCCTGGCTCGGGAGTTTCGCTGCCACCGTTTACAGACCCTTGACAGAGTACTTTGGGCTCCTCTGAGGACCCTGCAGGTTGAGGGCCGTCCTGAGAAGTAGCAGGAGGACAGAAGGCCAAAGACAAGTCTGTAAAACGCTCCTCTTTCTCAGAGATGCAGTTACACCGCAGACAGCGAATCCCTGTGATCAGATTCCCACCGAACATCCTTTCTATCAAAGTCCTCCCATCATTCACAGGTTTACTTTCTACTGGAGACAAAGACGACTCTCCAGGGCCCTCTGGGGTAGTCTGAGCGGTCGGGTCTTTGCTGTTTGCATCAACAGGGGAGGCAACCTTTGGCTTAGCTGATTCAATGACCTGAAGTGCTTTCTCCTCTTCATGTAACCTTGAGATTAAGAAAGAAATGCTCAGCTATAGAAAATACATGTCAATGTGCATTTAGCTTTATCATGCCACTGCTGTGATAGTGTTCCACAGGGATCCTTACACAACATAAAGAAATGCAAACCAGAAAAAATACATTGTGTAGCTCAAAAGAGGGTAATTATCTTTAACTCCCAGTCATGCTCACTCAAAACTCACAAGGTTTTCATGCTTTGTCTTCCTTGTGAGCGTTTTTTCAATTTTTGCAACACAAAGAAATGAGCAACAAGGTCTTCAATTCAGAACACAGAGGAGAAAAAGCTGGTTTGTATTCTGACCTGACACACAAGCTTATTACGACTGATTCTGCTGAGAGTGATGCCATACCTGTCAAGAAGAAATCTGAGGTACTCTGAACAGTCCTGCTGAGAGCCCACATTGAACCAAGGAGGCCGAGATGCATCCAGAAAGTTTCTGGGAGCGTATGCTGCCCTCTGCAGGTCAAAGATATGCACCACACCCAGCAAGGTTATTATTATTATTATTATAATTATAAACTTTAATGGAATTCTGTAACATCTGTTTAGCGGGACATGGCTGACCTGAGTGTGCGCAAGGAAAGCAAAGAGCAGCTGCAGCTTTTTCATTAACATGTTAGAGCCGTTCAAGTTCAATGACAAAACGTGTCGTCTAAAACTGAGAGAGAAAAAAAAAACAATCACTCTGTTAATGCATGTTTCAGATTATAAATGTCAAAATGCAACAGTGATAGGTTACTTATAACTGACTCTGTGGCCATGAAGAGGGTCTGAATGATGCTGTTCATGTAGCAGGTGTTCCCCAGGTTGACCAGGCCAGTCTTGCCGGTCTCAGACTTCCCAACTTGCCTCAGGAGACCCGGGGCAAATGAGTTGGACTGAGAGGTCCAGGCACTTTGATTCAACACCAACTTGATCTTTTCCTCTCCGGGTTTTGGAAGATCCTGAAATGACAAAAAGTCTTAAATCTACCATCATTCATTAAATGTATCATTACGTACCAAAAGATGTAAAAGGGGATGAAGGTAGTAACAACTTTTTGGTGTCATTTGTAATCCACATGTTCTTAAAAACCTTCAAACATAAAAACAATTTAAGTATGAAGTCCTTCTTGTCACTTACCTTGATGGCTTCGATAATGTGGTCGTAGAGGTCAGGGAAACCAGAGTACTGGTACATCATACAGTGTATAAGCTCAGTGAACTGCAGCAGGAACGCTTTACTTGTGGGGAGTCCGTCTGTCCTTAAAGACTGCACCAGATGCACGACATGTGGAACAACCTGGGACAGTGAGGGATGAACACAGGAGGAAAATGTTGGTACCACTGTGGTGCTGAAAACATCAGACGGTTCAGAAATAAAAACACACAAATGTGCAGCAAGGTCAGTCAGAGGGTAGCTGAACAACAGGAACCCCACAGAGTATTTCTGAAACTGTTCATGTTTTTAGATACTAATGAAACCGGCCAACTCAAGAGCCATTTCTGCGCATTTAAGTGCTTCACACATCATTAGTGAGAGAGTGGTGCTCAGCCCGGGGTTCTGGGAAAAGAAGTCTGCGCAGCTTTGAAGTAATTTAAGCCCAGAGAAGAAGCAGAAAAATGAGAAAACCAATAAAGTGGCCATATGAGAGGGAAATGGGCTGTGAGGAGAGAGGAGATCCCTTACCAAATGGAAGGCCTCGGGAGAGTGCTGGAAACTCAGCAGCATATGAGAGAGTACAGTGAGCGCCCCCTGCCGCACGATTGGGTACCACAGACGACTGAAAACCTGTGGGTTACGAAAAGAAGTCTTATTTCATGTATGCATTTATATATAATCTCAGAAAGAGCTCTGCTAATTCTTCTGAGCACTTAAATCAGGCACAGGTGTAATATCTTAGCTCTATAAGTCTCTTTAAAAGATGCCTGTGAGGCTACAGGTCTAAGTGCCCCACATTTGCAGGTTATAGTCCTCGTCACAGCAGTAACTGGTTTGATTCCCAGCCACGACCCTTTGCTTCATGTCCCCCCTGTGATCTCTACCCTCACATGTCCTGTCTCTGACAACAAAATGCCCAAAATATATCTTAAAAAGAATTATGTGCACAATATCTGTTTGACATCACCCTGATTATCATAATTATCAAAACTCTAAATACAAACCAATTCAATTTTAAGCAGAGTAACATCTATGAGGATGGTGAACTTCTGAACTGCTGCCAGTCCTTTCAGGAGAGCGATGACCCAGGTATCGACATGTTGGGCCAGAGGCCAAGAGAGCCAGTCAATCATCCTAGACAGAGAGAGGAGCGTGAATAATGTGCGAAATGTGGCGACCTGATGGTAACCAACATGTGGCAACAAAAGTGTGACAACAACATCGCTAAATAATTCAGAGGATGTGTCAGGAGCTGCATGATGTCTGGAAGCTTGAGTATGTCTCATAATCTATCAACAGAATACATCAACTAACACCAAACAAAAGTGGTTTTGGAGTCATTTCTGATGAGGGCACCTGCAGAGAGCTTTAGTCATGCTTGCATCTTTGACATTTTGGTCTGTGGTGAGACTCTTGATGAGCACTGTGATCATCTGGACGGGGATGTGCTGGACCAGGCTGGCCAGAGCGATGGATGGGTCAAACGAGGGGTCTGCTGAGGATAAATCAAAGTTTAAACGGTGCATCATTGCAGAACCAGATTTTTGTTGCATTAGTGGACAGTGGGTAAAATGGGAATATCAGTCCACTCTGAAATACAGGTTTGCATATTGAAAGGTTGTTATGTTATATTATATTTAAGTTTATCACTGGGAGTTTCAGCATTTGAAAATCACTTCCATTAGAATGTCAAAACAGCAGCAGGCAGAGGCCGAGTTCACCTGAAAATCCCCACAGAAACAGAAACCGAATGACCTTTTACCCAAAGCTGCTCTGCTGCTTACATTGCTCACTGACGCATGCCGCCTGTGTGGCTATTCATTAAAAATGCTGCCTACTGTTTGTTCATTTTGTTCTGTTATAAAGCTCAATCACTCACTAAAGTGCATCGTAGGCTGAGGAAATCTCTTAAATATACCATTGACAAAAGACTTTAGATTTGAATTCAGAGGGAATGTCCTGATATTGAGTTACATTCTTCTAGAAGATACTTTTATTATTTAGCCTTCAAGGACAGTTTGATCCTGAATCAGCAGTTTTGAAGGCAATGTTAGAGTAATGACAAGTGTGTGAAAATGAGGCTGCTGCCTCTGAAATGAAAATGTTCTGTGTGCCAATTATACAGAGGATTCTTGGATGAGCATTCAGCCAATAAAAATAAGAGAGCTAAGCCAAGGGATCAAAGTCAGCTTTTGGCAGAGCCTTAAAACAAAAAAAAATTGAAACAAGGGAACTGTTCGGGGTGCCTAATTATCCGCAAAAGCCAGGTATAAATGGGGGGATTAGTCACAAGTTCCCCCTGCCTAATGCAAGTACCTTTTTATTACTGAGAGATAAAAACAACCCAGGGATGAATAAAAAGTTTTTTTGTGTTTTAAGGCTCTTAAGGATATTTCTCGGCAAACACAAACACATAAAAACCAACTTTCTATAAAACCGGGAGCTCATTTATTGTTGCCTTTTAGTAAGGAAGGACAGAGGAGTCTAACCTGTGGAGGAGATGATGGCAAAGACTTCCTGCAGTGAAGGTAGGAGGGTGGCTGGGTCAGCTTTCCAGATATTCTGCAATAGCGTGCTGACCTTGGTCACCTGACCTACATACTCTCTCAGCTCCCGTTCCTGGCTGGCATAGCAGTGGAAATAACTGATGGTCCTCACCAGCTGCTGGCAGAACAAAACGCCCGACTTGTCTCTCGGGATGCACTGCACAAAATCGGACAGTAAAGTGTTCAGGCGGGCGCAGAGAGCAGGCTCTGGACGTTCACACACCATCCTCAGAACCTCCACCTGGATCACACTGAAGATCTCCAGCACCGAGGGGCAGCTGATGAGCAGCCGCAGGCAGCAGTGAATATAGTCTATGATGGCCGGGTCTTTGCGGTCCAGTTGTCCGTAGCCCTGCTGGAGGAGACTGAGGACAAAGTCTTTGCTGAAGAAACGTTCAAACTCGGGGCGGTGATAGCGTGCGTACGCCTCCAAAACCTGCAGGCCGATCTGCTTCTGAAAGGCATCTTCACCGAGTAGGATGAGGCGGGTGGTGAGGACAAACAGGGACTGACACTGCTCCTCAGTCACCTCTTTCTCTGCCGCTTCCACTACCTTCTTCACAATGGCTCTCTTCACAGGAACAGAGTGATCAGAGCTCACAAGGCCCTCCAAAATCTTGTCCATGATGACAAACTGTTGTGTTGGGCACAATTGAAAAAAAATTAGGGACAATTTAGTCACACATAGACATAGTACAAGCACACACTCAATATAAAGCAGCTTGCATTTTTGTTTAAATTAAATTATAAAACAAATCAGAAGAGCCTGCTACAGTCCTAGATACAAATTTCTGCACAGAGGATAATTTGCACGTTGATGGTATTGTGGTGTATTTGAATGTTACACCTAAGTTGTAAGCTGTTTGCATTTTCCTACTGTGATAGTCAGCTGTCAGTACAGCCTATTGAGTCCGCTCTACTCCAGCCTGTGGAGCTGCGTTTTGTTCCCATTCAGTCTCATTCAATGAGTGTGTAGACTGTTGGCAATAACAGGTAGAACATGTGATGTGCTTTACTGTGACACCAATACTTCAGGAAACAGTGCGCTGGATCATTTCACAGTTCAGTTATATCAGGCTGATATATTGACACATGGCAGCCCCTTGAGGATCAATTGCCTAAAGGTCTAAACAAAACTATCTGAAGGGGAAACAGTGGTTTAGGAGGTCCCAAACTGAGCTGACTGGTGATAAAAAACCCTTTTGATAAGTACAAGGACACATATTTCTTTAACTGATGACACACTGACTGATTACCCCCACATCTAAGACTAATCACACTCTGCTGTATCTGTATATACATATTTTATACAACTATTTATTTAATAGCTGTACATATTACTACTCATATCCTAAAGTAGTAAATATCTCAGTTTAAATACTTCAACGCACCCACTGTTTAATAGCATTTTCTCTTTTTCACACCTGCACTAATCAGTATACTGTATATAGATAATATACATAATTACATTTTGTTGTATAGCCTATTCATACCTGCAGTAACCAACACTGTGTACATATTTTTGCTCATATATATATATATATATATATATATATATATATATATATATATATATATATATATGTATTTTTGGTTAGATACTTAACTGCATTTCGTTGTTCATGTACTTGTACTGTGTTCACTGACGATAAAGTTGAATCTAAACATTGTTGTGTCGTTGTGGATTTTCTTTGTTTACCCTTTTTGTTTCGTTCTCTTTTTTTACCTCATGTTATATCCTTTTCCTGTCATTTTCTACCTCATTTGAATTCTGTTTATGAATTATTGTTCCCTAGATCAGACCACTGCTTAATGATGTATGCTTCTATGTGAATTCTGAAAATAAAATAAAATCTGATCATTAAAAAAAATTCTATGAAGCACTGTCTATTCGTATTGATTTTGGTGCCCCCTGTTGACCATGGGATACCCTTCATATCTCAGTTGATCTTTGCTGTACATGTATAAGTCAAATTACTTCATCTTCGCTTTTTGAACACTTACTCATTGTGAATATATTCGTAAAAAAAGTGAAATGAGCCGAGAGAAAACATTTCTAAAGTGATTTCCGTGATGTCGCGGCTTTCTACGTGATGCGACTTTGATTTTTATTTCTTTTTCACGAACTGATCCATCTATCACGATAAAGAGGATACATTCGTGTCCATTATTGCTACATTGACACCTTGTTTTAGTCTCTCCTTCCTCCTCCTCCTCCTCGTCTGTGGGGTCAGAAACTCTCCCCCGTGTCTGGACTCGGTGTGTCACTCAGGCTAACTAGCCGAAGCTAACAGTACCGGGTGGTGTCATTGTTGATTTATCTCTCATTCCGGGGGGAAACATTTTCACAGTTGAACAAATACATCGAAACACCGGTGTGCTGGCTGTCTTTCTCCGCTTTTTACCAACATCCTCTTTATACAAAAACATGAACAAAGCGAGCGCCGCACGGGCCTGTCGTTAGCTAAATAACGTTAGGTTCCCCTGACTTGGCAGAAATACCGCTGTGTAATAGCGCTAAAGGACAGATTCATAGGCTTTACTTACCCCTATCAAGCATGTCAACAATGTCCCACCAGAGTATCCTTAGTTATGGGCAGATGTTGACCTCTTTCTCACAGATAAAGCCGTGTTATTTTGGTTTATTTGATCGCCCAGAATCAGCTGATTAACTGCTCCCCAACGTCATTCCAATGGACAGCTTTGTCGGTAGGACCCTAATGTGAAGCTATTTTCGTCTAAGCATTGCCTGGCACACGGTTGTTGATTAATTATGGTGATATAAATGTCATTTATCAACAAAACTTATCGTGACTATTTTGATAGTAAGATGTTTTCGTTTAATCTTTTTTGAGTTAAATATTTAGGCGGTTTTTGTCTACTTATGCGTAATTAATAAGTTGCATTCAAGTACCCCTCGTCCATCTTCTGTTTTGAGGGCACAGGTGAATTAGACTTTTGGTGAGGATAAATTACTTTTTTCTTTTATGAAACATAAACAACCTTATCAATTACAAAATTCCATTATAACACCTCGAAAACTGCCTTAGGTTCTTAGGAACCAACCTGTTGCACAATACATACTGAAATTATAAACTTATTCTTAATTTATTCTTAACTTAATTTAATTTTCACTCGGTAAGTAGTAAAGCTGGTTGTATGATAGTACTACACATAAATATCTGTACATGACAGATATGGTGTAATTTAAAGAAAAGAGTCTTCTTCTAATTATAATTGTTATTACTATTGTAATTTTTTTTTATCTTTTATCTTTTATCTCTATCTTTTATCTGTCATCTCTTATCTCTTTTACCTCAATCTTATTTCAGCCTTACTGTCTTTTTAGCTTTTGTTATACTTGTACTCTTTCCTTAATCAACCTTTTAGGCCTTTTATTGTTTTATCTTTTGCTCATTTCTGTTGCTCCTTTTTATCATTACTATTATTATCAGGATTACCTGTTAATTTTTTAATATCATCATTGATATTGCCTTTTATATTTGCTATCCTGTTTCCTCTTTCGTCCTCCCTTTTAATTGCATTTTCTTTTTCTTAACTATTTTATGTTTTTATTTTGGTCCTCATGGTCTTATGTTATGTTGCATGGTTCTTGTATTGTCTGGGTTCCTTATGACATGAAAATTGACTTCAATACTGTTTTTACTGAGCTTTTTGTTTTTATCTGTCTCCTCCCATGTGCTCTATGACTACATGTCAAAGCACTTTGTAAACTTCTGTTTTTTAAAAGTGCTATACAAATAAAGTTACTATTATCATTATTATTATTATTATTATTATTAATAATAATAATAATAATAAGAAAAAGAAGAAGAAGAAGAAGAAGAAGAAGAAGAAAAAGAAGAAGAAGAAGAATATTAAGCTGTCATTCATGCTGGACAGTGACTCTCACCCCCTCCAACACATACTCACTGCACTGAGGAGCTCCTTAAGGGACAGGATGATCCACCCAAAGTGTCTGACGGAGAGGTATTGCAGGTCATTCCTTCCTGCAGCTGTCAGACTCCAGACTCAGACTCTAGATAACTCCTAAAACGAAAACCATTTTGAATCCACGAAACACTGCCCTCTTTTTAAAAATATGAATTAAATTTAACTTAATACATTAACAATCTTTTCATTCAGTAAACTGTAGTATGTGTGAGAGGGAAAAATTATTTGTTCGTGTGTCATTATATGTCCAGATCACATTTGATAAAGGAGTCATTTTACTTCATGTGTCCAGGAATAAATTAAAATTTTACTTTTTATTGCTTTCATGAAAGATTTCCCAGCTCACCTTCACATTTACATGGCCCCTGTAGTCCCAAAATGATGTCTATATCCCTCGCTCGATATTTGTGCGGGCTATAAATTTGTATTTATGAAGAAACCTTTCGGTCCATGTTGTTATTTATTTTGGTCCAAAAGTCCCTGAAGGCAGCATAACAAAATCTCGCGATAGACCGGGTGACGTTAGTTCTGAGAACGCGGGTGCTCGAGAGAAAAAAGCTTTGCTAGCGCGAGCGTGCTGCTGCCTCTGACCAGCCGGTTCGTCTTTCATTAGAAACGTCGGGATAGTTTCGTTTACCGCCAGAAAGTCCAGATTATTTACACCGGCCTCCACGGGAGATCACACCAGGCGTCAAATAACGGGAACATATCCGAACTGAGGGGGGAAAATCGTTAATAATGTCCGAAAGTGAGAACTGCGTGGAGCCGCGGGAAGAGCCAACTGAACTTGAAGAAGCCGGAGGAACGGAGGTAAGATGGTCTTAATATATTTTCTGTTCCTGGTACCGCTCACACCTTAAACAGAACCTTTAATGACTAGAAATGTAACCTCCATCCCGGTACAACAAGTTTCTCCCCGTCTGTTGTGTGAAACGTTCACTTCGGAAGTGTTAACGGAGGATGTGAAAGCTAGTTAGCTGGTGGCTAACTCACAACAACAGCAGCAGCAGGACTGAAGAAGAAGCTAACAGCAACAAGGCCAGTTTGTTTCATAAGCGCTGTGACTCCGAGCTTAGCCACACTGGTCAGCCATCCGCAGTTATATTTGAAGTCCAGGTGTGTTTTTTGTTGACAACCGAGCCGGATTCGCTGATGGTGTCGCTTTAAACGTAAATGGACTTTTTATAAACCTCGGAGGAGCATGTGAAGAGCAGTGGCCCGCTCAGCTGTCCCATCTGCGTCTTTGTTTTCAGTGGGACAGTCAGAGCGCCTCTAACTGAAGAGGGAAGATGATGCTGGCTGCTGCTGCTGCGTTGTGTGCTACCAGGCTACTTACTAGGCACGGCTATGTAACCAGGCATGCCTTCAATGCTCATTTCACCCTGCCTCTGCCAAGAACAGAGGCTCTAAAGAGAACTTTGCTGTACAGAGCAGTGAAATATTGGAATCAGCTTCCACCACATGCGATTAATACTGAAAGAAAATGGATATTTAGAAAGAAAATTAAAGAGGCCATTATTATTGAAGAAATTATTGTCTGTAATTCATTGTACTTTGTATTGACTGTTGTGTATCAGTGTCTGGACCCCAGGAAGATTAGTCCTGACTAAGTTTAGAACTATCCATAATAAACAAATACCCAGACCTGGCAGATTTTGAATGTATCATCTTAAGGAGTCTATGGACTTCTTAAAATGCCATTTTAAATCTTCAAAACATGTGTCCTTTGAGTTTTAGAGATGAGTAAAAGGGCAATTTCACAGCTTTTTCTTTCTGTTTAGAGCTCATAATACCAGGTCCTGCTCTAGAATCACACCAAATCGGCTTCTCAATCTTTGACCCAGTTATTTAAGAGTTAATGAATGTAAATAACTTTCGACTGAGACGGCAAGCATAATGTTACAAATCTGTATGAAGGGATTGTAGCGAGACCTCAGCCCAGTCTATCACGGACTGCTGTAGAGTGACGCAGTTCAAGGAAAAACATTTATGATCATTTCTTCATGGATATGTAATCAGACTGAGACGCAGCAGTCCGTAATAAACTGGCCCGAGGTCTCCCTACAAACAAGCGGCTGCTGGAAGAGAGTAGGTGAGTTGTGTTTAGTCTCTTTGCTAAAGAAATTAGGCAAAGCTGAAAAGAACTTTGGTGGCTAGTGCTGTGGCTGTGTGACCCTATATGTACTGTTGATGAAGTTAGGTGCTGTTCTGAGCATTATTTGTGGCTATTGAGTGGCTTTTTGGTTGAGATTTGTTTATGGCTCCTCAGACCGCTGTGTATTGCTATGGAATATCCCTTTAACTAGTTTTTCTTGTCTGAACGTGTCTGCTGATGTTACAAGAACCAGAGGATAGCCGCTAAGACACAACTGTTTTCTCTTGTTTTTTTGTTTTTTTTTGCTCTTCAGGTCTTCAAGTCTGATTCTTCTGATGCGGGGAAAGAGTCCTCCTCAGATGCGGGGCCTGATGGGCAGGATGCATCCTCCTCCTCCTCATCCAAAACTAAAGATTCCACTCATGGTTATGAGGAGAAAGTGGTAAGTGTACTCCTTTCTTCTGCTTGTGTTACGTGATGCACTTTTCTTTTCTTGGATGGGAATGTAATAAAAAAGATCATCCTGTGTTTGCAGCAAACAGACCGGACCAACAGATTTGAGTACCTGTTGAAGCAAACAGAATTGTTTGCTCACTTTATCCAACCAGCCGCACAGAAGACTCCAACCTCACCCCTGAAGATGAAGCCAGGGCGTCCTCGCATCAAGAAAGATGAAAAGCAGAACCTGTTGTCTGCTGGAGAGTATGTACAAATCAACAGTACGGAGAATTTTCATTTTAGTTTGTTCACTTGCTCTTTTATTTTGACACTTTTTTTATTCGTTTAACAGCAACCGCCATCGACGCACAGAGCAAGAGGAGGATGAAGAACTTCTGAATGAGAGCACCAAGACAACTAATATCTGCACTCGCTTTGATGAATCCCCCTCCTGTAAGCAGTGACCTTTTTTTATTGAATGTTTGACTGAACACGATGAGCTGAAGTTGTGACTGTTTTTTTCTTGTCTATCTTGTAGATGTCAAAACAGGAAAAATGAGGGACTATCAGGTTCGCGGTCTGAACTGGCTCATCTCTTTGTACGAGAACGGCATCAACGGCATCCTCGCCGATGAGATGGTTGGTGTTGTCACCGTCAAAAATGTTTCATCTACACCTGTATCCTAATTTCACCTCACAGTTCTTACTCTGCTGCTCCGTTTAACATTTTCTCTGCTGTTGCTCAGGGTCTGGGGAAGACTCTACAAACCATTGCCTTGCTAGGATACATGAAGCACTACAGAAACATCCCTGGTCCACACATGGTCCTGGTGCCCAAGTCCACCCTCTACAACTGGATGAATGAGTTCAAGAGATGGGTGCCTTCACTGCGAGCGGTCTGCCTGATAGGAGACAGAGATCAGAGGGTAGGCTGAGCCAGATTGTTGTGATCTGAAACAAACTGTAGCTGGAAACAGTCGCCATGATATTAATTTCATGCCTCCTACTTGCTTTTTGGACCAATTAGCGACACATCTTTGCATTAAAGCCCCTTTATTTTATAATACACAAGTCCAGAACTCTTGTGCACAATGTCAGGTTCACTTGCAGTGCTTAAGAACCTAAGTATGTAGGTCGTGTCTTATTACTGGCATGCAGTTGTTGACCTGCAGGGGGGACCGAAGGCTGTTAGTACTGAGTCTGCCACTTCACCACCATAGCAAACTCATCTTACATCATGTACCCACAGACTCAGTGATCCTGCATTCAGCCATGTTAAAATTTTTTTGCTTTTGTTTGACTTTTTTTAGTCTTGTTCTTACCTTTTTACCTGGTGGCTGAGGAACATCAATGTCTGCTGACTGGTTTGCTGATTATTTTGTTTTCGTGTCTTTCCAGACTGCCCTGATCAGAGATGTGCTGCTGCCCGGGGAGTGGGATGTTTGTGTTACATCCTATGAAATGCTCATCATTGAAAAAGCCGTGTTCAAGAAGTTTAACTGGAGATACCTGGTCATTGATGAAGCCCACAGGATCAAGAATGAAAAATCAAAGGTTCGACAGCTAATGGGATGGAAAAGTCGTTGTATACACTTGGAAGAACCACTTCCTCAGACGTTTTCTCTACAAAACACTGAACACCTTTCATGTTTTTCTGTAGCTGTCAGAAATTGTGCGCGAATTCAAGACCACCAATCGCTTGCTGCTGACTGGAACGCCGCTGCAAAACAACCTGCACGAGTTGTGGGCTCTGCTGAACTTCCTGCTGCCTGATGTCTTTAACTCATCAGAGGTAAGAAATACAGAAGGTACATGGAGAATTTCACAAGAGTGCCCACCTGCCAAGCCCTTGTTCAAGCTCTAATGATTGTAGTATGACTGATGATGCTGTCCCTCACAGGACTTTGACTCCTGGTTTGACACAAACAACTGCCTGGGTGATCAGAAGTTGGTCGAACGTCTTCACACTGTGAGTATTGCTCACTCTTCTTATCTCCCTGCTGAAGTGTGTAAATGTGAAGGTGCTTAATGTGAGTTAAAACACTCATTTTAATTTGCTGTTTTCCACGTAGGTCCTGCGTCCCTTCTTGCTTCGACGTATTAAAGCAGATGTTGAAAAAACCCTGCTCCCCAAAAAAGAGATCAAGATGTATGTGGGCTTAAGTAAGATGCAGCGAGAGTGGTAAGTATCCTTGGTTAATCTTATCGGTCCTTTCCTCCTTTATTCAACACACTTTTATGACTGGTGTGTAATACTAACTCATGTCACAGGTACACAAAGATTCTGATGAAGGACATCGACATCCTGAACTCAGCGGGTAAGATGGACAAGATGCGTCTGCTCAACGTTCTCATGCAGCTGAGGAAATGCTGCAACCACCCATATCTGTTTGACGGAGCTGAGCCCGGTCCCCCTTACACCACCGACCTCCACCTGGTGGTGAACAGTGGCAAGATGGTGGTGCTGGACAAGCTGCTACCCAAGATGAAGGAGCAGGGTATGTAAAGCCCCCTCATGCTTAGGATTCTTTAACAACAAAGCAAGAGATTAAAAACCTCAGCTCTGCACTCCTTTTGTTTATTTCAAAGCCGTCTTTCCTTGTGTCCAGGTTCTCGTGTGCTCATCTTCAGTCAGATGACCAGGGTGCTGGACATCTTGGAGGACTACTGCATGTGGAGGAACTATGGTTACTGCCGTTTGGATGGCCAGACGCCACATGAGGAGAGACAGGTGGGGTGTTTGGATGAGAAGACGTCTCATCTTTTGTTCAATACTCCAAGAACTGGAATCACAAATTCTGATATTGTTGTTTGTCATCAGATCTCTATCAACGCATACAACGAGCCCAACAGCTCCAAGTTCATCTTCATGTTGAGCACCAGAGCCGGAGGTCTGGGTATCAACCTGGCAACAGCTGATGTGGTCATCCTGTACGACTCCGACTGGAACCCTCAAGTGGATCTTCAGGCCATGGTTAGTACCCAAGCAGTTACAGAGTCCACACCAAAATGAAGCAGACTGGAATTGAGATTGACAAGTTTTATCTTGTTCCAGGACCGAGCTCACAGGATTGGTCAGCAGAAGCAGGTGCGAGTATTTCGCTTCATCACTGAAAACACAGTGGAGGAGAGGATCGTGGAGAGGGCCGAGATGAAACTGCGCCTGGACTCCATTGTCATCCAGCAAGGTGTCTCATCGTTTCTGATGGCTTGTAGAAATGTGACATGTCACAGTACAGAAAGTATCAACTAAAGATTGAAGTTTTGAACGAGTTGTTTTTTCTTTCTTCTTTTCAACAGGAAGACTCGTGGACCCAAGTGCAAACAAGCTGGGCAAGGACGAGATGCTGTCCATCATCCGCCACGGCGCCACACACGTGTTTGCTTCGAAAGAGAGCGAGATCACAGATGATGACATCGATGCAATCCTGGAGAGAGGGGAAAGAAAGGTGTGTTTGGATGCACAGGATTACAGGAAGTCTGTGGTTTTTACGTTAGTTTTTAATTTGTATTATTAACGGTCCTCTCCTTTCATGCACCAGACTATGGAGATGAAGGAGAAGCTGTCTTCACTGGGTGAGAGCTCTCTGAGAAACTTCACCATGGATACAGAGAACAGCAGCGTGTACACATTTGAAGGAGAGGATTACAGAGAGAAGAAGAAGGTAACCAGAAACATCATCACTGACCTTTTTAAGTACCATACTCCAACAACATGAACAGCTAAGTCTTATGCTGTCATCGTGTCTCTTCACTCAGGTCATAACAAACTGGATCGAGCCACCTAAGAGAGAAAGGAAAGCGAATTACGCTGTGGACGCCTACTTCAGAGAAGCCCTGCGAGTCAGTGAGCCCAAAGCACCCAAGGTATGGATGGATCACTCTTAACTTCTATTGACAGATGACAAGTTGACAGGCGGTGTAACTTACGCTTGTTTGACTCCATCTCCCAGGCTCCTCGTCCTCCAAAGCAGCCAAACGTTCAGGACTTCCAGTTCTTCCCTCCTCGTCTGTTTGAGCTCCTGGAAAAAGAAATTCTCTTCTACAGAAAGACCATAGGCTACAAGGTACAAAGTTTTTTTGTTGTTTGTTTGTTTTCAGATGAGGCGCAATTGGTGTTTGTCAACTTAAGAGCTTTGAAAATGCCCTGTAGTCAACCCCTGAATGTGTGTGCACAGGTGCCCCGTAACCCAGACATGCCAAATTCAGCCCAGGTCCAAAAAGAAGAACAGGCTAAGATTGATGAGGCAGAGGCTCTCACAGAGGAGGAACTGGAGGAGAAGGAGAATCTGCTGCAACAGGTACAGCTTAATCCTACCAAACACAATCAGCTGCATGTCAGGATTAGATCTGTTGTTCGAGGATCTAGATGGTGCATCAGTTGATCAACTTAATCTTCATTTCAGGGATTTACCATCTGGAACAAACGAGACTTCAACCAGTTCATCAAAGCCAACGAGAAATGGGGTAGAGATGACATCGAGAACATCGCCAGAGAGGTTGAGGGAAAAACTCCAGAGGAAGTCATGGAGTATTCTGGTAAGAACTGGATAAATAATCCGTCTTCTCACAAGTAAACCCAAACTTCAGATTTCTTGGCATAGTTATTGCATTTCTGTTTGTGTTTAATCCTCCAGCTGTCTTCTGGGAGCGCTGCAACGAGCTGCAGGACATTGAGAAGATCATGGCACAGATAGAAAGAGGAGAGGCCAGGATCCAGAGGAGGATTAGCATAAAGAAAGCACTTGATTCCAAGGTAGTTGTCTGCCAAACTTTTAGCCATTAGTTTCCTGCTTCCTCATTAGCTTCCTCTCACCTTGCTGTCATCCTTAAGTTATCCCCATATGACATTATCCTCTTTTCCTGGCTAACAAGTAATCCCTGATTGTGGCTCTTGTCTGTGCCCAGATCGGTCGCTACAAGGCCCCTTTCCACCAGCTCCGCATCTCCTATGGCACCAACAAAGGAAAGAACTACACAGAGGAGGAGGACCGCTTCCTCATCTGCATGCTCCACAAGCTGGGCTTCGACAAGGAGAGCGTTTACGACGAGCTGCGTCAGTGCATCCGTAACTCGCCTCAGTTCCGCTTCGACTGGTTTCTCAAATCCAGGACTGCCATGGTAAATCAAAGTTTACGTTGTACTTATTACTCCAGTGTTGCTTAACAAAAACACTTGAAAATCAAACTTTTGCTTGTTGTGCACGTGTTAGGAGCTCCAGAGGCGATGCAACACCCTTATTACACTCATAGAGAGAGAGAACATGGAGCTGGAGGAGCGGGAGAAAGCGGAGAAAAAGAAACGAGGCCCTAAGACTGGCTCGGTAAGTTGTAAAATTGTCATTTTACAGAAAGCTAGTTTTGATCAACTATGTCTTGGTATCGCAGGTATTTTAATCTCTTTTTTTTTTTTTTTTTGTCTTCAGGCCCAGAAACGAAAGTCAGAGGGAACTCCAGATGGTCGTGGACGAAGGAAAAAGCTCAAGTTGTGAAGCTTCTGACCACTTGAAACGTTCTGCATACAGAGAGCAGCAGCCAGCTCTGGTGTGGTTAGTCCTAGTGTCTGTGTTTGTTCTACGGGCTGTGAAAATGTACTGTGTAAAACCCTCTGATGGACTGATCTCATCGTGTTAGGTTTTAGGAAGTGCTCCTTTACAGGCCTGCCTTGTTGTCACCTAAACGCTGCAGCTGTGCTGGTTTAGTTTGTCTGCTAGTTTTTTTTTTACTAGTACTAAAATGTAATAAATGTATTTATGCCTACTGGTTGTACTACATTCCATTGCTCTGTACGATATGTACCCATTTTATTTTGAAGATTTTCTTTTTTTAATCTTCCTATGTGAAGTAGAAAATGTCTTTTTGAACATCATAAATAAACTCCCCCTTTTTTTTAAAAAAAAGTGTTTTCTTCAGTAAAGAAGAGCCGACTCAAAAAAGACAATTATATTTGGCAGTTGAAGTGTAAATACATCCAAACTCTTTTCACAAATGAATAAACCGTTAAATTCTACCAACAGTTTGCACATGAAAATTCACCGTCAGCTGTAGGTGGTAGAAACATAACTTTTTCTGCACTTGTTTTTTTTTTCTAACTTTGATCAACAAACCAGGAAGACACAGTTAATATTTTCAAGTTTTACCAGGGTGTAATAATACCATTTCTCATAGTCCTACATTGATATGTGCACAGAAAGTTTTGCATCTGATTTTGGCCACATTGACCTGATAGAAAGTTTTAAAAAGTGACAGCTAAAATGACATTTACAATCCCTTTCATTGACCTTATATTGGCATTTTTACTTATCAGTGGGTAGATATACTGCAGGCTTTGTAGAGCACAACAGTAAAATATCAATATTTTTAAAAAACATTTATCACATTGTCATTAAGGTCAGCCTCAACTAACATTCAGTCCATTTCCTTGACTCCACACAAACAAACATTTCAGTAATAAAAAACTTGATAAACTTATTATTCTTAGAGGAGGAACATAGAAAATTATTTTCTTTCATTCATTTCAAACAAGGTTGCTGTTTTCTTAATTAACTGCATTTTCTATTTGGGATTTTCATGCATTTGCAAACATTCGGTATAGCAGGATTTTTTACAACTTTTGCAACCAATGAAGCGGGTACATCATTTTCAGGGGCTTCCATATACATCCATCAATCAAAATATTTTGCAAAAACCTACATTAGAGCGAGCGCTAACCTTTGTCAGAGATAAATCAGTCTCTGAAAATTCTGGTGCATTCTCTGCATTTAGGCCCTGAGCACTGACAAAATGTGCTGTCCACAGGATGTACTGGGCGTCATTCAGTGCTACAAAAGTTGGGCTTTGAAGGCACAATGGTGGAGGAGACTATCACAGTCTTATTATTATTTTTAGAAAAGGGCAGGTGTTTTGGGTGGATGGGGATCCACTTTTAAACCTCAGAGCTGTCTGAGCTGCTCCACATACTTGCTGATCCTTGGCTGCAGCCATTGTAGGCAGAGGAGGAGGAGCTGGCATAAGGAGGCAGCTGGGTCTTCTTTTCCCTCTTTTTGCGCCGCAGCAGCAGAAGGACGATAGTGGCAATGAGGCAGATGAGGAGGATGAGACCTGCAAGGCCAACTAACATGGGCACGGTGGATGTGTCAGCTGGCTCTCTGCCAGAACTCTCCAACAGGGGGCGATCCAGGAGGGCGTCACGATTCGGTGACCAGGGCTGGCGCTGGTTGACTACCATGCGGTCGGCTCTGTCCAGGGCTATATGCTGGATGTTAGTGCCTCTGTTGTTTTCCACCCCAATGTCCTGGATGTCTTTAGTTAGAGAAGGGCTGGAGAAAGCAGGGGCAGCGCGGCGGTGGCGGTTAATGACCTCGACGGAAGTCTCAGGTTGTTCAACTGAAGACACGCTGTGATGCAGATACTCCACGCTGCGTTTGCCAATGTTGCGGTTTGCATTTTCTCTGGAGCGGACTGTGTAGATAGTGTGGATGAACCATTCTCGACCAGCAGCCACCTGCAGAAGTCAACAGATTTTAGTCTTTTTACATTTCTAATTATGTAATATTTGAGTTTACTTCATTTTGAAAATCATACAAACCTGGAAAAGTGGGGATGAGGAGAGTGTGAAACCATCTGATCCTGTTTGCCTGACTAAAGGTAGACCTCCAGGTGTGTCCTGAGCCAGTGTCGCCTTAAAGGCAACATCACCAAATGCTGTGGCCTGAGTCTCTGGCTGGGCTTTGTCCTGAAAGAGACCCAAATGAAAATCAGAAAGAGTTCTTCTGCCCCTCTGCCTCTAAAGCTCCACAAAATAATGTAGATTTGTTGTATCTTACCAGGATCTTGAATCTGTAAAGCAAAGATGGAGCATCTGCCAAGCAGCCGTACTCCTTGTTTGTGGGGTTGTACTTGGGCACATAACCATCTGCTCCAGTACAGAGGAAGACCTTCTCAATGCCGCAGGAGAAGGAATCACCCAAGTTCTGGACCGGGTCCACCATCACACGGCCAAAAATAGTTGAGCCTGAAGCAACAAACAGGTAAAAATGTTGGTGAGATCGCAGCATGGGGTTACCAGGAGGCTGTATAGTTCTCAGCTGTAATGTTGAACAAAATCCATCAGATGTCAGTGTTGTACCCTCTGAAAAAGCTGTATCAGTCCCCTCTCCGAAGCCCATGGAGCCGTCAGACAACCACAGCTCCTTCTTTGACAGCAGGAACATCTGAGTATTGAGGCTAAACTCGGCTGCTACTGGGTCACTCACCTAGGACACAGGACAAAGGCAACCATTCATAGGACAGGTTCATAAGCAGGAACTACCCGTCATGTGACTTATTGCTGCAAATATGCCACAAGTGTCAGACTATTGGACATCCTCCTTTGGCAAGTCAACAGCTCATAAAAACATATAAATTAAAACTGCCTCGGAAATTATCAAAACTGACTCTAAAGTTATAAAAGATTGCGTAACGGCAATCTTTTTACTGTCATCTCAAAGAAAATAGGCTGCGAACCCTGAGCCTGATAAAGCCAGGGGACTGTCAGGATATCCAGACTAACCTGCTGGAAACGAATGTCCATGTCAAATGTAAGCGGCTCTCTTGGGTGGCAAACAGGAGGGATGGTGAACTCCCCATTGGGTGATGCAATGCAGGGCACCACCTTGACTGTGTAGGTCCCAGAGTAGTCTCGCACCTACAGGGTGAGAGACATTGTGTTGATGCTTCCCATTATAATTCAAGAGCGTGGAAAGCTTTGATTGCCCGTCCACTCACAGCAAAGTCAGAGACAAAACTCCACTGCTGCATGGGCTGGTTGTAGGTAGGCTCGGTCCTGATCAAGGCAAGAGTGAATGTCAACCCAGGGTGGTCAGCACACATCACCATGGACGAAACACTGGTTCCTGAAAAAACATGTACCGTCATAAGTCATTTCAGATGCATTTTGTCAGATCGAGATCTAACTATGTATAGATTGACCTCTACATTGTACGTGTCACTCGCTCTCAACACAGTAAGGTCGTTTTGATGTTTGCTGAAATGACCTCTGTCCCTTTCGCACAGAAATAAGCCCCTAATTAGAACTCCAGAAATAGATGAGGGGATGAAATGGACGCGAAGATGTGACCGACAGGGTAATCTAATAAGAGGCTGATGTATAGAGTGACCACAGCGGATGTGTTTAGGGCATGTTTGAGTGTTGGTCTTGTCCTCATACCTGGGTGGGACATAACAAACTGTCCCCTAAAGCGGGCCTCTGTTTTGAAGTTGACCACCAGACGTCCTTCTTCGTTTATACGCATACTGGTTGGGTACATGGCTCCTATGAGAAAAAGTACGAAAGTTCAACATGGTTTCACAAACCCATCTTTCTGTAAGGAACCGCAGGGGGCAGCAGGGGTCACAGAACAAACCTTGTAACTCAGCCTCTGGTGGGCTGCCAATGCCATCCTGCCACAGAATCGCTGTATCGTACACGAAGGTGAGTTTGAGCTCTGACTGCAGGTCGAAGTGCTGCCAGCCTCCCACAGCCACAGGAGAGTGGAAGACGTAGGACACATACAGAGGAACACGCAGCGTGACGTAAGACTGGACCAAGTTTAGCACCTGGAGAAAGAGAGAAGTCAGACGTGGTCAGGGCTGATGTAGAAAGGGCGGTGTGTCTATATGAGTATAAACGCCTATTGACACCAAAAAGAGGCTCCAGGAATTCAACAGTTGTTAACTGTAGTTAGCAGGGCTACCAATTAACAAGCTAGCCAGAAACATGGTGATGTTTCCAAAAAGGCCCAAAAGTATAACACAAAAAAGTAAAAGCAAATTGAGTAAAGCTTTCTGTGATAGCCACCTTGCTTTTACTCACTGCCAAATTTAAAAACTGTAGTATAGCTGGTAGACCACCCAGTAAAAAGCTCCAGACATTCAGTGAGTCCCAATAATACACTAATAATCATTTCTGGTGTAATTGTGGCTAAACCTGTTGCTAACACCACTGCGAGTCCCAACAACATTTTGGATCATACATAATTTCATTTAAGACATATTTTTCATTAAAAGTACGGAGAGGAAAATCTCTGTCAGATAGCTAAACAGAGAAACAACTGCATTTGCCTGTGCAGGTCGATGTATAACTGGGTAAGGAAATGCAGCCAGATGTGCCGAAAGTTAAGCTAACTTTAGCCCAACATGAGATTAAACCTATTTCATCTCTAGCCATTCTTATATGACTTCAAATTGCCATAAGCCGTATTTGTTAGATTTTTCTGTTGTTCTCATGTTTGTTTTTGGATTTGGCCTAAAAGTGTGTGTATAGCAGTGAGCAATATCTGACCATCTCAGTGGACAGTGGGAGTTGCCAGTCTCTGGCATTATTACTCTGAGGGTCCTGGGCTGGGAACTCTTACCTGTCCATCAGTGCCAATGGATCCTCCACAGTCATTTAGCAGCTCTGACATGTCGTAGTAGCTGGTGAACTCCCATAGACAAGCCTCCAGGTTGAGGTTTCGATAGAAGCGCAAAGAGTTGGCCGAGCGCATGATAGTGCTGTACTGGTAAGGTGAAGTCTCGCCAATGATTTCAGGGTTCTTTGTTGCATCTGTGATAAAACCATGGCCTGTTTGGATCTCATTGAAGTCCAACAGGTTGGAGCAGCGATGGTTGCCAACACGAGTGCCGTCTGGACTCAGGGTGAGCTCAAAGTTGGACAGAGGTCTTGTGGAGATCACTGGTAACATGCCTGTTGGAGGTGAATAGGTGTCAATTTTCTGACCTTGCCTAGATTACAGAATGGTAATAACTTCCTCAACTACTCACCATCCATGTGAGGCATGTTTACAGTCAGTTTGATGAGGTTGGGGAAGTCTGGGTCATCTGGACCAGTGTAGCGGATCTTAGCAGAGAAAGGCTCGGCTCCAACTGTGCCTTGGATGCGAGGTTGACACATACCTGCAAAGAGTTTAAATTTAGCTCAGCCATGGAACTCTATCCCAAGCACATATGTAAATCCATCCTCAATATCTCATTAGTCACCTTCTTCTTTGCTGATCCCAACAATAGGGCTGGACAGCTCCAGGCCGGAATCTCCATTAGCATTGAAGGCTCTTGCTGCACACTGAACCCTTGAACCAGCCTGGAAGTAGACTGAATCCAAGGTAATGGACTTTGTGTTGGTAAAGAAAGTATTGGTGTCCACCTCCCTCATGGGACTGGTCACTCCATCTGACCCAGTGGGAGCGCTGACAAGCCAGCGATACTGAGTGAGAGTGTCATTAATGTTCTCCGCCGCACAGATGGAACCAGTTTTGTCAAAGTCGTGGTACTTTGGATTGCAAGCCTGCAAGAGAGAAGAAAAGAGATGGAAACTGTTGAATTAAAGTAGTCTGGATGTGTATGAGGCGGTAAAAAGTAAAGGAAGGGCTTCACTTACCGTCACACATACAACGGGGTACCCATTGGGGGGGTTGGGCTTGTCCTTGGTTTTAGCTGTATCATCATACATTAGGAGGGAGACCACCTGAGGCACTGCAGGGAAGGTGACATCTGCCACGCTGTCCATCTCCTCAATGTACACAATGGCCTTGTTCATCTAGCAAGAAGAAAAGGCAAGTTAGCAAGATGACAATTTTTTTAGATTTCAGAAACTTCCAATCAATCAGCCCCAGTTTATACATCACCTCTGACAAATGTGTTTCTGATCACTTTATTTTCTCATTAAAATTACCCGTATGATTCTGGCATGATAAGTGCTGCTATCAAGGCCAACCTCTGTAATACTGACTGACAGTCAGAGAGATGGTAAAGCCTCTGAGAAAAATGACCAGTTTTTTTGAAGGCTTCTTTTTTTCAGGAAAAGAGAAACATCCAGGCTAATAAGTCTGTTTCAACTGGCTCATCTTGAAAAGAGAGGGTAGAGTTAGAGTAAAGAGATAACAGCACCAGCTGGATTTAAAGCTAAATCAATACAAAAGCTAATCCACTGGCAGATGATTTGTCTTATAATCATTGGGTTCTGCTTTCTACAATCATTTTTAACACTTTTTGAAAAGTTACCTTGATGAATTTGGATTTGTCATGTGATCAGTGCATGCCTGGTGTGGAGTATATGGGTAGAATGTCACAGATCTGTTTATAGGTTTGTCTACTGTTTGGCCCTGCTGGGACATTCCCTCCAGCATCTCATTCCACAGGGAAAAGCTTTTTATAAGACTCTGTGGTCCAGGCGTGCTGACAGCAATGCCAGCTGCTTCTTGGCTATTTTAACACAGGCTGACATGACACGGCGCATGCTCACGTGTACGAATATGCAGCACTGTAAGTGTGCACATATAGGTCTTGCTACTGGTTTATATTTGTTAGCGTGTGTTTGTGACCTTGTGGCCTTTGTGTCACCTGTATTTCAGCCACCATGTTGTCATCCGGCTTCATGTGTACGGTGAAGGCCTCTCGCATCTCACGTTCGCCGTCGTACAGGATCTCAACCTCCACAAAGTGTTCCCTCTCACCCTCCTTGAACTCAACATCTAAAACAGAGACAATGAAGTGAGCAGTGATTATAGACCGAAGTATTTCAAACACAGACTCTTATTAAGAGACACTAAACCAGGATTTTACCCTCTGACAGTGGGTTGTAGTCTTCTCCAGAGGTTGCAGATCCATCCTTGGTGTGCACTCTTACCACAGAGACTTTCGATGTGTCACCAACTCGCAAGATGGGAATCTTCACAATAGCGATATTCCCTTTGACCTGAGGTTCACGCACACTGTACTTGATCTCTGAGAAACGGATAATGGGCTCTGGAACAGAAAAAAAAGGCAAGTGCAAAGTGCTTAGTCTATGAGTAAATCCTCCATTTCTCAAACCTGTTATTTTTAAACCCCATTGGTTTATATGTATAAGCTGCTGCCAGTCGTAAGGTTGTCTGAATCATTTGAACTGAAGTACATACTGTCTTTCTCATCTGTGACTGTGACCAGCGCCTCCTTCTGCTCCCCTAGTGAAGCCCCGTACGGTGACTTGCTTTTGGGAGTTCCCAGGACGAGTCTAAACTCCTCGTCTTCCTCGTGGATTGAGTCGTCCATCAGGCTAACCACGCATGGCTTCTCGGTCTCACCTAGAGAAAAGGATGAAGAGACTCAGTTTAGACCTTTCAGGATTCAGTGACATACTCGGGGACATCAGGGTGGAGAGGGACTTCTCACCTGGTAGAAAGGTGATGACTGATGCGTCAGTATTGGGTCTCTCGCTGTAGTCCATCATGACCTGAGCAGAGCCCTGGCGAGTGTAACAGCGCACTGTGGACCTGATGCTTATGTCTCCACTGCGGTACACTATAGCTGTTATCTCCCCGTCAGACTCATCCACCTTGTAGCTACCCTCTTTGAACTGAACCTTTGGCACTGTGGAGGCATGAATGAAGTTATTATCAGAGTTGCACCAATTATGACTGATGTTGCTCTGGTTTTTATATTGTTGTTTTTTTTCTGAAACCCTTTCTTTAGCATTTTTAAACAGAATCTACACATTATCAGCTGTAAGGACATGTCATTTTTTTCATATTACAAGAATATATTTTGCTTGATTCCTTATTTCAACTGATGACTACGTAGTGCAAAGTTAAAGTGTAGGTTAATGTAAATGCTTAACACTCACAGTCAGTGACAGTATCATTGATGGTGATGGTGGTCTTGCTTGGTTCTCCCAGCACAGCATTCATGGGCATCCTCAACACCAGGTCAAAGGTCTCAGGCCCCTCTAGCTCAGGCTGTCCCAGATCATCCAGGATGGTTACTCTGAATGTTTGCATAGTCACTCCAGGAGCAAAATCCAGGTTTCTACTGATGCCAACATAGTCCAATCCAGCTGTAAGACAGCAGATAAACCATGAACCAATACTGCAGTGCAAATTTATAACTCAACTGTATCAATTCTTTCTTTGTTTTTGATTTTACCCTCTGCTGAGACAGGTTCACTCTTCCTGGAGCGGACGGTGACAGTAGCCGTCTTGGATAGGTCTGTCCCAGTCCTCCAGACTTTCACCTCAACGTAGCCTGCATTCTCATCCACAACATACTCAGGCTCTCCGAAATACAGAGAGGGCTCTGTGGGAAATGAGAAGGATGAGAAAATGTGGAGGTTAAATGTTGTCAAAATTCTCATACACCTGTTCCTTTTTATAGGAAACTGGACACAAGGGTGTTTGTTGCTTTCTTGTGGGTATTCAGAAACGGCATGTCTTTGTAGTTTTGCAGTCAGGTTCAGGGGTGAGTTGGCATGAATAGCTGAGCAAACTCCCCCCCTTTCTGACTCAGCACAGGAAGATGGTTGTCATCCCTCTTATCCTATCCCCCTTCAACTTTCCTCCCCCACTTATCCAAATCCAGACGGCTCTGTCTGAACTTAGCGCCAAAGGGCTGAGGATATACCTGAATAATAAGGTGCTTGCTTGTGTGTGTACACAGTAAGTTGCTCTTTTGAAGGGATGTACCCAGTTTCTGATGATAGAGCTGCTGATAAACAGTATGATAAAGATTTGGCAGACACAGAGAGGCAAACGTCTACTTTGCAAAGGCAGGAGGGTAAGAATTCAGACTCCAGGACACACAGTCGATTCATCCGTCTTCACTTATTTATAAAAACTGTTTTCACCACACTGTGTCAGGACACTGCTCTAAGATCAACTGATAGAGGTGCAAATTCAGTCCTGAGGATTTATTTTGAACAATAAACTCACAGAAAAAAGTTTCAAGATGGAAGGACGTCCTGTCTTTAAGAAACTTAAATAAAATGAGACATTTAAGTTTCAACAGTGGATTTTATTTTCTGAATATCTATATCAAGGTGAAAATCTTATCACAAGAATAAAAACAACTATAAGGTCACATTTAGTTTATGTTTTAAATATTGGTTAATGCATAGAGCGAGGCAAACTTTTTAAAGATAATTTTCGAGGAAGGATTTATTCATCTATTTCTTTTTTGCTGTGGGGACATAAACATGATATTTTACATAAACAAAGGCACAAAGCCGTTTGAAAGTTGCTTTAATATTTCATATCAAATTATAATTATGGAGCTTTAGAACAAAATGTAAATAAACTTTGTCTGATAGAGCAACCTCTAGCTTTAGGGTCTACGTCCACTAACAGTGTTATTTTGGGCTCACAGCACCTATTTTCTGTATAAAACCAGTACAAGTCAGCATATTTAGTGCTGAGTGTCTCAATGATTCTGTTCCTACTTTAAATCTCTGTGAGCTCAGTGCTCTAAGCTAAACATAATCTAACTTTTAGAAACTCTTCCAGGTTTGTCAACGGCACTTTCCCATCAACAACTACAAACAATCAAAATTCTGATATCAGCTTTGTTCACAACAATGATGAAGATCTGTCTGATGACACTAAGCACAGTTTGATTATTCGTTCATGTTGTTTGATGATTCTTGTGAAGACCACAAGCTTGAATGATGTTATAGCCGAGCAGATTTTTGTTTTTTGACTGATGCTTCAACAGACAGCTGATGCCGAAGGGAGGATTTCTGGCGTGCTTTCAACACCTTTCAGCCTCTAGACCAGCTATTTAGTATTGAGGAGGATGTTAAAGAGAGGATGTAGAATGGGGGAGTGAGTGCCAACATGTCAACCTTAAAGATCAGCGTGAGGGAGAGCCAGACGAATACAGTAACAATGGAGGTTGGATGCTGGCCAGAGTCCAAACCACAAGTTTACTCAGGCACGCAGATGGTTTTACACACAGACACACACTGAATCAGATTTATGGTGGGGTGTTGCTTTAGGACCCACCAAGAAGTAGAACTACAATAGAGGTTTACACTGAGGAGGCTTCCTTTGTCTTTACACATGTCTGGGAATGCACGCCGATTATTTATGCTGCTATAGATTGGTTAGGAGGGTCTTTCACCTAAACAGGCAAATCCAAGAAATAAGCCTTTTTATAAAGAGGACAATGTTTTTGGAATTTACCCCTGTGGGACTAATAAAGGAATATTTTATCTTATCTTAAAGAGGACAAATTGTTTAGAAGAAAAAAGAGAAATGTCACAAGGCACTTAGGAACATTTTGGTGAAATGTTGAGAGGAAACCACTAAGCTCCAAATTTAAAGACAGATCTTTTGGTTTCATGGAACAGTTCATCAACTCACTGTGGCAAAATGACTCCCAAATATTAATGAAGGTAAACAGACGAGGAGCTTCTGATCTTGAGAAAAATTAACTGAACGATAACTGAGATTGAAGCAGAAAGCAGCCGCAAGACATTATAAAAAAACACCTTAATGTCTGTTTCTCTTGGTTCCCTGAAAAGGCCTACACATGTTGTCATTATAAAATTAGATTAGATTAGATTAGATTAGATTAGATTTGTTTAGATTAGATTGGATTAGATTAGATTAGATTAGAAATACATTTTTTGATCCTTTTAGGAACGTTTTGCACTGATTTAACCTCTTCATATGTGACAAATACAGTAATATACTTTTTAACAGCATTGGTGAAAAATATGGAAAATACTTTAATAAAACGTTTTTTATTTATTGGTAAACCGCAAGCTCAAGGTTGGTGGTTATTGACTAAACAGTCAGTAGCTGAGAAAAGTGGAGAAGAAGAAGAAGAGGGAGACCAGAGCAGAAATTATTGAAGGATGTTGAATCAAGTTGAATAATATAAAAACAAAACAAGCTCATTCTGCAACACAGGGACAAACCACAACATGTCAGTGTTATGGGACTGGTTATGAGAAAAAGAGGCCTTTTGTAAGTGTTGCTGTTATTTTCTGCATCTTTAAATGAAAACATTACCGCTAATTTAATTCAAAAATACATAATTAAATAAGTTATAATTTTTAGACTCCATTATAAATGAAAATGTTAACTTTTTAGTGTTAATGAACCCACAAGTAGGCTAAATTGTCATTGAAATACTACCACTGGTTATGTCTTTGAATATTTGGTGCATAACCAGGTAATACACCACTGTCTAAACATAATCCCCTACATAGAAGACAATTACCAAATCACGTGGTGCTGAATGAGTTTTGGTTTTGGTTAAGTGTGCCTCAGAAAACATCCTTGGAGAAATGTTAAGAATAGATGAAAAAGAGGAGGATAAAATGACTAAATGGCTGAAAAGAAAGGATTTGAAGAATTTAAGGGCTACAATTTGTCAATTTGTTGAGACATTTTGTTTGACAGATCAAATCAGACTGCTGACATTTATGTGATTTATAGCCTCTAAACCAGATTCTTGCATTTGTTCAGAGTGTATTATCTTTAACATGAAACAGGAAACACAGCCCTGAATACCACATAACAGGGGGAAAAAAGAGTGAAAACATGCCACTCATTCAGGTCCCCTACACAATAGTTCCTCTCTCTGCACCACCTGCCTTTTGGTCCCTGCAGACAAAGAGATGCCCTCTGTTTCCCCTGAGCTCCCCTGAATAACAACAAGGACGAGGGGTCGCTGGAGGAGCACGGAGAGGTTTAAAGCCCCTTTTATGTGTCAGACAATCTATACAGCGACAGAAGAGGCACTGAGGCTGCAGTTCTACTTCTCAACACCTGTCTATTGTTATCTTACTCCTAACACGGAGCGACAGATAGAGTGTGCTGGATAAATGAAGCAGAATGTGTAAACAAAGAAACACAGGAAGGGTTAATGGACCTGAAAGTACTGTAAAGCCATTAAGGCAAGTGCAGTATATAGGGACAATATGTGGGGCTTTTATTCTGGCGACTCTGACGATTTTGCCAGTCTGGGAACTAGTGGTGGCTTACTGGTGTTTAGATACCAAAAGGGCAACAGAGAGCGTCAAAGGAGCTTTAACAGGATCTGCCACACCTGCCATCATCACTGCCATCGACAATAAGCAGTAGGAATAACATGTAAACCTCTTTTTGGGTTGAGAACATAACCTATGCTTGAAAGAATAATCAAAAATGTAAATCTGATCAAACCCTAAGAGAGTTGTTTCAAATTCATGTTTTCATAAGTAACCATAAAATGTAATCATTTCATAAGATCAGTGCCCTTTATCCACCCATCCACCCATGCATCCATCATTATGTATACACTTTATGAATATAACAAAGACTCAGTGAAAATATGAAGGATATGGCAACTCCCCAAAAGTGAATCAATACAGTTGGAGTTCTGCCCAGGCTGGCCTCAGTACATGGAATGAACGCTGCCTCCTCCATGTTGACAGAGGAAGTATGGGTCAAACTTCAGAATAAAAACACATCAAATAATTGTTTTTGGTTATATTTGATGATGGTGATTTTAAGTGTTCATTTTCGCTGAAGGGGGAACTCTGTTGCAGACAAACTTTGCAAGTTCCCATCTGAGCACTGGGTTTAGTGTTTGGTCTCCTTCTGTGTTATAAAGCTGTTTCACTGAGCTCTGTTTAAGGACACTCTTTTGTTTTTTTTCTGGTTTTGTGTGTTTTTGCTTTAATAGTATATTTGCAGCCAACGCAGTTGTTTGGTTTTTTGAAGCCCTTTATTTATCTTATTTCATGTGCATTCCCACTGTTGTGTTTGTTTTGGACTGTTGCACAGTTTCTGAATTTGTGTAGTTTGAGTATTTCACTTCACTGACTGTGTCTCTGCTAATGAAGATCATACAGGCTGTTGCAGGTCATCTGCCTCCCTGCACAAATGAGCCCCTGTAGTGCTGTTTGTCTAGGATTTGTAAAGTGTAGGAATTAATGTCCAAGAAAACTAAACATACACAAATACGAGTCATGAAACCCTCCACTCTAAGTATCTTTTAATTGTGTGCTATTGCCATGGGTAAGGAGAGGAATATCATTACTGTAGCTATGATGTCAGTGTTTTTGGATGATGAGAGAAGGTGGAGACATGTTGTCCATCTTTATATAATGTCGAATATGTCTATCACTGTGCTTAAGCATCTTCACAGCCCAGCTTAGTTGGTACAATTGATGATAACTGACCTGTTGTTTTTATACAAAAGCCCTCTTCACTTACCATCATCGCTGTCTGCCAGGATGGTGACCTTAGCAGTGGGGAAGTTAGCCCCGATCTGTCCTCCCATGGGCATGCTGAGGCTGACATTGAAGCTCTCCTCCTCCTCATACAGGGAGTCATCGATGATAATGATGCGGCACAGCTTCTCTCGCTCATCCTTGTCAAAACGCAGCACGCTGGTGTGGTCCTCGGGTCGGGTGATGTAGTCAGAGTAGGACAGCACGCTGGTGGGGATGGTGCCAGTGGCCGTGGCTGAAGAGTCGAGGGAACAGAGGTGAGATACAGGGTTAAAGGAGGAAAGATGTTAATAAACAGATAAGGAAGATAACTGTTCCATCACAAACAAAAGAAGAACAAAATGTCAAGTTTTATAAAGTTGTAATAAAGGCAACTTCACATCTGTTTCAGTTTCAGTCAGTACCTCTTCATCCACAGATAAGTAGACCTACAGCTAAAATTCTATAAGAAACAGCTCCGTGTCACCTTGCTGAGTGTAACAGACGACCATAAGTTCCTGACTGGCATCCCCTGAGCGCCGAACAGGCACCAACAGCTCTCCAACATCCTCCTCTATCTTGAACTCTGCCTGAGGAATGAAGACTGTCGATTCTGTTTGGGAGGAACAGGAAGATCACACGTAAATGATAAATCATCTGGTTCAGTCCTGGAGTTTCAAAGGCAGCATTAATGGAAATAGTTAAATATGCTTTGTTTAAAAAAATAGTTTGTACCATCTCCAGGATCCACGATCTCGACTGTTGCGATATCAGGGAACTCCAGCACAGCCATGACAGGCTCTGACAGCTGGATCTCAAAGGTTTCTGAGATCTCAAACTCATGGTCTGTGAAGATCTTCACCTTCCAGGTTGCTGTAGTCTGGCCGGGGTTGAACTGGACCTGCTTTTGGGCTTTGCCCCGGAAGTCTTTGTCCTTCTCGGCTGTTCCGTCCTTGGTGGCAATACCTACGATAGAGATGTGCATGATTTGACCTCTTTGTGAAGACAACACAGACAACAGAACATACTACAACGTATTTTATAGTTTATACATAAAAAAAAACTGCATTTATAAACTCATTCATGTACACATCTTATTCCTTTACCATCCTTTTGCATCTTAAAGGCAGATAGAAATGAACACAATCACGTGTTGATAAATCTGTCACGTGCAAGTGTCTGATGCAGCCAAACACGCCAGTATATTGACATTTCCTCCTGACCTTTACTTTGAAAGGTTATATGTGCTCTCAATCAGGCTTCCTTTAGAGGAGAGGGGAAAACAGGGTGCCCAGCAGTCAAACAAGAACACAAAGGAGTTGCACCTTCAGGAGCAGAGCAGTGATATCAAAGCTGCCTTAGCTTGAAGAGTCCTGCTGGGGATGAACTTAATACATCCAGCAGCCTTAAATGGATCTGCATTGACTTTAAATAAGAGGGTTATGCTGATGTTTTATAGCAGAGATGGCCTTTTAAATGGCTCGTAAATAACATGATTCATTCTGAGGAAACACTTTAAGAGGCAATAATTCATGGTTAAGTTGTCAGTTTCAAAAGGGCGTGCAGTGTCGTGGCGTCATAATTCATATCTCTGCAGAGAAATGCTGCAGAAATTCTGCTACTGACTTAAATGGAAAATATTAAGACAAACTGTAACATAAAAAAGTAATCCATTCATTTTAACTAACCCACACTACATTTTTCATTTCATCACTTACTGACAAAAGAGGTTTCCCCCAGGTAGCCTCTGCGTTTGAGTGTCACCTCCAGGAATTTGGCGTCCTCGTCCACCAAATAGTATTCCTGCTCCAGAGAGATCCAGGCCCAGTTCAGCCTGAATGGCTGTGGTTTAAGTTTGTTTCCACCTAAAAGACAGAAAAAAGTTCACTTTATTAAAAGATTTTATCCACTTTCTTGTACTGATAGGAGACAAACTTGCTTGAGCTATGATCAATTGAAACATATGAACCTTAAAAAAATCTGCTTTTAGGTAACAAATAAAAGGAATCATAAATTCATATTCAGGTTTTCTTGAATCTCTCTTTTCCTTTTCTGTTTCCTCAAATGTCGTGCATAGTCAGCTTGTGGAAAAACACACGGTCATAGTATAATGTCTTAATGAGCTGGAGGTCTCCATTATCCTGGTAATCCACACTGTCACTCTCTGTAGAGCTTCAAGTGATTTCCCCACACAGAGACCACCAAGGCCTCTTTAATGTGACCAAATAGGGAGGATCTCAAGACTTACTTGTCCACTAAATACTCATTATACCACAATTAATTTAAAGACAGACATCTGATTTGACAAGAGGCATTTCAAGAATGCTGATATTGAGTTCAACAGCACAGGGACAGTTCACAGAATGGCTATATCAGGTGTTTTACCATAAATTAATGTCATAATGTTAATGTTACTTTGAAATAGTCTCTGTGATTGATTCAGTTGGTCCAACAGAATCATACGATCCACCAAAACCTGATGTTGTTGCTCTTAATATCAGCGCTGGTGCAATGTAGACTTCCTGATACTTCACACAGCAGTATCACCTCGTGTGTGACTGTTTGGGAAAATATTCTCCAGAGTGTTAATGTCAGACTCTTCACACTTTGAAAACTTTGGTTTAATGCCTCTTGTTCTTCTTTGAGGAGTCGGCGCTCTCAAACCATCTGAAGAAAACACCTATTTAAAGCTCAGTCAACTTCCACTGATCCATAACTTACGACCCAATCCCGTCCTTAAGCCACACTATCTCATGACTCATGTAATCCCTCAAACTGTCAGCTCACTTTTGATCACTGACTTGATACTTCAGAGATATTTAAGATTATAAGTTCACCTACATAATCTGGATGTTTTTTTAGCAACACCAGTGAAAGGCCCTGATGTCTTATCCTTCAGTGGGACGAGCTTGGCGACCTGTGACTTTTGATGTAAAATGGGTCAAAGTCGGTGAGGTCTCTGGATCAAGGACATTAGAGAGGGATCTCCCCCTCTTTAGTCTCGCACGGCTGGCCACAGTGACAGCGGCCCTATTGACCTAACGCTGCTGGAGAATCTTGGAAGGAAATCACAGAGGCAGGGGAAATGGTACGATACTCCATTTTGTTTAAAAACAAGAAATATTTTATTCAAACTGATTCACCACCGAGGGCATCTTACATGTCAAAGTATCTTGGGAAAAATGAAGTAACAGTCTGAAGAGAAGTGTCTCCTTGTTCACACAATTTCCCAGCATCAGGCTCAGTCTTGGCTCAGTGAGGGAGAAAGAGGCTGCTCTCTTTCTGCTATGTGGCCGAAGAGAATGAAAACACTGGGGGGTTGAATGTGGGTATTCTTGATCATGGGGAGGGGAGGGCGGTACTTCCTAAAACCCACATGTCAACACCGAAGCTTAACCAGGCCAAGTCACAACAGGGGAAAACCCGCTTGAGGAGAATACGAGCAGATCGAGCTGATGGCAACAAGAGTCACTGAACTTCAGCACATCTCTACTAGGATCAATTGATCTGAACATGAACATCCTCACCAAATCATGACAAGTGCTTTCATTTTTATCATCCATTTTGAACAGATGAATCAAAGCAGGGGTGTGTCCAAACTCTTTGAGTGAGGGGGCCCAGTGGGTGTATCATGCAGGGTTGTGGTGAAGTTTATAGATACACAAATTAATAAAATGTATTTACCATTTCTGTCTTCACTTAGTTTAACTACTTTAACTGCTATCATTAAAATATCACATATGTCTGCATAATGTATATATTTATTATTTTTTTTACTTTAAAATATTATGCATCATAGTGTTAATATCTAAATCTTGTAAACATAAACCGTCAAGAAAAAAATTAAATTCCTCAGAAACTTGGGATGAATGAATGAACACAGCCCAAATACAACTGATTTCACCGATAGTCCCACCTTCAATGAAGCGAAGAGTGAGTCATAGTTTAGGATTTTGGGAAGCACCAGGAAAAAACTTCAAAGTGGGGGCCTAAACCATCCATGATGCTCCTGTTCATCAGTGAAGCCTCTGCATAGTTAAAGGCAGACAGCATGGAGCAGCAGAGCCCAGTGACCACAGCCACCCTCAAACAGACTCCATACTCAGGTTTCCAACCGTCATGGCTAAAAATACAGGAAACATGTGATGGCTCTTTTTTCTCTGCATGCCCCAATTTTTACTCATTGACACGGTGCACATGTATGATGATTAATCTATGAAATGAAATGATTTTTGACATTGTGAGTGTGGAATCAGCTACACATGCTTGATGTGTTTTTCTAAATGTTAATCTCCCCCTCACTATTAAGAGTAACTGAATCTTTTTGTCACGAGTGAATAATCTGAAAAACAAGAGGGGAAGTCCGACAAAGTCCCAGTCTTTGAGAAACCTCAGTTATCTGATTGTTTATAAAGTGTGTCCTGGCTGCTGACCCCTCTTTGATATGAGTTTACGCAGAGGTTAACAACAAGGATAATCTGATGAACGTGGCAGAGGCAAAAAGCTGCTCTGTTTTGGCACAGAGTAATCAGACAGCTTTAGGTTTCACCACTACGAGGACTAAAACAGTAGACTCCCTATTAATGAAGCAAGGGAAATGTGTTTGAACTTGTGTGTCCACAGACCGATAAGAAAATAAGATAAGAAAAAATTTGTTTATCCCTGAAGGGAAATTCGATGGACAGTACTGTGCAAAATAAGACACGTGTACTTTTTATGAGTTTTGATACTCATATGTACTACTGAACATAGTTTGTTTAAGTTAAAAGATAAATACAAGATATTTATATGTATGTTTAGGATATAAACTTCTATCAGACTCTGATCCACTAAGATCGGACACATAGTGACTGAAAACCCAAACATGGTCTGGGCTTTGGCTGTATTTGTGATAAGAATGGTTCCTCTGTTTTCAGTCCAAGACTTGTCTCACCTTGTCAGGATTGTATTTCACATAAGCATCAGCTAACTTTACACTAACCCCTGATTGAAAATTTAAACCCTTTAACCACTGCAAAAGGGCATCAGACCAGACGATCAACACCACGCTGGAGAAACAGCCTCATTGAATGTTTTTGACAGCGAATCCTGCATTTACATGTAACGGGCAAAACCGAGAAATCAGAAGCAGAGAAGATATGCACATCTTTTCAATAGGGCAGATATTCAGTGTGAAATATGTGTCTTTTTGGACATCAACTCATTCAAGCACAAGGTCCCAGACTGAAAATTTCTCAGAGCTTCTTTGTAACCCCATCTTTTGTCTTGGTCAATTGTTGTTTCCAAGGTCAGTATTAAGAAATCAGTCTGAGATAGCTAAATAGCCAAATAAGCCTGAAACTTGACTGAATGTACGCTGTGCAAAAAGGACGAAAAAGGCCCGTGAATAACTCACATCTGCCATCAACCTTCCTGTTCTCTCAGTGGGTTCATTATGCTGTGTGGTCAACAGGTGCTGCTTTTTTTGTGGTAGCAAGCAGTCTAGATGGTTGCTTTTGTCCAGAACTTCATGTGGTTTCCAAAGTATCTGTATTTCTCCCAGAGTTTCCTCATCTTTCCTGAGAAATTTAACTTTTGAAGCTTCTGCAAAGAGTTTTTTGGCATGTGCTGATTTTGGTAGCTCCTCCAGACCAAGTAATACTTTTAATTTCAGAGTCAGTTGTATCACTCGCTGAAAATCTTTGCCATAAAAAAGGTTGTCTTGGCTGTAAGGAGTCAATTACTGCATCTGATGTGTACCCCCAGCAGGGGTTACAAGCATTTAAAGTTACTCAATAGAAATGATCAGTGTAGTCTCCAATGGTCTTATTGGTCAATATTCATTTAATCTGTTTTATAACCCGCTCAAAGTCCCCACAGGAGCTTTAACTTGAACAAAGTCACTCAGTAACGTCAAGTCAGAAAGAGGAACAACAAGCAAACAGAGCAAGCATTTGTCTCTCTTTCATCCTTCCCGCCAGACTCTAAGATTATATGGGGCAGAGTGACAGCTGTCCTCCTCAAACCCCCCTTCCTTGTCCCCCTTCCTCCCTGTGTCGGCTTTGTTCATCAGGGGGACAGACTACCGAGAGGGACAGCAGGTCGCTGTCTGGGTGGGCCAACTCTACCGGCATGGCATGCCTCCCTGCGTGCCTCCACATTGTTCACACCAGTGTAGAAGAGGAGGATCCCCTCCTTTCTCTCCGGTTTCTATTGTACATGTTGTCAGACACCAAAGACAGAGTTGGCACCAATCTCAACAAATCAAGAAATGATCAAGATGCCAGACTAGCTGGGGAACATAAATCAAGGAACTTCAGGAGACTAAACAGCCAAACTTTGCTCAAAGTTTGAAGTAAGAATTCAAATTAAAGGAGTGTTTTAAATACCTGCAAATATAGAGGCGGAAAAAGTTGCTTCACACGATTTCAGACATGATTTATCTTCTTGTTTATCAAAATTTGATGACACAGAAACTATATTAGACTGGCCATCAAATCCAATACATACAGTAGCTGCCTGTCTCAGCTCACATTACATTGGCCTTAAAAAACCTGCCAATCATCGTAATTCCTGCTGAGATGAAAAGCTTTGTAGGCTGTATAAGTATCTACATGTTCCTCTTGGCAGCTATTGAATTAATTGAAGTCAATTTGATTGATGCTGATCACTGACAAGGACTGAAAGTGAATATTAGAGAGGCATGATGATAATGTTTTCCTGTTTTAGCACCCGCATGGGACCCACCGGAGGCCCGCTTACTCTTCATAAAAAGGAGCTTGACTTATTTTGTGCAGTAAATCACATATTATCACAGAATTCAATCATAAATTAAACTCTAGAAAGTGTAAAGAAGAAAGCTTTGAATGATTTTGAAAACAAAAAACAAACAAGCTCATAAAGTTGTATCAAGAGTTTGCTTCAGCGAAAGCGACTTGAAAGCATGGCCGGGACATTTTCCTGCTCTAGCGTCCTCCCACGAGACATTCTTCATCAGCTCATATTTACACAGTGGTGCTGCCTGCCTGCTCCATACATAGATGCAGAGGGGATTGTGCGTCAGGCCGGGGATACTACAGAAAAGGAAGGTCAATATGAGGCTTTGACGTCCACCAGCATGATGCAAGCAAGAGCAACCTTCTAAGAATATCCTCATCAAGTGACAAGTGTCACCTTTTGCATTTCCTCATTAATCACCCTGTTGATATAAATACTCGGCAGGTTTAAGTCAGCTATGATCAGTATTTAAATATCAATGTTCTTCAAGTATGGTCCATTAAATCGTAAAGGTGTCAGAGGTAACCTAAACATTAAAACTGAAACGTTTCTTCTGTGTTTTGATTCTGATAAGTACAGAGAGACATTTTTCAAATAGTGACAGTAAAAGCTTTCTCTCTGGGCTCCAAAGAATTCATGTCAGGAATGCTACATGATAACATGTATTAATAACTCTTATCATTCCCCCCCTCCAGCATGTGCTGTAAATGGACTCATCACAGTGGCTTGATCGCTGCTTCATTTCCGAACAGAGAGGTGATCTCTGCAGGATGTAGTCAATCATAATCTGACAAGGTCAGAGAGTCACATCCACTTTGATGCTTGCTTGTTTGCACTTTATAGGGTGACACAGGAGCTTTAGAGTGACAACATAACTATCACTATGACAGCTAATGTGATGATGTGTCTCTTTGCCAAATGATAATGGTTATAAATGATTTCTAGTATGTTGAAAAGGGATGTAGTAAATATGAACATTTGAGTGGAGATTGCGTATGTCCTCTTTTACCCGGACACGTCCTCCTTTTGGGGGGCTGTTTGTCTGGGCTGTTCGCGCTTGTCCGGCTTTGTCCAAAAAAGTTTATAAAATACTTCAAATGTCTGCGGTTTTGTACGAGAGTTTCGATTATGTGTCATGTGGATTTACTGAGTTAGAAGCACATAAAAGACACTCGATTAAACCCGAGAAACTCTATAAATTAACTTTGTGCTACTCTGTGACTCCGCCCCTGGGTAGTCATGTCCTCTTTTTGGGAAGTCAGAATATGGTCACCCTACCCTAAAGGCCAGGAGCCCCCTTGACACTCATGTCAAAGTGCCCACCTTTCCAGTAGAGATGTTACAGACAGGCACAGAAACAGTTTTGATCTGAATAGCCCAGTTCTTTCATTGAAAACACTCACGTTCAAAGTTGACTTGACTGACAGGTAGGCACATTGCTGTTAAGAGCCCACCTCAACTCTGCCTCTTTACCTCCTGCTACGTTTACCAAAAGTAGGTTGAGTTAGCATTTTTAATACTTGGCCTTCAAAACTCCATTAAACCAGTGCATGGCATCATTGAGACATCTTTCATGTTTTTCAGCTGGAAGTAGAATAAAATAACATGGAAGAAACTAAGTGATTATTAGCTATTTAAAAATAATGTGCCAACAGTTAGGCTATATCTACCTTTAGCTTGTTAGCATGTTTACATCTGCCGATTAGCAACACGTACATCTGATTCTGATCAAACCAGCTGTTCTTTTGTAAATGTTTGTGGAAAAAAAAATTGTTCAGGCTATAAACACGACTGTCACAAGTCCAGTATCTTCAGCTGCAATTAGCAATGAAACGACTGACGACAGTGATAAGTGGTAGCTACAAGTCTGCTAAGAGACCTCTCAGAGATCCAAACAATGTTTCCTTTTATGAAATAAGCCAAAGCAATACAGTGAATTTTGTTTGTTTGCTGGATTAAAGTCACTGCTGTTCTGTTCATGCATGTGTGAGGAAAAGCAGCAAGTGGTGAGCAAGTCTGAGCTCTCTTTACTCTTTCTGGTCGATGAACTACTTCTGATGTGACGCACATTGCTAAACTTGGAATTTTGTGCTGCAAGGTCAACACAGCACATGGTCAGACCTTTGGTATAACAGCAAAGGAAGGGCTGTGGAGCTGTTAACTACAGGTCAAATCACTAAAAGGTCAAACTTTCACCAAAGCAGGAGAGATACAACAATATATGCACCCAATTCATTAAAATGTGGTCTGGCTGACTTTCTGACAGAAGGAAATTAACATCTTCAGTCTTTCAGCAAAGCATGGCTAAAAGAAAAGGTGAAGGAACGGAGTAGGAGTAACTCAATGACAGCTTGGCTGGGGGCAGCAACAGCTTTGCCATATGAGAAAGCAGATAAGAATAACTGGTGTAGCCATACATCATAACTCCCCACCCCTGCAGCCCTCCAGTCAACATAAATCAAGGCCGGAGAAAATGAACCAAAAGGGGAAAGAAAGACGTAAAACTAGGTTACAGCATTGTTGAGTGAAAGGGATATGGGAATTCCCTGTAGGTAAAGAAAAAGAGAGGAGGTTAAAAGAATAGTGCAGCTAAGGAGAGGTCTTAGAGAAGGACGAGGCGAAGTAAGAACAGAGTGGGGTGTGGTGGAGGGGTCTAAGAGGCCACAGCGTCTTCTGGTCACAGGGGGCTCAGACTGTGGCACCATTAGCCAGTAAATCTCTCTGTGACTGTTGACATGAGTGACATGTAAGATCCCCAGACACAGTTCGGAAGTAGGGGTGTTACATGTCTGTGTCCCTCAGTCAGGGCACAGTCCGACTGTACAACGCTGTACCTCTACAGTGCTGAGAAAAAAAAATCACAAAAGTCTGTCTTTATAAAAAGAGCATAAAGACAGATAGCTGCTCCCATTCCCCTGTTTTGGTATCACTACACTCTCTTGGGAAGCGCCCCTTTAGTGAAAGCCCCTCTGCTGTCCAACTATACAGGTTATCGGCCTATCTGGGATTGGGTTGGATTTCTGGGGAACTTGGAGTGGGGTGACCAGAGGGGCTTTGAAAGGGGATCCCCCTTGGAGCCTTTCCTCTCACGTACACACCTGTCTGCACGGGATACCACTTCACTTCCAGGCCCTTCTCTGTCTGTGGTCCTGGAGTCTGGAGTCTCCGAGGAAGTGCATTCCTCTCCCGGCTTTGAATGATCACATAACACCCAGTCCATAGGGTCTGCAAACTCTCTAAAGAGCTGGGGGACTATATTGATGCCACTTCATCTGAAAGCAGGGGGTTCTCTCTCTTTTACAATTTAATAAAAATTTGATTAGCACTGCTGAAAGGCTATCTTAAGGACCTTAAACTATCAAACAGAGGCATGTTTCCAAAAACCATTACACTTTAGAGTCCAAAGACGTGACATTCATGTATCACCCTGGTTCTGAGAAACCTCAAACGTCTCAACATGTCTAGGTGTAAATAAGCATTTCTTCTCTTAGCCTCTGGCTCACTGGGCCCATGCCTGATGGACAAGGATATATGTGAGCTGTGTATTGACTTGCAAAAACAAGTATTTACAGCCTCAGTATTCTGCTTTTTGAATGGCCTTAGGAAGCTTTTGACCTGGTCACTTGCATGAAGGTTATTGCAATTCCAGTAAAAAATTCTCAGCAGTCTGACGGACCGACCCAAGTTGAACTAGAGTTTGTGTTTGGGGTCAATGCCACGAGACAAAAAGGGAGTGAGAGGGAGATATTTTTCACCAGCTTTATAAGATTCTGTTGGATATGTTAAATCATGACTTTTTGACCACAGTTAGGGCGTCAAATATTGCAAATTATCTAAGGCTACATTTAAATATTTTTTATACATAGGCAAAGACAGCTTCAGTAATATACTTAATAGTTTTAGTGGCAGATTTTGTTTCAGTGCGTGCAAATTCAATAGTAATTAAAATTTTTCTACTGCAGAATTGGAGTATCTCTATGATTGTATTAACTAATTCAAGAGTATAAAATAATCCAAAATCTACAAACTCAGCATTCCACACTGTAGCATATGTTGGTTAATTTATCATTTTTCTGCATAAATGCTCCCTCCATCTAAAACAATTCTGCATGTTTGTTTTGGACCAAAAATGCTCCCTGACCTCAAAGAGCTGCAGTATCTTCCTCAACAGATTCTTAAATTCAGCTGCTGACCAGCAGGTCAACTGAACATCCATTCCTGAGCTCATACTACAGCTGTGCCTGGCCACACACACACTGTTGCTACTTCTGCCACTGCACATCTAAGTCACTGATTATGGCTTTATTTCATCTGTAGATACAACAATACAAGAATGCTGCAAAACTTCTTTTGTGGCTATGCAAAACTGCTTCACTTCTGAGATTGTTATTTCCTCTGGGTGTCTTCTTGGCTTTTAAAGAAGCATCAATTAAGTGCATGTAGTGGCAGGCACCTTTCTTAAGCTGCCAAGACCCTTCAGCAGCAGCCCCTATCAGAGCATCTGAAGGGTATTTCCTAAATTGAGGTCACACCCAAGCTGTGTCAAACAAAAGACCTCACTCAAGAGCTTTGGGGACACTTTGGCTCAGAAACAGAATAATTCAAGTCTATTCAGGATAAAATTAAATCCAGTGAAATTGTTGACAGTCAATGAGAATAGTGTGAAGTGGATGACATCAATTGGATCCATTTTTGGTTGACTTTTAAACATGAATCTCTATGCAGAAGTATGTCTTTGTGTTGCCGCCGTGAAGACATTTAAATCACACTGAATTGAGGAAATGTTTGCAGACAGGAACTATTTTTAGAGAATAAACTTTGGCGATAATCTCCAATAAATGAGACTTAAGCCTCCCACTTAAATGGCTCACTTACTAAGATCTATACGTAGATCAAATGACCATCAGCCCGCTATCTCCTATCCACCTGCATGTCCCTACATGTCCAGGATAAAGCCACATCCCCCAGGTGTCACCTCTTCAACACTTCCCTTGAGTGATTCATTGGTTGGCTTAAATTGCTCTTATCAGCTATATGATCTTTTCCTAATGTGCTTGTGTGTGTGTGTGTGTGTGTGTGTGTGTGTGTGTGTGTGTGTGTGTGTGTGTGTGTGTGTGTGTGTGTGTGTGTGTGTGTGCGTGTGTGTGTGTGTATTTGTTTCTCTCTTTGCATGGTGAGGGGGTTTGCAGGTGATTAAAAGCAACCACATTTGACCTTTCCATGTGAACCATGGTCACGCAGAAACAGTTTTCTTTAATGTACCAGCCTGCACCACTGCACCTGGCTCAGCTGAGTCATCTAGGAGCTTAAACAATGTAAAAGCAAACAGAAAAAGACTGTTGATCTAATTGAAGCCCTTGCAGCCCCTTCCTACAGTGTAACATTTCCCATGAAAGACATGAAACACCAACTAACTATGCTATAGCCAAATTAATAGGTCATAACACAAGGTTAGAAATCATTTAGCTGGTCAATATTTCAGATTTCAGGATAAACCAGCTGTGTTACCAGTTATAATAACTGACAGAGGTACTAACAGTCATTAAAATAAACCATCTCCTACTTAATTCACGGTCTGGAGAAAAGTTAATGATCAAGACGCAGCTGAGCTTAATGAGAGGCTTCACTTTGCCAGCAAAAGACAGTATTTAGGCAAAAAGACACTTCCTTGGAGCCCTGCCTCCTTAACGGCTCAAATGATGATAGTAGAAGTATCACCAACATGGGGCATGAACCAGCGTAAGTATAGACTAAGACTAGTATAGACCAACTTTTCCCCGCTGTGTTGATTGCCCTTCTAAACCGTGTTTGCATTTTATAGCCGACGCTAAAATGGCAAAGGCCACCTGTTGCATTTTAATGCTTTGCATTTGCTATATTTGTAATTATGTCCGAGTAAATCTGCCGAAGAGTAAGACTTGACAGGCCACATTGCTAATATACATTACATGGTCAAGGCTGTACTTAGCACATCCGATTCATTTAAGAGAATTCTTCAGGATAAACAGGAAAAGAGCATGTCAAAACCAGACTAATAGTAGATTATGTTATACCAGCAGATATTTAGGACGTTTTTATAGAGTGACATATGTATAAGGGGTTTAAAGGGTATATGACATTGAGACGGGACAGGGAATCATTAAAAAGTGCAGTACTTTGGTTAGAAAAGAAAGAAAGAAAGAAAGAAAGAAAGAAAGAAAGAACTTAAGTTACCGGGTTAACTGCAAGGATGATAATATCAGCAAATACAGATAAAAAAATATGTGTTGAACCAATTTAATGAATCAAATGTATCTGATTGAATGAGACTGTTTCAACTGATCATTCAAATCTTCACACATTTCACTAGATCCTTTCGAGCACGTTTGAAAACTCAGTGACACACCACGAGGGAAAGAGATCCTATTGTTCTATAACCATAAAGTTTAAAGCACAGGGTAGTCCCCACTCTTTCACTTTTAACATCACACAGCTAGTATGCTTGGCTCAAGTCACCTTTGACCTCTATCTTTTAAACCTCCTTCTCTTTCCAGAGGGGCGAAAAGAGATGGCGGCTCTATACTGGGTGTCAGTCACGGCCAACTGCCTTAAGTCTTTGTGATGCAAACACTCAGGAGATTGACAGAGCAGGAAGTTTCAATTTTAAGAAGCCATTAAAAGGCAGATAAAGTCTGAGGACAGCCTTCGGGGAAATTATTCCTGTGAACAGGCCCAGATTTAGTGTCAGTACAGACAAGTATGAAATATCAAAGAATTCCTACCGTTGTCTTGAATCGTGAAGTAGAAGATATCACTAGTGGCGTTGCTCCCATCCAACAGCACGTAACAGATCTTCATGTCATCGATATCAGCTGTGGGTGAAACAAATTTAACAAGAGGGTGGTTGGCTTAAAATGAAAGATAACTGTGACCACTGAGGTACTTTTACAAGGTTTTTGTTACAGCCCTTGGGCTGCAATTAAAGTGATACAGGCAACCAGACGCTTTTAAGTTGAGGCATTTAGAGGTGTTTAATATGAAGGCTCAATGTTGTAGAAGAATCTGGAATAGACGTGTAATATTCTTAGTCTTATAAATTAATACTCAGTTAACATAATGAGGATTGTTAACTTAAGATTTTGGTTAAAAATATCTGATAGCTTATGACAGAAATTTCAATCCTTAATCATATGCACCAATGAGTTACCACAAGCTATCATACATTTACATTTATTTTCAAGCAACATCCACAGTTAGTTTAATAAGTTTTAAGTTAAATAATTTAAGTTCTTTTATCTCTTTCCTTGTAAACTTGTTTTTGTTTTTAACTCCTGAATGTGCAGTTCTTAAGTGTCAATGAAATGTTGTACTCTGTCACTAACTTGTTTGCTAACTACAGTAGTTGTTAATATGTTAATTGTCTGGTGGATGGTACTTTTGCCGAGTTTAACTGAAACTTTTTGATTAATGAGTGCTTCCTGCTTCTGCTGAGAACAGGATGAGAGTGGTAAAATCTAACTAGTACAATTATTGATATGAAAAATGTTTCAACACCAGAGTAGAGTTATGTCGCTCCAAATTTAGCCCTCACACTGTTTATTTGCCAAGTGATACAAGGTCATTTGCTGTTGCAGTTTAACCTTTAAAACCTTATTAATAAAAGAAAGGGAGCTTCATCAGCTTACCTTGTGTGAAGGTCTTGACGCTGTCATTGCCCAGTGCTGTGTTTATGATGAAGCCATGCAGAGGAGCTACAGACACAGTGTACTTCAGGGCCTTCTGAGCACTGTCCCGATCCTCTGATCGAAGGGACTTGCTGGTGATCAGGAAGCCGAGGTGGCCTGTTGGGAGGACCTTTAACGAGGCAGCAGCTTTGTTTACCACAATCTGCGGCACACCGTTGTCCACAGTGTTGATGTGGATTGTCATCATCTGGGGTTTGCGTGTTTCATACACAGTATCAGGGAAGACGTAAAACTCAGTGTGAGTGCCATCTGTTACAGTGAAGGAGAAGCTGTCCTCATTGGTTTCAGTGCCATCATGCTTATAGCTGATAAGGTTCTCATTCAGGTCCTGCTTGGTAAAGGTGGTGATTGGCTTAGTATTGTTAAACAGCAGCTGTCCGTGCACCGGCACCTGGGTGACTATGAACCTTAGCAGTTTGTCAGGGGTATCCCGATCCTCAACTGTTAACTCAAATGGTGTAATGAGCTTAGTTTCCCCCTCTTCTACCAAAAGTTTGCTTATAGTCAGCACAGGTTTTTTATTATCCACATCTGTGATGGACACTCTGAATGTGCGGAAAACTGGGTTAAAACCATCTGTCACCTCAAACTCAAAGCTGTCCATTTTCATTTCATCATCAGAGGTGTGGATGTAGTAGATTTTGTTGCCAGCGAGCTGGAGTTGTGTGAAAGTGGAAATGGGGACTCCTGGTTGGTCGGTGCTCTCTAAGTGACCTCTGCTAGGTGCTCTTGTTATGCTAAAGCTAAGGTATTCATCAGGACTGTTGATGTCAGAGGTGCTGAGGAGGTCAGTGGTAAGAGTTACTTTCCCTCCTTCTTTCAGAGTCACACCTTTGTTGATCACATCTGGAAAGACCATGTCGATGCTCCCAATGTTGATGTAAAAGTAGCGGTCAATAAGGGGATTGATACCGTCTGTGACATCAAACTTAAGCAGGTCACGGATTCCCTCCTGGCCGGTGTGTACATACTGAATGAGTTGATTGTCAATTTCATCCTGTGTAAAGTTCATCCCCAGGGTAATATTGCCCAAAACATCACCAAACTTGGTGATACGCTGGAGATAGCCCTGCCCTGGGCCGTAACGCACGACATAGGTCAGCTCTTTGTCTTCAGAATCAAGATCTGTCGCCTTTAGAACTCTGTTGCTGATGACTTTTGTCTCTCCAATTTCAACGTCAAGACCATCGTTTATAGCCATCCTTGGTGTCTCATCATCAACTGGAATTACCATGATAAGGACAGTTTTTTCCACTGTATGTTTCCCATCTGAGAGCCTGATTTCAAAACTGTCCTCTTTGGTCTCTGAGTCATCATGTTCGTAAACAATATTTGATGCCTCTTTAATCTGTTCCAAATCAAAAGTTTCTACAGTGATGGTGCCAGTGCTGAGCTGCTGAACTATTGAGCCATGTTTAGGTTTTTTGATGATCTCAAAGTACAACTCATCCCCGGGGATGTCAGCATCAGCTGCATTAAGAATTGGCGTGTCGATGACCAGACTCATGCCCTCCATTACCACAAACTCACGGATAAAAATCTCAGGTTTCTCATCATTGGCTGGAATGATGACTATGGGGAAGAAATGACGTTCAGAGAAGTTAATGCCATCTGAGCAGCGGAAGGTGAAACGATCCTCCACAGGTTCAACCCCTTTGTGAATACTTTGGACATAGTAGATATGACCAAGAGTGATGTCTTTGATACTGAAAGCTGTGATTGCTGTCCCTGCCCTGGATTTCTCAGAACCTGCAGCTGGGGAGATGTTCTCCACATAACCAGATGTTGGCTGGACAATGATTGTGCACAGGATATCGTCATCATTAGTGTCAATATCTTCAGCTTGGATATGATTTAGAGTAATTACATTCTTCTCCCCCTCCACTGTAACAAACGGATCTCCAACACTAACAATAGGTGGAATGCTGTCAACAGGAAGGATAGTGACGTGAACTTTCACACCCTGGACTTTGTTGCCACCAACAACCCACTGATCTGACAAATCAGACAGAGTAAGATTAAAGGAGTCGTATTCTTTGATTGGTCCAATTTCACCAGATGTATGAGCATAAACCACTGCCCCATTGATGATGTCTTCCTGGGTGAACCGCTCTGCAGGAGCACCATGAACCAGAATTTCACCAAGCTTCGGAGGCTCTTCAACAATGAATGTGAGCATGAGATCATCTGTGTCTTCATCACGACCCTGAATGACATTACTTGTGATCTCTGTCGCCCCATTTTCCAGCACATCAATAGATGCTCCAAGGAGGCCTTCTGAAAGCACAAGTGTAGGGGGTTCATCATCAACTGGTTCGATGGTTATCTTAATGGTGATTGGTACCTCATGAAAACCATCACTGACATCAAGTTTAATGGCATCGCTCAAGGATTCCTCTCCACTGTGGATGTAAGCAATGCGGCCGTTTTCAATGTCTTCAAGTACAAATGTCTCTCCGTTTGTCATCTCGATCCCCAAGTACTGCAACTGCCCATACACTGGAACCAGGGTCAGGGTGAACACGATATTTTCATCATCTGTATCTGTGTCTGTAGCATGAAGCTCTTTTCTGGTGATGATATATGTACTGCTTTCCATTACAGTGAATCCTGTGTTCGTGATAAATGGGGGTTTGTTGTCAACCGGCTGTAAGAAAATGGTAAAAAGTCCATCCACTGTGTTTCCAGCTGTGTCCTCCACAATAAAAGTGAACTGAGCTACTTTGGGGGTGATACCCAGCTCCTGGTCTGGAGGCTTGTAGGCTACTTTATGGTGATTAACCTGGGCCTGTGTGAACTCTGTAATTATAGTGTCAGGGCTGTCAGTCAGGACAATATCACCCAAGGGAGCTGGATTGTTCTCATCAGTGTCAGTTGGGGGCTTAATGATGGTGTACTTCAAGTCCCTATCATCTGAGTCTAAATCAGTGTAACACAAGAATTTTTTCCTAAAGTGCGTCAGTTCGTACTCCTGGACCGTCATGTGAAGGGTGGTTCCTGTGAGAAGCTCTGGGGCAAGGTCATCAACAGGATGTATTTTAATGGTGAACATGTGTTCCCCTGATTGATTAGGAGGGTCATTGTCATCCTGAACACGGAAAATAAAGTGATCGATTACAGTGGTGGTGCTATGCGGTCCGATGTGACGGTAGAACAGCTTTCCATCAAGAATATCCTGCTGAAACCATTCGGTCACCACCTGTTCAAACATCTCATCGGTCTCACTGAACTTCCATAGAGATGGGTCAGAGGGAGGCTCTACTTGCCTTAACAAAAGCTCACCAACCGTGGAGTATGGAGCTTCCAGTATAAACTTAATGGTTGAATCTTCTGAATCAATATCTGTGGCACTCAGGATAAAGGGAGAAATCTGCATGACTTCATTTTTGAATAGCACCAGGCCAGTGTTAGCATTGATAATAGGAGGCTCATCATCAGTTGGAGCAATCGTGATGGGGAACAAAAACTCCACTTCATTGCCGCCATCAGTCATCCTAAAAATAATGTTGTCGCTATAGGTATCGCTGCCGTCATGCTGGTACACTACAATGCCGGCATCTAGATCGGCAGGTGTAAAGAATTTCCTGCGAGAGCCGAGCACGGTCAGGTCGCCATGCTTTAAGCCATCAACCACAGTTATTCTAACATCTTCCAGGTTGTCCTCATCACTAATCTCTAAATTCTGGGAGCTGGAGAGCGCTCTGGACTGCCCCTCAAACAATAGCTGCCCTGTATTTTTGGTCGCTACAGGAGCCAAGGTATTCATTGGCTTCACCACAATCATAAAAGCAAAGGTATCAGACACAGCGCCGTCAGTGTCTACAATTTCAAGCTCTAGCTGAAAAATCCTCTCTACTTCTGAGTCCTCTGAAGGTGGCTTATAAGCTATTTTAAGATCTCTGATATCCCTCTGATAGAAGGAAGTGATAGGCAAGTTCTGATCATCTGTGCTGAAGATATAACCCTGTTGAGGGGTCAGTGGAGAAGTAATGTTGAAAATTAAATCATCTGGGTCAGTTTCGACATCTTCAGCAGCAAGCATGTCACTCGTAATAGCTGTCATCACAAACTGGTCAACCTCCATCATCATCATGGCAACAAAGCTGGGTTTAGGAGCTGTGTTCTCTGCACCCTCTCTGATCCTAACCATCATTTGGAAATACTCTTGAGTTATGATGCCGCCTTCGTTATCCTGCAGCTCAACCATCATTGGTACGTAGTCTCTGTTTGGTGAGTTGGTTTTAGCTGTGTGCTTGTAGCGAATGCCCTGTTTCACAAACTCTTCACAGTCAACCATTTGGCCATTTTGGTTATTCAAAAGGATGCCATACCTGGGGAGACCTCCAGCGCTGACCAGAGTGGCGATCTTACACTGTGTGACGCCATCCTCAAAAGTGAACTCCAAAGCCTTTTTGTCAATGGGGTTGCTGTCGCCGCTGAGCTTTTCAACATTGAGGGGCATATTCCTGGTGAGGATCTCAAGTTGCTGGAAAACCACCTCCACCTCCAGCATAAAAGGGATGATAACTGTGTCTGTTTGAGAGTCATAACGAAGCTGCAGCTTCACTCGATCCTTGCTGGGGCTACGGGATCCAAAATGAGTGTACTTCACTTCATCGGGTCCAAAAGAACAGGGAAACTTTTTGGGGGTCAGCATGCCAGGTTTCTGGGCCAGTGGGTCATTGTCCAAAACGGTGATGTGGCAGCGGTCACCAGGCTGCACTTCGGTTACCAGGTCATTCAAAGGGTCCAAAAAAACAGACCTACCAAAAGGCACCCTGATCCCATTGTTAGCGATGATGATGTTGTCTTCATTAGGTCCAGATCTGTGGCGATAAAGATGAGCTGGGTCAAAAGGCTCTGCATCGACTGATGTAAAACAAAGACCGAGGGCAAATGTCACAAGCAGGCATCTCAAAAGTTCCCACTTCTGACAAAGTGGTGAACTTTGCAGACAACCAGCCATATCTTTAGCCAGATGCCTTGCAATTTTTTTCAGAAGTCAGCAGTAGCAGGCAGATCTGTTTCCCAAAAAGAGGGGAGAAATCATTAAAAAAGAAAACTCTCAGTGATGGTTTGGGCCTCAGAGCAGGTCCTCCCTGTGTCTCTCTGTTTCTATGTGGCCACACGGAGACACAAGTGTGGTGAATGCTGCAGGGCTGTGCAGGTAATAATGAAACAGTAGACAGTGACAGGCTCAGGCTCCTCCTTCTGTCAGCGCAGGGAGGGAGCCTCCTGCCCCCATGGCTAATTTAAGAAAAACCATTGGACAAGACTGTGAAAGTGCTCCCCCAACCAACACCCACCCTCTCCTCTTCTCTCTCTGAAACAAGTGAGGGATCAAACCCAGACACAAACTACTCTTCCCTACTTTATTGGAGTCTGTTTAATTAACTCATTTCCACTGCCTGACAATATAATCCTGTTAAATATGCATTCTGTGGCTTTTTCCCATCTTTCTCATTTAAATAATGGGATTTTTCTATCTTTTGCATGTTGACTATGCAATACATCGTGAATATAAGAAAGCAAAGCAAAATCTATGCAATAAAACATAAATTGTGCATAAGATTGAGTCTCTCCTCGGTAAATAGATAACTCTGGGCAAGTATCTGGTTTAACTGTAACTTTTTAGTTGGATTTATAAAATTGTGAATCATTATTGACCTGTGTGATTTGCAAACATAGCCATAGAAAGAGTACATTATAAATAATATCAAGTAACTAATTAATAATAACTGGATCACTACAGTCTATATGTCAAAGTCAAGATCTGGCATTCCCAGCACTAGACTGTAGAAGAGGGGACTCATTCTGCATTGCAGAGGTGCAAAGAAGAGATGCACAAAGTAAAGAGGATATTGTGGATCATTTGTTCTGATTGTTCTGTTATATCAATAATATACTTTGCAAACAAATAACACAAATACAGTTGATATTCATCTGAAGTTTACCCAATTTCAAATGTAAACAAATACGCAAAGTTTGTTTTTAACACGAGCACAATATGCCTCCCTAAATATGGGGTATGAAATTATTACCTAAAGATTTTATCTTCTGCTTTCTAAGCAGTGGGACAACGAGGTTGTGTCAGAGGGACAGCTCGGCACCGGTGTGGCTGTTAGACCCACACTAATCTGACATCAGCTGGTAGGACAGGTGTATGAGCAGTGTTCAGTCCCACACACAGCAGGTCATAAAATACTTCCAGGAATTTACACATTTGGTAAAAGTGCCCTCTATCGAGTCTCTTGTGAGTGTTTATTAACATTCTGTATTATATGAAATTAACAAGCTAAGAAAAGGTATAAAACACTATTGTTGCAAAAGAAATAGTACTTTAGGAGTTATTAGTTAAATTCTTAGAAAGAATGCAGGAAATTTGCTTGTTTTTCACTGATTCTGACAAAGCCTGGCATGGAGAAATCAACGAGTCACTCAGTTGATGCGATGAGAATGTGAGAATGTGTACTCAGTATGGTGCACAAGGTCATGTTAAGATAAAAATACCTAGTAGCCTTTTATGGGTCATCTTTGAATCGGGCCTGACACTTGATAAAGAGATGCACCAGCATTGCTCAGACATCTTCACACAGTTCTTTCAATTGCAGAAGCAAACTGTGAGTAAACTTCAATCATCTCTTATGTCAGAGAAAATATAATTACATCTCTTTTGATTTTTTAATAGACAAATGTTTATGTGGATTTATAAAACAAATAAAAATGCTTCTATTAATTAGAGATGAACTCTTATCTGTAAGGCCACTTAAAAGCCCTTCATTGATAAAGACTAACTAGATACTACAAGTTTAGCAATTTAAAGAACTTCTCTGTTAAACTTCCTCTCTTTATAGGACATGAGAATGCTTTTGAGACAACACCGTGGACCATTCAGTGACCTTCCCCGAAGTGCGGGCCAAATAGCAGAGATGCCATATGCATCCAGGCATTCTGTATCACACTTTTCATTGCATCCTCTAAATAAATCTTGCCCTCCTCACTTGACCAGCCAAGAATAAAAGGGGACACACACACACACACACACACCCATAAACTGTTGGGTGTAACTATAGAAACAAACACAGCAAGCTTCTTTTTTTTTTTACTCTAGATTTCACTCACATTCTGTTGCAAGTATGTACTGTAAAATATCAAGACCCATATAGACTCAAAAGTCAGATCTAAGTTCTGGATCTAAAGTCCCCATAAAAGTCCATATTATAAACCATAAGAAAGATGAGGCACCTCCCAGGTTTTGTCTGTTCATCCAGTGACAAAACTAGCTACTAAACACACCTGTTCTCAGAGAGAAATAGTCTCATTCCTTTAGCCATTAGTTTGGCTTTGTCCAATTTAGATATTAAAGACATGACATGCCTTTAATGAACGTCCAGGGTAAACAAAGTGAGAGGCTGGGTCGACGCCAGGCCGCGCTACCCGGGATCAAGTCTTCATCCAGGGGCAGCTAATGATGACAGCAGCCAGTAATGATCTCATGATAGATGGAAAACAAAGCCCGGGTGGATCCCATCCCTATCATAAACAGCCTCACATGGAGAAGATGGGGTTTACTTTCTTTCCTCTTGGTGCAGTTGTTGCGTCTGTCAAGATTAAGCCTCACTGAGGTTTGACTGTACAAACATTTTTGTGTAATTTTATCAGTCATTCAACAAAAAATGACTGAAGAACACACCTTGCCTTTATCTATTTTGTAGATGAAAGGCTTACTGTCTTACCATGCTTTTAGCACCTATTAATACAATATGTCTTAAATGCATGTTCTAGGGGTGAGTGAATCTGTAACATGTCTGAAAAAAAAAGGAAAATGAGATACAACAGGGGAAAATAAAGAAATAAATGTAATAATGTTTCAGGAAATAGGTCAGGACAGAGGATTCAACCAAAAAACCTAAATCAACATGGCATTCCTCAACTTAGCACACTGACAGAAGCTGTAATGGATGTTTCCCCTTCACAAAGGCAACAGTTTTAGTGTTCATTCCTCACATTCTGAGCGTGTCCATAAGAGTTATCATATGAAAACATCTCTATCATTCATGCAGCAGTGGGACAGCTCAGTCCAGCAGTGCAGGACACTTTCACTTCTCTATTATAAGGTAAACTATCAGCTCAACACTGAAATGTGACCATTATCAAGTTTTTCACATGGTTTATGACTTTCTTGTAGCAGGTACTGCAACTATTCCACAGAAAATCTATTTCCTGCACTTTCACCGTACATATACGTTCATCACCTGTCTATATTCACTTTGCAGGTGTATTTACTTTACATACATTATGTCTTTACTGTAATGTTCTTTTCTGATTTGATTTATATGATTTTCTTAACAGTTTTTGTAGCGCTGTATAGAAAGGAACAGAAGAAAGACACTTAACTGTTGATAAAGACTGACAAACACTGAGCTTTGATACATTTGCAGTGCTAATCGTATATTTACGCACTGAGATTTTTTCCTTGCAAAAGAAATCACTATTTCACGTAAATGGCCCAGTTACTACACAGTAATTCTAAAGGATAAACTGCAGTATGTTTGAACGATCTCAGGTAAAAGTAGCTCTGACAGATCCTTTAAAACCACGTTGTGACATCAGAGCGGTAGCTGACCCCTGATAAACTTCGCGTCCTCTTAGAATAGCCGAAGAAGATTGCCCCTGCATTCTCCTCACTACGCGCTAGCATGCTAATCATCCAGGCCTGTTGTAAATATACACAGCATAAAAATAGAGGATACTGAGACCTGAGACATTTGGATCCAGTTCCGAGGAGGAACAGGTTTGTGTTCTGCTGCTCTGGATGATTTGGCTCTGGGTGTCCATGACTGCGGTCAGGTTTGAGGAGCAAGAGCACAAATTTTAGATCCGCTCCTGCCGTCACTGCTGCACCGCAGGCTCAGTGCAACATTTCATCCGCTTAACGGTGGATTAAAGCATCCTGCGGGCAGATTGATATAGGCCGGAGCTATCACTTGTCTTTAAAGGAGAGAGGAAGCCCATGGAAACAGGCTGGATATAGCAGCTGGATCAGAACCAAACACTGGGCAACACTTCACTGTAGATGGACATTTAAAAATATTATATGGCTCATGAAATTAAACAGAAACTAGATCTATATAAAGGCAAGCCCTTCAGTGACAAGCCCAAAGTGAACAGGCTTAATTGTGTTGAAAGCACATAGTTTTTTCATACTCACTATGGTGAATGAATGGTTTTCAATTGTAGAAACATGAGTGACCCTCTATTTCGAATGTTGTTTGAGGTTCAGGTGGGCCCTATTACGAAGTTAATTCACATCCTTTACGAGATAATGGCTGACATAAATGTTGCAGATCCTTTAACAATGTCACTTTGAACCAAGTATGTTTGCACTTGGAGAAAAAGGAGTCTGTGATCTTAGAGAAGTCAGCGTTGAAGCAGGAAAGTATGGAGAACTTTAAACAAGTTAATTGACAGGATTACTGTTTTTCTATCCTGTCGAAAACCTTAGTCTGTTTTACTGATATATGTCAGAGTCATGTCCATGAAGTCTGTCGATAAAGTTTTACTTTGATGAAAGTGATGTAGTGTAATCGATACAGAAAGTAAAAAGTTAACATGATCAATACCTGATCAATAATCAGACATATCTGACAAAGTTAGAATACTTTGGACTGTACTTTTTAATACAGTAAAATTGTCACAATAGAAACTTTCTCACTATGAACAGTAATAGCACAACAAGGCCAGAATGCAGCATCAACAAAAATAACACAGCGTCCTAAACTGATACAGAAATACTTAAAAAATCTGAAAAATGTATAACAATATCTGTTCAATGTATGTAGCATTCATAATTTTGTTTTTTATGCATAGAATTATGGTATCTTACAAAATATTCACAGATCGGTAACACTTGACATGGATGAATAATCTGATGAACTAACAGTGTTTCACATGAATTAACGGTCTCATACATTACATTATCTAAGCTATGTGACTCATCATGACTTATGCATTATCTATGATGTTCATAAATGCTTTATAGGTAAGTGTGCAGTTTAAAACACTGGACAAAAACAAAACAAACAAACAAAAAAAAAAACAATCTGTTGAATTCCAGGTATTGCAATCATGATTAATTCAGCATTACTTCTCTGTGACTCTGTTGTGTTTGTGGTCCCTCAAATAAAGCAGAGCCCTAAAGCATTTTGTTAAGCATGTATCATCACTTAGTCTGTAAATCCAGTGAGTTTTAGCCGACAGGTAAACAAAGTTAGTTACCAGTACCTAAAAAGCAGAGCTCAGCTGATCCCTGAAAAAGTTTCTTCCCATCAACACCAGGCGGGATTTTTTAAACAGCGTGAGCCGATGTGTCCTTTTCCCATGTGGTCATTGCAGAATTAATGTGCTGTTGTTAATCTGGAAGAAAGAAAGAACAACTTGTGAAACAATGTTTCCCGTCCCACAGTCACGTGTCCTGCTATCACCTGCTTTTTTCCTTCTTGTACCTTCTGCTTTGGCCAAGTTTATGTGGCCTTTGTCATGATCTTTGACCTTTCTGGAGAAACATCTGTTTGAGGGAAAGGAAAACTGACATAATCCCGCTCTAGATCTATTGAAGTGATTTACGCTTAACCATTAAATGACTAAAAGACAGAGTTGTCCCTGAGGCTGATGGGACGAGAGGACAGAGAGGTCTGAGGAATCATTCATATGTTTGTCTACAGAGATAACTAGTCATTTCTGTTATTGCTTTTAGCTGTCATTTGAAGAAATGACTACTTTACAAAGGTTTCAGGTCAGCTAGCTTATTGCATCTTGACAATCCCTCAAACCCTTTCGTTTGTATTTCAAAGTGGTGTTTGTTCACACAGCCCACAAAAGCTCAAATCTGAGTTAAATCAAAACTAATCTAAAGGAGTGTGTTTTTAGACTAGAGTACTGCGGCTCAGGTTGCAGGTAGGACTTCACATTTATCTAAGTCCATGCAGCTATGCAGAGTTTAAACCCCAATGACAGATAGGGATCTGGGGAGACCAGTTGGCCACTAGAGTGAAACCTGGCTGCTGAAAGATTGGGAATTCCAGTGGGGATTTAGTAGTAAGGAGGAAAATGCCCAACTGAATCCCAAGCAAGGATGTTCACCTTTTTTAGTCACCCATGAATACAAAAAAACTCTCTACAAAGTGCTATTGTCAGGTTTGACAACAGCACTTTGTAGAGACTATTTAAAGGTCAAGTTTGTCCTTTTTTTAACCCTTTTTAAGCAAAAATAAAGGTTTCAAATAAGACAGCTGTGAGTTGGACAAAATGTTCTTAATTTCATTTCGTGTTACATAAGGAACATACCTTTTAGCTGGCTTCTTCGGGGCACAAATGAATACCTAAACATTACGTCATGTGTCACTGAACTGGACTTGTATGTACTTTGTGAAGTGATGAATGTTTTTATTGGGGCTATTGACTCAACAAGGGGTGTGCACAAAAACAGAAGTCACAACAACTGGAGCGATAAAAAGTAACAGGTCTGACAGACTGATTACTCCAGAGTGACATTTTCCTGAACTACAATGCAGAGCTTGAGAGGTACTCAAACTATGCTAACTACAGCCCCTTCAGCAGCCAAGTCAACCTAGCAAATTCACTGCCCCCCTTTCCCTTCAGTTAAGGGGGGCAGTGCTCAACTTTTAAACAATGAAACGTCAAATCTCCTCAGCCAAATCAAGAAAAAGAAGTAAAATAAAAAGGGTAGGAAGTTTGGAGAGTTGCAGTGACTGGCAAGTATAAATATGTTTCTGATTGACTGAGTTAGGAGTTAAAGGGATATTCCGGCATAAAATTAATTTATGGTCAAACACACCATAAGACTGAGTTAGACACCTCCTCGAGAGATAAATGTTGCCGTCCGCTTGCTTCTCTAGTTATGCCAACTTTAGTACGACTGCACGATAGCAATACACAGCGGTCTGAAAAGCCATAAACAAACCTCAACCAAAAAGCCACTCTATAGCCACAAATAATGCTCAGAACAGCACCTAACTTCATCTACAGTACGGACTACAGCGGGGTGACGCAGCTCAAGGAAGAACATTTATGATCATTTATCATTTCCTTTAAGTAATAATCATCATATTAATCATTTTTCACTGCAGACGCGATAGTTCTTCTGCCTTAGTGTCTCGGTCTGATTACATATCCAGGAAGTAATAATCATAAATGTTCTTCCTTGAGCTGCGTCACCCCGCTGTAGTCCGTAATGGACTGGCCCAAGTTCTCGCTACAAACAAGCGGCTGCTGGAAGAGAGTATGTGAGTTGTGTTTAGTCTCTTTGCTAAAGAAATTTGGCAAAGTTAAAAAGATGTTTGGTGGCTATTGCTATGTCTGGGACCCTATATGTACTTTTGATGAAGTTCGGTGCTGTTCTGAGCATTATTTGTGTCTATAGAGTGGCATTTTGGTTTAGGTTTGTTTGCGGCTCCTCAGACTGCTGTGTATTGCTATTGTGCGGTTGTTACTAAAGTTGGTATAACTAGAGAAGCAAGTGGTCGGCAACATTCATCTCTCGAGGGGGTGTCTAACTTGGTGTTATGGTGTGTTGGACCCTTAATTAATTTTTACGCCAGTTTACAGTTCTTTGTTGCTTCCATTTGAATGTTTCAATACTAAATACTTTCACACATCAACTCAACAACATGAAAGGAAAAAAAAAAAACTAACATTTTCAGCAACGTTCATTCAGCATCACCTGAGACTCCACCTGAGCCTTAAACTGTGAGTGACTGATGAGAGACAAAGATGTAATAAAGCTACGGTGTGACTCTGACAGCCTGACACTGCCTGAGGAATGTGGAGCCGATGCCAGAGGCGATACCAGCAGGTGAATGAGTGTCCGTCTGTCAGCAGGTCTCCTGATCACAGTAGCTCTGCCAACTGCACACAGCCGGGGCAGGAATGTTTGAACCAGCATGGAGAGCAACAGGAGACAAAACTGTCCCTACAGCTGTGGACCTCATGGGGTCTGCATTCTGGGGGAGTTACAGCTCACCGAAGGCCCCTGGACATAAAGGCGGCTGTATCCATGTTTATGGAGTTTTATCTATGCTAGCTCCTTTGACTGCATTTAAATTTAGTGTAAAATATCTTGACAAAAACAGGATGGATGGCCATCAGATTTGGTCCAGATAGTCCAGATCCCTGGAGGGCAAATTCTACTCACTTAAGTAAACTGACCTCCTTTTGGAAAAACCAGGAGGTCAAAGTTATCCCTTATTCTCTGACACAACTATTCATGCTCAGTGGAAAATAAGTCCTCCGGGATTTGCCATCAGGTGTCAGGTGACTTCTCAGGTACCCAGACTGTCCATTGAACACGGATTTGTTTTCTCGATTCCTCCTTTTTTGTTGAAAAATACTGACTGAACTTAAGAGTGCATGCACAGTTCAGGTTATGCTGAGAGGGCCTTCCACTGGATCAAACAGAAAGCTACTTTAGACAGCCTGATGCGGGTAAAAAGTGACAGCTTAGCACTGACATTGAGGCGTGCACAGGAGTGATCTCGCTAGTGGAGCCAGGGGACTGACTTGACACCCTTTCTGCCAACCAAAACACACATTTGCAGTGAATCGCCAAAGGATAAGAGTGTGATTGTTAAAAATTGACTCAATATCATGTACCCACGCCAGTGAGGTGCGAAGAAGAGAAACACCCCTGTGCTAAATTAAGCCCTCTAAATGTTTTGAAGGCCACCTGCCAGAGTATAAAGTGAAGTACAAAGGAAGAATCTAGAAAATGTGACACTCTTCTTGTAAAGTGTCTATGGTGTAAATAGTGAGGGTCAAGGCCCAGTATACTTTGACATCTCCTAAAATAAAGGATGTAGGTCAACAGGACGGAGTAAAAGCTAGCCTTTTAAAAGACCAATCACTTTTACTTTCCACTGAACCAACTGACTCCTGCAGAAGGATTAAAACATGAATTCAGAATTAAAAATTGCAAGCTCAAATATAAGATAATTATTCAAACAGTGCACAAAGAAAACTACCTGATAGAGATGCCAGCCAAAAAAAAAAATCAACCATTTTTCATGACTTTCTCTTTTTCCCACAAATACTGTTTTCCCATGTTTCAGGTTGTGTCATGTGCAGGGTTGTTTGTTGAAATATATCCCAGTTCAAGCTTCACATCACAGCGGCCGCTGCACACCCAATTCTGCAGAGACTTGCTCTGCGACAGGCAAAGAATGTCAGCCAGTTGACTCTGACATTGAGGCCACATTATTCTCCTTCAGCCGCTGTGTGTACCCTTTAATTAGGATTGTCTGACCCCTGACCTCTGGTAAGAACCTCAACCCAGAAGCCTCTGCAGGTCAAAGAACCGATGCAAGAAGCGGACAGAGGTTTTGGTTTTGATAAAGAGGGGTGACACAGGAAGCTAACCTTGTAAAGTCTGGCATACAAAGAGGAAGGCATCAATCTGGGGTCCTTGTGTAATCGCACCAATCAAGGAGCTCAGCAGAGGATCCACTTTGAGGACAATCAGGCTGACTTCACTCGTCACTGAGCTTTTTTTTTTTTCAACAAAAACACACCCTGATCTCAAGAGAAGCTCAGATTGAAAAAAAATCTACCAAAAACTAGTTCTTTAATCTCCTTAACTTTTTTCTGCTGCACAGTCTTTAATATGTTGACAGAGCCACATCCTCTCAAGTCAAAGGCCAAACAAGACTGACAGATTTATTTTTCCAATGTATGCCTGGAATGACTAACAAACTTTTTTTTATTTAGTTTATGATGCTTTAACAGGTGAAAGTGACCTTCTCAACTTGACCTCTGCTGCAGGATTCACAAGCTGCACAACTGACGGCCTGACACTTTTCAGGAATCCAACTTGAAAATTTGTTAATATCATTAATCCACAGCATTCAACGTGTTAGGAGGGGTTCTCATTCAGAAAAAAAAGTCAAACCAAAGAACACGACTTTACTTGGAGCTGCATCTTTTCTCCTGACTTACAGGTGTATTCTGGCTTAAAATTAAGTTAGGATCAAACACACCGTAACACTGAGTTAGACACCCCGTCGAGAGATGAATGTTGCCGACCGCTTGCTTGTCTGGCTATACCAACTTTAGTAACGCCACCGTCTCACCTACCCTCTTCCAGCAGCCGCTTGTTTTGTATGGAGACCTTGGGTGGGTCCATCAACTGCAGCGGGGTGATGCTGCTCAAGGAAGAACATTTATGATCATTTCTTCATGGAAATGCAATCAGACCGAGATGCTAAGGCAGAAGAACTAACACATCTGAAGTGCCAAATGATTAATATGATGATTATTACTTCAAGGAAATCATAAAGAAATGATCAGAAATGTTCTTCCTTAAACTGCGTCACCCCGCTGCAGTTGATGGACCCACCCAAGGTCAACAAACAAAGCGGCTGCTGGAAGAGAGACGGTGAGACGGCGGCGTTACTAAAGTTGGTATAGCCAGACAAGCAAGCGGTCGGCAACATTAATCTCTTGACGGGGTGTCTAACTCTGTGTTATGGCGTGTTTGACCCTAACTTAATTTTACGCTGGAATATCCCTTTAATGCAAAACTAATATAGGCTGCATCAAACCGCTTCTGACTTCAACTACACTTCCCAGATGGTTATGAGAAAAAATATTAATTCCTTAATCCAACTCTAAGCAAGAACCCCCTAAAAGAAAATCTCACAGAAGCCACCCACTACAACAAATCTTTCATGAAAAGCCAACATGTAAAAAAAATATGTTGAAATGAGGAGTTTCTTTTCGACTGGATTTGAACGCCTCCAATATTGTTCACCTCACGTCCTTTTGGTGACGTGAATCTTGAAGTTTGAATCTGGTCACAAAGAAAAAATGTTGAGCAGACCCACAAAAAGCTTGACAAAAAAAACACACTTGTGGTTGAACCATGCACGGAATTTTACGTCGTAGGTTGACGCTAATGAATGAAACTGAATGCATCTTTTGATGAATGCTTGCTGTTGTTCTGTTGCCAAGATGACGGTGTCTGGGTAATGTTTTCTGTTTATCCCAAAACACAGACGTGAATGAACTAAACGTCTAGGTGGCAAGGCTTTTGTTTTTTTTTAATATGTAAATAGTGGTTATGTAATTTTCAACATTCCTTTTTAGGGATTTTTTTTTGTAAGTTTGTAGTTCATTGCATTAACAGAGGGATTTTCAGTCAGAAAACTGTCCACTTCTTTGTGACCATTCCTGATCAGCAAATACTTCAAACACAGCCCTTTGATTTGACAAGTCTAAACGTGGCATTCGAGACTTTGAAATGCAAGTTTTCAATTTCTTGACCAAAACTTGATGCTTTGTGGCAGAAAGTAAAGAGTGGAGGAGGCAGAGTCCTCCTCCACCAGCTGTTTTCTCTTCCTAGTCTGAAGGGATTGTCGGTCTGTGTTTCCTGACAGTCCCTCCCTCCTGTAAAGCTGCCCAGGTGTAATGGGCGACCCGCCGATCTGAACCACATCAAACCACCCAGGCAGGAAGCTTTCCTTCACTGTTATTACTGAGACAAAAATCCTTCATTTACTGCATTGAGTATTGTCATCCTGCTACCCATAAACCTGTGTTTGCAGCTCCAGAATCGCCTGAAAGAATGATGATGTTTCTTCTCATTTGGAAGAATAAAAGAAGAGGAACAGATTGAAAAAAATCCATGAATAGATGTTTAAACTTCTGATGGGGTTAGTTTCTGAGCACACACTTAAGTCAGAATGTGACTCAAAAAACCAAACACAAACTTGGTTTGCGTTGGATCCTCAGCTTTCCTTATCCTTATGACCTGTCTCTGAACCAGTGCCATCACCCACCCTCCAAAAACAGCCTCTGCTAATAAAACAAGCCCTGTCTGGTTAACTACCAGCCTTTATTGTCTCAGACAGTTACAGCTCGGTCTGTCACTCTCTTCCACTCGCCTCCTCCTTGCTGTGAAATATTCATCCTGGGCAGTGCAGACAGTTTCCTCCAACATTAACCATCAAACATGAAAGCCCAGCTCTGACTGGAAAATAACACAGTGGAGCTCGGGTCTAATTATGCTGGTTTAGTTTATGACTTGTCAGCTCGTATCCATTATTCTCAACTGCAGAACCGGGAGCAGTCTTTCAACTGATGTTTCCAGGTTGCTCATCACGTCTCGGACCAGGTGGGAGAGAATGAGGGGTTCGCTTTTTTCCTTTGGGCTTTTGTTTTTCCACTTAAGAGCCATAATGATTTCAAAGTCTTCTCAGGATATGATTCAGTTGTCACTTCCTTTTGAGAAACAGTCTTATTCCAAACTGCATTTAATCCATGTAACACCTTTGTAATTTATGCAAAAGCAAAGATCTTCAAACTTCCATCATGAACTTCCTGTGAAACACCAGTTTATAGAGGACACACTCATTCCACTCAGAAACCAAAATGTGTTGAGTAACGTATATATCATTTCACCTAAAACATTTTACTTGTTCTCAAATGAGACCTATGTATACTTACCTGTGTTTTAATACATGCAGTTAAAAAGATTGATAGCCATTATAAACAACGGCAACAGTTTGAAAGATGAGATTCACAGCTACTGGTGTAAATCCTGGATGTGAATACTAGGCTCTCTGACTGACTGGTTTCAATTGTCCAGCGACACTTGGCCTGTGAGACGAGGTTGCTGCTGTTCTTTCTATCCAAAGGTGATGGAAACAGAAAACAGGGGTAAGTTCATGTTTTGATGAAACACCAGCCAGAATGTAGCTGTTTGTGCTCCCCGCTTTACTGATGACTCCTTTGTTTAATAAGAAGGCGAAATAACTAATATAGGGTGAGCTGAATTCATGTCTCACTTGTTACCTTTAATGAGGGCTTTGAACCACAAGCTCTAAGTACTTTTCTAATCGAGAATAATGCGTTTTAGACAGAGGCTGAATAGTCATCAAATGGGGATTTTGATGTACATGTGTACACGACAGTTATATTATATTATTCTTTGAGTTGCAAATTATGCGAAGCTACTCTAAAGGTGTCCCAAAATGAGATAATAAAGATGAAATAAATGAGTAAAATAGTTTTTTTTTTTTAAGTAATTAGAAAAAGAGACAAATATTACATTTAGAAAACAGACCAACAGCTTTTCTTGTTCTCCTGAACGATTGCAGGAGTAACTTGAGAAAGGTTTATGTTTTTGTTGGGCCATTTTCATCCTTTTGTGCTTCTTGGATTAAAAGTTTGTAGTAGGCAAACAGAGGAGATTCAGGTTTGATTGCGGTCATGTTAAGTGGGTTAATCTTTATCAGTGTTTGGTGAGGTTGAGTCAACCAAATGACTTTGGTAAACATTTAATAAAGATTGGGATTTTGGTTGAATGTTAACAAGACAAAGATATTTCCATTGAATCATGATCTCTGATTTAAGGATCAGAGATACATAAAAAGTCTGCATCAAAATAACAAATTAAACATGAAACAAGATGGTTTGAGCCAAAAAGAGCGTTCGATTGAGGTTTGATATTAAGATAAAGGGCTATTTAAAGCAGAACAAGGTTTTAAACATATAGGACAACAACTGAGGGCCTCTGCAGAGGTGTTTTGGATATCCAAAGCTTTTTTGAGAACAGAGATGATCCGTGAACGTTGAACACAGATCAACCGAACGCTCAGCTCCTCAGATGTAAGCTTATCATCAGCTGTTAAGAGTGGTGTGAATTCCTCAGGTCTCAGAGGAGAGGAGGAGTGCAGGTGCAGATATGGGCCTTACATCCTGAAGCACGTGATGATTAGACTGAGAGGGCCCATGTTAGTACTCGTGTTAGAAGGATGTCATCCATCAGCGGAGGATAAGTTAAAACAAAGAGGGAGGAAAAAGGAAGAAAGCTGAGTGTAGATAAATTCAGCCATGACAGTGTGATAAAGATTCGAAAAAAAGAAACTACCTTCATATTAAAGAACTTTCAGACCAAATATGAAGCCTGAAAGGTTGATGTTGGCCTAAAAATCTAATTTTAGGTCTTTTTGTCTTTTTCTTTGTTTTAATAAAGGGATTGAGTTTTCCTGTCATTGTAAAAGCCTGACTCTGTGATAAAGACGACGTGGTTATAATGATGGGCAGTGTAAGATGTAGTTAAAGGTGGATAGATCATGAGAAAGTATTTTTCACACAACTTAATTAAAATACAAAAATCTTTTAAGAGTAATCGATCAGAAAAGCTCTCACAACAACAAGCAAAGGGTTTGAAAATGATGACTGCATGTTGTGATACTGATTTTGTCAATTAGCAGAGAGGCTTAGTTTCGGATGCGGAAGCAGGATGTATTAATAAACTTCTTGATGTCAGGCTGTCAGCATGATTTACAGTTTTTCAGAAGAGCACATTTTATAATTTTAGACTGAACGGTAATGACTCCTCTATATTTAAAATCACATTTCAGGACAGGAAGCTGTAACGCAGCACTCCCAGCGGTGGTATGAGGACTGTTGACATGCAGTTCAGGGTAGGGGTTTTCCCTTTGACCAACACCTTAGCTGGCTAAGAGGTGAAGCAGCTGCAGTTTACATCCGTTCTGTGCTCTTACCGAGATCCTGGAGAGAGGGAGCAGAGAAGGGCAGCGCACTTCACACTGGACAGTCAAGCTGGAGGTCCAAGAGGTTGTTGCCTGACATCAAATCTGTTAAACACAAAGAAGAAAGTAGTTAAAAATGAGTGAAGATATGATTCACAGGCTTTCTAAGGATCCAACTGGTGTATCTCTTCAAGGCAACTCAGCTTGAAAACATTTTTCTTGGGAATAAAGGAGGAAGTTATGTACTTGAGGTCTGATATTAAAAAAACACAGACTAAATCCCAAACAGCTGAAGCCTTAAAGGGTTATTCCGACGTAAAAATTAAGTTAGGGTCAAACACACTGTAACACCGAGTTAGACACCCCCCTCAAGAGATGAATGTTGCCGACCGCTTGCTTCTCTAGTTATACCAACTTTAGTAACGACCGCACGATAGCAATACACAGTAGTCTGAGGAGCCATAAACAAACCTCAACCAAAAAGCCACTCTATAGCCACAAATAATGCTCAGAACAGCACCTAACTTCATCAACAGTACATATAGGGTCCCAGCCACAGCACTAGCCACCAAACATCTTTTTAACTTTGCCTGATTTCTTTAGCAAAGAGACTAAACACAACTTACCTACCCTCTTTCAGCAGCCGCTTGTTTGTAGTGAGACCTCAGACCAGTCAATTACTGTGGGGTGATGCAGCTCAACAGAAAACATTTATGATCATTTCTTTATCATTTCCTTGAAGTAATAATCACCATATAAATCATTTTGCACAGCAGACACGGTAGTTCTTTTGCCTTAGCATCTCGGTCTGATTGCATATCCATGAAGAAATGATCATAAATGTTCTTCCTTGAGCTGTGTCACCCCGCTGCAGTCCGTTATGGACTGGCCTGAGGTCTCGCTACAAACAAGCGGCTGCTGGAAGAGAGTAGGTGAGTTGTGTTTAGTCTCTTTGCTAAAGAAATCAGGCAAAGTTAAAAAGATGTTTGGTGGCTAGTACTATGGCTAGGACCCTTTATGTACTGTTGATGAGTTTAGGTGCTGTTCTGAGCATTATTTGTGGCTATAGAGTGGCGTTTTGGTTGAGGTTTGTTTATGGCTCTTCAGACCGCTGTGTATTGCTATCGTGTGGTCGTTACTAAAATTGGTATAACCAGAGAAGTAAGCGGTTGGCAACATTCATCTCTCGACGGGGTGTCTAATTCGATGTTACGGTGTGTTTGACCCTAACTTAATTTTACACCGAAAATATAAATATAAATATGTTCAGGCCCAGTTTGAAGAGGATAAAGCAAATGATAACTTCAATTTTAGAATAAATCTATTTTAGGAATATTCACCCAGACTGTAAAATGATCTTACAATGGTGCATGAAGTGAGTTTCCACATCACTGAAGATGAGACACATTATATTAGGAAAACCACTCAGTAATTGCATGGTTGTAAGTTCTCTTTTTAGTTATCTGGTAAAATGTGTTGAAATGTCACATGTTGCAATAAAGTAGAACTAAGACAAACCTACAGCCAAGAAAAACTCCTCAGCTAATCCGAGTGAACTCAGTGTCACTGAGAGAGTACAGGGGAGTAAAAAAATACCCCTGAAACTATAAAGCCCTGACAGAAACCCTTTTATGGCCCCCAACCTGTCTCTTGGCTGAGGTCAGCATTGTTGCTGTTGTTATTGTTTGTCTCCTTCAGCGATTCCACTGAAGTCTTGGTGGAAATGGCGCCTTCGTCATCAGTTTTATCGTCAGCGCTCGGCTCCACAGGTGCAGGAGGGCTCGGCTCAACAACGTCCCCTTTGGGCTTATCCTCAGAGCTGTCTGGGGACGGTGCAGGAGCTGCAGGGTCAGCGCTGGGTTCAGATTTATCAGCATCAGCTGTGAAGAGAAATGAAACAAATGACTTTAGTTTTTTAGCTGTTTTTATATATTTTTTACTGTTTTATACCAAAAACCTGATGTTATAATAAAAAAAAACATGGATTCAACAAAATAAAAGTCTTTGAATGGAAAAACACATTTATGTCATACCATTGTCAAAGGAAGTTAACCTTATGCAATAAAGAAATTGTGAAATACTCTTGCAACATTTCGTTATCATCTTAACTCCTATGACACTGCAGGTTTGATCTCAGCTCTCTTTGTCTTGCAGCTTCCTAATAACAGTGTTTCCACTCCAACAGCCTGAAGTGGTTTCTCCCTCTCTGACAGTAAAGGGGAGGATTTCTCTCCAGGCATTTCAGGGGGCCACCATGTTGGTAATGAGGCGGCTGATTACTGACCAGTTCCTAATGAGCCACAGCCATGCAGCTGTTGGAGGCTGTGGGAAAGTAGGGCGGCCCCATCATTATCTGACCCGAGGTTAGGTGGAGGGAAAGCAGAGATGAAGGGGAGAGGAAGGTGACCGCTGGTCTGCAGATAATTCTGCAGTGAGTGAGATGGCTCCTCGGGCATTATCGCAATCCTCAGAGAATCATCGTGTCTGTCAGGTTTACGGCGGGTGACTAGACTCTTTATTACAGGTGGACTAATGACCTGCTTAGCACAGCTTTTAATTCTACTTTCATAACCTTGGACTCAATGCCTGATAAACAGTTGGTACTTTTAATTTTACACAACTGAAAATAAATATATATGCTCCTGTCTACAGGAGCAAACGGTCTCTGACTATACCACTCGTTTTCTTTCTTCCTGGCCTCATCTACTTCAAAAAGCTTTCGCTGTCAACATTTCATTGTTTAAAAAAATTAAAAAAGGAGAAGTAGTTTTACTCATCTACAAGGAAAGCTATTTGTGTTTTACTCTGGTAAAAGTTGGTTAAGCTTTATTGTTCAACCTCTACTGCTGCTCTCTTATCATTTGACCTGAAGACTGATTTTCCGGTAACACTATGCCGTTACTTAGAGACATAAAGCATGTCATCATTTTGTGTTTTTTTCCAACTGTTTCATGTCTCTTCATGCCTATGTCATTCTGAAGTATGAGGATTTACACTGAGATTGTATTAAACATTATAACAACTTTTATTTCGGATACATTCATGACAAATCTATGAATTCACCAAGCATTAACTCTTTCCACCTTAAAGCCTCCCAAGATACCTTTATCATAGGACTGGAGGTAAAGAGGGGAATCTGTATGAGTGTTTACATGAAGTCAGTGATGTCTAAGGTAGCTGATGTCCACAGGGGTGATCAGCGACGTATCTACTCTACTAGCCGGAGAGCTTTTATCAAGTCTTTGTCATGAGAGGAAGTGAACTTTTTCAGACCATGGCGCTTTCCAAAGCAACCATCAGCACTGTCCATTTAAACAAAGTGTGGCCTGAAGCAGAGGGCAGGTCTGGACATGAACTGTACCTTCCACCTTTTTTAAGCCTGGGAGAACATCTTCATTCATTCACACATGAATGACATTTTTGAAACAACAAAACAAGAACAAGTAATATAGAAAACTGCATATGTTTCAGATTTCACCTGAGGAAAAAAAAATGTCTGTCTACAAGAGCATGTCCAGAATTTACAAATGTTTGGGTGTACTGATGTAAGTTTATTTCATTACATTTTAATCTGAAGAAAAGGCTGGAGCAGGTCCTGCTCAAATTTTGAATTAGCACAAATAAAAACAATTTATTTTCTGTGGCAAAAGTTCACTGCAGGAGGTACAAGGTGTCGCTCAGGCTGACTGGGCATGAAGATGGTTAACTTGACTTCCATTTCCATCAAGTGGTAAACAGGAGAACTGCACGCAATATATTCAAATCACCCCTCAAACCAAAAAAGTGCTGTGAGCACAGACTTTGCAACACATATTTCAGACTTTACAAGGAAGTCCTTGACTGTGCAATGTGAATTCATGAACTGTTTGTTGTCTTGTATGAGTCAGCTGCAAACTTCTTAAGAATTTCCTGTAAAATTCACAGTTTATCAATACCCTGCGGTTTTGTTTGAAATAAACTGACTTGAGTGAAGTAGGAATTCAGTCATTTTGTTTCAAACTAATTTTAGGCTAATAAATCCATGCCTTTTGTAACACCTAACACATTTCAAAGCTTTAGCATTTCATGTGTCTGCTTTGTGGCTGTGACACTCAGTGGCTCGGTACTTTAGAGTGGGTGTAAAGTGTGAAGAGCTTTCACCAACTGCGCTTCCTTTTATTCAGTTTAACTGATCTTAAAAAAGGGGAAGGAAAAAGCACACCCACAGCCCACAAAACTTCTTTTTTCTAAATTCACAACTTGACTAGGTTTGACTTGAACACTTGCTTTGTCAAATGTCCGCAAACTGCGTACTTTAAATAAACTTACTGACTCAGTAGTATACTGAGCCCAAGCAGTATCACAGACAACCTCTTTTATCCTTTACCTTTATCTTCACTATGTGTGTATGAGTGTGTACATAGCAAAATATTTCGTGTGTTTGTATTTTTACATATGTGTGGATTTATATACAATTATAACCCTTTTTAACTTGCTTTATGCTGGTCCATAGTTTTTGTGGCCTTTTTGTTTTACAATATTTCCTTTTCGATTCTGCCATTAATCTTTCTCTTATACTTTTGTATCTATTTATCTGTTTGCTTCTGTTGTTAAATCACCACTGTGTTGCTAAACTTTAAAACTTTTGATCATTGTTTTTGTCAAATTTCTCCTTTTTGTGTCTCTTCTCTTTCTATCTTGTTTTAATTTGTAAAACACTCTGTAACCCTGTTTTGAAAACTATTATTATTATTATTATTAATATTATAATTATTATTATTATCATTACCTTTCTGCTCCTCTTGGGCTTTAGGTTTCATCTCTGACTCTTGGGACTCTTTTGCGCTCATGTCTATGCTCTCAAAGGTCTGTAGGCCTTAAAAGAGAATCACAGTGCACAATCAGGGGTCAGATTTTGTTCATGTGACAATGTTTTTTTTTAATCAGGTGTGTATGTTGTAGACATACCATTCTGAGGTACAGCATTAATAGGCAGTTCAGGCTCCACAGTGCTGAGGGGGATGTTGGCTTCATCATGTCTGGATGTGAGGTCGACAGAGTAGCGCTGATGGGCAAAAGAGTGAGGAAGATGCAAATTAATGTCATGAAAGTTCTCTATGCTAAATATGAAGCTAGCTTATTAGCTTTGTGATAACAGTTAAAAATGGGGAAAGTGGCTGATGACAAAAATATGACACTCAACACCAGTGGATGTCCTTTTTCATAACAAAAATAAAAACTTTGTTTTAAAAAACAGTGCCTCTGCACTGAGTCATGGCTTGTTGGCATGAAACACAAACAGATCAAAAAACCCTATTATACTAGCATTACCATGAGATGAGACAAAAAGATGTACGTCTAATATAGGGCCTTTAAGCCTGATGGTTTTGAGCAAGCATTTAATGGCTTTCTGACTTACCCTTCCTCTGCTCCGTGCAAAGAAGCAGGCAATACCACATATAAGAGCGACGATAATGATCACAATTAAGATGACGATACCTGATGGAGGTGAAAACTTCCATTAATTTTTACTGTATGAAGTTAATAATACAATAACAAATGACCTCAAGCTCCTTTAGATGTAGGCTAACTCACCGGTGCTGTCACCCGCTGATGCGGCTGGCCCAGGAGTTTTCTTTCCTGAGAGAAATACAATAAAAGTTTATATTTTAATAAACAGTTTAACTGAAAGAATCTGCTCATTGTTTTTCAAATGTCCTTTTCCATTTATGACAGGCCACTATCAGATGGAAACTCGAGTTAGCCTAATTTAAGCATATGCTACTGTAGTGACTAAAGGTGTATTTCCTGATTATTCGGTCATTTTAAATGAAAAATCAAGCAAAAGCCTGACTGTGGTAGTACCACCCTGCAAACGTTGGCCTACTTTCCAACATTATTCACTATCAATTGCCTAAAATATTTACACTGCTAACAGAGCTTTTTTTTTCATTTTCAGTAATTAACATCCATAAAGACTAATTAGGTTTTACTGAATCTCCTCTGGTTATTGAGGGGTACCAACTGTCTTTTGAGCCCTAAATGAGGTCCTTTTTTCCAAGAGTCGACAACTTTGTCCTTAAGTTCAAAAAGCAGCATAACATTTTACGGTAAAAGGCCAGAGTGACCCAAGCAAAACCTTAAAAACATGTTACAGGTGGGCTAATCTTTTCATTAAAAAATATTGATTGATGAAGTCAGAGAGTAAAGGTTTAAAATTCAAACCGATATACTAACATTTCTCAGGTTTTCTCTGTTATTCAAATGGATGGATGGATGGACCAATCCCAAACTGGGATTGCAAAAGTGGACAGGTGGTGGGAACTATGTGTTTTAATGAGGATTTTCAAGCTAGGTTGTACAAGTTCAGTTGTGTGCCGAAATGTTAACAAAAAAAATTTAATAAATAGTAAAATCTACCTCAGTTTAGCGTTTACTACTTGTCCATCAGCAAATGCTCCAGTAGGATTTTGATGATTTATCAAAAGTCTCACCTTTGTCCTCCTGATCGTCTTTTTCAGTTGGGACAGCTGTAGATTTTTTGTCATCATCAGGTTTGGGTGTTAGCTTTGGTCGTGTTGGCATTATGGTCGTTGGTACTTCACCATCTGTAGTATTCCCACCTTTTAAATCAGGAACAAGATTTTCAGAGAACCAAGCACTTACAACATATCAGCAAAGCTCAGATAAAGCACAATTAGGTCTCTCACCTTCTTTCTCTGTGACATTGGGTGCATTGGTGCTGTTGTTGGTGGTCATGCTGACGGTGCTGGCGGAGACATTGCTGGTGAAGCTGGTGGAGTTGGAAAGTGTTACAGCCGTTGTAGAATTGTCTCTCTTTGTGGGTGTGCTGTTCGTCACGGAATCACTTGGTGTGACAAGAACTACAACCAAACCTGCCAACAACCAAACCAACAACTTAGAAAAGCTGCGACTGATGCACACAAAGGGGGGTTAAAGTTGAAGCACAAAATAACGGCAGTATTATCAAATCAGGCTCAGTGAGCGTTTTTGTGGTTGTTTTGTGATTATTTTAGTCTTTTTTATTTTTCTTTTAAAAACACTGATACATAAAGAAAAATTACCTCCTAAATATTCTCTGGAGCCATGTCTTGCTTATCTATACGACAAAAGTAGCTCCATCAGCTGTAAAGGGAACTTACTTCCAGCTTGTGTAGTCCACGATAAGGTGTGGTCCTGTGTGCTTTACAATGATTTATTGCACTTGGACCTCAAGTTTTTAAGTATTAAGACATATATTCTTGAGTTATTGAATTTTATGGCATTTTTATTGTCTGACAGTGACTTACCTGGTAGACCATTAAAGTTGCATAGAAAAAAAGGACTCATACTTTAAACATAGAACAGGTTATATTTATAAAATATGCATAAACATAAACAGAGGCTTACCAAGGATGAGGAAAGCAGGACTTATCGATGCCATTGTTTGAAATGAGCGGCAGGTGGAAAAAGTCCAGTTTGTAATCTTCAAAGCTCACTACCCGGAGGTGATGTGTTCATTTGCTGTGTTTCTTCCTCAATGCTTCAGAGACCTTCACACCTCTACGCCAAAAAGAGGATCATTATCTCTGACCTCAGCAGGATGCATCAAAGAACAGTCTTGCCCAAACTCAGGAAATAGAGCGCTGGTGTGTTGCCTCAGAGTCCCCTCACACAACAGAACAAATATAGGTATGGTATGATGTAACGTGTCCGATTACTGACAAAGATCTCCTGCTTTGGTTCAAGCAGAGAAATTTTATTTACAGCACAAAATGAAATGATCGGACAAATTGAAACACCAGTTAAGGATTTTCTTTTCTAAGTGTCTGAGGGTGTAATTATTAGTGATTTTCTTAACTTATTATGGAGTTCAAATAACCAAGCGTTCAGTTTAGTCTTTCAGGACTGGAGGGAAAATACAGGACAATACTTGCACAGGTTTCCTGGTGATGTTAATTCTGTTTCATGATCACTAGATGTCGCTGTGGGTAAGGGGAAAGACGCCAGGTTTGCGCGAGGATGTTGGCCTTTTTCTTTCCTGGTGATAGGATTAACATTGACGTTACCTAAATCTATTGATAATCTTGTATAACAGTGAAAACATGAGGTACAAAAGTTTCACACAATGAGGAATCATCCACTGGAATGCTGTTCAGGTTTTATTCAAGCCATAAAGTGAAATAGTAATACTGTTAAAGCAGGGGTTATTATGTGATAAAAGCTTAGGTCAGTGTTATACTGACATTATAAAGGAATTACAAAGACAACTATCACCCATGGGGTCAACAATATGAATATTAATCAGCAACTACTTTGAAAAGATGCTTATAGTTTTAGATTTTACTCATATCCAGACAAAAAATGACAAGTTTTGACAGGTTTAAACTTATTTATAGTAAGGAATTTATTCTTTTCAGTTTTATGCATGCTTCCTTTGACATCTGAATAACCATTTAGGCTTTTTAGATCATAAATTTTAGATAATAAATAACAATTTTCACCATCTATTCTTTGTTTTATGCAATAACACCTAATGAAAAAAGATGCTGCAGTGCTTCTGCTTTTCGAATGGTTGTAAGTGTGTGTGCGTTGTTGCACAAGTGTGTTAGCAGTACTTTTTTCATGTGGGTGTACTCGTTGTAAGGATGTATGTGTGCTCAGCCTTGTAGCCTCATTTATTAGTGTTTATTTCCCCATGCCAGCGGTAATCAGCAGCAGGATTAGTGTTAACTGCCACCCAGTCTCTGGCAGGCTCCACGTGGGCCATACAGGCCCCTCCTGCAGGCTGGCTATCTAGGCTAGGATTGTCCGCAGACCTGCTCGCAGTGATGAGGGAACTTGGGAGTCCACTCATCCTGAAGAAAGACCCCTGCCTGGCTTCCACTGTGGGCCACCTATCACCACATCACAGAGCCCAGGCAGCAGCACCAGGCCTGGTACGGTGGATGAGCTAATCATTAAGAGACTAAGAGGAGAGGAGAGGAGAGGAGAGGAGAGGGTGTGTTTCTGTGTGTATGTGTGTGTGTGTTAGGGAGACACAGTGAGAGGAGAGAGAGAGAGAGAGAGAGCGAGAGAGAGCCGGACCACCCACCCGGAGGATTCAGAGGCACAGGATTCACAGCCCATTCTGTTGACCTGCCACACCGCCCCAGCTCTGGGCAAGGCCCTCCCCAATTGTTCCGCCTGCTAACACGAGGAGGGGGGTGAGGCGAGGGGGAAAGGGGGGGGGGGGGTGGACGAGCAGTAAACAGTGGGCCGAGCTTCTCTCCTTCAGCGCACAAAGGGGCTGAATTGTGTCGGAGACTGGAGCACTTTTTAGAGTGGCCCTGCCATGGGGCCTGAATGAAACATCTGTGGAGGCTGAGCCCGAGGGAGAAAATGCTATTTTGCTGTTCAACCACACTGACAACCTGTTTTCTTTTTCTTTACCCCCCCCCCCCCCCAAAACCCCAACCCCACACACCACCACCACCTCCTCTCACTGTTATTCCTCCCTTGGCCTTGTAAAACTATTCATACTGTATACTCGCATTTGCCAGGCAAGTAACAGAGGTGCAACAGTAAAAAAGAGAGAGGGTGAGAGAGAGAAAGAGAGCGAGAGAGAGAGAGAGAGAGAGAGCGAGAGGGATGACCTGAAAGTCTGAGGATACGGTAAACTGTATGTTTTAACTTTTGTACAATGATTTCCCTCAAATTTACAAACTCACACATGTTTTTTTTCCCCCTCTAAAATTCAGTTTTGATACAGCTGCCAAAGACAGTTTCATTAAGTGTAGATTAACCAAAACGCTATGCTTATTAGTTGAACAGGCACCAAAGTACCAACTGGTTTGACATCATATTTCACAAAATCCCTGAAATTTTAGGTAAAACATTAGAATTTGTGCACCAATGATCATCCAGTCATACCATTCTAGCAAACACAGATTCACAGACTGATCTTGTCCCATCAACATGAATTATATGAGTTGAATCACCCCACAAGGTCTTCCCACTGATACGGTCTCATGCTTTAGAAATATCAGACAAAGCAGGTAACAAGCAGTAAGATAGGTTGGCATTACGAACACCCTGGCGGTTTACTCACAACAAGACCCTTTGCATTTCCTGTCTAAAAAAAGTGTCCTTGGTAATGGTGGGGCAAATCGTTCCACTGCTCAGTTACAGCATCCTAATTAGTGACTGAACATCGCAAGCAGGGGGGAGAAAAATGTATGTTCTGTGTAATAAATTTCTAAAGTTTGTTCACAGCTCCATAGGGATTGCTGGAGGAGGCGAGATTTATGATCTATACTGCAGCCCGTCACCAGAGGGTGCTGTTCTCAGGTTGGCTTCAGCCAGCAAGGAGGCAGACGGCATCCATTCTATACACAGTCTATGATCAAGATCAGAGGTTGCCACTTGGTTCTTACCTTGTTTATTTAGTCGCACAACAAACTTTAAAGAAGGAATGAATTGTTTTATCTAGTGTATAGGAGGCAAGAGGGCAAACTATGGTCTGACCAGCTGCCCCCAACAGGTTGGATACATTTCTGGCATGTTTTGATTGGCTGACAGTGACTCATGTAGCTTTCATTCCAACATTACATTTACTTAGCTGCATGGTGTCTGCCCAGCCTGAGTAAAGCTTTCCGTTTATCTGTCCAGCCTGTCATGCTCTTGTTATGCCATATCACAATTTATAATCACACACTCAGTACGTTTACACGCACAATTAAATCAAACTAGGTTTGAAGCTTGTTAACGCAATTTAACTGGACTACACTCCAAATACTCACAAGCACCTGGCAAGAATCGATTTACTGACTAAAGTATGTCCAGCTTTGCTATGATAGGCAGCAATGTGCCCTCTTGCAACTCACTTCTACAGAGTGAGTTGGTTGAGCTATTACAGCAAACAGAACCAAATTGTTCTGTGATTCTTGAGGGGACTTACCTAATTATTGCAAGGACCACCCTCCATACTACCTTTGAAACTCAGAGTACCACAAGCAGAACACAAAATAAGGCAGTAGGAGCTCTTTAAAATGTGAACTGAAGGATGTAACATTCAAAGTTAGGATACCAGAGATAATGATAAATACTGAGGTTATCATTCTCTGTAGTAGGTGACTGAGTTCTCCTTTTGTCTACAGCACCCCAGCACCCCCTAGAAGAAAGTGCTTCTTCCCCTCCGCGGCTCAAAGAGAGGGACCAGTGAAACATTTTCGTTTAATTGCAGGGGAAACAAAGATCCCCGCTTACTTCCTGGTCACCCATTTTCTTTAATCAATTTCCTCCCTTTGGTCCTATATCATCTGTAATTACTTTCCCTTTCCTGCCCCTTGTGGGCTCCTCCTGGGGCAAAACTTCACATACACATTTAAGGACACACACACACTCTTATTGCTAACCCCCTGCTGTAAGAAGGCAATACCATCGGCATCAATACTCGTTGCCCCCTTTGACTCCTCCAGCCGGGACAATGGAGAAGGCCCACCGGCTCCAGAACCCCACCAAGCCACCCCTGACCCTGCCCACCTACCCAACTAAACCCCCTACACACAGAAACACAGGTTCATGTGGTATGTACTCTTATATTCATGCCAAAGACAATGTCACACACACAGCTCACACAAGTCTGCAGTCAAACGGGGAGTGGGGGTAAAGGGGAAGGGTAGGGGTTGGGGGGGATAAGGCCACTTTAAATACCAGCTCAGCTTGTAATCACTGGAGTTTGAACTCAGAGGACTTCTTATGCTAAGAGGTCAAGAAGCCAGAACACTCTTTCGCTCCTTTCTTTCTTCCCTGCTGCTTTCTGTCACTCACTCTTCTCAATGGCTCTCTCTGATCCATACGCTAGGTTCATACAGTGAAACCAGACCCTGAGCAAATCTTACAGCACTGACTGCAATGTCCCCATTTAGTCCATTAAAAAGACGAGCGTTTTGTGCCACATGTTTGTCTTCCTTTCACGAAATGAATCTCCAGCCAAATTTTCTGAGAGCTTTGTTTAAAAATCGTTTTCAGGGAGATTCTTCAAACAGAATCAACTCCCCAAAGTGATTATAGGGACAATGCCTGTAAATGTATAATCTAGTGTCTAACCTCCTCTTTGCTTAAGGAAGAGTGTGCACACCTGGTATACGCTTGGTGAAAATGCCACTTGAAATTATACACCTTTACTGGACTTCACACTTACCCAAATATGACCACCCAGAGAATGAAACCCATACCACCCATGCTCCATCGAGCACATTTATCACCAGCTGATGCTGCCGCGCTTTATGAATAAAAGGGGCTTACTGTATTGGCACAGTTAAGTGGTTTGTTGGGGTTGAAACATCAAAAACTCTTACATAAATAGGTATTAGCCATGGGAATAAGAAAGGAGAGGTGTTTCCTGCTGGCAGTAATTGTAATGTTAGTGCCAAGGAAGGTGCTGGTGCAAAATAGCAAACATTAAAGAGCAGCAGAGGAAATATTTGTGTGGGGGAAAAACAGGTCTGGAATTGGCTTCTTGTGAAATACAGTTATTAATAAAGGACGTCAACCATTGAATATAAAATGGACTCTGTGGATGATTATAGTGAATTTTCCTTTAACTTATCACTCGGCGCAGGGAAAGAGACTGTAACAGTGAAGTGAACTTAGCTATGATGCTATTATCTGTTCTTCTGGTGGCTAAAATTTTCACCCATAAGTTTAGCATTGTAGCCATCCCCATCTTGGTCTAGAAGCGGCCACATATAGATGAGAGAAGAAGGGATGTTTGGACAATGCAGTTTCTCCGTCTTGGCTGACAACCCGACACAGCAGTGTCCAGTTGTAAATCAAAGGAACCCCCGTCCGACACCATATTCTATGATTTATTTTCTGTAAATGGAACCAACATCATGATGTGTTAAATAAAAAAACAAATAAAACTTGCATTTTTGACCATAAATTAGGGAGGGATGTGTATGATCTTGGACACTGAGTTATGGCATACGACACAGGATGCACTATTTGTCGTTCAGGGAAAGTAGGACTCGTTTATTGGCTGCATTAGATGGAGTTTGTGAAATGGGACAGCCTTTGATGAGCTGCTGTGAAGCAATTTGTCTTGAGACATGCATTGAGTATTTTGTTGCAAACAGTGTAGACGCCCCTTACTGGCCACTAAAGAGAATGCAAGTCAAGTGACCTTTTGCATCAGCTTCACTTTACTGTAAAATCTTTCATTTTTCATTTTACAAACATTTGTTCGGCTCATTATTGCACCAACAACACAGGTTTATACTTGTTAGTGAGGAGAACTACTAAAAATACTTGAAAAATACTTTAAAATGTTCAGTGAATAGCCTTTACTTTAAACCTTTGAGTCAGTGATGAGACACTAGGGCACATGGATACAAGACAGAAACTGAAGTTTCTTTTCGTCAGTGTTACCAACCAGCTGTAGTTTAATTCAAGCACACTGGCAAGACTCCAGCGCTTTCAGCATCCAATTATCAGTAATATGCCACCTAGGCAGTAGATAGAACCAACTGGTATCTATCTTCACACACACACTCAGGACAGACCACTGATGTGGGTCTTCTTGTGTGGGATTGAAGAAAGAAGACAGGAGAGAGGAGAAAAGGAGGGACAAGACAGATTTTGGCCCCAGATGTTTTTGGAGTATTTTCAAAAAGTCTAATGTGCAAATGATAACGCTTCATCCAAACCGTGTGTGTGGTCAGGTGTTGACACACTCACAAGCATGCCCACACACATACAGACCCAGTGATTGGAGGCTTTGGTCTTCATCAGGTCAATCAGTGGAACCGTGAGACCTGGAGGCTGTATGGCTGGATGTCCTTCCTTTTCCAGACTTCAATGTGGCCTGTTCCAGTAACTCCTGAGCAAATACAGACCATCAGTGAGCAAGTGTGTGTGTCAGTGTGTCTGTGAGAGTAATTTAAAAGAGCCAAGTGGAGTAAGTGTAATAGTAGGAGCTGGGAACAAGCTCTGTGTGGGGTACAAAATGATGATTAGAAGCTGTGACCTCATTGTCATTTACTGTAACGTGCATTCATGTCCAGGTCATTAGCCCAGCCATCAGCTGTGAGGCCCCTAATCACCAGATTCACACAGCGTCCATTTTCAACTGACATCAAGTCACGATGGGAAGTCTAAACATTTTCAATGTTATTGCACTTTAGCAAGCTATATCTTAAAGTATAGACGGGTTTCTGTGCAACGACATCGCAGGCATGCGCGCGCAGCCAAGGGGCAGAAAGTTGGACATTTCTGTTTGTTTACTAGCGGAGTCAACGGAGAAAGAAAATGACAAGGAGCTGTTGTGCTGTAAACTGCACGAATCGACAAAACAAACAATACGCAAACATTGCGACCCTTCCCCTGATATTAGAAACATCTAAAACAATGTCACAACCTGGTAAATTAAGTTAAATTCATGGATATTTCAGCAGGTGTTTTTCTGATTTTGATGCAAAAAAAGACAAAGCCATTTTTCAATGAAATGACATTTTATTGCAGTTATGTCAGGGAGAACTTGGAAACAACACGGCATCTTCATTGATATTAGTTCACTTTTGCCCCTGGTTGGGCGCGCACCTAGTATTGTTTGTACACAAGAAACCAGTCTATAACAGCACAATGCATTGTGGACAATATTTGACTACAGTCACTTTACGGCTAAATTACTAAGCAAGTGGTTCAATGATAAAGCCAGCAAGGTTTAAAAATGTATTGTTTGAACGTGAGATGTGGCCAAGTTTCTCTTTTTGTAAATAAAATGATCTGTCAGATCCCTTCATGAACACAACAATCACACATCAACAGCTGCTGTGGCCAGTAATGTTTATGTTCTGTTTGGACCCCAGGTAATCTATATTAGGTCGGACTTATAGTTCTTAATATTAGTAAAAGTGAACTGTTCAAATTAGGGGGTTTACATGTCCGTGAGCATGCATTTGTGTGTGTGTGTTTGCTTGCTTCCAAAGCAAAGCCCAGTGTAGTCAGAACCCACAACAGAAGGTGCACAGATGTGCCGCCAGCCACAAGCAGAGGTAGGTCCTGCATTCAGAAGTGATAGTTCTCATATGTCATAAAGCAGTACTAGTAAAATCTGACATCACTTCCACTGAAATACACAGCCAGAGAGGGAAGTGTATTTTAACACACTTTAGGGAGAAGGAATATTCATGATCTTTTCAAAATGAGGTAATGTATGCACACTGATAAGTGTAATCAAGGGGTTCCACCTCACTGGTGGTTTGTGTGACAGCTGGTGATTGATTTTGTTTTTGTTAGGGAATTCTTAAAAATATATATGTTTAGCCTTAATCTAGAACCACATCAGTAAGGAGACCACTGGCCCCGTCCTCAACATGAGGATTAACACATTTCTATACTCCACATCAAGAGCTTCATGTCTGTAAACTCAGGCAAACATGGATATCAGCTCAAGTAAAGTAGGTCCAATCATGGCTGCACACAAAAGAACAGGTGGACCAAATAATGGAAAAACTTTTTGTTCCTGCCAGTGGTATCAATCATAAATGTCAAGGTTTGGAAATACAGAGCCCAAATTGTTGTGTTGACCATATAAAATAGAGTTGGAGTCTATAGCCATGCTCGCAGCTCTGAGAAGCCGTATGAAGTCATGACAGTTCTCTGTGATAAGAGTAGTACGCTAATATGCCGGTGCTTTCTGTGGTTTTGTGGCCACGACGAAGTGATAGCCCAAGTTTTTGAAGTAGAGTGCTTGTCAATTATAATTGTGTTACTCTTAGAGGATCCCTGTTAGTCTGACCTACCACTAAAGGCAAGCTTTGTGTAATTTAGCAATTTTTGCTTTTTAAAACTCCAGAAACATGAATATGAAACCTCAGTAAAGTTTTAATCATATGATACAAGCATTTTGACCTAATGCTAAAACGTATTAAAAATCTCATTCTCAGTCTCATTCATTCAAGATTTGCTCCGATCTGCTGTAAGTTTCTGCCGCTCTACATGACCATTTAACAGGATGTACTCAATCAGCTGTTGTGTCAAAGTCCTGCCCATGGCTTGGAAACATGAAAACAAATGGAAACAAAACTATCTAGATGGCAAGAGTTAAATATGTGCAAAAACATGATTTTTGTCATCGTCATCATCGTCGTCGTTTTCTTCCGCTTATCCAGGTCCAGGTCGCGGGGACAGCAGCTTCAGGAGGGAAGCCCAGACGGCCCTCACCCCAGACACTTCCACCAGCTCCTCCGGGTTGATTCCCAGGCGCTCCCAGGCCAGGCGGGGATATAATCTCTCCACCTGGTCCTGAGCCGGCCACGAGGTCTCCTCCTGGTGGGACATGTCCGGAACACCTCTAACAGGAGGCGTCCAGAAAGCATCCTAACCAGATGCCCGAGCCACCTCAGCTGACTCCTCTCGACGTGGAGGAGCAGCAGTTCTACTCTGAGCGCCTCCTGAGTGTCTGAGCTCCTTACCCTGTCTCTAAGGCTGAGCCCGGCCACTCTGCGAAGGAAACCCATTTTGGCTGTTTGTATCTGCAATCTCATTCTTTTGGTCATTACCCAAAGTTCATGACCATAGGTGAGGGATGGCACGTAGGAGGTAAATCGAGAGTTTCGCCTTATGGCTTGGCTCTTTCTTCACTACGACTGGTTAAGATCGGTTAAGCGTCCGCATCACTGCTGACACCGCTCCGATCTGCCTGTCGATCTCCCGCTCCATCCTGCCCTCACTCGTGAACAAGATCCCGGGATACTTGAACTTCTCCACTTGAGGCAGGACCTCCCCTCCGACCCGGAGAAGGCCATCTACCTTTTTCCAACTAAGGACCATGGCCTCAGGCTTGGAGGTGCTGATTCGCGTCCCAGCCACTTCGCACTCGGCTGCAAACTGCCCCAACAAGAGCTGAAGGTCACTGCTCGACGAAGCTAATAATTAATAATCATTCATCCCTTTGGTAAAGGGATGATTATTAAGGGCATGATTTTTGTAATAACTGTTATTTATTCTTCTAACAAACACCAAACACACGAATTCTGAGAGAATGAAACCACACGGCTTTCAGCCATGATGATGCAGAAGGCAATATTCCAGTCAAGTACCCAAGTTGAAATGAGTCCTTTTCTGAGAGAACTACAAATGTTACAGATTGAAGCTACGCACATCAAGCCTGCCAATACCAACCAACTTCATCTGCCATTTTTGAGCCTTCTAATCCAATATTAACACAAAGTCAGGCCTGCTGTTACCACAAGCTATTTCTCTGTGTGCGTAAAACCACAAAATCAGCCCTGACTAGCTGCCACCAGGATTTGATAGTTGCACCAGAACACGTGCACACACATATACTGGAAAATGTCTTGTTTCCTGTCAAAACAAACGCATGGCCCTTTTCCACCTTGTAAACTTGTTTATCTTATTGTAAGTTCCTTTGATAATATCACTTTTAAAGAAACCCCCCCCTTGGTTTGTTTTTCCCAACAACTTCCTTTTGATTCAGTTTTACAAAAAGTGCCATGCCGAGGGCAGGGTGTCAGTCTTACTGTAAATAAGGGACCCAGTTTCTGTCGAATCATGATACATGGCACAACCAGTAATGACCATGAGGAGGGTTGTGGTGGAAATGGGGGTGAAGTGGGGGCAGAGCAGGGGTGTCCAGCAATGCGTCACCGATCCCCCGAGTGCTTTCATCTCCCCTGATAAGTGCCATACCTAATCAGGTTAAAGCAGCGCATGCCACGGAAGGAGAGGAAATTCCGGCCAAAACGGTAACGTATCTGTTCCGCTCTCATGCGTCGCATTCCTCCAGCTAATTAGGAGTAAATATCTGACCCCGGAGAGAAAATGTCCACATTAGTCCAACTAGTCAGCCGGTGTGGTCCATCTGCACTCTCTCTTTCGCTCTCCTCAGCCTCCCAACCCCCCCTTTCCTTCTCCCCTCTCACCCTAATTTGGCACACAGATGACAAAAAACATAGGGGAGTTCTCAGTAGGTTTCTTTCTTTCTTCTGCGGCTCCTCTCCTTTTCGTCTCTGGCATTAGGCCCCATCATTACTGACAGGCTATCAGTTGTTCTCATACCAGATTATCTACTGCCAGTGACCTCCAGGTCATGGCACCGTGCTCTCTGCCACTTTCTCTCTTTGCTTTGCTTTTGTCTCGCCACAGTTACACCTCAATGAGTTTTTGGGCTTTGCTGACTCCAAATCAAAGATGCTATTGATCCCAGTAACAGTCTGAGTTTTCTGTAGTTTTGGTTAAAGTTGAAGCTTCTTTACAGAAGAGCCTGTTACTGTTACATGATAGGATAAGGTTAATGTATGTCTGATATTCCTAAATGAGAAGAAAAGATTTTCTTGTGTTGTTTCATCCTGCCAGTTAAAGCAAAGAAAATCTCTGTCATACTCCACCAATTTCGTCCCAATTTTTCACAGAACAACATTTTAACTCTGGGATTTGGCTTGCATCCCTTGTGCTCACTCTTGGTTTAGATTTGTCAAAAGACAGATAATTAATAAAAAATAAAAAGACAAAGTTTTGATGAGATAAAATTGAATTTTTTGGGGAAAAAATATCACAAAACAAGAATCTATCCTAAAGGTCCTATAAGGAGTGTTTTTGAAATTGTGTTTAGATTAAAATTCATATTGATGCCTTTCATGAGATCTAAAAGCAAACAAGACAATCAGGGACAAGAATCAGGATTATCATATTGGTATTTATTAATACCTAAAACTGGTTCCAGGGGGGTAGGTGTCTGTTGAACAGCTGAAGAAACAGCCCTATTTTTTACAATTTCTACATAAAACATTCACAATAAATCATTAGGAATCATTCATTTTAAAATTCAGCAGGATAATTTTTTTTTTATCTGAAGCCACTACTCAAGCAAGCAGGGGACCAAACAAACAAAGACTGTTTTGTCCACGAGGGGCACAAAAATGGACTCATACCCAGGTTAGCGCGCCTTATGTTTGGGGACCACGGTCCCTTCAGCGGCCGCGGGTTAGAGTCTGGCCCCGAACCATATGCTGCATGTCCTCCCCCCTCTCTCTCCATCTCCCCACATTTCACACTGTACTATCAATAAAAGGCAAAATCGCTCAAAAGAATACTTTAAAAAATGGACTCAAACCAAAAGTTCCTAAATAGAGACTGCTATTGCAATAAATGTACCAGGAAGCTAAGATGCTCACAAGTTCAGTTTAAGAACCATCACAACTTCCTGTCTAATGTCCACCGTTTGTTTGGTCTAATGTTGAGTTGACCCAGAGATTTTGTGACATGTCCAGTTTAGTGTCCAGACTTAGTTGTTGGTAAATGCAATCTGTGTTGTCTTGTGTTAGGCATAATGTTTCACTTCACTGGAAGCCAAACTGTTCAATCTGTCTTTGTTCATCCTCATGTGTGGACTCTCTCACATTGTCAGCGTCTCATTTGCAAGTCTACCAGCCTCCCCACCACCTTTTCCTGACTGTATTTTAATATCTAACTTTGGTTTTTAGTTTTAAGCTCATCTTTATTTTTACATTCATAGCATTCTGGCGCAAAATATCATTAATCTTGTATCTTTGATAGCCTCATACCTCAGACACAGGGGCAAACGTGCCTGAATTTATGGGGCTATGGGGAGTAACTTTACATGCCAAGCACCATTATTAAGTGTTTTAATCTTTCATGCCTTTGATATAAAGAGGAAACAAGCAACTATAAAACGCAATGAGGCCTGAAGTCTTTTTGTACTTTGAAAAAAAAAAGCAGCCATTTCTTGTCTGAATTTTTGTAATCCGTTGATTTGATTTCAATCTGCAGGAAAAACATGTTGCAAAACATATTCCTGGCGCCTATTTTCAAAGGAAGCCTAACTTATCCAAAAATGATTTTCATGTCATTGTCAGCTTCATGTCACAATCAATTTCTGCAAGAGTTTCCACACCACAGTCCGACAGCTAAATCAAAACAGTCCTTGGTAATTTGGCTGCTTCCATGCACAGTCCGTGTATTTATAACTGCGCAAACAGACCTACTTTATGTCTCATCAGCTGACGTACGCAGCATGCCACACACATAGCAGCAGGAAGCGGCCCAGTGTAATACACTTGAAGCTGTTTACTTTACATACAGAGAGAGGAAGGTGCTCGAGAGGCACATCATAGTCCCGACCCATGATCCTGACCTGTGTGCAAGTGGATGTCAAGCCGCAGCCCACATGTTCAAAACTGGACTCCTTTCAAGAGCAACATTAGTGAGGGTTTGGCAAGAAACTTCAAGATTGTGACTGAGCTACATTGGGCAGAAAAACAGGGAAGAAGAGTTGGGGTGTGTGTGTGTGTGCGCTTGTGTGTGCGTGTGCTAGTGTCATAGTGTCTCACCACCTCCTTTATGTCATGCTGCATTTGCATGCCATAAAGCATAAAGCTAAGCTCTATAACACTGAGTGAGATCGTCTGGAACATAAGAGTCAAAGCAATTTAAGAGTGACAAATGTTTCCCAGGCCAGTGACAGATCTCTGCTCACACAGAAGCTGTCATGATCCATGATATAGATGCTGTGTAAAGCTCCAAAAAAGGCTACATCAACCTAAATGTGTAAAACAAGGCATAAGTCAAGTGGGAGGGGAGGACTGAGTGGTTATGATATTACTGGGTTACGTAGCTGCAGCAGCATGAACGCTTCAGTGTAGTAACCCACATAAAGTGCTCTTACACACCACTTTAGATTATAATGCATCTGAGGACCACATTTGTGAGTAACAGCTAGCAATTTACACCAGGGTGGCTCACAGTGTTGTTTTTTTACTCATATTTACTCTGGGGAAGGTAATTAGCGAGCTGATCAGAAACCATATTTATTCCCCTGTGGTAAACCACAGCGCTCTTTCCACTTTAAAGTGTTTGCTGAGCAAAAACAACAACATCTAAATGCTTCCAGATATTAAGAAAGGAACAACTCTCAGCTTGCTCGGACTTTTTTTTTTAATCTACTCAAATGGGTAGAAATTATGGCTGTTCATATGTACACGTGTACTATATACGGGGTCCAATATGGACCTATACCATTTCTGTGGTGTTCCACTCAATACTTCTTTTTAGTACAACCAATTATGGCTAAAGTTGGGCATTACGTGAACATTTCTCAGTGTGCAAACAGTAATTATGCACATGCCCATTAATTAAAATACAGTAAATTATTTATCAAGAACGTGCTTCTTATACCTTCCAGCAACCTTCTTTCAGAGACAACAACACAAACACCTCCAACTTTCATAAAAATAGATTCTTGATACCATATACACTGTACTTGTACAATGCACACATGTAAAGTTTATTGCTCAACATTATTTTAAGAGGTCTTCTTAATAGGAAATTGCTTGTTCCACCACACTCATCCTGAAGGGGTAGTTTAGTTTTTTTGAAGCACAGTTGTATGAGGAGCTTGTTGATCACGAGTGTATTTCCCACAGGAACAGCTGGTCAGTTCAGCTTGTCACTGAGAAGCCAGCTGGAGAACTGGTGTAGAAGCTAGGTTATTACTCACAATGGTTGGGGTCAACTCTACCACATAATTTAGCTAATTTGAGCTAACTCCAATCCTAATGCCAATGTTAGTGTGAGCGTACACTCTACTTAGCATTACTCACTGCTCTAGAGTCAGAAAGCCTTTTTGTTTCAGCAATATTTGTGAACACAAAATGTTCATGATTCCTTTGCTTTCAGAGCACAGATCAGCTGCACAGGTCAGCAGGCTTTGAGAAAGAAAACACAAGCCTACTTAATAATAAAAGATAGAGAACAAGAGTCAAGGGGCCAAAGCAAAGAGGAGAGAAACTTTGATGCTAAGTGGACAGCAGAACAGATCCCAAGTTACCTGGTGGTGCAGATATGGAAACTGAGCCCATTAACCAAGGGAGCTACGAGTGAGACTTGTTAACAGCATGGCCTCTCTGAAATGGAGGATACCCGCTCGACACGTAAGTTGCATTTTCATGGTACAATCAGTGTAGACATCACTGCACCTCGACTTTTTGCCAGTAGCTACCGTTTGAGTTTGATTGTTTTAAATTGTCTTGAAATATTTGTTATTTCCAACATAAGCAACAAGAAATGGAGACTTGCAGTGTGAAAAAGGCAACATGTTAGTTGTCTGGTACCGCAGCTATATGCAAAACTCTGACTTCCTGTCAGCATACCCTTACGTGTCACCCCAGGCCCCATTAGTGTGCGAACCAGGGCTATCTAAGCAACAGCTGCATCCTTAGATTGACTGACATGTACAAACAAATTAGCATTGAATTTTGACTTGTGGTTCATCAGGGATGTTTTTCTACTGGTTTAAACAGACGCTTTTATCTTAGGTGACATACATTTAAGAGCAAGAACAATACAAGCAAAGATCTAGACAAGAAGAAACTAGATCAGTTAGTGCCACAAAGTGCTTCAAGCCCATTTGGATGCAGGTACTGTGAAGTAGTGTAAAAGGCAATGCACAAAGTGTATAAAGGTTTTTTTTTTTAAATAGATATATTAACATCAATAAAGAAGCAACCAGTTACAAATGGGAGACCTTCCATTATCACCATTGATTAATGAATGATTGTCTTCACATCAATAATTACCAAAGTACCAAGAGCTGGGTCACTCACAAAGAGCTGGTCACAAAAATCCCAAAAAAGAGCAGAACAGTGTGAGCCAACTGTGGTTGGAAGACTTGTTCTACCACTAAGGACAACATTGGAGAAGTGTCTAGCTAAGTGCATAGGGTTCGCCAAAGAGCTGGGTCTTTAGCTGTCTTTTGAAAGTAGAGATAGACTCTGCACTTTAAATGAAGTTGGGTAATTCATTCCACCATTTAGGGACAACAGAGGAAAAGAGTCGGGCTAGTGACTTACAGGCTTGGTGTGCTGGAAATACCAGGCACCCTTCGCTAGCTGAGTGTAGTGGGCAAGAAGGGGCGCAGACCTGGATGAGAGGTTCCAGGTAAATGGGAGCAGTTTTGGTTACTGCTTTGTAAGCAATGATCAGAGTTTTGGATTTAATGGGAGCTTCAACTGGAAGTCAGAGTAGAAAGATGAACAGAGGAGTGGCATGAGCTGTCTTGGGTTGGTTGAAGACCAGACATGCTGCTGCATTCTGGATCATTTACAGAGGTTTAACTGTTCATGCTGGGAGGCTTGCCAGTAATGAGTTGCAGTAGTCAATACGTGATATTGCAAGAACTTGTACCAGGAGCTGTGTTGCATGCTCTGTCAGGTAAGGTCAGATTCTCTTGATGTTATAGAGTGCAAATCAGCAGCTCTGAGCAATCAAGGCCACATGAACCATCAAGGTTAGCTGGTCAGCAATCATGACACTCAGATTTGGGCAGACCTAGTGGGCAGGAGTTTATTTGATCCAAACTAGACATTGATCTGTGGTTCCACGGTGGGAGAGGTTGGAAATATAATAAGCTCAGTCTTGGACAGGTTGAGCTCAAAGTGATATTCCCCCATCCATTTAGAAATAACTGCAAGGTAGGATGAGATCCAAGCAGAGACAGTTTTGTGGTCTGCTGAAAAGGACAGGAAAAGTTGGGTATCATGAGCATAGCAGTGATAAGAAAAGCTGTGGGAGCAGATGATTGCACCAAGTGAGGTGGTGTATATTGAGAAAAGGAGGGGACCAAGCACCGACCTTTGAAGCACCCCTGTTGATAAGCCATGCATATTGGACACTACTCCCCTCCATGATACTCTAAAAGATCTCCCTGTGAGGTCAGACCTGAACCACTGGAGGGCAAACCCTGAGATACCAAGTGAGGAGAGTGTGGAGAGGAGGATTTGGTAGTTTACTGTGTCAAATGCAGGAGAAGAGCCAGCAGCAAGAGAACTGAGGACTGACTAGCTGCTCTAGCCAAACACAACGATTCCATTACTGACAAAGGTGCAGTTTTAGTTGAGTGGCCCTACTGAAAGCCAGACTGATTCAGATCAAGTATATCATTGTTCAGCAAGTATTCTGAGAACTGGTTAAAGATTGTGAACTCTGGTGTTTTTAACAGGAATAGAGGAGGAAAGATCAGCCTGTAATTTTCAACCCGGGCTTGATTGAGAGTGAGGTTTTTTGAGCAGTAGTGTGACCCTGCTGGCTCAAGGGGTCAAGCTGACCTGGACATACTGTTGACAAGCTTGTTGTACAACCCCACCAATAAAATGTCCCTTTGAAACACCTTATGCATCCTTAAGAAAAAGTTCCCTCATTTCTCAAAATCAAAGGCTTCATATATTCTACATACCACTGCCCACACACACATAAACATGCATACACACGGGTCAGCAGTCTGTGGTTTGAGCCCTGTTGTAGTCAGACAGCATGATGAAGTGTGTAGACACTAGAAGAAAAAAGAAAAGTGCTTCCTGGGCAGTGATGTGTGACAGGAGATATCAGAGAACCAGCGTCGGGTCAACCTTCACTGACAGCCACCACACCTTTTGACATCCTTGTGAGGCCCTCAGCAGATATGGGTGAGTGGAGCCTGGAGATGTGTGGGTTTTCACCTCATTGTGTATATGTGTGTTTGTGATCATCATTTTCTCTTGATGTTCTTGTATCCACACTATCAGATTCCTGGAGTAGCAGTGCCGGCCACCCAGGTGGTCCTTTGCCAGGAGGTAGACAAGTCCGTGTGCTCAGGCACCGAGCAGGTAACTGAAACCTTCACACCCTCTGCCTGCAGCTGCCTGATCTTCCCACTCAGGATCCAGGGTTATTTCACATGCTCTGAGCTTTGTTTACCACCCAGCAGACCATTAGCACTACAATGACCCCCACAAGAGAAACCTGAGTGCATTTAAACCCTAATGGAGTATAGCTAAGGAGCAAGGCTGGGAGAAAGGGTAGCTGGACACAATTGTCCTATAAAATTCTTGAGAAACAAACCTTTAAAACTGACAGTTTGCTTTACTGGAGGGGTTTGTTTCAGTTTTTGGACATAGACTGTGGTTTTCAATGTTGGTTTGAATGTTTTTGAAAAGTAAGCCCCTATCAGTGGTGAGGACAGGGGATAGAGGGGGACAGCCATTGCATGTAATAATGGCCTGTCATTTTCCATCAACATTCCCCACAATGCAGGACCCAGACTGGAGCCAGAACACACACTAAGAGAGCTGACACACTACACAGAAATACATTACTTGGGTCAGAGGGTCGACCTGCGTCATGATTACTGGGACCAGAAGAGCCTGTGTAAATGTGTGTGTGTGCGCGTGCGTGTGTTGAGTGGGGGGTACAGGCCTCAACATCATGGCTGGGTGTTTCAGACAGGGGCTTTTTCTGCAGTGTGTGTGGGGAAAAGAAAAGAAAGCAGAGAGAGGATGCAGAGCTTTTCCCATCCATCTCCATTTCTGCATGTACTTCTAGTACCCTTATCCATAACAATCAGGATGTATTTCAGTGGAGAAAGTCAAGCACACAAACCCTTGAGCTCTGGGCCCTCTGGGAGAGGATGGCTGCACCGCACAGACCCCCACACCCCAAACCCACTCATAGCCCCCTTCTCAAATTAGATCCCAGGTCTAATCAGAGACAGCTTGGCGTTGTGGGTGGAAACTAGCCGCAAACCTCATCTTCAAACGTCTGTTGGTTGCTGTGAGAGGCCCCCCTGTTCTGTTGAATGGGCAGGATGGAGCACTGTACGAGGTGCTCTCAATTCTCTTGACCACACAATGGAAAATGGGAGAAAGACCTCACAATAATGACTGATTTCCAACTTAAGGGATGACCTAAACCCAATGTCAACATGAAAACCAACTGGATATTACACTCAAAAATATCATTATTCATTCATATACAGTGGAGTGTCTGTCTCTTTCTTGGACGGCATGTCCATTTATACACACAGGGGTCCACTTGGGCAGAATAATACTTTAAGCTAATATTAACATCCTAAAATGCTCACAGCGACTCATTAAGTATGTTTTAAAATGCTTTGTTAAATACAAAAAATGACTCAGAAAGAGTCCAGAGGCTGATGACTTATTTTACAAGTCACAAAAACCTTCATCAGGTGACAGAGCTGAGCAAAGATCAGCAAAGTAACTGTAATAGATGCACTAAATTCATAAAATCCATTTCACAGTTTTACTTCAAACGAAGATCAGAGGAGTTTGCACATCCAGACCACATGTGTTTTGTGGATGTTGAGAAGGCCTCTGATATCGTTCCTGTGGAGGCCACAGTGGGAATATAGGGTACCAGGTCACTGCCACAAGCCTTAAGTTTAAAGGACCTCTAAAGATGATTTGGGTCGGCTTCATAAAACTATGACCTTTAACAGGCATTAGGGTAGTTTTCATCCACTCTAATGCCTTTTCAAGTGTGAAGTAGTTGTAATAAGAGTCAGAACCTCAAAGTCTAAAGCCGTTTTGATTTTCTGTTGGAAAACAGTGGGTATTCTCCCTCCAGGTGGGAATCGAATTCATTCATGCATGCATCGCACTCAGGTTGTCATGATATCAGATTTCCACCTCATGATTATTGTGGTCATGAAATATTGTGATTAGAAAACTTGAAAATAAAAGACAATCAGAAAAATTGGGAGTAGGCAAGAAAAAGGTGGAGTAACACATTACTTTGCATACTTAACAAAATTATCTGACATGTCACCATTCATTTCTTATATATCATAGACAACATGGCCTCATAAAAGATTATCACACTTTCATTTATTATTTTTTTATGACTTGCATTTAGGTTGTTTTATTTCTTGAACTGTCAAACTATGCTTTCATTTTGAAATATACTGTTTCTGGTAGATTGTAAGTTACAGAGCTAAATGAAAACTGTTATTAAGAACCGATAGAAAACACAATTTTTCAACTGATGAGCAATTCATAGAGGTTCCAGTTTTAATATTGTCTTAGGATTCATAATATGAATGTAAGATCTTAGTGTTGAATCATCTACCAGAGGGCTGCTAAATCTAGCTTGCATGCAGTCTGGTACCTCGTCTTCATCTCTCCTCCACTGACAGACTTGTGGCAACCTATGTAAAGGGCCACAGCTATGAACTCATGGTTTAACCGTTTGTTTATCATTTGCATTCTATAAATATTTAACTTTTCCGTTAGTCAGAGGTTTTTTGTTATCATAGGCATACTCTTTTTTTTGTCATTCTGATTTCTGCCGTGATTATAAGAGGTGGTTGATAAATCTACTGTCATCATATCATTCCCATAATTAACACTATGTGGCATACAAAATACCATAGTTTGACATCATAACAGCATTTGAGGTTCCCACCTGCGCATCAGAAGAAAAAGGCTGCAGCATGTCTGAAGTGCATCACTCAAGTCACACCCTGTCATGTGCATTAGAACTTCAAGTATAGAGATGGTTACTGGACCTTGTAAAGCTCAGCAGTGGTCCTGGAGAGCATTAAATTAGACAGCAATCAGCCAACGACAACCCCTCCTAACCCTTTGGGATAAAAAGCAGCAAAGGACAGCAATATTGGATTTCTGGCAACCTCTCTTTTGGCAAGCCCTTATGATTATCACTTTGTGGGGAAGCATTCATTTTGCTTTCAATTGTAAGACAGAAACGAGTCAGCTCCCCTTATTACACTGGTAATGATAGATTGCTCTGGCTGAAAGCGCATGTCCGGCCAGCCTTCCTGCTGCTTTGCTACCCTACACTGCTGATGCCAGAGCAAATGGGTCCTTATTTAAATCTTGTCAAGGGTAAAATTGGGGCCGCAGCTAGTCATTACAAAGTGGCACATAAAGTCTAATTTAGGTCATGCTGTGGTGGCTTAAAAGCACTGTGAGTACAGTTTTAACTACACCCTATGTGTCTTTGTGAAAATGAAACAAATGTGCTCATTTCCATCAGTGACAAATGGAAATTTGTAATGGCAAGCACTCTCCCTTAGGATGTTTTTCTATTTCTAACCAATAGTCATGAAGAAACAGAGAACTCCCACCAGTCAAGAGATTCCTGGTGGATGTGGCTGTTTACAACAACAGATGATCTCTATTCATAAGCATAATGCACACACTATGTAATGACTCTAAAATTCAACCTATTATTCCTGTTGTCTTAAATTTACTATTACATAAGTCGGGTTTATTTATTTAAAACATCCTGAAAAGTCACACATGATTAGAAATGTAAGCATCTTGATTTGTTTTTTCATTAATAAAGATTCCATCAACAGCCAATGTCTCTCAAGGGTGAAGTTTTTAATGCTAAATGTTCATTACAGCTGTTCAAACACTGGAAAGCAGCCAAATAACCCAATCTCTATGAAAACATGTTGATCTACTCTGGCAGCTTGTGCAAAAGTAACGTAAAAAAAAAAGGAGCAAAATAACATTTGTCATAACTCATAGGACACCATGGACCTAGAGAGAGAGGCCTTCAAAACCAAACACTGAGCATACGAATGTTTGTGTGCATGTCACAAACCAAAACAGGCAGCTGTTCACACCAGGCCAGCAAAAAGCTGAGCAGGCCCAGTGACTGAGGCCCTCCTCAAAGTGCTCGTTTCATCTGTTGAGGAGGTCCAGAGATCGGGGGGGTTGGGGGGGTGTCTCTTAAGGGGCCGATGTCAGGGGCCAAAAATAGCGGAAAACGCCTCTCTCTCTGTGTGTGTGTGACTCATCTGGAGTGTGGTAATTAGCAAGAGATGGTTCGCCACCATCGTGGCTGGAACCACACAGTGCATGGTGGTGACAAGGCCCAAAACAAACGCTCCTTAAAAAGGGACAGGGTGGCAGAGAAGTGGGGCTGAAACTGGAGGGCAGGAGCATGAGGATATGTCACACTTGGAACATGACCGGTATTACCGAATCCTTCCAAGTGCCGAGAGAGAAACCAGAGTGACAAGACGAGAGACAGAGCAGAAGAAGAGATCAAAATGGGCTGTCACAGTATGGATCCCTGTAGGACCATCCACTCCAACCTGAGAGGAGTTGAAACCGGGAATGCCATACTTCTCCCTTAACCTTTGCCACACTCTCTATCACTGGCAGGTACTCTGGATCAAATACCCAGAGGACTATAATATAGGGGCTCAACAGGCCCCTTGACGTTCAATTACACCGCATGCACATCAACCCCATTTTCTAAGCAAACAAAACGGTCCATTCACGTATCATTGCAGACCCTGCTGGGCAAATAAATGTCTTCATCATCTCTGTATGTTTTGGGTTAATGTTTTCTTTGCATTAGAGTCATATTGATTTATGTCCAGGCCTGGTAGCATGTGTGTGTGTGTATATGTGTGTGTGTGTGTGTTAGAAAAAAAAGATACAGCAAAAAGAGAGAGACACACGCAGACAGAGACAAGGTATGCGTGTATGTGTGTATGTGTACATTTGTGCATTCGCCATAGCCTTTTGAGTTTCTGCTAGACATAAGCCATTAAACCTTACATAGCTTGCCCTATAAAACCACATAATATGTTATGTGGGAGGGATTGCTGGGGATCAAAGACAGAGCAGCAGATATGAATTTGTGTTCCTGGCTAGTCAAGGAGGGGGGTTGTCATACCAGACATGGTGAGCACATACATTTCCTTGGGCCCTGGGCGTGTGCGGAGGTTCTGCTGGGTGGACTCATTACTCACTATGAGCTCCAAGCCTGGGGTTGACGGAGTAGCCTGTGTCACACCCACTACACACTGTCCGTTGTGTAATCCCTCCTGGGGTTGTGGAATGAGCTTGTAATGATGACCAGTTTGATATGGCTTCACCCTCTGACACACACGCAGAGACACTTGGGAGACATCCATGCAATCACAGGCTAAAACCTGCTGTGATGTAAGTGATACTACCCTCTGAGAGCTTCCGTCCTTAGCAGGGAACCCTTAGTGGATGTTTCCACGTGCAAACTAATCTTAAAAGCATTTACAATCTTGATATTCAGAGAATATTAAATTTATTCCGGTTGAACACAACGATGGAAATTTCAATTCATTTTTGACTTTCAACTTTGACTTGAAAATTTAAGCCATTGATTAGACTCCAAAATGGAGAAAGTCCAGCTAGCTGGCATGGTGTAACATAATATGATCTTTTTCTTTAAGTCAGCTGAATTCCGCTCTCATGCACCCAATCAAATTTCTTACTTTGACTAGCTTCTATGTAGTATCAGTGCACTGCCACTCAGAGGCAGGGGTGTGACTGGACTTTTTGGACTTGGGTGCCCTAATTGGGGCACTGACACAGAAAGGGTGGTTAGGGCATGTGGGCTCAGAAATGAATGGTTTTTACTTCCTACATTTACCTAGACAAGTATCATTTAAGTGTTATAAAGATTTTTTGTCATCTAATCCTGTTGGCACAAAGCAATAACCTTATTGGTAGATGTAACATACAATTGAAAAGCATTCTGGTTACCAGATCCACATTGATTGAAAAGACACAGTCATCACGGGTTCCTGGTTCAGACCCTACCTTTTAGACAAATTTCACACCATATCCATCGAAAACTGGAAATCCCACACCCTCCCTATTGCATTTGGTGTCCCCCAAGGCCCAGTGCTTGGCCCCCTCCTGCTTATCCTATACATGCTACCCCTTGGTCTTGTCATACGTCATCATGGACTTTAATTTAACAGCAATATTGTCGATACCCAACTTTATACCTGCACATAAACCAAATCTCCTGCCATTACTTCTGCCTCACTGATATGAAAACCTGGATGAACAACAGCTTTCTCAAACGTATCTATAATAAATCAGAAATGATCAGAAATCTCACTCTCTCTTTCAAGTCACACATCAAGAGCATCACCAAATCATCCTCCTTTAATCCCATAATATTGCACATCTTTGGTCTACCCGCCCTCTTTCACAGCAGAAACCTCATCCATGCCCTCACAACCTCCAGACATGACAATTGTAACAGCATTCACCACGGCCTGCCCTCCACTGACCTCTAAAAACTACAACATACTCAGAGCTCAGCTGTCTGGTTGCTCATCTACTCTCACTCCAGAGACCACATCACACCAATCCTTCAACACCTTCACTGGCCTCCAATATAACATCACCCTTCATACCTTAAAGACCTCAGGTGCCAACCTTCTGACCCTTTCACCAGGCTTAGGCAGTGAACCTTGGGGGGCAGAGCCTTTGCCATCGCTGACCCAGCTTTCTGAAACCCCCTCCTTCCAATCATCCACAACTCAGCCTCCCTCCACTCTTTTCAATCCCAACTTTAAATCCCACATTAATAACAATAATAATAATAATAATGCATCAGATTTTATAGTGCTTTTTGTCAGTAACCTCAAAGCACTTTACATTGGACACATCATTCATTCGCTCACACAGTCACATCCTGGTGGTGGTAAACTACCTTATTAGTCACAGCTGCTCTGGGGCAGACTGACGGGAACATGGCTGCCAGTTTGCACCTACGGCCTCTTCGACCACCACCACACAACACTCACATTCATACACCAATGGAGGACACACACACTGGGATCAAGGTGGGTCAAGTGTGTTGCCCAAGGACACAACGGACAGACTAGGGATAGGGCAGGATTCAAACCACCAACCCTCTGGTTATTGGCCAACTGCTCTACCTCCTGAGCTACTGCTGCCAAAAGATCTCCAATTTCTGACTCCAACAGCCTCTACCGTCTGTATTTTTACATGAATAAAATACATGAAAAACGTGTATTTTAAGTGTTATCAATGACAGCGTATGTTAGATTTGCAGGTGATAATGTTTTTTGTCTAACAGTTATATAGAAATAAACTGTAATTGAAACAGTCAACAGATTACTGATAGCAATCTGTATCTGTGTGTTTCGATTTATAATAAAACAAAGGAAATAGACATCTGTTGAAAGTTGTTTTGGTGGAATGAGTGATTCTGAGTTGTGGGCTGTTTACTTTAACAATTGTTTGCTGTATTCAAAACACCATATGGCTCAAAATCCCTGTGAGGTTATGAACAACATAAGCTTCTATCGCATTACTTGGTTGACACTTACTGCTGTAAGTGACAATCTCCCATGATTCCACCTGTAGCCCTGCGCCCTAAAGGCCTCTTTTAATATTAAGCATCGATCAAATAACCTATTTTAAAATCATGCAGCAAAATTTTAGAGTTAAAACAACAAGCTAAACTAAGCAGACCTGTTCTAAAACGGGACTGTGTGTAGCTCCCTGACCTGTTCACACTCGTTGCAGCATAATGAGGCTCACCCCTGTGATTTTGTCCCTTTATCAAGAATGTTCACAAATCCCTGTGAATGACATCATCTTGTTCTGGGGAGTTGTAGCCAAACAGACAGAGAGGAGCAGTACTGAGCATAGCATCCAGATCCAAGCCCTCAGCAGTCACTCTCTTGAGCCAGCAGACCTGGACACCAGAAGAGAAAAATATGCCAAATAACCCCCCACTCCCCTATTATTTCTGCCCCTCTACTTGTTCTTGAAAGCTTGGTTACATCATCCTCGGTGTCTACATTTCAATAATGCCTCTGAAATCTCCCACTGACTACAAGTCTCATGGGCAGGGGGGTGGGGGGCTGGGATGAAGAAAGAAAAACAGCCAAACGTGTGATAAAGAATAACAACAAGCATACTCTGTCCATTCGCGAGAAGACAGGAGTTTCAAACATTTGGATCATGCCAATCGGATGTATCTTCCCGTCCGTCCTCTTCCCTTATAATCCCTCCAAGAAGATGTGTAGTGGTAAGCGTTTATATTGACTCTGGCTGGTCAGCCGAGCTCTCTTTTCAACCCCCCCTCCCCAACCTCTCCACCATTCAGCCAGTGGGGGGGCTCTGAGCTCCATACAGGCCCAGCCATAGCAGACATTTTTGTGGTGAAATCATTAAACCCACGTGCAGCTCTCTCTCTGTGGTCACTGGGGGTCGTGCTCCTCTGCCTTTAGCTGAATAAATCATAAAATTGCCGGGGGACCACACAAGAAGCCAGCCCAGCGCAGCCAGCCCATCCAGCCTATGTATGCAGCCAGTGCAAAACACATGCACACGCACAGCCCCGAACCTTGTTATTTTTCAGAAAAACACCAGCAGTGAGACAGAGACAGGAAAAACGAGGCAGAAGGAGGCGAGGAAGCACAAAAAAACAAGAGAGGGAGAGAACATTTTCTTCAACAAAATGTCACGGAGAAAACGATCTGTATAACACTGACACGAGGCACTGAGCTATGTCCATTCTTTTATATTAAAAAGGAAGAGGTATAGATTGAGGAAATAAACAAACAGAAAGAATATTATTGAAAGAGGGTACGGTGAGGAAAAACTGAAACACTAAAAAAAAACGAAGAATCTGAAAACCATGTCAACAACATTTGTTACTAACATCAGTTTGGACAGAGCTGAAAAACACAACATTTTTCAGAGCAGACTCAGGAGCATCATAAAGGAGAGAAATCCTCTCTCCCTGTCTGTCTCTCTCTGGATGACCTCCCCAGACTGATCCTTCCGACCAGACCTGACTACGAGAGGAGGAAGCACTGTCCTGTCTGAGGATCACATACTGTCTGGGGAACACTTAAACAGTGCCGGCTGAGAATGTGTGTACATATTTGTGCGTGTGTGTGTGTGTTTAAGCGTGTCTGGGTCTGAGGCCATAATGAGAGATGCACCAATTAATATCATAACGTCTTAATTCAGACAACTTCTAAAACTGTGTGGTTTACAAATTAAAATGTGAAGCTTTTCTCCACTTAAAACCAGAGGAAAACTGCAGGATGTCTTTGGTAAAGCTGTTAAATAACTGCGCAAATCTTTTACTTTGATTTCTCTCAAGTTTTCATTTATATTTTGCATTGAATCTTAAGTCATTTCTCTTACTGACATGTAATTTTCACCTAATTTATGGATCCCATCAGCTCTACAGACTTTGGAGGAATCTGTCTTTATTTTTGTTGGCAGTGTGGCTGAAAATTTGACTGGTTCGTTTTTAATGATTGCAGTTTTAGTGCAGCAGCAGCAGGCTACTGTTTTCAGTAAAAAAGTCAGGCTGGTTGAAAGTTAGCAGCTGAATATCAGGGAATATTGCACTGCTGCAAAGAAGACTATTTCCCACTCAAGTTTGTTAACTTAAAGAAAACAGTCCCAAAAGAGAGTGAAAGAAGTATGAGATGATACAACAATATGATACATTACAATACGACTTGACGCATAATAATGCAATATAATGAAGATATAACGACATATAGCGAATTACAGCGTACAAGACAGCATAAGATACTGTAGATAGCATACTTCATGATGCAGCATGATGTAGTAGGACACAGCATGATGCATAATGTAAGGATACAACATTACACTTGACCACACAACAAAATATGACACAATACAATATGGCATGATACTCCAACAACAAACAGTATGGCTGGGTACGACATGATATGATCGCGCCTAAAACAATATGATGAGATACAATCAGATACCATAGGATACCATACCGAAGAGATGCAGTATGGTACAATGGAGTGCAATTCAAAACAATACAGTGTGATGAAATACAGATAGATTTGATATGATATGGCTCTATGTGGTACAATTTTACACAGAACCAGATGATACAGTACTTTATGAAACTTTGATAGGATACAATAGGATTTAACACGACATGATGACATAAGATAGAATACTTACATTAATATACTTACAATACCATAGCCATACGATGACATGACACTTGAGAATATTGTCATTATGATTACATGCAATGTGATGATATACGAGTCTAAATGAAAGGATGCAGTATTAAATGATTCTTATCTAAAGGACACAATTTATATGGTAAATATTTCAGTGCTAACGGATATAATTCCGAATTATATGATATGGTTTTTATGTGACTTTATTTAACCTTTATCATCTTGGTCTCACTGAGATCCTTTTATGAGGAAGACCTGACCAAGACAGCAGCAAAAAGAACAAGTTTTTCATTTTAGATTTTAAACCATTTTCCTGAGTTTTAAGTCATTCTGTGATAAATTTTAGGCTGAGGGTGCCTTGATTTCAAATAATATCAAATGTTATAAAGTATAATAGGATAAGATAGGATAAGAAGACCTTTATTGATCCCCCAAGGAAAAATCATTCATAATAATATGATGAGTTATTATAGAATAACATAAAAGGTCAAATCTGGTATATAGTTTGCTGGGTAGAATATCTTATTATTGACCTTCAGCACTTTGCTTAAAAGGAGAGACTGTATTTTTTTTTTTTTAATACCATGCATCAACTCCAATCACTAATCACTCCTTACACTAATCCTTTTCAAATATCTCCTTTCACTCAAACTTACCTTTAATATGTCTCAACATCTAGTCTGTTTTTAATACCCTGCTGCCCTGCCCTGTTGTCTGCTCTTTCTTCACCTCCATCAAGCCTCTGTCACCTGACTAAAAGGTGGGGGTCGTCACGCATGTCACAGTGAGAAATGTAAGTTGCAGCGCAGCCTTGAGAAAGAGGAGAGGGCAAGGGTGGAGGTTGAAACTCTACCCTTACCGTTAACGGAGGCCATAGCACCTCTCGACCCTGGGCCACACATTTCTGAGTGAACTTTGACCCTATGACCACACCAGTGGTGCTTGGTACCTCCTTGAGTCGTACTCTCAAACACACACACACTCACACAGGCATACACACAGAGTATCCACAGACACCCTTTGGCTTGCAGGCACGCTGCCATTACCTGGAGATTGTATCAGTGTCAGTTTGTGGGGGATTCTTGCTCCCTGGGGTAAAGCACAGAGGGCAGGCGCCTGATCTCTCTCTGAAATGTTAATGCGGAACAAAACAGGCTGAACTCTGAGAGTAGCAAAATGCAGAACCCTGCCCATTGGTTAAGAAACTCTATCCCCTGTAGCATCAACTGGCATGAGAGCCCAAAACAAATCAGACAGCTTTGAGTGCTTTGCAAAGCTTTTTAAGCACACATTGATGGATCACTGAGGCATACTTTACAGTCTATCTACAGTGCTCTGCCTTCATTACACTGAGACAAAAATCTCCCATTCAAGCTTGTGTTCATTAGTGCTGGTATTTCAATTTTAAAGACAGCAAATTGGCCAAGGAATGCAGCTTGTTCTTATCAAAGTCTGGAAGCCAGGGATCTGGAAATGCCTCACTTTGTTGAGTGTTTAGTTTATCTGTCCCGTAATTGCACATTGTAAAACCGTCTTTCTGGGCTTCTTGCTATCCCCAGTGGCCAATGTAACCATCTGGCTCTCGCAAAGATCTGAGCAGGAAGTTATGTGAGACGTAAGAGGATAGGAACTCTGATAACGGATATTCTGCCTCACATAAAGTCAGCTGGATATTTAGCAATCCCATCATTGCCTGGAGTAGCTGTCACCGTGTGTTTGGGAAGATTGCCAAAGCTGTCAATCTCGACATGACATTCCTACAAGCAAGACGCTCAACAAAACCTCAACAAGCATTTCATGTCTGAATTGGTGTACAGGTGGAGAACATGCAGTTCACTATGTTACTCGAGCATAAATGGTTCATTGAATCAGAAATTCTGGCATCTCTTTACAAAAGTGCAGGTGGATGGAGCACACAGCCAAGTCTTTGTGCGCACTTGCATTGCAGATTCATGAGAAGCACCTGCTGTAATCCTGAACAAATATGGCTCTTTAAAAGTGTATGTGTCAACTACATGACATGGTTAAAAAGAAATTCTTATGTCTTTATATAGCTGCTAACTATAATATCTGGTCTTGCACGGTTATAAGGACACATGGTCTTTGTCTCTCCTAATCGTACACAAATAATAAATCACTCTGTTTGCACATAGAAGCAGGTGGCCATGCTGTCTGATTGTATAAGATGAGAGTGTGTGTGATTACATCCAGCATCCCCACCTACCCAGAAGGCTGGAGACAGACACAACGATATTAAGACAAGAAGGTCCGAGGAGAGCCACCCCTCTCAGGGCACCCGCTCAGCACAGATCCCTCTTTATGCTCCTGTTTATTATGGTCCCAAGTAATCCATGCCTTGTGCACTACACCAGAGCTGCCATATGTCAACATCTTGCTGGTGGTTTTGCAGGGTTCCAAACAACAGATAGGGTGCACTGAACCTACCATGTAAACTTTATAAAACACATTCAGCAGAACTATAATTATTTACAAAACCAGAGCATGGGAATATTTTCAGTCGGGGAGGTAGGGGAGAGGGGATCTTTTTTTTTTTTTTTTTTTTTTTTTTTTTCGTGCAACAAGTTTGTTGCCCATGGCTTTGTGATAAAAATGTTATCCACCAGTTTGATATCAGAGCTCTCAGTTAAAGATAAGATCAGATAAAATAGTCCTTTATTAGTCCCACAAGGGGAAACTCCCAATTTACAGTTCATCCCTTCTAAGAAACATACAGTAGACAAAGTAAAGGTGTAATGTGAAAAATAAGGTGCAATAACATGTCCAATTCTTTTGTGTTTGCTGTGTAGATTTTAGTTTTTTGTTGTTGTTGCTTTTTTCTCTCTTTTTTGTATATAACTTTTTAATATGGGCTTAAGATAACTTTTGATAATGCATGATGAGTGTACTTATTCTTCAATGTTTGCTATGCTGATCCTTTGCTGCTGTTAACACTACAAATTTCCCCACCATGGGATGACTAAAGGTTTATATTATCTTGTGTCTTATTTGGTCAGCTTCTCCCGGAATATGTAACACATAATTTGTGTGTATGTGAGTGCATGTCATTATTTCATCTTTAGTGCCTTGACGGTCTTATGGAGGATATTGCAAAATTTAATACACCTTTCTGTAAGGCAGGCGTGCCCAATAAAAAAAGAGAAAAAATCGGGTGGGTAAGGGGGTTGTTGGTGAGGAATGAGGGGGGTTATTTTTGTGAGCACCCCTACAATGCTCCACCTGTGCCTCAGCCATACCCCAGAGGACCACCCACTTAGGGAGAGAGAGGGCAGTCGAGAATCCCTATAACCTCTCTGGGTGGGCAATAAGGCCCTGCGCTGAAGTGGAGTGTTTGAGACATCTGAAAGACTCAGGAGGAACAACTCTCAGCGAATACTATCACACCACCAGCGAAGAATAGAGAGTGCTGGTGTGAATTAAAGAGGTGCTACATCAGGGCAGCCCTCTGTGTGTGTGTGTGTGTGTGTGTGTGTGTGTGTGTGTGTGTGTGTGTGTGTGTGTGTGTGTGTGTGTGTGTCAGAGTGAGTAAGTGTTAGAAGATGAATAAGAATAACTAATTCAAAACAGCATCTTTTTAAAATCAATTGGCGAAACTATATTAAAGTATTAAAAACAAGGATTTAATTTCATCCCTCACCTCACAGGATCAGAAATCATCATGTAAGACACCATGCTATAAAAATCAAATTTCACAGGTTCTTTAACGCCTCCACACACCTCTTATCCCTGTCATCGGCACTTTCAAGGTGAATTTCATGCTGATAATCATAAACATTATTAACTGTCAGGTATTGTACCAGCATGAAACAGCTAACACCAGATGAGCAGCAGGCCTTCATACAGGAGACACACTGAGGTCTCAGAGGTCACAGACACACTTCACTATTCTTCACTATTACTGACATAATGCTGTGCAGATTTGGTGCAGAGACGATCCTTTTGCTAATATGAAACACCACATGACAAAGCACTGCAAACAGGTCCAGGATCTTGTTTGTAGTACATGATAGATAAACCAACAACCGAAGAATAAACAGCCAGTTGTGAAAATAACACCTATTAGCTTTGGTGGGTTTTTATTTTGGCATATAGATTGTATTTTCTTCTTATGTTTAACACATATGTCACTGAAACAGATTGACCCTGTAGGTATGTTTACCTGATCATCAAAAAAACAATATAAAAAAACAATTTTGTCTATTGTTCGAAATAATGTGCACCCTGATTTTCACGACTGAATCCATAGAATCTAAAAGACCTGTGCCAATACCCATATTATCACTAATAATGATTCTGATTTATGGTAGCTACTGGAATTAAAATTTACATTGATACTGGCACTAGTTTTGATATTGATACCAATACTGATACCAGTATTGATAAAGATGCCAAATAGGGTCCAGCCTGACACAAGAGCAGTTAACCTCCTTATCAGTGAGTGTTCACGCTGAGGTCAGCGTTTATCTCCTTGATTTCTTGTTTTTTCAGAGAGTTTCTTCTGTAGTAGAAAAGACTGTTAAAGCTCCACTTTATCTTTAAACACAACAATTCTGGACGTACCTACTGAGACATACCTGCTTCACTGACACAGAGCCATTGTGAATGAAACTAGTCCGTTTTAACATATTCCTGTCATATTAGTTTTTGAGGAATGAGAAAAACAAGAATCACCACTTAGAAGAAAGAACATAATTGTAATTTATGAAAAAAAAGCACATCCTGCATCAATCAATGCTGGGGAGGCAATGATATGGCTTGAATAATATACAGGACTGTGTGAATCTCAACATCTTCCCGTCATAGTAAAACCCAGTTCAGGGTGTGTGTAAATTACATATAATGATGAGACGTGAGGATGAGCGTCTGGTTGTGTTTGCTTGTATCTATCTTTGCTTATATGTATGTGAGTGATTGATGGCTGAGGAAAGAGGTGAAGGCCTCCTCCCCGGTGGTCTGACTGGGCTCTTAGCCACTGTGCAATGATGGCTGCTGCTATCCCTGACCCACATCACCCACATCATTGACACTAAACCGACCGCCAATCTTCCGCTGGCCCATTGCCTTTGGCTCCGTCTGCGCTGAGGCTGTTTGGATTATCACCCCGCTTCATAATGACGACAGAACAATAATTAAGAGGAACACTGTATCCACAAACTACAAGATAAAGTTTGTTTGTCTATAATAATCGTCAGGCCGACAGATTTTTTTTTCCTTCTTCAAATGTGGTGCACAGTGCTGCACAGGCCAACCTTGCGGTGCACGTGTTAAGTGGCAAACACAGGGAGGATAAAACAGCTCAGGAATACTATCCCATGTTCAAATAAACAGAGGTGTGTGGGGTCTGAAGGACAAACACACATTCATTAGGTGTCTCGGTGCCTCCAGACCCGTAGTGTTTGCGCAGTGATGCAAACACACCCTCATGTACACACAAACACTTGCACAGTCTCCCTTACTCTCTCTCTTTTTTATCTCTTATTTTCTCTTTTTCTCAGACACACACACTCACACTGAGTCCAACCCACCAATTAGACAATCAAACAGCTCCACTGACCCTTAGCTTCTCTGGGAGTTGGAGTTTACACCCCAACATGGGCCGCCCATTCCTGTTTACCCGAGAAACCTGACTGATGGATCGTATTGTTTGGCCTTTCACAGCTATAACTGGCTCTGTTGTATAGGTTAAAGCTTTGGATATATTCTGCAGGCCCCAAACATGCCACACATGGCCTCTGGGTCAATAACACTCCTATCAGTCCAGGGCCCCCTAAATGGTAAAAGGGTCAGGAGTGAGCATCGCTGGTTTGCTAACGACATCAGTCGGTGGGGATGACTTCACCATCTCACCCCCCACCTTTGTCTCCAAGCTCAAAAACCAGATATTCAATCTTGGCCAAGTATGTCTCCTTATCCCCCTGCACCCAGTAAATATTTAGCTGGGTCGCCACACTGACACACAGCCAGTCCAAACAACCTGCTGAACAATTATCATCGGCATTATCTGTATACTGCATTGCCTCTTTAATATATTCATGTGACAATAAAATATTTGGCTGTAAATGCAGTGATATTTTGGAGTTGAGAGACCACATCAATCACTGGGTTGGTAGATGCATTGTTGTTAATTGAAAGCCAATTACTAATGTCTGATGCGTTACACTTCTTTTACTCTATGCAGCCTGTTGTCCTGCATACAGCCAATGCAGGTGCACAAAACTAACTCCAAGCAGAGTCATACTCAGACTAAAAACCAAAAATTTTACCTGCAGACTGTCAAAATAGCACTAGTACTGCTGAGCAAGCTGCTGGCACTTTTTTGCATAAAGTTGCTACTGTTTAAGTGTTTCATTCAACCCAGAACTGCCACGATACTAGATTTTCACTTTCTATTATCATGGCCAAAAGTATCACAATAATGATGTTATCTTGACATTAGTAGAAAACTTAGGGAAAAGAACAGCTTAAATTCATTTTTAACTTTATTAGTTATCTCGTCTTTGGCAAGATAACTTTGAGTCAGTGTGGTGGGGAAAGGAGGTCTGTTATTATTACTGTTAAAAAAAAAAGTACCAGAAAGAACAAGTACACTAATGAAAAGAGGCAACCAGATGAACTGATAAGCAAAACAACCATGAGGCACAACATCTGCCATCAATATGCTCACTAAATCAAAATCACAAGCTTTTCCAGGGACAGCACTCGAGAGTGAATCCAGTGTCCACAACCACTCATCATGAAATCTGCAGCCTAACTTTCCCTCTTTCTTTTTAAAAATGTTTAATTCTACAATATTTCAGGAGAAACTAACATACTGTGGGTGCTTCAGTTAAGAGCTGGTATAGATTTTTTAGCTTGTCATGAAACAGACTGACATTCAAAACTGATGTCCTGAAAAGGTAAATGAGACCATCAGTATGGAGACACATTTATTTTCACCCCTGTATTGTGAGTGGTGGTCAACCAATATCAGTCTTTCAATGGCCAAAACTGACAATGATAGAGCAGTTTGGCCAATATAAACTGTCAATATCACATTGTCATTTTTGTTGTTGTGTTATTTAATAGTACCAACGAAAAAAAAATGCTGAACTCCTTTGAGTGTTTTATCATAAATGTTGACAGAAAAAGGTGACAACCCAGCTATCAGAAATTAGCAAGAACAATTCTTTCTTTAAATATTAAGATTATCATTGAACTCCATTATTCTTTAATGTTATAACAGAATTTTTATTCAACAAAAACACTGTCCAGTTGCTGTTTTAGATTTAATCTGCTTTCAAATGCATATTTCGTTTGGAAAGATAATGGTGATAATGGCCTTGTGAGGGCCGATGCCTATATGACACCTCTGTGTTTGTCTAACATGAAGCTGTCACTCACTAGTTATGCAAACATTGACTGAAATATAACCTCTTCTTCTCTGCTGGTTGCTAATGAGGCTGCAGGCACAGTGATTTAAGGATGTCCGGCATTCTGCAGTTGATCTTGGAGACCGCTCCATTTCCAATAAATGTGATGAGTTTCATGTTTTTATGCCCGTAAGTCTGTGTTACACGCTCGAGTTTCATTTTTTGTCTTCAGCAGAGGTCTACAGCAGTGATGAAACGACGGAGAGCTTACAGTAACTGAGCTATGTTCCAATAATGATAGAAGTTTGTATACTGTGACCGTGGATACCCATACTGCCAAATACTGTTACTGTCATCAGATAATACTGCACTGTTTTTGGGAGCCAACCAACGTCAGCTGAACAAAATAACCATGTGAGAACAAAGACAGACAAAGAAAAGGAATGGGCTGTGTAATAAACAGAGATCATAATAAGAAATAAAGAACTACACTGACTCAAAAGACTTCAAATTTTTCACAGGCCTTGACAGAGAGCCGTAAAGCAACCACATATCCCATAGTAGAGAGAGTTAGGACATTATTGGCACAAACTGAAGAAAGATCCCTTAACTGAGCTCCTAGCCAAGGCATGTCCTCTAACTAAATCGACACAATCAGAAGTGATTTAAAGAATTTTTTTTAAAATCTTTGCTTTTTACAAAGTTTCAGGGTCATAATTTGAATTTACTTTGAAGCCACCGAGTTCTGCAGCAGCCACAACAGACAATGAAAAGGCATCCTCTCCATGAATACAAGCATAATGGAAATCATGAGGCAAGTTCAAGAGTGTTTGAACATCATTGATGGGATCCAAACGTAACATCACTGTCCACTTGACCACACAAACATTTGGAGTACGCAGGGATACTTGGCAGCCTCCCTCTCCTTGAGACATCATGCAAGCCACAGGTTGTGAAAGACTGGTAGGAATCCACTTTCTCAAGGAGAGACAAGTGTTGAAACGCTCTGAGCATTACGCCGTGGTGCACAAATGATTTATGATCAATCTATTCCCTAATTTGCTTGCTGGTTTATCTCACTCACATTGTCAAGTTTGGTCAATTCTCCCTTGGATATTGGAATTTACAGAGCTCTTTTGGTGGGCTGAGTGCAGCACAAGAGCATAAAGGCTCAGTTCATTTAGCATGTTAATAAAAAACATGCCATATGGCTTCTATGTCTTGGCCTGTAAAATCATAACAGCCTCACTAATCAAAGACATTGTGTCAAAGGAATACTAAATCCGTTTGTGGCTTAATGTTGGCAAGAATCCTTATTTCCTTTATATTCCTCTGCCAAAGGCTGAAGAAAAAAAAACAGCGTTTTAGAGTGAGCACAAGCTACACAACTTTGAGCACTGAAGTCAAACACCTGCTTAGACAAGCCACTCACACACTTACAGTATTGCTGTTCGAAATTATGTAGCAGATGGATTTCAAAAAGGACCCCCTACCTTTAAGGCCGGGTCACTGAGAGCGCACATTAAAATGTCTTTTTTCCTGTTTTGTGTTTCGTTTTGAGACATCAGTATGATTTTAAACAGCCGCACCAATACAAAGGACATGTCGAGCCATGTTCATTCGTAAGACCGTCTTGGAACAGCTCACGTTGACCAAAGTGCTCAAATCAAAACTAAGAGTGCTTGAAATTTAAGGTCAGTGGTACAGATTGCATTTAAAGGGATAGTTCTCTTTTTTAAGTGCGGTTATATGAGGCACTTGCCAATAGTAATTTTAATAGCCAAAGGGATTGCTAGCCAGCTCAGGACCCTTTGTTCAGAAACCAGTCAGGGAATCAGAACAAGGCTTGACTAGCAATATATCAGTACCTGTGAGGATTAAAACAATCTTTCAACTAGTTCATAGTTGGAGTGGCAGTGGATCTTGCAGAACAACAGAGGAAACACCACCAACCTGTCCAAGACAGACCACGTTTTTGTTCATATGTCCCTGGGATTGGAAATGTAACTTGAAGTTATTTGTTGTAATCTTAAAGCCAAGTTACAAAATATCAGTTCAGAGTAAATTTGACTTTAAGTGGTTTTCTTTGTATTTAAGTTCTTTACAAGTATTATAAATACTGTATAAATCAGATGTTATGACAGCCCTAAACTGTAATGTATCTTTCCATAAACATGCAGAGGCACTCTTTTGTATCACAAGATCTCATTGTGAATATTTTGTTTCTCCTAAAGAGATCGTGCCTCTGCAAGATGAGTAAATTTTGTTGTAAAACAGGTCCTCACCCTTGAGAGACCATGGTCAAGCACTGAAGTGTTGCTCATGGTTTTGTTAAATCAAAGACACCACCTCACAGACACACCGTGCCTCTCTGACAGGAAGATGATGGATAAGCTGTGGAGAGCCACATTTTATCAGTGTCTTTGTACATCTCCAGTCATGTAAGTATACTTTAAGACCTTGGTGGTCCAATACCGCTATCAGCATGTGGAATGTAGCACAGTGAGGACCATGTTTAAAATGTTCTGTTCTGTGTCGTGGCAATTAGCTGCAGATAAACTTGAATTTTACACTGTCCTGATTTATCCTTTGTTTTTAAAAATCATTTACAAAATGTTTTTTTTTTCCCACAAGAACGTACAAACAAGGAGACTGTGTTTATGGTCACTGACTTTCATTAATTTGCTGTCTGGCTATGAGGGGAGTATGAAGATAATGATGCAGTGTTTATGTTGTTTGAGTGTTTAATAGTATTAGCTCTGCAACTGTTTGCATGTGTTTTGCTGTGGGTGAGTTTATACACATGCACGGAAGATATCTGATTTTTTTTTAGGGAACATAAGCGACAAATTGTCCATCCGAGTGTCAATGTGATGGAGGGTTTAAGAAGTGGGAGGAGGGCATACAGTGGCAGACGGGGCAATGACCCCATCCATCTGAGATAAACCCTGCTGAGAGAGGTCTGAGGCCAGGGAAGAAGACACTCAATCATTCTCAGTGCGTTTATGAGCATTTTTGTTCCTGTGTCATTATCAGAATGCTGTGTTTTATTTTATTTTTTTTCTTCAAAAATATGACAATAAAAAGTCAGGTATTTTAAATTAGATAAAGAGATTGGTATTAAAAAAAAGTAATACATCAACAACCACAAACAGCCCATATCAAAGTCAAGGAGAAGCAAAAGTGTTGCTAGCACTGGCTGATCAAAGATTCATTCTCTTCATGTTCAAATTATCCTTCTTGTTTTGACCCTCTACAGTTTTCGAATTAGCAAAATCACCATTTGAGCTGATTTTGGTTGTTGCCACTGAACTCTTTCACTTTCCCTCAATAATCATTGAAAAAAACAAAATGTTACTTTTAATCAGATTTTTAGCAGTATATTTTACAGACCAGATTTGATGCTTGTAACTCTTGGTCAAGAAACTACCAGAAAAAAAAATTCATTTGTTGTCCAGTACATTTATTCAATCATGCAACAATTGATTAAACCAACCAATCCAAGAGCAGGAAGCGAAGGTTGGCATTATGATTTTTACATGTGGAATATTGTGTGTACACTACAGTGTGTGATATAACTTTAACTCAGATTATACTGTAGCAGTCAGCTTTGAATATATTCAGTTAACACTGAAACTAACACAATCAGTATTGAAAGAATCATTAAAAAAATATTGTCTTATGTCTGGATGTCCAAAAGCAAACAAGATTATGAGCAACGAGACTGAAGATTTTTATATACCAGTTTTTAAACACTGAAACTGCTGCAGGGGGGGTAGAAACATTCCTGCTTTAACAATTTTCTTGCAAAATATTCTTTAAAAATAATACATATAAGTTTGGAAAATCTGCAATTTTTTTGTCAAAAATCCAAACAAAGACTGCTTAGTCCACAAGGGGCGCCAAAATGGATCAAACCAAAAGTTCTTCACGGACGCTTTTAAGCGATGGGTCTGAGTATCTCTAGATGAGCAGCATGTTACAAGCTTATGCTGTTCACTTAAGAGCCTCCTGCTCAGTACATACAATGTAGTATGACAGTACTTAACATACAGATGTCTTTGATAAGATGCCAGCAGGTTTGAAACACCTGATGACTGCATGACAAATACGGATTTACACAAACCAGTTTATATCAGTTCCCATTAAACCCACTCGTTAAAACTAATTTAAACTGATTTATCCCTTTAACCTGCTCTCTTGTGTTACTTGAAAACATATTGACTGACTAAAAACTGCCGTCACTGTGGCCAACATGGAGACCACCTTCTGACACAACGCTCTGCTGCTAATGAGAACCTTAAGGCCATGAGGAGGCAAAACACATCTGACTAACATGCGATGTGTATGACCAATTCAGAGACTTTGTAGCTGTTTCAGTGCTGGAGTGATACAAGAAGAGTAATAGCAGTGGCAAGGTTGAAAAGCACCTGGACAGAAATAATGAAACATTTGATGTCACCCTGAGTCATCAAAAGCAGTAGCAAACTTGGCACAGGACTATCTCTAAGTTGTTGCATCAAAGCTACCACAAAATGTTTTCAGGGCCAGAGAGAACAAAAACCCCAAAAGAAACGTAGAGTTTGATTTACATTTAGAGTCCAATATGAAAATGAACACTGTAACAGCTCGGCTGTTTTTTCTAGCAGATGTAGCTTTAAGTAACTAAAAGGGATCAGAACAAAAACATCCTGACAGCAGAGGCTGGCACGTTATAAAAATGACTCATGCTACGTAACCAGATCCCAGACAAAGGGGATGTTTTCACTTCACCTTTTTGATATAAAAGACAGAGAGCCAGATGAGGACATATCACTCTGAAATGAGACCTGAAAACAATTCCCAGAGACAATAAAACTCAGTGGGTTCCCAAACAGTGACCTTTGTGTGGGGAGAATGAAAGGAAAAAATCTCAAATCTGATTCCTCACCACACCTAACTGCTTTCTTGGAAGTGCCTGCTCCATTCACCTCTTTTCCTTCTGTTGTAAAACGATCCCAAAGCAAAGAGCCTGTGTAAACCGGGATTTCACAATTGACCACAAGCCCTGGGAAAACCATATAGCGTCTACTTTGAGAGAACGTGTACAGCACTGCACTATCATACCAATCAGTCCTCCAAGCTCACGCTGAGGACCACCTTGAGAGCTACATTTCAAAATAGTGGAAGGAAAATACTTTCCATTTGCTTTATCTAAATAAGGGTGGAATTGATTAATCTGGCTGATGTGCCTGCAAGCCTTATTGTTTGACTGATAAAAGTTCAATATACAACACACGGCAGTACAGGCAGTACAGCCACACTGCAGACTAGTCTCTTGAAATGTGATGGTCAGGTTTAGAGTAAGAAATGATGCCTTACATGTCCACTTTGAAAGCAAGAATTTGAAGGATAAACTTACTGTCATGTTTCTTAATAAATGCAGACATTTCACTGCACTGCTGAGATTTCGAAAAAGTGTCAAAATCAAATCCTCGCACGCCAGAAAGAGACCTGCGATAAAATATCGCACACTTTGATATTAACCGTTCTCTTAGTTGATTGAATGGGCCCTCTTACAAACAAATGTGCTTAACTCGTGCTCTCTTACAAAAATAGCCACACAGGTGCGCGCACACACACACACACTCCTTCGCTAGGTTTTTCAGATGCGATGAGATGAGAGGAGCACTCAATAGCTCGCCTGGGCCTACCTGATGGAGAGCCTGAGAGGCCAAGCAGGAACAGATGGGCTGAGGACGGCGGGGCACTGGGAATGAGGGAGCAAAGGGAGGGAAAGAAGGGAGAGAACATCGACAGTCAGGGACCACCATCATTGCTGCCCACACCAGACTACACTTACCACCACTCGCCTGCCCGCATCCCTTCCCACCAAATTCATTTGCAGCTCGGTGACTCTCGACAGTAATGAATCTGCAATTTGCACACATATGCACAGTACCCAACATGGTACTACTTTACTTTGGGACCTTTTAACCCCTGATGGAAACATTTACAAACAAGTGACCAAAAGGAGCCATCAATCTGCACATTAACCTCTTACTTGCCTCCGGGGGGGTAGCGCTATTCTCTATTAGAGGACTCAGGAAGGACTAGAGAAATTTGAACAGAGAGATTATAGAAATAGTCCTTTTCAAAGGAGACTACAGGGGCAATCCGCCGAATGATAACCCAGCAATGGCCACTCTAATACTTTTTGTAAGATTAGAAAAAACATTATCAAAGTAAACGGAAAAAAATACTGCTAATGCCTTGTACAGCAAGCTTTTCTTCCACATCTGAACAGGCATCTACCTGAAGTAAATGTTGGATCAGTCTCCTGTAATGAGCAATGCAAGCCAGTAATGCTGCATTTATCCCCCCATGCTATGTCATTGTTTTCGTGTGTATTTGCACGCAGGAGACACAAAGTACCACATAAACAGTAAAAGGACACAACATCTTCTCGACGTGCGCAACCCCGTATGTGTCTCGTGCCACTGCGCCAGGGAGCCCTGGGTGGCTTCACTTACTCATGCCATGTGTATTCTTAAGCCAAACAAGGCCTAAGGACACTCCAGGGTGGTACAGAGTAAAGGAGGGGCGAGGAAGCTAAGGGCAAAGTAGTGTGGTCCCATGGTTGAAGCCAGTGATTTAGTGGCTGTTGATACCGGGCAGACAGCCCAGGCTCAGTCACTGACTCACTGTAGATGACGCTGCATAAGTCACTACACTTAAAATGTCCTCATGTGTTTAGAAATGTTCAAGTGGAAATCAGGCGCGCTCACACAGCTGGAAAGCGCTACTGGATCTGATTTTCTTGTTTCTCTCGTGCTTTTCCCTGAAGCTTTCATAAACAGATGGCAGAGGCTCATTAAGCTGTTGTCAGGACTATTAATGACATTGTGAACACTTTCCGAAGCTATGTATGCCTTAGGGCTTTCAATTGCCAAAGCTCAGCCATTAAAGAAGGTGTGAGAGTAACACAACGCTGCTGTGTGCTGCAAGGTGAGGGATGGAAGTCATGAAGGAAATGTACACACATGGTTGACAGACTGTTAGCAGTGGACTGACATTAATGATTTCATTTAAGATGGAGTTGAAAAAAAATACATTAAATTATTTACTGTGATTCCCATTCATGTACCGAATATTTGGTTGCTAAACCCTGGCATATACTTTCTAGCAGCAGTACTTCAGATTACACTAAGAGTTGGGAGATATGCTATAGATGTATCGACTGTTTTATTTGTATTGATGGCTATACAGCAAAGAAATAGGTCATATTCTGTGCCATTTCCTTTTGAACGGAGCATGTTGAAAATCGGTTCTTATAATGTTTGTTGATGAAATTGATATAGTCTTGCTCATTTCCCAGCAGTCCTACAAGTTAATGTTGCAGATTTTTTTTCATAGTCATAAATGTGAACCTCATGGTGGTGCTAGAGGAAAGGCGTGGAGTTCAACAAAGTCACAGATAGTCATCCTTAAAGACACATGAATGCCTACCCCGAATCTCGTGGCACTCCATCAAGTTGATTTTGAGACATTGATTCAGCCTCAATAAAAGTTTTGGACCGAGTGTTGCTCACAGAGGTCTAATTTCAAATTCACGTGTTTCAAAAATCTGTTTAAACTGATTTGTAATCAAACTGGCTGCAGTCTTCCAGGTGTTTCCAAAAGACATTTTGCTAAGTTTCTGGGTAATCACGCTAACAAATAATGGCTACTTAAAATCCTGCATTTTACCACGACCAAAAATGAATCCTGCTGGACCAAGAGCTGGGTGTTGACTACCTAACAACACTCTGAGACAACTCGAGGTGGACTTACGAACTGTGAGGTGTGAGGTAGTGGTTTTCTGCCTGCCAAGCACAAACAGGGTCCTGTCATCAGTCCTGTTGTTTATTTTCATGGTTTTGATGTTGAATTATGGGTAAAACAATGCAGAAATGCAATGTAGAAAAATGAACTTTCAACATCACCTTGGTGTAGGGAAACAGGGGAGGCCACAGTGAGAGCTTGCAGAGCTCCAGACTCATGTTGTTGATCCCTTTGTGGTCACATGCAAACCTAACCCTCATGGGATATCCTCTCCAAGGGTTAGATGGTGAGTGTTCGAGAATTTCCCAACTGACCCTGCAGAAATAATGCATATAAAAAGGTTGAGCAAAATCTTTGTTGTTGTTATTGTCTTACTTTTACTGTGTTAATATCAGCACTAGTCAATCGAGGCAAAAGAGGATCAGAATCCATCTGTATGCCTGAAATGAAATGCAATAAACACAGTTCACCAAATATTAGAAAGTTCTGGGGAATGTGGAGACAAATGTATGTGGCTCTTTGCTCTAATCTTAATGTGGAGGCATGTGTGTGTGTATCTGCTTCGAGCCTCTGTCAGCTTCGAACTGCGGTCTGTCAGACTGTGATTCCCTCTAATGGTCTATCTCTCCCAGCAGATGTACTACTCTCTGCTCCACAGCTGCATCCCACATGTTTTCATGCTGTTGGACAAGGCAGTTATATTCTTTTTCACCTCTTGGAGTTGTTGGTGGTGGTTGCAGCAGTGGTGGTAGTGGCAGATTCCTTTTCTGCACATTGTCATGCCCCTAACCCTCCTTTACATCCAGAATACTGCAGAAGCACTTTGGCTATACTTGGTCCTGAAATATCTCCACTTGGGCAACGTAAAGAATGTTACAGGGTGGGGGGTCAGATCTGGCAGGGTCTGCCATGGCTTCATAGCACAGTCATTTCCATAATTGCCCACAATCAAACCAACCCCTCCTGGATTCCTCCCGCTCCAGATTCCTGGAGATAAGCTGAGCTGGGGCTCTGGTGAGTGCCGGAGACCCCCGAGTAAGAACAGGTGCCGCCAATGTAACTGATTTCAGATTCTTTCTGTCCTATCTAAAAGAGAAGGGAGAGGGGCTGTTGTTTTCCCGGTAATTGCCCTTTTTGGACATTGTCTTTTGTGCGGCTATCGTGCCACTTCTCTAGAAAAGGGGCATGAAAGAGGAACTGTCCCACATTTGGTCTGGTATAATCAGGGGCCAAATTAGGATGCCTTACAGTATGCACAACCCTCGGTCAACAAATTGCCGGGCAGCAGGTTGTAGTGATTGATTCCCATTGTGGTTGATTTTCCACTGCCTGACACATGTAATTCTTCATTCTGTGGCTACCAGAGTAAACCTTTTTGACCATATTTAACAAACAAAGTCAAACACCCATGACTCAGTTTGTGATGTAACATAATATTCCCCGTTTTCATAATGTCAGTATCTTGCAGAAACCTCAAAGCTCTACACTCAATTATTCAAGAACAGAAAAACTAATTTATTTTGAAAGTCTTTTAGATTAGATTCAGATTCAACTTTATGGTCACTGAACACAGTACAAGTACAGGAACAATGAAATGCAGTTTAGATTCTAACCAGAAGTGCAAGGTAGTAAAGCGCAAGATATAAACTGAATACGAAAAATATATATATATATATGTGCAGTGAATATGCTAAAAATGTATACACGGTGTTGGTTACTGTTAGTTTTTCTGGTTATAAGAAAACTGAACATTTAAATAGAAGTGGAAGATTCTAAAAGCACGTGAACTAACACTTGAGGGAACTTTTTGATGGTTTGAAAGTTAAGAATACAAAAATATGTAAAGAAATGCATCTGCTGTCAAATGCAAAGAGATCAATACTATATATTACTGCATTTCATATACTTCATGTCAGACCATTTAAAACATGAAACGTTTGAATCACTTAGTAATAAAGCTCTCAAAATGAAAAGCAGTAAGACATGTCTGAGACAGCGTGTATGAAATGGGTCGAGAACTTGAGAGTCTACCTAAGAGTACGTGGTTTTATTTTGTTGACATCAAACAAAGTAAGGCGGAAGTGGACTCGAGAGACAACTTTCATTATTTCCACGGTCGACGGAGTTCAACATCTCCCACTGCCTCCCACTCTCCGCTCCCCGCTCCTCCAGGTGACTGTTTACCTCGACGTGGACGCGACTGTGGCCACATGCGCGCACCCGCGGAGTCATACGTCACCGTGCTCGCTCCTCTTCTCGCGCGCTGGTTAAAAAGAAGGAGGAAAGAGCACGGGAAAACATGTGAGCGGTGTAAGGACTTTAGTGAGAGACAACTTTTATGTCTTATATGTGTTTTTTTGACCCCGTGGCTGCACACACACCACCGTGCTGTGCTTAAAAGGAATTACATCTCAAAGGAACGTCACGGCTCTTCAGCAATTCACGCTTTACTTTTGGCTTTTGACTTTTTGTGTTGATCAAGAAAAATTGTGTCAGTGTGTTACTTTTTTATTTAATTTTATACTTATATTATTTCGGAGCTGAACTATGAAAGCTGAAGCAAAATAATTTATTTGTAATGCCTTTCGTCATTGCAGTGAATCATATTTAGGACACCTGCTCTTGTAAAGAAAAAAAAACAACATATTGGTATTTTTTTTTGTTTTTTTTTGCAGGGACTGGTTTCTGCTGCTTTGACCATTTATACAGCACATCTTGATTAAGAATATACAATACATCACAGGTCAACATTTTCTCTTAAAAGAGGAGATTTTTTTTTCTTTTACATTTTTCTTTTTTTCTTTTTTTTTTTAAACTATGAAGCATTTGCAATTCGTTCTCGTCCTGGCCATCGCGGTCAACTTGTGGGAATGTGGAGACGCAAAATTCGGCGAGAGGGGAGAAATTAGCCCGAGGAGGAGAAGATGTTACGACGGAAGCATGCCCAAGCGGCTGAAGAAAAGGGAGCGAAAAGTGTTGCTTGACGGCAGCAGCAGCACCAGCAGCGGAGAAGTTTGCCACAGGTTGTATCCCCGCGTGTCCTGCTGTCCCACCAGGAGAGCCGCCTTCCAGATCCTGCACCGCAGGGATGCCAGAGTAGGTTCATATCCCCTCTCTCTTCAGACCACGCTGCGTTTTTCTTCACATTGACAGACTGTTTTAACTGCGAAAACTCCTCGGGAGGTGCATTTACAACCCCCGTGTGTTGTCATTCTGCCTCTTACTATAACAGCTGGGTTTTGGGGATGGTCGGTGGGAATTGTCACGAGCTGGGCTGCCTCTGATATTCAGGTGCATGGTGTTTTTAATACACTTTGAGATGCATTTATCGTTTCTTAGGGGTGCTCAGTGGTAGATGACCTTGCCATATCCCCTCATATCTGGTAAACTAATGCCCACATTTACCACGTAGAGTCTCCGTTTATGACATTTTACGTACATTTGACGTTATTTCGTCGTGGCTGTTACAAATGTCTCTTTAAAAGGGATGTTACAGTCCTCTCTGGACACCCTGTCTTTTCGGTGGCTTTTATCTACTCGCCTTTCTGCTTAAACTACACGTATAAACCCCTAGGTGTCAAAGAAGTCTTGTCATTTCGATGCCATTTCACATTTTTGCGCAACTCTTAATTCGGCCGTTCAACGCGCTTTTGTGTTACCATGGTAATCACTCGCCGATTTACGTTACTTCTCGTCAGTCAGCTACAACAGTCCGGAGAGAAAGAGAGAGAGCTAGCGTAAATGTTGAAACGTTGTTTCATAAAAGGTAGGACCCTGTTTTGCCTTTGAATCAAAACGTTGGGCTTTTTAACTGCAACTGTGTGCTGCTGTCTCGTAGTTTCTATCAATGTCAGTCGTTGTCAGCTACATTTCAGTGTAAACATGCGAGAAATTCGCTTGCCTAATGTGTTCACGTTATCCATAAAGTTCAAATAATTGTACCAAACTCGTGCTTTTTACTCAGTCGAGCCATATTTCTCTATCCTGACGGCGACTAAGTGTCGAAAACGGTTTAATTATCGTTAAAACAATGGTTGAACCCCCTCCTCCTCCTCCCGCTCAGTGTCTGTAAGGCGAGAAAAGGAGAAAGAAGGCGACTGTATGCGCCAAACTTGAAGCGGATTCCGTTGGATCCTCACCGGGCCATTCTCATGTAAACCACGCAGCGAATCATTCAGTGGCTGGGTGGTATCTTACTTTGTGTTGCGACAAAAAGCCATATTGCATCATTTAGTTTGCTCAAGTCATGCAAATAAGAGGGGGGAAACTGAATAGGAAGAACTCGACTTCTCCTCCTCCCAACTACACTGCCCACACACGGAGCCTTTTCTGATTATGGTAAAAGAATAACAACAACACCATTGTGTTTGTTGGTTTCACTAATGGGAGAAGCCGGAGAACATCACTCTCCCTCGGTCATCAGCCCTGTCCAAGTGTTAATGCCTTTGAGAGGGTGTGTGTCCCTCGCTATATCCCCCCTGCCAACCAACTTACACCTTTTCCCAGAAGACAAGTGTTTTGTTAAAGCCTAATGTTGCCTACACCAGTGCCTTCTCAGTCCCTCTCACCATTTTAAGGTTCTGTAGAGTGACACAGGATTTTTTTTCTTCTTTGAGTGGCATTGTATATTGATATGTTTGTTCCGGCAATTTCATTGGCAAAAGCTGTTATGCAGATGCTATCTTGGAGAGACATAATCCTGTAACAGCTGTTCTCCCACATTAGGCTATGCATTGCAGACTGGTGCGATGCCAAGTTTTGAGTGCGTCATGTACACAACTGAAACAGCTTGGGAACAAGTTAATGACAATTTTATTTTTTTAACACCATGAAAGCCCTTTGACTGTTTCAGTATGTCCTCAACAAAAGTGCAACAGCTGAGCTTCGTTGCCAGTTTCTCCCTGCTTTTGAGGAACATACTCACTCACTGAGATTCAGCAATGGACAACAAACAAAGGTCCACTTGTTCTGGTTTGGATGATGGCAACATTGGAGCCCATCCCAGCAACATATGGACACAGGGCATGGCTGAGAGCACACAAATGCCACTCTCCATGGACCCTGTGCCAGCCCATGGCACACGGAATCAATGGGCAATTTAGAGCAAGAGGGCAGGCATGCCCACAATACTACATGGCATGAGTGTAGAAGGCACGCAGACGGAGGAACACACCACACATGCAGGGCCATGACAGCCAGCCTGGAGCTCCCTTTTTGAGCAAAACATCAACAACGAGATGAAATATACAATGTGGGATTTAAATTGAAGTTAAACTTTTGAACCTGAAATAGACTATATTTCCCTCTCTTGTTTGTCTGTTAATCTGCATTTTGTTATGAGAGACTGTATATGTTAGTATTTTTTAGAGTACACTCCAATGTTTTTCCAGAGGCTCTGCCACCTGTTGGCTGAATTACTCCTGCAACACAAAGTCCTTTGCTTGTTTCAGTTTGCTCTGCAGTCAGAGCAAAGTGTAAGGCATCCATATGTTGGCCCTGGGTCCCCTGGTCTAATTGACTCCGACAGACTGCTAATTTGTTGATACCAGAGTGGGAATGATGTGCCTGTCTATCTCTAAATTGGTGTTTACACATGGACCTCACACAGAGCAAAGCACTACCAGCCTGCCTGCTTGCCTGGCTGCCCAAGCAGCGCTGCTCTTGACCTAAAACAGATTACATTGTGTTTCATTACAGCTAATTTGTTATGTAAATAATCCAGCTAATTTCTTTCGGATTAACTCTTTGTGTACTTTGGTGTAATGGCCCCAAGTCAGGCTTTGGGGCTCTTATTTAGCTTCATTCATTTCATGCCTTGCAATCTGTCAGACATAGACATTGTGCTTTGACTTTAACTGCTTATGAACTTGTGTAAGTAGGCATTGAATGAGATGATTTCTCTGTTTATTTCCTCTAAACACACCGGGTGGTTCAGCCTCAGTGTTTTACAAAATTGGTATCAGAGGATATAGAATTGGAGATTACAGAATTTGTTGCTCAGTTCGGCTAGAATCGTTACAGCATAACTATTCTTCAGCTATATGTACCATATTAAAATGTTAAGCTAAAAAAGACACAAGTAAATACCACTTTCTTGGATAAATTTTGTGATTATTAATTCAGGCTTTAGTTAAGAACTTTAGCACATTGCATATCACTGTCTCTCTCTTCATTTGTCATTCTGTAGAAGATGCTGTGAGAAGAGGAGAGTCTCTGAGTGATCAAACTAATCAGTGCAATTCAAACCCTGGCAATGACTATCCATCCAACCACACGCCAAATCAGCTTGTCATGTAGGATAAAAACAAATTCCAGGATGACATTGATGTTTAACATATGATGCTTCATGAGGAGATAAGTTTATGACATCTAGAGTTGCTTCATATTCTGTTGCCAGAGTACTTTGTGAGTGTCATATTGGAGAAGATTTTGTTCTAATGCTGTTTTTTTTTTTTATTCATCCAAATGTGTTTCTGATTTTTAGAGATTACAGACTGTATGTGTCGTACCCTGGATAGTTTTGACTTGTGTGTCTGTGTTTGGCTTAAAGTGGTATTTTTACACATAACATGGGCTGACATGTTTGTTCAACATTGAGAAAGTAAGGTCAAACTTTCAAGGGCATTGGGGTAGAAAATGAACCCTACACTCTGGACTACCTGGTAGTGCGGTTGTTGAGATGCTTTGTCAGGAGGCGTCCTACTTATCTTGAACAACATGTTGTCTTGATTTGCGAGACGTTAAGGTAGAAGTAAATGTTAACAACCCACCGTTTTAATCATTGGTCTTTGTTGCGTGTGGTCTCCAGATTTTCTCCACCAACAACACAGAATGTGGACGTCTCCTGGAGGAGATCAAGTGTGCCCACTGCTCCCCCAATGCCCAGGTGTTGTTCCACTCCTCGGACACAGACAAGATGCCACACAGAGAGCCAGACCTGCCACGGCTCTGCCAGGACTTCTGCCGCGAGTTCTACTACACCTGCAGGGGTCACATACCAGGTAATTAGACTGATACTAATAACCATGAATGTGACTAGAATTATAGCCCCTGTGTGGTAATCTGATGATTCACTAATAAACAACACACATGAAAAGGGTCACGAATTCAGACAAACTTGAGCTATCAGTCTGTAAGTCATCTAAAATGAAACAGTAAATTAACTTAAATGAACTGCCATTCACAGCAGACTCTATTTTTCATTGAGACTCAGCCTGCACATGTAGAACTGGCAGATTTTTGGACTTATGCAAGAAGTGGTGCGTCAGTAGTCTGGTCTGTGAATATTTATTTATCCAGCTCTTACCTCATCTGACCTCACCTCCATTTGTTGCTGAGCTTGTCTCACTCGTTTGCTTGTTTGCTGCCTTTACTGTTGCACTTTAATGCATTAGCATAATTACTCTGCAAAAACTGCCTATACAGACACAACACCAGTTTGCTGATAAGTGTGCACTGCAGACTGATTAAGCACATTTGGCTTAGCAAATTGCAGAGCAAAATTTGTGCTTTTACAGTGTTGAGTCTTGCTGTGTTTATGGAACCAGGTGCAGAAAGTTTTGTTCTCTTGACTCTGTTAGGTTTATCCAGATTTTGTAGGTTTATTTTAATCAGCATAAATTTGCAAAAATTTGACCTTTTTTTCTGAAGACCTTGAGCGCAGAAACAACACACAGATTTGAGGCATTTCCTGACATGTGAATGGAAAATGTTTGGTTTGCAAAGGTGGATGTGAAAACAAATTTCTCACATGCACTAACAAACACTACACAGGACCAACCAGTGTACCAGAGAACCGGACTGGAACAAAATCGATTTTTTATAACCTGGATGCTGCACACAAGACTCAGCTCCTGGAGTGAATGCTTTACCTTGGATGCATGAGTATTCCAGCTATGGTCTAGACATGACTGCAAGTCACCTTATACAGAAACTGTCAAACTTGTGTCTTTGTCTCTGCCACCTTTCTTAACATTTGAAACAAAGTTGGAAGGTTGGTTTACAAACAGACCCTGAGCTATACTATGATATCACCAAAACCCTTGGTACAAGAAAAATCATATTGATGGATAACTTTTCTTTGTATGTGGTACTGTTTAATGATAAGAGCCCTTCTGCACTCTGAAAACATTCAGTCTCCAGCAAATTGCCTTTGAGATGCAAGATCACAGGTACCTGTGCCTTTAGAGTGCATACCAAACATGATCAAACCCTTTTTGACTGTCTTCTCTCCCGCAGCCAAGTCTTCTTCCAATCTCTGTCGCCACTAACTGATTAGATCTGCTTGGATTTGGAAACAGAGAGCAGTTTCAAACACACTTGTCTGCAACCCACCCACATGGTATGCTGCAGCTCAAGTCAAATACCAAACACATACATTCCACTCAGGTCCATCCTAATCTGAATCTAATGACCTGCTGCCAAATCTTGTACAATATTTGGCGTACAATTAAAGCTGGGGAGTAGCACTCTGCGGAGCATAGACAGAGGCAAGCAAAGATGACTTGTGTGGAGTTGGAGTACTTGCTCATAAGCTGTCAGACATATGGACTCAGAGTCAAACCAAAAAGGCAAGAGAACCGTATCCAGTGAAAGACCCCCCCCCCCACATCTTCATCGTCATGCTCCTCCCCACTCGACCCCCCCCCCCTGAAACCCTCCACAGATCAGCATATGTGGTGACGAATGACACATTTATTTTTCTACAAAGGTTGTGTGTATGTAAAACTGCCGAAGTGCATCAAGATGTCAAGTACTTTGGGTGGGCCACCCAGGTTGCCTTGGAAGATAACCAGATGGAAGTATAACTTAAGCAGGGGAGCCGGGAATATGGACAGAGTTCTATCTCTCTCTTTCTCTCTCTCTTTCCTTCTCTCTCTTGTCCCTTTTCTTTTTCTCCTTTCTCTCCTCTGTCTGTTTTCCCTTTCTCCATTTTTTAAATCTCTTCACTCTCTGCTGTTGTGTATAAATTCAAATGCTCTTCATATTGCTTTCCTATCTTTTTTCAGTTGAAGTTGTTGTATTGTAGGTATGTTACATTTGAATTTGAGTCAACACCCTTGATACACAGTAATTTATTTGATTTTCAAATATCTAAGGAAGTAAATTGAAAGTTTTTGCTTTCAAATTAGTCCTAAGATTTTTTGTTATTCATCATATACGTATATTTTTGAAATGATTTCTATTGTCCTTATAAAAGCGTAACACCACAAAGACCATCTGTGATACTTCACTTTTGCAAATACCAAGTAGCTGCGTAAGGGTATTAAAATGAAACAGTAGCCTTTACAACATCCTAAACTGTCATCCCGCTGCAGTGAAACCTTCCTACTGGCCTTTGATTTGGCCGTTTACTTAGCCCCCATTTTTCTATAAAGACATTTACTGCTTTGACTCTAACTCCTTACTTGTAGGCCTCCCACCTTACCCTTACTCCTCTTCTCCTATATCTTCCTCCCCTTTTCACCCCCTCCCCTCCTCCCTGCACCCCGAGGTCCCCAACCAGCATGGTTAAGATAACTGCAGACACAAGTGGGTGGGTGGTATTGCCAGAGCTGTGTGTGTGTGTTTCTTTGTGTGTTTGATCTTCATGTTGTGTTTAGATGTTTGAGGGGATATCCTATCACCTCCAGTATTTGGTGTGGTCAGCACTTGTGGTCGGTGTGTGGCAGGAGAGGGAGATGAAAGGGGGGGACAGGGAGAGTCCTGTTTGTGTTTTTATCACTGGTGTATTTGCTCTCCTCTGTCCTCCCAGGGATTGACTAAAGGAAACAATATTTGCAAGATTGTTTTTAGGTCGCAGTGGACTCCTGAGACCCTCTGCACACTTTGTTTTTTTGCTGGGGATAATGTTGTGTCTGCACAGGCTGGAGGCATAGCTATGTTTAATGCTATGTGTATGCAGATTGCTTGTTGTTTTTACATGGAAGCATTTTAGGTAAACCAGCAGGCCAAAGAGGAATAAAGAGGGAATAATGGCAGTTTTACCTTGAATGAACATGCTTGATTAGCTTTAATTTGGATAAAGGAATACCACCAAAAATTACCAGGATAAGAGAGGAACCCTTTACATGAGCGACAGAGAAGGGAATCACTCATCTAGGACTGAAAGGCATACAGCAGATGTACTGTGTGTGTGGAATAGACTAATGTAGCAAGATGAATAACTAGGATGACATATTACTGATAGGCTGGTGCATGTAGAAATGTATGGTTGAATTTCCAAGGGGTCCCACATAGAAAACATCTGGAATATGAAACAGAGAAAGAAGCGCCAAAACAGCTGACAAAGAAAGGAAGCTAGTGTTGTAGTAGTGTTGTAACTTGTGTTCTACTAGTGACTGAAGTGTGACAGTGGGTAAACATAAGAGCTCCAGTTATGTGTAGTGGTGTTTATCATGGTAACATCTTTTAACTCACTAAGTGTATGTCACTCTCTCTGGTAAAGCTCGGGCAAAGCTGTGTCAGGAAAATGTTTATGGTGGTGGTAAACTGCCCCAGGATTCCCAGTCATCAACCAGACAGCAGGATACCTTGTTAAAAATGAACTGTGGGCATTTCTCAATCAGTGCATTTAGCTCAAGAACCTTCCCAGTGATAGTCCGCACTTTCAAACCATAACTGGGAGGTTTTTTGGCATCTTTGCACCACAGCTAACAACCTTAACTAAATGTGTTTAAAATTGTTATATTCATCATTCATCATATTATGGCATTATGGTTCTTGAAAAAAACTTTCGTCATGTTTTACTATACTATCCCTTGAAACATTAGCTACAAGTTGTCACTGGAGTTTTTGCCTCTTTCAGACAGTATAACACTGATACCAGGATCATACGCTTCAGACAAGCAGTCCTGTGATTTAATGATTCCAGTATTTTGCAGTCACATATAGCTGACCATCATCAGCATATCAGTGGGAACAATTCCACTGAAGATTTTGGACAAGAAGTCTAATTAAAGGAGGTTTAAGTAGATTCAAAGCAGACAGCCCTGAGGTATTTTGGGTTCCAACATTGAATAATTAAATGTTTAATTACTATAGGAAGCCCACAGTGTTATTTCAGATATTCTAAACTTTAACTACACAGGAGCTGGGCCCAAGACTCTAAATTAATTTTCCAGTTGCTCCAGGAATTTGTAGTGATCTGTGTCAGAAGCAACACCAAAATCTGGTAATAGAAACAACAACATGGAATCCAAATCCATTGTAAGCAGATGATGGTTGAGTCAGTGAAGTGCTATTACGGCTCACATTTGTGGGCCAGAGAGGAGCATCACATCTTTGTTTGGCAAAGCGTCCAATGAATATCTCACCCTGTAAACATTTTTGTTTATTTAGAATTACATGCCGTATTGAGCAGGTTGATTATTTTATTTCGCATGCTGTGCCCATGTGTGGCTCACTAATGCAAAACAGTCAGATCTGTTTGAAGGAACAACAAGTGGCTAAGTCGTTTAAAGTGATTCACTGCAGAACTGTAGGGAAATCAGAATGCGTTCCAATAATTCAGTGAATGCACTACGTCTCCAAAACTGCCACTCGGTATGTCTCCGATAGCTGCACCAAGGATTTTTTTTTTGTTTTGCTGTGCTGAATTTGACAGGTGCTAGTAAGCTGTAATATAATGAGTCCCTGAAGTTGTAGAAATAAATTCATTCAGTATGCTTGAACATTATCCTTTCATGGGCCTCATCAGGAGAGCGTTTTAGACATTATTTTGTCACCATCATTCTGTTCTTTTCAAATCAGTTTTTATTCTTTTTTGATGAGGGTTTGTTGCTATGGACAATATTTTTGTGGAAAACTTGTGAAGTTTCATGTCGAGATTCGTTCCGGCTGTATGAGCAGAAGGCCATTGTCAGCTGGAGCGGAATATGAAAATAATTGAACTTGACGTCTTGAAAGTACTTTGTGTTATTTTGTGGCAATGTTTCCTCCGCGTCACTTTGTTTTAGATGAGTTTTAAATTTGTTTTAGAGATAGTTTTTATGAGAGGTTTTTCTCTGCATGTATCGTTTCGTAAAGAGAGAGAAGATGATCTGGTGGTGATGGCATTGTAAGGTTCCTCTTGCTCTCACAATCTCAAGTTTGAAGTTTATATTGCTTGTTGAGCTTGTCTGAGGTGAAGGTTTCCATTGTTTTTTTCATGGCATCTTTTAGAGCAACACTACTTAGTGAATGTCTCAACCACAGCCAGCCCTTGAATGACTCATGAACCAACTGGTACATTATATTCTCAGTGCTCAGGAGATAAAATTACAGACATTATAACACCTGATCTTGCTCTGGGTGTATTTCAGAATCTTTAACAGACTCCATGCTGCCACAGAACAGCCACAGTTCTTTCAACAGAAATTCATCAGGAAAGTATCTTTTCACAAATTAAAAACACTGAAATTGCAAACTTAGAACGAGAGCACAATCTTGTAGCTCTCTGGAGGAGACAACTGCAGAGTTCTCGCTCGTCTGTGATGGATTTTGTTTGGCCCACTGTCCCTTCACTTGTTCTTTCAGCCTTGTGCAGCAAGAATTTGGTTTGGCTCATCAAGAATAAATCCATCCTTTCCCAACACACTAGCACACAACATCCTTTCTCTTTTCCCTTTTTTTCTCGATTTTTTTTCTCCATTCTCTCGAACCCAGAGTTATATATTGTAAAACATATGGTACATTCAAACACAAACAAACGTGCACTGAGCCTAAATAACTTAAGAAGAATTGTATTTGGATCTTTCCCTTAAGCCTCCATAAGCCCTGTGAATTGAATCATTTAACCGTGCAGTATCTATTGCAAGTGTAACACCCTGTCTGTGTATGTATCTGCTTTGTTGGCTAGAGCTGTTCCAAGCCGATGTGGATGAGTTCTGCCAGTACTATGGGAGGAGAGATGCCAATCCATGCTTTCCAGATTTTCAACGAAAGCAACCACAAGGGCAAGATTCCAACTACTTGGGAGATGAAAAAATAGAAGATATCAGCAGGTTTGTGTTCTGAATTTAACCATGATTTATTCCATTTGAGGATTGAATTACAGTATGGAAGATGTTTATAATATTATTTTAATGAGCTCTGGCTGGTTTTGAGTTTTTTTTCAGCCAAGGGAACTCTTCTCTAAGGCTTTTAGGACACATGGCATACAATTCTCATATAGACAGGCATTTCCTTGGTCAAATGTTCTGGATTCACGGGTCCTTTTTGCCATGGTCTATACGATCAGACAGAAATGCTTTGCCATCTCCTCTCTAATCCTAAAGTTTGTCCGGACTGCGTTTGCTCAGCTTTGCTCACATAATGAAAATGCTTATCCTGCGTCATTTCTGGTTGCCTCCCTCACTGCAAAGGTCTGTGCATCAATCAGAGCTTTGCCCCTTTTGTCCATGGGGGGATGCCTTTTATCTCCTTTTTTTTTTTCGGAGGCAAGAAAGCCATGCAGCACGTGCACCTGAATATCTGTAGCTAATATTCAGTCAAAAAATAATCAAAGTTAGTCAAGTCAGAGGTTCATTTGATTGGGTATTTGTGTAGATGGATGGGGAAAGGTTTGTTTGTTCATTTTTTTTTTTTTTTGTCAGAGATCCCTGGTAAGCTAATGTCACAGTCAGCCAGGGTATAGGTTGCAGCTGTTTGATGCTTTTTGTGCAAGATGAAGAAAACAGATAGATCTTATGGATGTTATTTACACACAACACTTAAATTTGGACACAAGCGCCAGTGGTGGGCCCTTGTAGGAGGGTGACATGTAGCCAAAAGCTGTGGGATGAAATTAGAGCCAGGCCCTATGTCGTAAGAGTTATCTTCTGTATTTGAGGCATGCACTCTACCACAGGGGGGCCAATATGTTGTCTATCTTGGCACACAATAAAACATCTCAGAACTGTCAGTGACACTTGTGCTTCTCTGTTTCATTTCACTCTTTACAAACTGAAACTCGTGTGGTTAAAAGTAATTAAACTACAGCTGAGAGGAAACACAGTGGGCTTGTGTTTGAGGAAATGCACATAGTTTTGTAATTTGTCGGATGGGGATCGATGAAAACTCCTTAAGGGTTGTTGAAAAAAACGGTTGTTATATCCATTGTCTGATGATGGTATGTTCTACGGCTTACTTCTCCATCTTACTCACATTTCTATCATACCCCTAAACAGCTGGATTATTTTCCACTGCCACTGGCCTCTGACCTTCTTTAATCCTTCTTGTTACCCAGGAAACACAAACACAACTGCTACTGTGCCCAGGAGGTGTTGAGTGGTCTGAGGCAGCCGGTGGCCGTGGTGCACTGTGGGGACGGATCCCAGCGGCTCTTTGTCCTGGAGAGGGAGGGAATTGTCAGGATTTTAAACCATGACCTGCAACTTATCAAAGAGCCTTTCCTTGACATCCACAAACTGGTGCAGAGCGGCCTGAAGGTAGGACTCAGCCTGCTGTTACAGTGTTTATATTTTCTGAGGAAAATTTAGTATGGAGGTCATTTGAACACACATGTAAAAAGGAGAGTAAGTAGTTACAGAACATGGATGATAGAGCATGAAATATTGTGCGCTTCATTCATACATTAAGGCTGTATTATGGAGGACCTATAACATATTTCTTGGCAACACAACTGTGTGCACCTATGTTAAAGTGTGAGGTGCATCTCCAGCCAAGACAAATCCCTTGAAAATGGTGCCTGCACACTATTAGTGTTTAATTATATAATTACACCAAACAAGCAGCCATTCATCAAATGTGATTGTGGCTAATCATTAGGCTATTATCTGCTAATTAACTGTACATACAGCACACATTGTGCTCACTGCTAATTTTCTGCTAATTCTCACAAGATGGGTTAATGGCTTTCATAATCTCTCCCATATTGCTCCTATAACGTTCTAATATCCCACATGGTGACTTACCCAATACTTTACACAGTGACTTACTCAGCACAGCACATGTTGGATGGAATGAAGTCCAAAAAATGTCTTTGAATTTTAACCCTGTCCACACTCTCTATTCTTCAACAAAGAAGGAAAAGAGGCAGGATTGAAGGGGCAATTAAACACGATGTGAGGAAAAATAATTAAATCTACTCATTCATTATTTTTTGTAAATATCTTCTTATGCTTATTAGATTTTGTTTTGATTTTTTGTGTGTGAAAGATTCAGTGTTTTTCACCAGTTTTGTGAACTTCTTCTTCAAGTATCTATTTTCTGATGGGGCTGTTATTGCACTACTAAGGAAGAATTTTTGGGCAGCATGCAACACAGTTTATAGCCTCTGTTGCTCTGGGAATCCCACATGAATATCCCAATTGCAAGAGCACTGTAATCCACAGGGAAATATCTCGCTATTTATTTATAATCTGCAATCCTTGTTACATCTAAGATTTTGAATTTGATAGTTGTTCAGAAATTGTTTAGACCGCACGAGATGGAATTGCTGAAATGTTTGAGGGACACACTCCCAGACAGGAAGTTTATCCATCATGCATGCCACTGCTCCTCTACTGACAAGACTCTTTGCTTACAAGGAGTGAAACAGAGCAGAGCAATTGAATATGCAACTGCCCCCTGCATGCCGCAGCTCTCACTGCTCGGCTGTGCTCCCTTATCATTATGACAATTAGATGTGGCTCAATCCCCCGCAGGCCCCAGGAGTCCTATTCTGTGATGATGGCTGCCAGAACAGGCTCGCAGCCACACGGAATGAACAGAACCAGGGGAGGGCTAAGGTGTTTACTGGTAGCATCAACAGGATGGTGGTGCCTTTATACAGAGAGAGGAACCCAGGTCCCCAGGAGAGAAGCTAGATAACGGGTTTATCATCAGCTTCATGCACATGCTTTGATTGTAATGTTCTGTGTTTCCTCCTGCTCCTCTATTCCCCCCTCCTTCCTTGGATCCCCCCGGTGCCAATTAAGCTGAACTGCATTGAAACAATGCTGTGCTGTGGTGGTGTGGGCTCCTAGCTGCGCTGTGGGTGTTCTTCTCCTGAAATTCAATCTCTATATACTCCAGTCCCCAACCACCACCAACCACACACACATTCAAACACAGTCTATCCATGTCATCATCACAGACTCGCTCCACAATTGGCTCGCATTCACACACCTCTAACATGATGGTTGATTTGTTGACAAACCCCCTGATTGGACAGCGCCTTGCTTAAGGTTGTGGTTCAGAATTGGCCCATGTTGTTGGAATGTTTTTATAGTACATCACTGTAGTTTTGAGAACAGATATTTGAGACTTAAAATGCAGAAATAGGAACAAAAAAACTGAGCATATTTTAACATTTTTAATTCCACACTATAGGAGCAAAACCTAAAAAAGGTTTTGCTGCAAGCACTTTAGTTTGCTATAGTCTTCATCATAGTAAGGAGTACCGCATAGAGGAAGATTAATCAAAAAAATGCTTGAAAGAGATCAAATAAAACACAAGTGTAGTCAATATCCTATACCTTCTCTAGTACAATACTATGTCAAAGTACTTCAACTGTTGTTGATCTTGTAAAATTATATTTTCTTATTCTGTGCACAATGGAAAACCAATGTGGGTCATTTGAAATTCAAAGGTGTCAAAAATCGTGAAAGGTCATTCTATAGGCCAGCATAGCTTATTGAATAGCAAATATTGGAGCACAAGAGAGCTCTTTTACAGATACATGACTAGGGCTGGACGATAAAACGATAATGATATATACCGAAAATTAATTTCCCTCAATATTAATATAAAACATGGTCAATATGCTTTTCGATAACCGGCATTCTGCCATGTTTTGGTAGACTATACGGATAGCCAATGAAAAGGGGAGTTGTTCCAGGTCGGCTTCGCGCTGAACCAATCGTGCTGAATTAGAGCCAAGTAACAAACAACTGCATAGTAGCAGGCAGAAATGCAGATGAAGACATAGTCGACAATGCTGGCATGGAAAACATCTGTGATGTGGAGGTATTTTGGTTTTTTGAGGTCAGACATGAAGCAGAGTAATGTGCACTGCAAATTATGTCAAGAACATGTTCTTGCAAAGTCGGAATACCTCAAATCTTTTTAGCCACCTGAAGCAGTGCCACGTGGCAGAGCACGCGCAATGCAAAAAGTTACAAACCCCGAGTGGAGCAAGGAGCCCATTGGGCCTGTGCAGCCGAAACAGCCGACCATTCAGTCCGCTTTCTCTAGCGCCTTACGACAAAATGTTGAAGAGACAAAGACCTCAGATGCAGTAGCTCTTTATTGCAAAAGACATACTACCAATAAGCACTGTTAAATTTCATTTTTTATATCGTGATATATGTCGAATTGACTGATATGAAAAAAATATATCATGATAAACTTTTCCCCATATCGCCCAGCCCTATACATGACCCATAGTTGTACATTGCAAAAGGTGTATGGATAATACCAACATCTCACTGTGCACCTTTACAAAGTCCCTAGAGAGTAACATCTGTAAAAGTGGCTAGAAGTTTTTTAGATTAAGACATCTGCAACAGCCTTGCGTTGACAGTCCGCTGACATGTATTAGCCTCTGTAACAGGGGCGAGGGGGCCTGCAATGAAATATTTTACTGCAAAGACAAATAAGTCATAGCATGTTATGTTTTCTGTCCCTGCATCACTGACAGCTGCTCCACATTCTCCGTATCCATCAGATGCTTAGAGCCACTCTCATACAGCACTAACTGAAATAAGTGGCCTCGTCGCCTTTGTTTTCTCTGGCAAAAAAGGGTCAAACTCATACTGATCTCTCAATTATCCTCAGACACTGGGATGCTTGCAGTGAAATGGTAACACTATGGACCCTCCAGATGATGGATTATATCTTTTTTGTGGTTGGTGGGGAATTCATGGAATTGCAATGTGCTCGTTACAAGATTTATGTATCAACAGATGGGAGGATTTTAGTGAAGTTTAGATTCTGCTTGCAAAAGACAAAGGCAGAGACTGCACAGGATGTGAATGGAAGGGATAAGTTAGTGAAGATGCTCCAGGTTGTGTCTGAGTGAAAGTTGTAGACATCGCTGAGCTCCAATCAGCTCATGTGGAATGTCTTTGGTAAAGGAATGCCCCACGAGCCAGTGAGAAAGGATCAAAAGGTTCAGAGCAACAATGCATGAGCCAACGCGTGCGTCACCAGGACTCAAAGACAGCTGGCCCTGCAGAATCAGAAATCATAGCGCTGTGTGCATCACTCTGTCTGCTACTCAGACAGCAAAAAATCCCATGTAATGCACCGTGAGATGTAAGATATCAACCGCTGCTCGTCCCTCCACCTCACTTTCCCAGCTTTTTGTGGAGTGACGCCAACTCTTTGACAGTGCCAAAGCTGGAGTCCCAGAGGACAAAAGTGGAGGGGAAAGAGGAATGCAGAGGCAGGTGTTTGTAAGAAATGAAGAGATAATACCTCATGAGAGATTCAGTCAGAACCCCCTGCCTGGCTATGAAGGAATGATGGTGGCCATAAAAACACAATACTATTCAAAGACCAATGAAGGGAAATGCAAAATAACCCCTTAACCGAACACATGCCGTAGGTGAAAAAAATCAGAATTAGTAGAATAATAGAAATACACAAAGAGAAAGATGTTCAAGATGTTCATCTATGCTGCAGTCGACTTTAAATGTGCTATAAAAGAAGAAACCCAAGGCTCACTTTGTGGCTGAAAATTTGAGAGACAAAGTTTGTTCTCTCTAAACTCTCGAAATGAACTCATTTGCTTGGTGTATTGGTTTTGGCAGGTACAACTTCCCCACTGCAGCTCTGGCAGCAGTTTCTTTATGATCAATGCTCGGGAGCCACAGGTTGGCACTCTGTCTTCTTTTAATCAAGGTGTCATTCTGGACTGGCTCTGCAGTGTTTGTTTCTTATGGCTGCGCTGCCAATGCTGCTGTTCTCTTCCTGCTGAAGGAGCTAGTCACGAGCAAGGAAGCCAATATATCAGACTATTTCAACACTGTGTATCTTGGTGGTCCCCTTTGGGCTCTGTTTTTAGGCCTCTCTGGTAAGGGGTCTTAGACACTCTCCCTACGGTCAGTTTATTTTGGGGATGTGGGTCACTGCATATGGATCCAGCATTTCAGTGAAGCTTCCAAAATGAAACTTTTTGACATTTTTGGCAGAGTACAGTCTTGTCATCTCTGACTAAAGTCCAGCTGTACAGTCTACTGCATCCATTACCCACATATCTTCTTTTTATTTGATTACAATGATTTAGTTATCTCTTTTTTGGTTTGTTTCTGGAAGAACACTGTCTTTGGTTTTAAGCTTTATTTATCGTCTTTCACAACATTTCACTTCATTTCAAATTGATAGAACCCCTGTGACTTATCATGTGGGTCTCTGTTGTTGCTCAGTGGTACTTCAAGAACATTCTTTTGTGGAGAGTCAGCTCTTTTACGTTTGTGTTTGGGCCATGTCAGTGTTGTGTTTGATTGGGCCGGGTCTAACTCAGTCCAAACAGAACAACAAGATCCAATACACCAAACTGCAACGTGTTTGTTAAGTTGTAGACATGGACTACACCTACTCGAAGCCTAGCATTATGTTGAAACCGAGATATTTTAGTAGATGTTGTACTCTAAGTAAAAGAAAGCTGCGTTAATAGTAGACACAACGCTTGTTTTTTTCCATAAGTTAGATAACTCCTCTGCACGATGCTCACTTTGACTATTTTTAATCATCTCAGGAAAAGAAAGGAATCAAGCTGTTTTGGAGGGATACAATCACACAGGGACCACTTTATAAACATTCTTCACACCTAAGCCTAGCATTCTGTTCATTCTTTTGTCAGGAAGAAATAGTGAGGCAGAGTACAACATAAAAAAGGGCCGACCTGGCTTGCCTTGCCTGGGGAATGAAATGCTGTAGCTGATTATTACAGCTAACTATGATGGGAGGACCACCAGGGGAGTGACAACTGATGTAGCTGCCTCCGGGGTGAGACAAAGGTTTACATATTACACAAGCAATTTGGATGTTTTCTAAACATGTTGCCAAGACAGTGGGAGTTGGCAGCTCTCTGCTCGCCCCCCAACCCTTTCCAAGTCTTGGATTTTGCATGGGTTTGATGTGGACTGGGACTGAGTGAGGGGATGAGGAGCAAAAAGCATGGACTGAAGCACTCTGCACTTTTGTGCTCTCTATGAACTGTGAGTGAGCTAATAAATTCTTTCAGCCACTCAGCGTAGCATTCACGGATATCCCCCAAAGATTACACACACAAATCACTGCACAATGGAGGCCACCAGGAGGGCCGGGGCGTCACAGGGGCCCCCCGACCCTTTGGACAAACGCACATAACCAGGCTGCAAAGAAGACTGGGTAAAGGCGGGGGGTTGCAGAGGAGGTACAGCTCTACCCAGAGTCAAATGCTTTATAATGGTTGGTAATGGCATATTCAAGTAAGTTGGTGAAGGTGTGAAGTGAAACAGGCGAGGGTAGGAAAAGAGAGAATGGAAGAATAGCGGGGGTGTGAAAGAGAATGTGATGGATAAATAAAAAAGGGGGATTAGAGAGGTTGGTGAATTAGAGGAGGATGGGGGTGGCTGGGTGTGTAGGGGTTGCATGTAGTGGTCTTGGTGATGATGAAGATGACCGAGGGGGGTGATTCCAACCCCACACAGGCGAGCAGAAGCCAAAGAGGGACATAATTAACTTCTGGATCTTTTGTGTTTCTCATCTGACTGCAGGGCGGAGATGAAAGGGGCCTGCTAAGCCTGGCATTCCACCCCAATTACAAGAAGAATGGCAAGCTCTACGTCTCCTACACCACCAACCAAGAGCGCTGGGCCATCGGACCACACGACCACATTCTCCGTGTGGTTGAATACACCGTTTCGAGGTAATGGGAGAAGTGTGGGCCAAATCTACCCTAAATATGGGTCAGTCACTCTCTGAGAGGAAACCAAAACTCCAGCTGCCTCCAAGTCTACCCAACATGAAACTGACTATTTATTGTTGAGGATTCCAGTAGCTGAACATGAAGTTTGTTGTCTAGAATTTAGAATTTGAGGCCCCCTTGTTGAAAATTTTAAGACAGTGTAATTTCTGGTCGGTTTTTATTTAGTTGAGTTGTTGTATACTGCTGGTTATGGCTTTATAGTTCATATAATTCCAGATTGACATTTACCTACAGAGTCCTGATGACAAAAATCCAAGAGGAACTGAACCCAATATTGGCTATTTCTCACCACCAACATTGATTTGGTGCATTTTTCCAGTGCCCATGGCAACCACAGTGAAAACTAAAGCTTCAGGAGGGAGGAATTTTACTGAGGTGAACTTTTTGGCTTATGGGGATCCAGAATGTAGGTCATCGTCCTGCCTAACTTACTATCAGTGCACACAGTTTTGCTGAATATGTAGCTGGGGGTTCACTTGCAACACTCTGAAATGACACACCTGTGATTAAGGAAACAGTCTCCTCTCACGAACGTGTTTAAGTTTTCATAATCACAGTTGTATGTTTGACTTAATGATCTAATCTTAATTACAGTCTCAACATGCACAGTCTTGGTGACTGCAGTGTGAAGTCCTTAAATTAAGGGTCCAATAGAAAGATGACAGTAAAACGTTTGATGATAGTTTATGAGAGTCTTTTTTTGTCTTTGGAAAGCAGCTTTTTTTTCAAGGTAAAATGGAAGGACTACCCAAAATAACACATTATGAAATAATTGTTGCTGATACAGTGAAAACAGATCTTGTTGTGCAACATTTTGCAGTCTGTTACATCTCCACCCACTGTCTTTGCTTCATTCGGAAAAAGCAACCAGACTCTGAGTGCTCAGACAACGAACAATTTAAAGTTATTTAACCTTAAATTGTGTTTGGTATGTCAGCATTTTTTTAACACGTACCTCTGGTTCACGTTTAGAGACGGTCATTACGCACTCATATCTTACACAGCAAATATTAAATTCGCTGCAGATATTTAGCTGCTTTCACCTTGATGAAAGACTAGCTTCAAGGTATTCAAAGCAGCATTTGTATGAGACTGTATTTCACTGTGCAGGAACTGTCATTTTGCACCTTGTCACAGAAACCCGGTGACAATGACATGCAATGTTTTCCTCAGAAAAAACCCGAACCAGGTGGACACCCGGACTGTTCGGGTACTGATGGAAGTGGCAGAGCTGCACAGGAAGCACCTTGGGGGACAGCTTCTGTTTGGTCCAAATGGTCTGTTGCACATCATCCTGGGAGATGGCATGATCACACTGGATGATATGGAGGAGATGGATGGACTGAGGTGAGAGCAGAGGTCAAAATACTGTAGTACAATTGATAATGGGCCAGTGTATGTCCCATAATTGAATCCTTATTTAGCTTCTACCATTGTGAATCTGTATTTTGTGTGTGTTTGAATGCAGTGATTTCACAGGGTCTGTCCTAAGGGTTGATGTGGACACAGACTCCTGTATGTCACCTTACTCCATACCCCGGAACAACCCGTACTTCAACAGCACCAACCAGCCACCTGAAATCTTTGCTCATGGATTACATGACCCAGGCAGGCAAGTAAAACATGAGAAACCACCAGCAGTGTTAAACTAAGGAGCCAAACCTCCTCATCACTGGGTTGCTGAGGACTGTAGTTTGTTGGTGTCAAGACTTGACATTTGTCCCCCCCTTGTATTGATCCCTGGTCTTTTGTACTGTAGGTGTGCAGTGGATCGGCTGCAGACAGACAACGGGAGTCTGCTGATCCTCTGTACAGACGCCAGTGGCAAAAACACATCAGCAGGAAGAATATTGGAAATAATGAAAGGAAAGGATTATGGTGAGTTATAATTTCCATGAGATTCTCCAAAATCTTTAAAAAAAAGTTTTCTAATTTTCACTTTTTCTAAGATTAAAAAAAAGAGTTTTGTTATTTTGCAATGTTGAAATCGCTCGTGATTAAAGCAAACTTAGCTTCAGTTTTATTAGATGACATTACGTATGAAGAAAGAAACGAAAATACATTAGCCTCTTGGATAACCTCGCTCATTTATTCTGCTGAAGATGACATCTGGTTTCACAAATGTCTTTCATTGTGTAAGAACATGATGTTTTGGCAGCAAGTTTAGCAAACACATGGGGTCAAGTTCAGAGATAGTGCCGGTTAAGACAAAAAAAAAATCACCCCCTGTGAAGAATAGATGGGAGATTTTCTCTGTAAGAAAGTTTTGAAATAGTCCGCAACAAAAGGTGTCCAGATGATGGTTTGATGTTGAAAACAACAAAGGGATCTTGTTTTTGGGTTCGTTTTTTCCTCTCCGACTCAGATACTTGTTCCAAATTACCTCAGGTATGTCAGCGTTTTCATTAAAGTGTCATTAATCAATTTTGTAGCTCACATTAATCCTGTATCTGTTGCTCTAATTCAATATGCTTGTTTTTATCACACTGTCAACCTTTCATCTGGCCTCTTACTCAATCTTAAAAAGGAATGTAGCTTAAAAAATGAGCAGACCAGGTCTTGGATCATAAATTTTGAAAGGCAGCAAACCTCCATTCATGTTTTCCCTTGCCAAGAAAATTGCAATTCAAAAAAATCTGCCACATTGCCTCATAATCTTAATCATTTAAAAAGAAATACTACAGTCACTTTCAAGTATGATAAACACATTTTTAACCCAAGTTTGTTGCCAATAGTGAAGTTGGGTTAATTAAAAGCCGTTATAAATCAATATTCACTCTTTGGTCTTTCTTCTTATTGAAGCTGTTTTCCCTAATAGCAACCACACATCCATTTTTTTAGTTTAAGACGGCTGAAATTAAGCATAGGATGCCTGTTTTTTTTTTACTTAAAGGAATAGTTACTCATACTTTTAGTTGCATCTTGAGCGAATGGATAAGTTTTAATGACAGGTCTTTCTATTCTTGTATTTTATCCCAAATAAAGCCAACAGATGTTCCCTGTATGTTGGCTGTGTGTTAACAGACCTTTGCCTTCTTGTTGCTTCTCAGAAAATGAACCATCTGTGTACGACCTGCAGTCTGCTGGAGGAGCCCCGCCTGTGGGAGGCTTCATCTACAGAGGCTGCCAGTCCAGAAGACTTTATGGCAGTTATGTGTTTGGAGATAAAAATGGGTAAGTGCAAAAAAAAAAAAAAAAAAAAACTCATTACAAGTTTGAAAAGTTAAATTGTGGTCAAATCTCTGCTTTTATTGACATGTACTCAAGTAACAATAAAGTTCCATCTTTTTGAGGGAAAAAAAGTTCTATGTAACCGTAACCACAATGGCAGAGCCCATTGTGTGTGAGAGAGATTAGACATCTTTCCCCTGTGCTTTTCACACTTTTCTTCAGTTTGTAATTTATCCTACTTCACAGATGTCAAACATTGATGCTTGAATAAACAAAGGAGGTAAATAGTGAGGAGGGGGTGCACACTATCAGGAGTTGGAACTGTGTTTAAAACTATGTGTGGTCGTTTAATTCTGTGACACAGTACAATTTGGGAGCATATTGTTGTGGCTAAGCGGAGGCTCCAGCACGATGTTTGTTTTGAAACTAAAAGCCAACGTCTTAAATAACACCATGTGAGACATGGGGTAGAATAGGAGGATGGGTCAATGAACCATGTTACAAGAAGTAAAAGTTCTCCTTGTTTCCAGATTTCAACCTCAGTCTTTGTTAAAGGCATTCTGTTACTAAGACAGCAGTTTAGATAAGTAAGGGATTATCATCTCATCTAAGGTTCCTTATTCGCACAAGATATTCTGTTAAATTGAAGGATTAAGGAATCAACCTCTGCTGTGTATTTTGTTTGTTTCAGTAACCTGCGAATCCTCCAGAAGGCTACGCTGACAACATCAGCAAACGAAGAGCAGTGGCAGGAGAAAGCCCTCTGTCTGGGCTCAGCTGGCTCCTGTGGCTCCACACTTGTGGGACACATTTTGGGTTTTGGAGAAGATGAGCTAGGTTGGCACTCATTCACATTCTCCGTCTCCTTATAGATGTCTAGTCTTTTTCCTCTCTTTTTTTCTCCTGCTTTGTTTTCTTCTCTCTATTTCTGCATGAATGACAGCAGAAACAACTTCTCAAACACTTCTGGGTTTTACAGGATTACCCCTTTCTTGATAGCTTGTTGGTTTCAAATGACGGATATCAAAACTCTCAAAGAAACGACACTAAGCTTTACTTTTTATGTACATTTATCACATTTACATGATTATGTGCATTTTCCACTTAGTTATTTTTTTATGTTATGCACCAAACACAGCACGATGCATTAAAGTACCACTGAAATTATTGGAAAAGTGCAACATGTAGCCAACAAGAAGAAACACTGAAAACAACACAGAAACTAATACCCCTTCAACTCTCTGGGCCATTCTCAACAGGATATTAAATAGTGCATACTTCCTTTTGGATTAATTGTCATTTCCATAAGATAGCAGTGATACTCCAAAGACCCACGTATTGGCTGTGTGGGGCCACCTACAAGGCAGTGTTTTGCATGGGTAGAGTGATGTGTTACTGTTTACCTGGGGGGCTGCAGAATAAAGATAAGGCAGGGTGAGCTGAGGTGAGGAGACTAGTATAACACAGAACGGTTTTACCAGTTGGACCCCCTCCAAAGACTCAGAATTATTAGCTGTCACCTCTGGTGTTTTTGATTAAAATGAAGCCATAATGTGGATCATTTTCACCACCATCAGAAATGTTTGATCACACTTCTTGCCAGGTTTTGGAGTTATTTGACAAGGTATTTAAAGATTTCTGCATTTGATCATGGTTTGCTAGAGCTGCAGGAATCATGGAGGGGGTAGGCCCGTGTCCCAAAATTGGGGCCCCACAGACACATGTTTACAATTTGTCCCCTTATAGAATTTTCTTGCAGGCTTGTTCCTCATTAAATTATCTGCCTGGTTCCCAGTCATGAGTATCCAATTGTCCCATTAAACTCTTTCTTGCAGACCTTTGGTGAAAGCAGCAATGCAGGAGCTTTGGCTACAGTCATTCTCCTCAACTTTTCATGTCTTCTCCTTTCATGCTCTCCCCTCCTTTCCTCCTCCTTTCATTTCAAAACATGAGTTGCATGGGTTGCATGGATAACGTGAAGCGAAAGCATGTAATTCAAATGATGCATGGTCTAATATGACTGTTGCCTTTTGTTTTTTTGCAGGTGAAGTCTACATACTGGCAAGCAGTAAAAGCATGGTTCAGTCACACAGTGGGAAACTCTACAAACTGGTAGACCCGAAAAGGTACAACCACTAAATACACTCTTTTTTAAACAATGGTTTTATTCCTCACTTGAAAAAGCACTTTGAATGAGACTTAAATGTGTTGTGTTTGTAAAATGTGGTAAAATACAGTTGTGTCTCAGCTCAGTCAAAAGAGATCTCACTTTATTTAAGCATGCCTCCTTTTGAGTCTAAAAAGTAGTGGCACAATCTCTTATTAAAAGATTTGTTGTATTTTATGAGTGATTTTAACCCCACAGATAATATGTCGACTGGGCATGATTTTATACCATGGTATACAGCGGTTATGTTTGATGTACAACTGTGGCTATGGGGAACCATCACAAACATCAGTAGAATTGATAATTCAAACCATCTGCACATCCAGATTCCAGGTGATTGTTGCTGCTTTTGTTATCAGCGTTTTTACAGGAAGTTAAAGGAGCTCCAACCTGCAGGGTTGAGCCCATCTGGTTAGGTCAGCGAGAGAGTTGCGTCCAACTTCGGAACATAATGAGCGCACAAGAAAATTCACAAACAAAATAGTATTTCTTAAGGCAATGACAGATATGATTAAGGAGTAAACTAAGTAAGAGAAGCAGACTCGCAGAGAGATCATTTGCATGCCTGGGAGTCACAATAGAAACATATCCGCAGCTGATTATTCCTGGGTGACGACAGTGCCACCCAGGCATTAGTACAATTAATTACACCACAGATGTTTCAAAGGCCCTGGTGGCTCGCTCTGTATTTATGTTTTCTGGCAATGCCTCTGGATGCATTTCTCCCAAAGAACAATTCTTTCCACCACCAAGTGGACTTGTTTAGTCTGTGCAGACCCTGTGGTGTTTGGAGTCTTGACTCCTAATACACTCTGGCTTAGTTATTATGATCTTGTTACAGAGAGGCTGGAAAGGGGGTGATCAGGGGGAGTAAACGGGGTAGCTAACGTGTCTGACCTTAGCGTGTTATCAAGTCTGGTGGTCCTCCCCTTATTCTCTTTCTCAAACTGCGAGGACATCTGGACCCTACAGCCTCCATATAAAGAGGTTTGTTTTAAAGTAAGGTGGTTTTGTGGTCGAGTATAGCATCTAGTGCTGTGTTTTGATCAACTGTGTGTTTGGGAACATAGAGGGGGAAAGAGGAACTGTTAGGGAGAGTGGTAAAGGCTTACAGGGAAACATCGGCCATAAAATCCCTCAGCAGTGTTTGTGTAAACATGTCCTGGCCAGATGACTTCATTTCTAGGTATTTGTTTGTCAGTTGGAGTACCCCTCCAATAATAAATAGGCCACCATGCATTTTGAAACACGCTGAATGTGTGTGCTATGAGTGTGTGTATGTGAACGAGACAAAGAGCAGGACTGGGCTTGTTTGTGGTATAGCAGTAGGATAGAAATATTTCCTATTGTATAGTCTGTATAAAAGCATAGGATTGTTACACAGTTCAACATTGAGTGTTTGATCATCCTTGAGCATTAAAAAAACTGTCAATGCAAATGGAAAAAAATAGTAAGCTAGTAAGACCGGGCATTTGGAAGCATAAGACCAGTTTATAAGAGTTTGAGTCTTAGTTTCTTCCTTGCTTTTGGTTTGTAGCATCTAATATCCAAAACTTTATTCACATTTAAAATTGTTCTTTAAGCAGAACTATTGCTCTCAAACTGAGTAAAAAATCAGCTTGATTGTGGCTTACTCTGCACACAGTGGGCAGGTATTCAGGCTGGGCAGACTACTTTGCATTCCCACTGAGTCTGCTTTTGATAACATAATTATTTATACAGTGAGAGCATTATATTTATGCCAGGAACAAATACTCCTGGAAAGACCCCATTCTTTTTGAGAAATAAACATACTAACAAAAGAAAGATATTATGATTCAGCACAAAACAAGGATTTATTTCAGCCCTCTGTGTATATACAATACACTTTGGGGGCCGTATAGTAAAGTTACATGTTTATTATAACATAATTCAACAGGCACATGTTGCACTCTGTCCATGCGGTTGGACAGACTCAGCCGAGCCTTTACGGTCTGTCTTTGGCAGTGGCTTAATTGTAACATATAGAGCCAGACCTCCTGCTGATTTCTGGTGTAAAATGCAATTTGCCTTTTTGTTTGTTTCAGCCCCTCTGCAGAGAAGTAGGGAGAGCAGTAATATTGAAGGCTTTTCACACGTCCAGGTTTTGTCAGCTGCAGGCTGGACTGATTGAATTACAGTGTGCAGAGACCTTAAAAAGACACATTGAACCTCGAATAGGGTCCTGGGACCTCCTTTATGAACTGCATTAGCCATGGAAGTCACAAATCACTGGATGTACAGGGGAAGGAGACTGCAGGCGCTCACTTGTGGATATATTTATCTGTATGTGTGCCCCCTGCGTTTTTTGTGTGTACAGATATAAACTGTGTGGGTGGTGGGTACACGCGAACATGCACATCTGTGAGCCTGTGTGAGTGTGCGGTACGCAAGCTCCCAGTACTCTGCAGAAAAAAAGAGCCTTTTCTTTATTTTCCTATCCCTCCTAAATCTTCCTACATCTCTGCTGTGGTCCTCCCCTTGACAAAGCTGCTTGCCAGTTGCACTGAATAGCCCTGGCTCCTACAATACACAGTAAATTTCTTGCACAATTAAAACAAGGAATGAAGCTACAAAAGAAGCCCCCAAACAATGGAGTCAGATGACAAAACAGCAAAAGAGACCACACTGGGCCGTTTGATTAAGCCATTGTTGGGCCTCACAATGTACACCACTCCACTGCCCTTTTCTCACATATACCCCATGTCAATCAAACAGACCCTGTGAGCCAACAAGCTAAACGCACACCAACACACACAGACACACACGAACATAATAATCAAGTAGGTCAGGCCAATTTGATGCTGTGATTAAAAAAATGTTATAGTCTGTTCATGATTTGCTAATTTTTCTTGTTTTTAGCCACAACTTCGCAGTTAAAAGTCAGACTTTCTAACTTCCTTGGCTAGTTGTAGTTTATCTATGACATCATCTGCCTTTTATGCAACTTTCTAATTTTGGGCATCACCATCATTTCCTCCCTCTTTCTACCCATGTAGCCACCTCATGTGTGAGTGCTGTCGCCCTTATTCCACTCCCTCTCTCACACATACACCACCCCTCCCAAAGTTGATAAATTCCCACAGTGGCTGTTGACCCAGCTGCCTTTGTCAAGTGGCGCTACCAGCAGGTGCTGTTTTCACAGCCACCCTGGCAGTCGTACAGACTGTTTAGTAGCGCTGCTGACCCCTGCCTGCTATTAACAGTGTTAGCCATAGACCCCACCCCCCCCACACCCCCCTCCATTACCAATCCTCCAGGGACTCTTACTCTTTTTCTCTCTCCCTCTCTTTCTGTTTGCTTCCCTCCTTCGCTCTTTTTTTAACTACATGCAGCCTGCAACAACAAAAGCCAACACTGATGGAGGCTGGAGTTGGGTGCTGATGGGAGCATGGGAATCAACCCCCCTTCTTGCCCTCCATCCTCCAAATTTAAAGCAACTTTATCACACACACAAACACGCGGTTAAGAGTGTCGTCAGAGGACACTGCCAGTCAGCGTGTCAGTCATTACCATTTTTACACTTTCACAGTGAGATATATATCATCACAAAGAAGCATCATAGTTACTGTCATTAATCCAAATCTTCACACACAATAACTCCTTTATTATCCTTTATGTCTATTCAACAAGTAACAGTCGGTACATAGAGGAGTGTGTGCAAACTTAGTCCTCTGAGATAGATCAGTCAGTTCATTTGAAAATCGCTCTTTTCAGATTAAATATAAAAAAAAATTGCATTTATTGAGACATGATTGATGAGGACTTTTCTCTCAAGGACTTATCATTTCACTCACACTCTGATCTCACTACTGATGCTCCCCAGCTCTCTAACCAGCATCAGTGCACAGCAGGCCACATACAGTACATTTGTGTAAAGAGTGAACATGTGTCCTTCAGGATCTAGGAAACACAGTTGCCTGACAATTTCTCTTTTTAACCTTAACACATCTATATAGGAAATCTACTGTATATTCATCCCTTTAGCTCGACTGCAAACACACATACTCAAAAAAATGTGTGCGTATGTGTGTGTGTGTGTGTATGTGTGTGTGTGGGCTTGTGAGCAACAGCCACTAACAGACGCTTCACATTCGAACTTCATTACGCGCAGGCTGTATTATTTCCAGATTTTAGGAGCGTGATATGAAATAATTCTGTTTCAGCCCATTTGCTGATGTGCGTGTCTGGATGTTTGTCTTAATATGGAACAATCACAGTATGTTTCTTGGGTGTTCAGACCTGACACATATGGTGCGGAGATGTTGATGTTTGTGTGCATGCGTGTGTGTGTGTGTATGTGTGCGTGTGTGTGTGTGTCTGCATTTTCCAAATCGTGTTTATATCTGCGGGAGCCCCATGTTAACCTCTATGTGTTGTTTTGTTCGTCAAGTGGAGGGGATTTGAGGAAAGCATGAGTCAAAACAGCAAGAGCAACACTTTGAAACATGGATTCATAGATGTGTAGTCAAATGTACAAAAACCTGCCAGTTTCGTACTAACTGACGGAGTCTAACATGTTTAACTAGAGTATGTTTTTACAATATTCAAATACCTGCAGTGATCAGAGTACGCACAAGGTAAATATTAGAGTGTGTTACTGACAGAACCACAAATGGAAGTATTAGAAAGTATCTTGGGTGCACAATCCTCGCTCTTTTGTTGAGACATTTTTTAAAAGACAGCCATGAATGAATTTTTGCATGAAACAGTGTTGAAACTGTGGCGATCTGGCAAAGAAGAACTGATGCGTGTCGGTGGGTGGGACTTCTCACTGAAAGGCCCCTATTTCTAAACAAACTGTGTGTAGTTTTTCCTTTTTGGATGTTCCACGAAACCTGCCGATTTTTCCACTTGGCAAAGCAGCCGACAGAACAAACACTGAGCTGATTAGCCGCACACCACACTTGCTTTCCTTACATAAATCAATACAACCATGTCAACACCCACCATTATTTTCCATACAGTCACTATCACTGTGCACACTTGGCATACTTAAGATTTATGTGATAGATTTAAAGGTATTTAAGTGGAGATAATTGATTGATTAAGATTTGGGATTCAAGTTATAACTGTACTCAATTGATAGTAATATCCTTGATATGTAGAATAGGACGATAATAAAGACCCAAGTTAAGCTGCTGTCAATAGAGAAAGGCCGGAACTTCTTGTGTGCATCAATTGGCCTAAACTTCAGCCAAAAGTGCTGAACATGTTAATATGGCAGCATCTGTTAAGTCCCAGGGACAGGCTCCTCAGGTGTTTGCAAAAAGTCCATCTGACCCCAAGCAAATGTTTGTCTACCATTATATTACTTTAAAATCTCTATCAGCAGAAATCAGCAGCACAAATCATTTATTCCAGCATATTAAAAGCAAGGGCAGCCTGACAACACCTGCTAATGTCACCTAGGTAATCAGAATCAGAATCGCCTTTATTGTCATTGTACACAGTACAACGAAATTTGAGCGCCACCCCCTTTGGTGCAGAGCAATTGTTCTAGTAAAAAATAAATACTAAAATGAAAGCCAACACAAGATTAGTTAAGAATGAAAAAAAAGAAAAGTAAAAAGGCAGTAAAATATATGGGATATATAACAAAAAGGAATGATATGAAACCACACTTTTTGCTAAACTAGAGATTTCTGTCCTTTCTTTGCTCAAAGTTCAACTGTGAATGTTCCTAATTTACTCCTTGGCAAAGATCCTACTGCTTGTTTGTATATTTGTGAATAGAGGTTCTGAGATTTTGTTGAAAAAAGGAAATCTGTGATATTGGATACATGATGACAAACGTTTTAGAGTTGTATTACGGAGATCTCAGTCATACAGGCTTGCAGTATCCTCAGATTTGTTCAGTTACATCACTGCATAGTCCGACTTCCTGTGTTTTTGTTAAAGTGATATTTGATATCAGCTTCCTCTCTTCTGACAACTGTTGCAGGCCTCATGCCCCTAAAGAGTGCCAGCGTCAGGTGGAGCCTCCAGAGCTGCTGATGACAGCTTGTTCCAGACACTGTAAGAACGGACACTGTACGCCTACTGGCAAGTGCTGCTGCAGCCCTGGCTGGGAGGGACCCCTCTGCAGAGTTGGTGAGTGACTTTGTGTCTTCTGCCTTACAGAGAAGCTCCACCCGAGCAAACATCTGCCATTTTTACAAGATAACCTAAAAGTTTGTTAATTTTTTGTTACTGGAATTTTGAAAGACACAAAACACCAGTTTGTGTTCCTTCTCCTGTTTTCTAACCTCACATTTACTCACTCTTTGTTTCTCGTCTTCTCTCTGTGGTCTTAGCTAAATGTGAACCAGTCTGTCGCAACGGGGGAGTGTGTATGGAGCCTAACAAGTGCCTGTGTAAGAGTGGCTACTCTGGGGCCCAGTGCGAGAAGAGTGAGCGGGGTATGCCCAACGACCAGGAGAAAGACGGCATACTGGACCACATTATTGACATGACCTCATACCTCCTGGACCTGACCAGCTATATAGTATAGGGGTGCGCAGAGGGGAGCTGCTCCCCACTGTCATCCTCAAGTTGACACAAATCTACCTACCACCACCAGCAGACTCCAGCAAGGTGTCCTTAATAAGGCTTCATAATCTCCTTCATACCCACACAGGCATGTACACACACTCACAAACACACACACACACACAGGACCCATGTCGGACTGCTTTTCATCCTGGTCACCAAGCTCTTCCTCTTCTGCCAATAAGCTATTTGCTCCTGAGCACCAGGCCTGGCATCCAAGCCGTGTTCACATTTCAAAGAGACCCACAGACACCAGGGACGTGATTGACAAGCATGGCCAAGTAAAGGAAGTTCAGCATACTTCCTCTGTCGTTCAGAAAACGTCACACACGGGTCAGTCCGCAGGAACAGGAACTTTGCAGGAGCAGGACTTTGGACCTTCTCAAGGCTATCTGTAGCCTAACCTAAGACCCCTCCAACACCCTAGAAAAAAGGAGTCTGAGGCACTTCGGTAGGGACAGTTGATTGTTCGGGGGTTCTTCCGTAATACAAAGTTTGAAGCAGTGGTATGGCATAAGGTCCGGTTTGTTCCTATGGTCCCAGCAAACCCCAGTAAAATAAAAGTCTGCTTATACAAACTTTGAGGAAACACTCTGCAGCTCTTCTTTGTTTTTTTTTTCAAAAGCCGAGAAGTCGATTAGAGTCGTTGATCACGCAGAAATGCTTTGTGCTACACTATTCTAGGGCACCAAGGCAGGAGTGATGAACCATGTTGTCTCACCTATGATGTTGTATGTAGTTTGTGGGCACATTGTCATGAAACACTACAACAGTATACAGTTAGTATACTCTGCTTCACAACATTCACTTTGTATCAATGTACAGAATGGATTTACAGCAAAAAGGACCAGTACAGACACAGAAACAGGAGCGACTGAGATTGTCAAAGCCAGTCTCGATCTGAGAGGAGTTACCCACTCCCATGCACTGTATACATGTTTTATTTCAGTCACTTGATTATTCTAAATGAATCTGTCATTCGAAGCGCGATGAGAGTAGTTTCACATCTTCACACATGCACCATCAATCGATCACAGGTATGGTTTTACAAACTCCTGTCATTGCGTCACACTGAAAGTGAACCTGAACTCAAAACTACAAAGGGAAGAGATAGTGTGGTGATGTATATTTCCAATAGAGCTTACCTGAATACTACTTAGCATTGCAAAAAAAACTATAGCATTACTATTGTTATCATAGAGGCGGGTTTATTTTTTTAAGCGTAATAATATATGGGAGAGAATGGTGTTTATAGAAAGCAGTTTTACACTAAGCTTGTCAGTTCATGTTTTCTTGTACTTAAACATACGCAGCTTTTCCCTCTGTCAAAGAAGACACAAAGTGTGTAAAGTAGTGCATGTCTGTACCTGCATTTAGTGATTCCCAGCAGTCCATCTCAATCCTTTGCGTGGCGTGTGGTTCCATTACCACTGTCAGAAGCGTGTGTGTGTGTCATGAGATGATCAAAGATCCTGTTGCGCCATCAAGTTGCTGTGGAAGCAGAACACAGTCAAAAGAGGCTCTTATCTACAAACAGGAAATTAAAGATTAACCTTAAATCTAATGAAGTATGTTCAGACATTAGAATAATGACTCCTACACTGTAAGGAAACAGTTAAACAAAGACCCACTTGTTTGGAGCTCAAATAATGTGCTTTTTTTTCTAGCAACCAGAGTGAAGTTCAAGATGCAGCTCACATTTGATCTTTTACCATTTCCATTCCATAAAACAAGTCTGGATTGAACCACCAAACATTCATTTTAATAGTCTTGGAAGTCAACATTTGCAGTTCTGCTCTCTCCTCAACCTTTATTTTGAAAACCCGGTTATCATGGTTAATTTAAGTTTCATGTCAGTCAATATGTCCACCTTCCTCCTCTCCAGCTTTGCTTGTGTTTGCTGAAAGAAATCAACTCTACCTGGTCAAAATGGAATTCATGCTGTAAAATGGAAAATTAAGATTTTTTTTAGCACTTAATGTGAAATGTTGCATTGTAGCTGCTGAGAAGGCGTGGTGTGAATAGAATAACCATTTTCATTATTTAAGTAGTTACACAAATAAGATAATTATTTAAGTTCTCTATGTTGTTTTTACCATTGTACTGTATGCGACAATTTTTTATTCCTGTATTGTAAATAAAACTAGGGATAACTTTGTTTCTCTACAGAAATACCAATATGTCTATTAAAATTTATAGCATGTCTGAAATATCTGTCTCCTATTGGTTTTTGCCAGTCGGTTCTGTAAACAAAGCTTCAGTTTTCTCTATATATGAATATAACATTAAAGAAAAGTTTCAGTCTAATTTGTGTAATTTAGGATTTTTCAGTGACCCTGGCAAATGTACTTAACCCATCCCACATTCATGAAAACCTGATTGAAGCCAGGTCCTTCACATGTTTTCATTTTCAGGTGACAGCTTTAAGCCCTGATGAGGTTTTCTGTGTTATTTAGGCTGACAATGCAAGACTTCATGTTCGTAATGCTGCTGGAAGTCAAAAAACTAATTTTAAAACTTATTTTAAAAGCGCTTTAAAAAGGTAAACATTTTTAATCTTAACATGCCAACAGAAAACAGTTTATCAAATGAATTGACAATGAAATTTAAAAATTGATATTAGTGGGTATTGAAAGACTGTGATATGTCTAATTTATCAGTGAATTAAAGGAAATAATTTGATGACTCGCCCATCTACGTCCCATGCATACATGTGCTTACTCAGCTGTATTCATTAGACCTTTTTTAGTTTATTCCCTAAAGAAAGAAGTGTTGCATTCCAATATTTCTTAAAATGGGATTTCCAACTGACTAGTACACTTAAGTCTTTTATAATATTTCATCAAAGGTAATAATCTCTGTGGGATGTAAATGTATTGCATTTTATTGTATTGTATCTGGCACGATTCTAGGAATTGTCTCATTTCTGGTAAATCAGCTGCATCATTTCCACTCCAGGTAAAAAACAGCAGTGAGAGACACGTTAAGGAAATGTTCAAGTTAAAGCAGGGCCAACATGGCTGCAGGCCTAGCGTTTTCCCTTTACTTCAACTTCAATGGAAAAGCTGCTTGCACAGCTGACAGCAAGGAGCAAGCTCAGATGGCTGCTTTGTCGTCATGCGGCGTCACGGCATCACTCAAAGTTGAGCCTGGAAATTCCTCATCTGAAGTGGAAATTCTGCTCTCCGTTTTTCGGAAGTACACAAACATGTTCATGCATGGAGTCACACACGCAAGAGCCACTGCTGATGGCAATATTAATTTCCTTCTCAAAACACCAATGAGGCTTTGTGTTGTATAATGATAGTGAGTGGAGACCACCCACCTCACTCTGGTCTTACTAACACACACACACATACACACACTCAAGCACACACACTGCCATATTTAGAGTAATGCAATACTAAGTTGTCTATGCACTGCTCAGATCCAATCAAAATTGCATAAACTGGAACTGTCCAATTGTGGCGCGAGGTCCTACATATATTTGAGTTTACGCACTATCTGTGGCATGAATCATTACTTTTCATTTGGAATAGTTTTCTTTTTCCTTCCCAAAGGGCCCTTGTCTGTCTATCTTTCCCAAACAGTGTAACCTAGTACTTAGAATAAACATGAGGAGTCTGTATACCAAATATTTGTAGGACTGAGATGGCTGGAAGTGCATGCTATAATATTGTATACATGAGCGAAAGAGTCAGCACAAGCAATACTTATAGGGTAACAGGAGGAGACAGGCAAACAGGAAAAAATAATAGCCCCATGATTAAGACAGAGGCGTCGTTCTTTTTCTCCCCGCACAAACAACAGCAAACAATTAATTTTCCTGTATTTTCAAATGTTTGTTTTCTGTGGCAAATTCATACAGTCTATGGTCATAACACTGCCTTGTGTCACTGAAATCATGGACAAATACAGCACATTGACACATAAACAGAGGAACTAAAGGAAAATGCAGTTTAGATACATCTGAAACAAAACGGCCAAATGATCCAATGCAGACAACCAAACTGATTATTATGTGGACTATTTCTTTAACTGTATGTGTTAAGAAAGTAACCAGCTAGCAATAACCACCAGCTATCTTAAAAGGAGCAAAACCTAAAGACTCTGTAACATAACAGCTCAAAGACATCCTCAAAATAGAGAAACTGTGAGGGCTGGAGAGAAATACCTAGACAATCATCTCTACACACACATGGAAGTGTCAAGTCCAGTGACATAAATGTTTTTGAAGCTTTGGTAAAAATAACATCCAACACATGATTTAGATTAGAAAAGGCCTTTCTTTTTCATGAAATACTGACACCATATTTATTCAATAAAAATCATAACTGTCTCTTCTCTTAAATTTCTTTGTTTGGTGCTCTTTTATGAAAACCAGTGTTATCCTTTATTCTAACTGGTGACTCAAATGACACAAATGTTCTTATACCACCCCTGTCCGATCGTGACACTTGTTGTAAATGTCTCAGTGTGGTTGTGACATCCCTTCAAATCTTGTTTGACACTCCCCGCACCATGAATAAGTGTTTCCAGTGTGATCTAACGGCACATTACAACTTCTCCAACCGAACGGTAGAAATCACTGAGCACGTTGTACTGTGGCTGAGTTTGATGTCATGTGTTAACACATGAAGTCATGATGTCTTGTCAGGGAGGGATCATAGCTGGGGAGAAAACCTTGATTAATGTTGTACTTTAACATCTGTGTTTGTCTGTATTGGCACCAGTCTCTTGTGATTTGGAGCATAAATTGTGGCCTCTCCATGATCCAACATATTGATTTATGTGAGAATATTGAATCTGGATTTTGTAAACATTAGTTGTTCCAGTGAGTCCGTACGTGCATTTTCTGCATCTGTGTGCATGTCAATCCCTCAGTTGTATATCTGGTTTTGTCACACCCCTAATTGCTTAGTGTATTCTGTGACCTCATGTGTTTACATGACATCCTGACGGGCTGACTCAGAGAGCACTACTGCTGAAACGCACGACCAAGGCTGCTGAAATCTCATATTCCCTGGCCCCCATCACTTGCTAATGAAGACACACTTTCCAAGCGGCCTGCTGCTGCCTTTTCCTTCTGCCTCACTTAACTCTCAGCTTATCGCATAACAAAACAAACCTCACTCTGCGACCACCTTGGAGCAGTTTTGGGTGGTTTGAAGAAAAGCTGTTGATTTTTGACGGTTTTTATTGTACGCTCTGAGATTTTTTTTTTTTTTGCAGGCTTCACACCCTCTCTCTCTCTCATATTTCACACTTCCTCAATCATATCCCAATACCTCAGTTATTTACACATATTTCCAATCCTCAAGCACTTCCTCTTTCCTCTCACATTCATCTGTGTGCTCTTCTCTGTTCATCTCCCCCGTATGCTCTTCATTCCATCACTCCCTCCTTTCACCTTCTTCGCTTTCTGCTCCTGGATTCAGAGCTTGTTTACTCTCCCCGACCACAGCACTGACTCGCATCCATGAAATGATGCAATTAAGGTTCCCACTGGGGCTCAATCTGTCATGTTAACACATGCTAAACCCCCACAGAGGGCTGAGAGCAGAGCTGAATGTTGGGCGACAGGTAAGACTGATGGGGGTGAGGGTTGGTGGTTAGAAAACGAGGGGAGTGTCGTGTCTTGAAATGCAGAAGGAATATGCAACCAGGATACAAAAAGAAAAAACACACAAAATAGAGAGAAGGAGATTCCAAACATAAAAAGTTGAGTGAAGTTTGTGTAAGACGTGAATTTGTTACTTGTTCTTTTATGTGCACTTAGCTTAGCTGCTAAAAAGTGAAAAGACATTAATGAAAAAAAGATCCAGCTAAAACACAGCGTTTCAGACGGAGGCTGACATGATGATATTTTAATACACTATTGTGAGAAATTTCAGGCTTTTTTGAATCTGAAAATCATGTAAAGCCAATAAAAGAGGTATCAGAAAGGAAGTGTAGAGTCTGGAAAAAATGCACAACACCCCCCTCTTTAAACTGTGCATAGTTGTAGATTACACTGTTTGGACATATTTAGCAGCCCTATTGCCAGGGTATAATGGTCAAGAGCAGCTAGGTCTCCTTGTAAACATAGTACAAAGCAAACATAAACCCATAGCCCCTCATCTTAGCTCATGTGCAATGTGCACAACAAACAAGTTTCCAGAAACGTCCTAAGAATAGTAACGTTACACCCATAGACTGTATGTATTGTGGACAACTTGTGTCAGCCTTCCGCCAGTATACGGATTTGAAGATGAAAAGCTCTGATTTTTCTCCATTTCTTGGAACCAACACTGTGCAGTAGCATTGTGCGCATTTGGTGGGAGAGTCACCAAGAGTCGCTGTGATGACGCTCGGCTCAAACCGTGTATCCCCCGGGTGAGCTATGCAATCTTCTTTCGCCCATAGGCTGTTTCAAGTGTCAATAAAAAAAAACATGAACCCTCAATAACTTTTAAAAATGGAGCTGCACAGAAAAAAGAGGGTTGGTCACGTTTCGAAGAAGTTGCAGTGGTTGTTGATAACAGCAAGTTCACAGAATACACAGCATTGGTTTAATTTGAGTTACCCATGACAACACAACCTCCTACAAGAAATAAGCAATGGTGCTCAGACAACCAGCTCTTGTGAAGAAGTGAATACATACAGCAGATTACCTGTATTACCGTGATGTGGAGAGAGGTTTGTGTTGAACTGGTAAGACTCATTGAGCAGCTCCTACTTATAAAACCAGCTGGAGATGTTGAGATAATGAATCAGTATGATCTGAAGTTGGTAAAAAAAAAAAGTACCAAAGTCAAAGTTCTTCATTTTCCTGATCAAACATTGGAGGGCTTCAACAAGGTAAGAACAAGCTTTGAAAAGTGTCTGAAAACCACTGGAAATTTTCACAAGTTTGTGTTATAGCTATTATTTTTAATCTACTGAACATGTCCAGAAGTGTTTTCTTCAACTTTGTCCAAATTGTATGAAGAGAAAACTTGATAAAGAAACACAATCTGAGTTGAATTAATGACTTTGTATTTCATTGTCGTCTTAAGAATCTTTTTCTCTCCTGAAATGCTTCCTGCCAAAGAAACTCGATAGATTTTTTGTTTGTAGTTACAGAAATGAGCGTGTTATTCCACTTTCATTGGCTCCTCAGGTGTGTCTGCCCTCCACTTTGACAATGAGCCTACATCTGAAAATAATCCTCTTTGTTTGGAGTGTTTTTCTTCATTGTGCGGTTTAAAAAAAATCTAACAAATATGTTGCCAAAATACTCTCGAGTACGAGTGAAATGTGCTCCTGCTCTAATTTGGTCCTTCGAGTGCATGTGTCACTTTGCAGATATCTTACGTTTCTATGTGTGTGATCTTTAATGAATCTGCATGTGGCTGTGAAAGACAACACATGGCTCTTTGTCTGCTCCCCCTCTATGTGATCCACAGCCTCAGTAGGTAAACAACTGATGCCGGTTGAAATGGACCACCTAGGTATTAGTTTCCATGTGGGGGTATCCCCTGAAAGCAAAGCAAAGAAATTTTCCGAAACACATTAAAAGAGTTATGCAAATGGTTTACGGCAGCACTCGTGTGGCTGTATTGTTATATTAATCTGTATACACTATGGCTCATCTTGGCAGGACCCTTTGTTTGTCTTCGCTCTTAATCTGCAGGGCTCATCTCAGGCTTACATCATCCAGAGTCAACAGAAGGACATCCGTCGCAGCCTTTCTGCTAACACCAGAGCTAACACTGGGGTCAAATAGTATGTGTGTGCGTGTTTGTGTGTGTGTCTCTCGACCAAAGAGACAAAGCAAAGCCTAAAAAGGTCAGTTCATGTTCACCGGGACATTATAATGCCGCCAGAGCAAGGTGATCTCATTTTGTGTCAAAAAACATGCTTTCACCAACCAGCTTTCAATTTCTGATGAAGAAATTGCTGCCTGCACCCCGACTTTCATGCAAACCTGTTCTGGCCTACAGGAGAGAGAAAAGAGAGCAGTGAAAGAGAGAAAGAGATTCAAGCACAGTTGGTTTTCTGTGCTTTCAAAGATGTGGTTTAGCTTCGACTGAAGTGCAGCCACAGTTTGCATCAGACCACTGATGGTGTTCCTATGTGTCCAGGCCAGTGAACTTCGCCAGATGCCTGCCGCCTCGTTATCTTTACAAGCACGGCCCGTTCTGCTGCGCTGTGAGGGCCAAACAGTTTATCGCACACCACTAGCAAAGAGGCTGGGGTCTTGCACAAGTGGGATCACACACAGACACTCTCACACACAGTGGTGAAGCAGAATCACGCATGGGGAGAAGCATAAACCTTTGCATGCACATCCTCAAGGACCATCACCCGACTGCATCAAAAATGTTGCAAAAGCAGTATGTTTATCATCCCCCAATGACAACAGTTATATTTGCATGCAGAATTGACATAAGAGTGGAGTAAAAGAAATCAAATAAAATAAGAATATGTAGTTTAGAGCTTTGCTTTCCTTTGCATGTTGTTGACATCAGGCAAAAAAGTCCCAACCTAAACAACTTTATTCAAAGTTCCTTTTAAGAACTATTAATTTGTGTTTCACTCTTAGTAGACATCGCAAAATCTATCTTATATTCAAGTCGCAGCCATTTTAATAACAACAACCTACCCCTGACTTGTCAAATGAATGAACCTCTACTGTAAAAAAACAAAAAGCTGAGCAAAGCCTCGTCAACAAAAAAAAAAGATTGTTTACGGCTTCAGCATCACAACAACTTGCAGCACTGCATGGCCTCTCAGTCAAACCCACACATAATCACACAAATGCTCTCCCATAACTCTAACTACAGTGTCAGAGCGCACTCTACAAAATGAATTACAAATATATCAAGTCAGTGTCATTCCAAGAAATGGAGGATTACAGAATAAACATGCCTTTCCTCCTCTGTGAAATATCGAGCTGAATATGAAATACTCTTCATGCCGTCTCAGAAAATATTGCCCATTCATTCTTCGGTGCCACCTAAGGTTAAACATGCACGGTGTATAATTGTCTTTGGTGATGCCCTGGTGTCTATTCATGGTTAAGTGTTCTTCTTTGATACCGTGCTGCTACTGCCAAAGCCCTAATCCTAGTTTTGGTACAGAGACCGCCTGTATTGGTGGTGTGCTGTGTGCATCCTAATCTCTGCAAAGCTCTGTGTCGAATGGCTGCACTGCCTCTCTGTACACTCTGTACTCCCAGTTTAGCTATACCCTAATAAGCATGGCAAAGTGGTGAAAGCAAGAGGTTGTTGCACAAACAGACGGGGAAAGCAAGAAAGGGAGAAAGGATCGTAAACAAAATACATGCCTTTTTGACTGATGTATTGACAGACATGACTGATGTAAACAAGGGATGTGACTCCACCTCACATATAAGACCTGTCAATCACTGGAGTGGTGGCAGACTTCACTCTTGTGTATTGTGTCTTAGTTGTAGGGATAAACTCAAGGTTTGGTTGCCAATTACTCTACCTACCAATACTTGAAACTGACATGTTTTCTAAAAAGAAGTGAAAAAGTTGCCAACTCAAATTTCAGCATCTCAAGCTGAGACCTTTCAGGGATTTCAGGTAACCTGGTGGTGTGGGTGTGTAAACCGTGACTGTTTCGACAAGGGTGTGTCTGTGGTGTTTCCACAACAAAGTGGAAACTTTCAAAGTTTCTTTAAGAGTTGAAATCTTTCAGGACTCACAAAAGATGTTTTCTACTATCATAATCTTAATTCCTAAAGTACCAAAATGCGCAACATTGAAATTTAAAGGTGGTTATTTAGGGAGGCTAATGGGTAGGCCTGACATATTTTAATGGGGGGTGGGGGGGGGGGGTGTAGCCACAACTGGTCACCCCCTGGATCTGGACCTGCATCAAGACCATGGAGTGTTATTGATTTATTTAGTTTTAACATTATTTGCTGGAGAAACTTGAGATCAAACTAATCGACTGGCCATTAGACATGAAAACAACCAGAGTAATAAAAAAGACTGTCTCTTAAATCAACTCAAGCTCGAGAGCAGGACTTTTATGGAGCACGTTTCAGACCATTTGGAGTCAATCGGTACAAAAACAGTAAGGAAAAATGTCAAAAAAATTTTTTACGTGTTTGGGATACGTTGGGGTAACTTGGAATATTGGGGCTACAATTAGGGTTATGGGGTAAGGGTTTAAATAACTGTCCAGGACCTTTTTAAGGAGAACATTTAGAAACATTTGAATTCAATTGGTACAAAAAAATTAGAAAAATGTCAAAAATCTTTCAAGTGTTAGGGTTACAATAGGGTAATGTTGGGGAATGGGGTTTAGGGGGTTGGGATTAAGGTTTGGGGTTAGGATTAGGGTTTGGGGTAAGGGTTAAAATCACTGTCCAGGGCCTTTTTAGGAGCACGTTTTAGACCATTTAGAGTCAATTGGTAGAAAAGAATTTAGAAAAATTGTCAAAAATATTTCATGTGTTCGGGTTACGGTAGGGTAACATTGGGGTATAGGGGTTAGGTGGTTAGGGTTAGGGTGAGGGTTATGGGGTTACGTTCAAAGTCACTGTCCATGACCTTTTTAGGAGCACATTTCAGACCATTTGGAGTCAACTAGTACAAAAAAAATTTCAGAAAAAGGTAAAAAAAATTCTAAGTGTAAGGGCAAAAGAGGGACAGCAGGTTGGCCAGCTGGGCAGAGCAGTATAGAGAGTTGACCTAGTGATAGGTGACCATGTCAAGACCACCTGAAAAAGACTGGACCTCAACATTTGGTCCGACAACTTTAAAACGCCTCTAAGTGTGTCCATGTGCAGGTTTACAAATGGTTTAGCACATCAGTGAAGGATAAATCAAAGCATGATTAGATCAAGAGAGAGTTTAAAAAGCCTGACAGGCATCGTGGTGATGGATGGAGTGAGACTTCCTCCCCATTTCCCTCTTAAATCTGTTACATTGAGCTGCTGCCACATCAATGCCTGCTGCACACATCAGGCACTCGCAGGTGTCCCATGTCCTGACCCCATCCCTGACCTTTAGTCTTTAACCCCTAACACCTGGGCGGCTCCTTTGCCAACCCTCTATGAACTCTGACCCCAGACTGTCCATCAATGTGGATGTCACCTGGTAAAAGGGCTCGTGGAAAAACTAAAGTAACTGTTTTGATGACACTCTTTGAAGAACACCTTATAAATCAGAGGAACACCTTCAGACCAGATTTGATACACGCTTACTCTGAGACACAACGTATTTTAATACTTCACTGACTACTGATTTTTACTAATCAAGAAAAACACACATGGGTACAGTTAAAGGTTATACACATGGACTAAATGTCAGTGACAGCCTCTGATGTTGAAAGATAAAGCACTGCCGTTCCTCAAGTGCCCATCCAAGTGGCTGCTTTCCTAAGCTGCTTTAATTCTCATTTAGTTTTCTGCAACAATTTGCTTTTTATGCATTATTTTTACATAATTAAGGGTGAAAAGTTAAGGGTATCTCAGGATGCCTTACACAGGGAAGTGGACAATTACTATACTTGATTAATAGAAGATTTTAATTGGACCATCCAGCATCCTGTGGACCTGACTCAGCTCTGATGTCACTGAGACTAACCCTAAATAAATAATACTTGTGAAATCTTAAACATTCATTTTTCAATCAGATCTTTTTCCCACAGTGGGATACACACAGAGATACACAGACATGTTCCTGAAGGAAATCTGGATTTCCACAGAGTACACCCCTACGTCAGTGTTACAAATGAAAGAGTACAATTTAATAAGAGCAGAAGGGCTGTCTGTACAGCCTCTGTGTTTGACCACCAACATTTTTCCAGGAATCTTATTTTCACATTGCGGGATTCAATCCAACCTCATCATTTTTGATGGATATGTTATATTTTTTGAGCAGGTGGGGGTGGGGGCTTTAGAGGCTTTAGGCAAATTCTGTGATCTCTTTGTGAGGCTGCCCTTTTCAAGTTGAGCAATCAAAGACCACCAATGTGTTACACCTCTAATGTGGTCCAAAGAAAAGGAAGATCTGCAGACACACACTTGAAATCTTGATCTGATCCCATAGAGTCCATTCTTGCAGATGGAGGTGGGGTGCAGCACAAGTCTATGATCAACTCCTGCACTTGCCACACACTGCGCCAGCACAGACTACATTTATCATTCTGTTTTACTACTGCGGACACTTTCTTTTTTTCCTCCATTTCCCTCACTCATATTCCTCTTTGGCAGGCAGGATTAAGTTTAATTGTGTCGTTTATGACAGATACAGAGTGAGGTTTGGCACTAATTCAAGGCAGACCATGCACAGTCATTTTATGGTTTCTTTCCACCTCAGTGGCTGATGTGTGGTGGTGACACATTTGATAAAAACCATCCAACATGAAGGGTTTGGGTGGGGGTTGTGTGTGTGTGAATGGAAAGAGAGACACAGCTGAAAACGAGCACAGACAAAACTTTGACTCGCACCAATTTGCAATTTTCAACCAGCATTTTTCTATCAACCAGCTTAACAAGAGCCTTTTCTTTCTCTGCGCTATAGTCTACTCCGGAGTTGTGGCATCTATAGGCCACCTACCCACAATAATCTCACAATTAGCCAAATGGGATTGGAGGAACCTGCCAAGAACGTGGCTTATGTTGTTTTGGGGTCAGACAAATTGAGGTGTCAATTGGGAACAGAAAAGTCTGGTTTGCTGTAAACTGCCTTAACAAGAAGAAGGATGTTGGCTTTGGTGTACTGAGTCTAAAAGTTTAATCTGGCCCCATAGTGTAGCCGTAGGGAGTTTAACAATGACATCAACTGATAAAAGACTTTTTTAAAAGCTGATGTTCATTCACCAGACAGATGTAGCGTTAAGGCAAGAGTCGCAGTTGTGTGTGTGTGCGCGCGCACACTTGCACGCTTGTGATTTTGCATGGTGAGCGGACCACCAGGCATCCAGACATGAGCTCCGCCTTTGAGCTTAATACAACTGATTACACTCTGATCAGTGCTGGTAATAGTTAAGGCTTCAAAGGCTCAACTTTTGAGGCTGCCAGCACTTATTTCCGACCCTGAGATCTCAGCCCCGGCATTCAGAAAACATTTAGTCCTCGTCTGTGTCAGTCTCATGGTATTTATGAGAAATATTCCATTCATTCTTCTCTTTAAGTTCTTTAATTTTTTTCTGCAAGTCTTCAAGCAGTCGGCAATGAGAGAGAAAAATTGTACTATTATAACACTTAAAACAGGAAAGGATATCATCTTCCCTATAATTTAGCTCTCACAGTTCATTCACCTATGAAAAAAAACATTTAAAATACTCATTGAGTGTTTCTGTTGCCAAACAAACAAGAAAAAGATCTACATCTGCAGCTGATGAAACTTTAAAAACAAATCATAAACTTTTAAGGTTAAAAGAGTCGAAATCTGAAACCTGAAACATTCAGACTTAAAGCTGGACATTATCATGCTTACTGCGTCTTCCAGTTGTGTCAAATCCGATTGGTTAAATGAATCAATGAAATGAAGGAATTCTCAAAAGCAGAGGTAACCCCAGAGACAACCTAATCACACTAGCATATCAGAACAATCTTCAAAAAAGAGTTCCTGCACATTTCACCTTTGCCTGTTGACACTGTGGCAAAAAACATTAGTCGCCATTAGCATAAAGGTCCTTACACACTGGGAACAACGCAAATTTACGACACGAAATTATGAAATATGCGGAGGTGAATTTTGACACGCCTGACTACACACATCAAGCACGATGCGATTTTGCGACTTTCCAGGGGGGAAAAAAAGACGAGTCCCGGGTGGAAGCGAGAAGACTGACACAACAGCAGACTGAGTGTTTTTCAGTTCTGATTAGACACTAATGTTGAGATGGCCGTCTGTCATGATAGCATGTACTGAGTTGGGGCCAGTAGCAAAAAAAGCACATAAAACTATAATCCATAAACATAAGGAAACAACAGAGACCTAATGGTGCTGTGACAGCAACGCTGTGATTGAGTTTGAGACAGTGAAAATACATATGGTATGTTGTATCTGAACAGGTTAGCTTACGAGCTAAAGTTACTTAGCACGGATGAAAGTTAAAACGAAGATGTTTAGCAAACTGTTAAAGCACACAAACCATCATCATATGAGAAATCCGAAGCTATGACTCTCCACAAGTTGTCCTTCAGGTCGTTATCTTTGTAATATTTGTGTTTTTTTTATCAAAAGGCACTCTGTTTTCCGACACGTAAACAATCAGCCGGTCGGCCATGTTGGATATACCTGTGAATCTGACGTCACAACAACACGAAATCTGATTGGTCAGAAGTGGACACACAGTATGGGAAACTTAAGAAAATTCAACTGTGATACGAAAAAAAAAATACCGCAATATCGCAGGACGTGAAAACGTCACTGATGTGAACGCTTGTATTGACAGGATACAGGTTCGAAAAAAATATTGACATCCGAAATAGTCGCATGAAAAAACGCTCCCGATGTGAAAGGACTAGACTGGTCAATATTCGCTTGACAACATAGCGGATATTTTAATGCTGCCTGTCCTGTAATTCAGGTGATAAAAGCAGAATAAAGTAAAGACTTGAACCATGAGGGGTAGTGATTATCAGCAAGAATGTTCAAGTTGAAAGAAGGTGATCAACCTCAACTGGCATACTGATAACAGAGGGAAAGTGGAAGTTTGGTCCTGTCCAAGGTTCAGATTTATAAGCTAGAGTATGTGTAATTTTTGTTCTGATAAAAAAAAAAAGAGAGAGAGATTGCAGTTTTATGTAGTTTAAACTGTTGAAGAAACAACATTAGCCATGTTGAAAAATTCAATTCAGCATGTCCACTTGAATGTTATGTTTACCAAAAGACAGTTTTTGCATTCCTCTACTTCCATTCTTCCCCCCCTCTTTGTCTTTTGTTTTTATCCTTGCCTGTCTTCATTCACACGCAGGTGAGCTGTCACTCCCCTCACTCTCCGCACCCTACAATTACACCTTAACCCCCCCTCCCCAAAACACACACACACACACACACTCCTCAAACTTTGCACACCTCCAAATGGTCTTAAGGACACGCACAAGCATCAAGACACAGGTGTCTCTTTTGACGCCGTTGAGGTTTCACACCAGAAGAGGCGGCTAATATGAAATTGAAGGAATATTATAGAAATCTTTGGAAAGGAAAATGATTGAACTAAGCCTGAGGGTTTTTGTGGTGATGATGCATTTCATTGCCACCTCCATTGCTCATCACCAAGACAGGTAAGACCAACTCCACAGACTCTCTCTTTTATTTTCAAAGAGAAATGCTCCATTTACTTTATATCCTTCAAAAAGGTTTGTGAAAAAAGTTACTCATGCAGACTGTTGGTGGGCTCTTCCACTCAAGTGTGAGCATGTAAAGCGGACCTACTTGGCCTGTGTCTAATCATTTTTAATAGCCTCATTTTGCAGTGTGGGTGTGAGGAGATTTAACAGCAGGTACAAATGAAGCTTTGTCATTGGTTCTGTAGGCTGTATAGTTTATTAGACCTTTGTTTATGGCAGCAGATTTTAATGAGGGAAAAAATTTGAATTCAAGGGTTTTCCACTAAATACGAGGTAATGAGGAAGGTGTTTCATAAGTACTTAAAGTGTACAGCTGCAATGAAGAGTACTTCATATCTTTATAAGGACTTTTTTTGTGTAAATATGGCTTATAATGAATGTTAGAATATTCTTTTATTAAACATCAGACTTGTTGAGATTTGAGTTTTTGTAGTTTAGCTGGAGTGGAGAGTGGTCATGTAAAATGTATAATTGGAATTTGGAAAACCTAAATGGAAGAGATGTGAATATATCTGAGTAAGCAGTTAAGACTGAGGCACAATCATCCTAAATAAACACCCATGATATTTTATTTTTACTACTGCAACTATTTCAAAATACAATTTCAAGTCCAGATGTGCAAAAAGAATTTAAGGCGATGAACTGACATGATGATTGATATTAGACGTTTGAAATCTGAGTTAACTGATCACTATGATTGGAGTGTCTAGTTTTTCTTGTTTGTAAATGGGCTATAAATGTGAGGTGTCTTCAGTTGTACCATGCTTGTAGAAAAAAAGGATACATGAGGGCTTTAGTCTTGTTTTTTTAAATACTGACATATTTCCCTGTAAAGCCTTATATAAAGTTCAAAAATGCCTCCTCTGTTCTTTGTCTCAGACTCGTGTCTCTTTTTTTTAACCTCTGTCTATGTCCTGCCAATGCTGAGATTGAAGCCCCGAAGGCTTAACAATGCTAAATGGTCTGTTAATCTTTTGCCCTGAGCGCAGGTCAGTGGAGGATGCGCTCAAACACACCAGGGGTCGCGCACTGCCAGGACTCTGCAGCTATGGTCAGACAACTTCCTGTTGTTTGGGATGGAGGAATGTTAATGGCATTTGTCATCGTAAGTCATTCTGAGATTCAGTGACGGCACATTTACAGAGATACATTACTCAAAGTTCAAAAGGTTATCAGTTTGGTCTCACAGGGAAATAAAAAAGGTTGTCTGTCTTATTCTGCTATCAGCATTTCCTTCATACACTGGATTTTTTCTCCTCTACTGGCCATTAGACATCAAAGACTGAAGCTTCAGTTGTGTATTTTCCATTTCAAGTTGTAAAACAGTACTCAATTCTGTTTTTACATAGACCTAATTCCTGTTTCTTGTAGCTACCTTGTTGTGTTTTTGCATTGCAAGTGCACCAAATGAGTGGACAAAATTTAAACTGTGAAAGAATTACTGCTTAACCCTGTGGTACACCTCGTCTCTGCAGGGTTTTGAAGTGTCATCGTTTTGGCCTTTTACAGTTTTACCTCTTTACAGTTTTTGTTACTTCCACACTGTGTCCACCACTCGTTTTTCAACTGTAAGCAATAAGCTTGGAATCAAATCTAATGTTGTAGTTGTTTTGTATAAAATGATGAAGAAGAAGAGCTGTATCGATCCCTGAAGTGAAATTTAATGGACCCTAATTCATAATAATGGAAAATGTTGTATGCTATAACATGTTGTTTCATTCACCATAGCTGTGTGCAAGAAATCCTGCGCCAATGGAAAATGTGTGGGACCAGATAAGTGTTTATGCTCCAGAGGTTACAAAGGACCACAGTGTGACGAAGGTGCAATTCACAAATTCATTATCTGTCTTATGGTTCTAATTTCTAACCATCGCCTGTGTTCCCCCTGCATCATTTACCGTAATGATTTCTATCTGCTGCTTAAATTATGTTTCATATTGACTCCAGATGTGAATGAGTGCGGTTTCTTGAAGAGACCTTGTACCCAGCGTTGCATGAACACACACGGTAGCTATCGCTGTTACTGTGAACCTGGATATACACTCAACGTAGATGGACGCACCTGCACCAGTGAGTTACTGCTTGTTTGAACAAAAGATCGAAAGTTACTGCTCACTTTTTAAAAAGCGTTAGAAGAAAACCTTGGGCCGACTGATTATGTTAGATCATTTCTACTCAAAAGGGCCGCCCGCAAACTTTGCATGATCTCAGAGGGTTCAAGTTTCTGATAATTTGGTCCTCGGGTTCTACACTCCGGTGTCAGGAATTTAAAGTTAATATTACAGAGAGTGGTATGATTGAAAATAGTTGCTGTGAATGGTAATCCAAAGGGCTAGCTAGACAGATCTGGCTTATTTAGATTAGTTTGTAAGGGTTGTGACTTGAATTATCTGTGATCAGGTTGAAGTTAAGGTTTTCTGTGAAGGTCAGGCTGAGGATCAGGGGCTGTGAAGCACTTTTTTAAAATGAGGTACCCCACAAGCATAAGGGAACAAGTATGCATGTGTGTTCTCTCTCAGGGTTGCTCCAGTGGCCCATTTCTCTGACCGATTCTCAGCCAGTGTTTCCCTGTCTGTCTTCCAGGAGAGGCCGCATGTTTCTCCCTGCGCTGCCAGTTTGGTTGCCAGATGGAGAGAGGGGGAGAGGTGCGCTGTCTCTGTCCCCCCGGCCTCCACCTGGCTGCTGACAACAAGACCTGTGAAGGTAAATCTGCCTCAGAGACATCTCACAGCTCATCACATCAGTGAATTATCACAGAAAAGAAATATTAGATACTTCTCCTACTTGTATTGAGCCAGACTAAAAAATCAGGTGGACGGTAACCTTCATTTTAGACGCATTTACGGTTTAAAGAAGAAGTTAGCAACCATCTAACTTGCATTTAGTGCTTTAAGTTTGGCTTTTTGGCACCTATCTTGAATTTTTTGGTGCCAGAAGTGACAAAATGTATATAATGCCATCATGACAGGTAGATAACAGGCAGTAAAATGGCAAATACGAGCTAACCTAGCTATTAAATCAACTCAGAACCACACAGCCAAGCATTCCCCTGTCATCATATTTCATTTATTTAAGAGCCTGAACTCCTGGCAAACACATACTGACATTCACTTATCAACATGCACTTTTCTTACTGCTCGTGTCTGTTGCGAGATTTCTTTCCGGCATTATTCAGCTCACAGCTTCGCATGGACACTACCAGCAGTGCACTCAACTGAAGCACCTCTTTTCAGAGTCTTTCCACCTGATAGGTCAAAGCCTTTAATTACCTGACATTGAAAAAAAAAACACACACACCCTAAACCTTGTCCCCAGTGTCCAACCGCTTTGTGACTGAAGTCCCCCTCCAATCCTCGGCCTCAGACACTTCCTGCCCTGTAATGAAGTAAACCCTGAACAGCCTCTCTCACAGCTGTTGAGACATTTTCACACAGGAGTGAAGCTTTCAATGGGAAAGCCTCACAAAACTATGATTACAATTGGATGGGAACAGCTATGCCCTTATTTTACTGTTGTTGTTTTTTTCAGCTTAGAAGTAAATTTGGGTCGTTTTTGTCATATTTATTATCTGTTATTTGCTGCAAGTCTAGACAGGACTCACACTGACAGAGGGGACTCAAAAGGATCTTAAAAGAGACACAAGAATATACAAAAGTATTCATTTGGCTTAGAAAACCACAAATGGTCTTACAATTGTGGTCACTTACCTGTCGCATATTGCATGATAACTTTAAAAAAAAAAACATAACATTTGAGTATTATTCTTAAAAAATGTGGCAGATAAAGATGTCATTCTACACACCTGTAGTCAGAGATTTGTGTGTTTAGGTCAAGCCTTGTTTTCAAACAGCAGAGCACCTTTCAAAGCCTCTGTACAGGAGTGGTTACAGGGTCAAGGTACTCATTTGCACAACTTTTTTGAGGGTAATTATTGTTTTGAGCAAAGACAAGAAACATCTAAGCACCTTGTCACTAAGAGTCAAGGGTCTGCGTGTGGAGAATGCAGCCGAAAAGGCCAGATTTTTTTTTTTTTTTAACTGTTGTGTGAAGACATAAGCCAAATGTGTTGCTGGTGTTTGTGACATGTAAGTGTTGTGTTTGCAGATGTAAATGAGTGCCTGGAGGATGCTGAAGTGTGTCCACCGCGCCAGACCTGCAAGAACACTTTTGGCAGCTTTTTGTGTGTATGTCAGGACGGCTTTGTGTTCGGGACAATCCAGGGGCTGTTGCAGTGTCGAGGTACGGTCTCCTTTTCTTAAGCGCACAGTGACATGATTGTCATAAAATGTCATTGATTGGTGGCATTTAGGCATCATGCTTGTATGTGGAGGTATATTGGAGTTTTTCATTGTCTCTTTTTAGGGCTGTCGTCATCAACACATTTGTTTTAAAGTTAATAAGGTCTAATTGTTAGTTACTCTGTCCCTTCCCAAACCAAGTACTTAAAGGGATATTCCAGCGTAAAATTAAGTTAGGGTCCAAAACACTGTAACACCAAGTTAGACACCCGGCGAGAGATGAATGTTGCCGACCGCTTGCTTCTCTAGTTATACCAACTTTAGTAACGACCGCACGATAGCAATACACAGCAGTCTCAGGAGCCACGCGCTCAACCAAAACGCCACTCTATAGTCACAAATAATGCTCAGAACAGCACCTAACTTCATCAACAGTACATATAGGGTCCCAGCCACAGCACTAGCCACCAAACATCTTTTCAGCTTTGCCTGATTTCTTTAGCAAAGAGACTAAACACAACTCAACTACTCTCTTCCGGCAGCCACTTGTTTATAGCGAGACCTCGGGCCAGTCCATTACGGACTACAGCGGGGTGATGCAGCTCAAGGAAGAACATTTATGATCATTACTTTATCATTTCCTTGAAGTAATGATAATCATATTAATCATTTTGCACTGCAGACTTGGTAGTTCTTCTGCCTTAGCATCTCAGTCTGATTGCATTTCCATGAAGTAATGATAAATATTCTTTGCTATGGCTGGGACCCTATATGTACTGTTGATGAAGTTAGGTGCTGTTCTGAGCATTATTTGTGGCTATAAAGTGGCCTTTTGGTTTAGGTGTGCGTGTGGCTCCATAGACCGCTGTATATTGCTATCATGTGGTCGTCACTAAAGTTGGTATAACTAGAGAAGCAAGCGGTCGGCAACATTCATCTCTCGATGGGGTGTCTAACTTGGTGTTACGGTGTGTTTGACCCTATATTAATTTTACGCTGGAATATCCCTTTAAGCCACACAGCATCCTCTTGCTCCTTGCTGCTTCTGTAATGACAAAATCACAGCACTGCACTTTATATTTTGCATTGGAAATTTCCCAAGAAGCTCAGTTGTCAAGTCAAAAGTAAAGTGTACATCATATCAGAAGGAATCAGAGTATCAACAAAGTACCGAGAGTTTGAGCTATGACCAATAAACTAAGCATACAGGTGCAGCTTATCAGACTGCAACCATATCACAAAAGCCAGCAGAGCATTATTTGGAGTACGATAATTGCCACAGACTTCTAGATAAAGCTGTCTTGCAACTTTAAGTCATTATTTTAGACCATAATAGCGCAGCAGTGCGGCATTCATTTGAATAATTAATCTCAAGGTGATGCTGATGTTACAGCCCAAAGGAGACACAATGTCAAAAGTTTATGAAAATCATAACCAGATACAAATACAAACACGCTAAAAATAAAACATATATCAGAGGAATAAGGTCAAAGCTTCAAGCACAACTGGGCAGAAACTACACAATGATGCAAATTCAAAAACACTTAAAAACAGGCAGAAAAATGCAATGCACATTTGTTTGAGCCTGTAGGTGGCACTAAGTGTAGTTTTATATTTGTAGTAAACAATGTTTTTTTTTTATTTTGCAGCAAGTTGTATTTGCGAGGGATTATTACATAGTTTTGAATTTTGGATTTATTTCTGAATTTGGAAACCTTTTCTGCCAATGAAATTATTTTGAGCTGTTTGTCCCTGCAGCCTGCCATATTTTTGACATAAATCTGCAGTAAATAGAAACACTGGAACAGAGTAAAGGAGATATTGAGCAACAGAGGTCCCCCATCAGAATCAAGCCAAAGATGTTAGAACGCTGTCTTGTGCGTCTTAGACCATCAGGCCACAGGGACGCACATGTATGACATTCTTGAAACAGCTCCACATGTTCTCCTCATCTGTGCTAATTGGCAAAGAGAGGGATCATGTGAAGATGTGCTTTGGCAGCAGAGGATCCAGAGACCATGTTTATTTGATGAGCACTCCTAGCTCACCCACTCAGCTGTGGGCTCACCCACGAGCTGTTTTTGTTTTCATCCATGTGATGAGCATTGCAAATATCTCTCTCGAGCAGGTTTCAAACACAGAGTCCTCAAAACCCTTTACTCTCCCTCCGTAGTGAGCTGTGAAGCAGCCTTGCTGAGAAGTGATTCAATATGTGTCGTCATTTATAAACATTTCAAATCTCCTTCTCCTCAGATAAGGATGAATGTTTAACCGGGTCTCACCGGTGCAGCCGTCACGCTCAGTGTGTCAACACAGATGGTTCCTACACCTGTCAGTGTTTGGAGGACTATTTCGGCAACGGACACACCTGCTGGCCCAAGAGAGCCCCACAGTCCAAAGCTGTCATGTACTACAACTACAAACTTTCCAAAAGATCCAAAACCATACGACCTCCATCTTGAGGCTGCGTCTTCCAGTCCACGTAGTTCATACAAAAAAGGGACCTACAGGGTGTTTTTGAGGATGTGCTCAGGACATTTACTGTATAAAAAGATGGTCGACAAGACAGTTCCCTCAAGTGAAGCCAGAACATTTGGAGCTCTCACCAGTGACTGGCTGCAGTCATGGATATAAAGCCCACCTCCTCTTTGTAAACAGATTGGACATTAAACATTTAACTACGTTACATTTTGAACAGTTCTTTCTCAAAAATGATTTCTGTCATTATTGTTGATTATTATCATCTTGGTTTGTGTCTAAATGTTTTTTTTGTGTGTGAAATTTTAATGAGTTATTTAAGTATCATTAAAAAAATGATTGACAGCCCTGTCTACAGATGTTGCTCATGATTCGCAGGGTGCACTGGACTGACGGCATAGAAAACAAACACTATGGATGATAAGAAGCTACTAATGTCCAAGTCTTAAACTGTAATATAAGTTCAGACTAGCCAGCATGTCTAACACACCAAAAACGGTCACAACTGACTGCAAGTTATGAAACACGACTAAACGCTAAACTAATTGCTCTGGTGGAGTAGTTTCTGGATACAGCTGAATTTCACCTCAGGGGTTCAATAAAGTCTGATGTTATGATCTTAACTCAGCCTGCATACACCCCTATCTCCATTTTCTAGATCAAGGTACTGCCACTTTACACGCCACAAGATAGCATCTGCCATCTGCGTTTGTTTACATTCAGGTAGTAGAGTGATACAGGTAAAGGAAATGGCGGTTGCCATTACTAGAGCTACAACTCTGAGTGGATGGGTTACAGCTTCAACACAACATATGACCACCAATCAGGCTTACAATAACAAAGGGTTACACTGATGTGATGGCTGAACGTTGGTATCAGCAAAGTCATAAATACACTGTTAAATTGAGGCTATTTAACCTCTGAATTAACTGTTTTGCCTGAGCACGGGTGATGACAAATAAACAATGACTTGAAAAAATATGCACATTCCTAACAATAGTGAGAAAGATAACATAGGATTAAAGGAGCTGTCAGAAAGTTGTTTCTGATACTGTTTTATGAATTAGCAGTAAATTGAATTGTGTTTTGCTCAGTGAAAGGTGTCAGGACGGCAAAAACACAGCTCCACCTGCTGACTGCAAATAGTGAAGGTGTCAACTCCCATCTTAAGGGTACTTATACTTCCAATAGTCAAGGTTACAATGATTTTTGACAGAGGTAAGGGGGTTTTAATGCTGTGATGTCTTTTCTTAAACTTGGGCGAAAAGCTTTTAGTACAACTGGACACCTTGTTGCCTCTTTTTTTCTGAGATTGTTATTTCTCTTCCAAGTCAGTGAGGCACCAACCTGAAACACCCCCCAGCTCCATCTGCTGCCTGTTTGATGTCTGTTGAAGGAACCCTTCATTTAACAATCACAGTGCAACAGGACCATGCTCTGTACTTTGCTGCTGTGCTCTGGCCTAAATGGACTCTGATGACAGGAGAGTTTTGCCTTGCACTGGGAAGACTGCTGTCACAAAAACACCACCTGTTATCAAATGTGCAATTTCCAACAAAATACACCTCAAATTTGCACATGTTGCAAATGTTTCAATTGTTTTTCTAATGTGTTTGACATGTAGTGTGATTTTTTTAATTGAAAGAGAATACGCTACTTTGTGGGAACTCATCTGAATTGGTTAATAAAAGGCTGACCTCTGGTGGAAAGATAAGGGAAGATGCTTTATCAGAAAAAGGAGAGTATATTCCTGCAGATTTGTGTGTCTTAGATGTCTACAAAGTTCTGTTTTTTCAAATGATACACCCATCAGAGCAGGCGTAGACACATGTTGTCTGTCTTTGGGCTAAAACACAGACTGGTGTTTTATCTCCTGCCCTCTTCCTCTGTTATGCCACAGGGAATGTTTTCAGACCTACTAAGTCACACGCAGGGCAGACTACCACACAGCAAGAGAGCATAGACAGGTCAGACCAACCAAATACCAGGAATCTTTGTCTGTCAGCAGCTGTCTGGAAACCTCTTCCTGCATTCAGAGAGTGCAATAGTGGAAATTGAAGTTTTTGATGTTTTCCTCGGGTCAATTTCAGGTTTCTGTCCAAACAATTTAGTTTGTGACCCTGGGAGACAGGGAATTGCAATTCTTGGGGATAATAAACTGTAATGATGGGAGGTGGTGGTAGGGGGCACTATGTGTGGTGGTGTCAGGGCCTTGGTTGTAGTCCTGGAGGCTTTGGGGTGCTGAGAGAGTGGGTCTTGCAGTGAGAACAAGCAGCTGCTGCCTGCTGAAGGGCCCTGCCACTGACCCTATTCATCCCAACAGCAGGTGTCACATCAAGTCGCCGCCTCGCACTCACGCACACACACTTGCACATGTGCTGCGCACACACCCATCTGCAAAACCACTGCGCCTCGTGCACGTTTACACACACATAAACGCAGATGAGTGTGTGACTGAGTGGGGACCTGGAACTACTTACAGAGAACAAAGACGGAAATCAGGGAAAAATGCAGCCTCTTCGAATAAATCTCACCACAATGCCGAGAAAAATCCCCAACCTCACCCCCAGAAACGCAAGAAAAACCTTGTTTCTCTCTTTCAAAGCAGTCAAAAGTGTCTTACAAAAGCAGAAATAGAAAACATTTCAGATAAAAGGATCCAGGCCCCCTCTCTGAAAAGGACCTCACACCAAGTTGTGTGTAATTCCAACCAGAAACTGGTTTATTTACCAAAAAATAATAAGATTTAATGCCAAGGCACTTAGGCCACAAATAAAGGACAACAAGTGGTGGGTGCACTGAAAAGAGCTGGGGAGAAAAAAGGCGAATAAAGCCGGGGTGGAAATTTTCCCTTTTCTTGTGCTTGTTATTTTCTGGTTCTCTGTTTACACGACACACAAGATTTCAGGAACAGTGGCGGTAAAGCTGTGTGCAGAAAGGCCTGTGTAGAAAAATAAAAGGAAAACAATAAACATGTCAGAGGAATTTGGACATCTGCAATGACACAAGCTCTTACACTGAGGCCATGGCAATTTCACGAATCAAAGCGCTGCTGCCTTGGCTTTCCTTATATAAAGCAGAATCAACATTTATCCTGAGAAAGTGAGCAATGATGCTGACAAGTGCATGGAGCCAATGACAATACAATAGCGGTGATGCTAGGAACAACCATGCCACCCACGTAGCTGAAAGCCCGTGCTTTCAAACACCACCACTGAACTGTAAAACCACTAAAACCCCTGTCTTGCCCATACTGTCCTTTTCACTTTAGCTTGAAATAAGCCAGCCTTTTCTCCCTCTGCTCCATCAGAGGAGGCTTTTCCACGGCTAATTCTGGTATTATGTTCCTATTGGAGCCACAGCTCTGTGGACACACAGTCACATTACGAAGGAGCACAGTGCAGTGTTTCCATGAATGAGTTAAAATTATAAATTCTGACCAATCCCACTCTGGGGGGAATGAGCCAAAGCTTGAACCCTTGGCGTAAAATTATAAATCTTGTTAGGGAGCCATTTTCTCTTGCTTGGCTTTTCTGACAAAATCTGCAGCAGAGTAAAAAGAGAGTGTGACAGCTCACTGCCTGCAGCAATCTTCCCAGATTTCTTTTATTTACTATTGAATCGGACGAAAATGAGCTGAACTAAATAAAGGCAAGCTTATTGGTTTGCTTACCAAATCATTCCCTGTATTGATGAATCTGCGCCAGACAAAGAGAAACAGAAATGAAGTCGGATCATTTGTTTCAGTTCAGAAATTAAAACAAGACCACATCACAGCAGCTTAACCAACCCACTACACCCAATTCTGCCACGGTGATAATTAAAGCCTCCTATAAAATTCGAGGCAGCGCTGTCCTCTCAGTCACTTTTAAATCACATTATGCGGAGTAAATACATGTGAGTCACCCTTCTGTGTGACCCTGTGCACTGGTGCTTCCTTGTAATTCTCATTCATACTAATACACTCCTGATGAATGCACTGCTATGTGGTGGGAAAGTGTCTGTGTGTGTGTGTGAGGGAAAAAACGATGTGGAAATATCTGAAAAGACATGAAGCGTCTTTAAAAGTTTACTCCCAGACACCCCAGTTCAGGTCACTCTCGCACACACACACGGAGACAGACACTTTTCTCCCTGAGCTGTTGTGTATCAGTGACCTTAATTCATGTTTTAAATCCTCACAATGGCTTTGAACTCTGTTTGAACAGTAAAAAAAAAAAAAAAAGCCACCCACTTTTCATCTCCTTTCCTCTGTCTGCTCTTATTCTCTCCAAAAGGTAGGTATAACAACTGGAACAGCCCACATCATAACATGAAAGTGGAGACTTGACCTGACCGGAATTCACTGTGCCTAGATCATTCTTAATATGAGGGCCGGCAGCCTTGTTCAGGGGATTATCCTCCATAGAACAGGAAAGATTTCCAGCTAATCTATATAGGAATGCCCACTCCGGAGAAGGTGAAGGGAAGTGGATGGGACCAAAGGTTTCTCTTTGAGGCCAACATACTTGTTTTATTCTCCTGTGTGGCAACTAGACTCGACCTGAAGAGAAAAGTTCTGTATTCATATCCTTTTATATAAGTGTCATGGAGGCGCAGAAAGAGAAATTTGCTTTCAGTTTCAAGTGACAAAGGAAGTCCAAGTTAGTTCATTTATTGATTACCTGTACATGTTGATTTGGAGGTACAGGAAATAAAGAGAAACTGATATCTAAGGCTGCACCATATTTACCCTGCTGCCCAGTACCTGACTAATTTAGAGAGGAGTTTTTTTTTTTTTTATTGGGTTTATGAAATCATCTGAGGGACCAAGTCTGATTTGCTTTCAGGGTCAAACACGAGGCAAATGCATTGGCTGCTTTTACAACCAGTGCATCCATCAATGGTAATTTTTATGCCGTACTTTTAACTGAAAATAAACACCTGAAGGGTGTTGTAAATACTAATACTTTCTTTGTATCTATTCTATATTTAATATTACTTA